TGCAGAACTCGATTCGGAACTCAGTTCACTAGAACTAGATGCCTCCGATGAACTCGAAGATGCGGTACTCGACTCAGAACTCAGTTCACTGGAACTGGTTGGAAAAGGAGTCTCGATAACAATAGTTGTGGGATCAGTTGTCTCGTCAGGAGCCTCGGTCAATGTAGTAGTAAACGCTCCGGACCACCCAGTGGTAGAAGTAACTAAACAAGGCTCATTATAATACCATGGAATGTTAGATCCGACTAAAATAGCTCCACTAGGCGTCACCAAATAGGGGTAGATACCACCGGGACCTCCTTGATTATAGAATATCATTTTGATTGGATAGTATTCTCCTGCTGTCAAGGACACCTGATAGCCCGTGAATCCATTGGAAAATACTGACTCTAAAATAGCCTGACCATTTGACAACGCAATCGGGGCCCCGTTACAGCAGTTACAGCAGCTGGTAGCAATACCTTCACCTATTCCAAAGGACACGGCATTATCCACCTCAAAATAAAACGTATAAGTACCGGTTTGGGGGGCTAGAAAGAACCCAGTGTACCTCAATCCAATAGGATTCATATTGGTTACTACCCCGTAGAGCGTAATATAGTATGGCTCCGTAGTGGCCCAATAATAAAAGTATATGTCGGTGACTCCAGTCCAAGTATACAGTGAAGCCTTGGTATTGAGAGTCTCCATATAAGTATCTGGATCTTGATCGGAAACTACATCCAAAAGTTCCACTTTGAGACCAGCGTGGACGTTTTCTGGCTCACAAGAGTCAAGACCCTTGACCAAGGGCACCATACTTACCAATAAAAAAGCACATAATCCTTTGGAGAACCACATTTAGTGGAGTTATCCAGTAGGAGATATCTGATCTTTTAAAAGACATTGTGGGTCCTCAGGCGTATGTGGATTACAGCTGGTTTGAGACGGTTACAAAATATCGGAAATTAGCTTATGAATTACGAGATTAAGCAGATGGTTATTTTGTTTAAATAAAAACACTAATCATTGCCGCCTTTGCCAAACACTGGGTGAAATCTGGGGTTTCCACCGCCGCCTCGAGTTTGGGGTTTTTAGGTGCCTGATACATTTCTGGACACAAACACATTTAGTGGGTTATGGACAAGAAAGATATCGATGCTACCACCGGTGACAACTCGTTAGATATATGATACTATCATTTCTGCGTTGGTGGGGCAATATTTTTTATGATTATTTTCCTGTCGCCCCAATCATCGATCACCGTTGCTTGACAAGGCCCTAAGAAACCCAGAAAATTTTCATGATGTAAATGCTGCTAACGTTCGAAGTAAAGGCGTTGAGGCCTACAAGTCAACTACTGGATATTTGGGCAGAAACCTTTGGGTCGACCTGGGGTCCACTTGCCAATGCCTTTTATCATCTTCGCCAATACGAGAAAAATAATACCAGTCATTGGTGCAATAAGGGTCAAAGCATCTAACCTCCCCACAACCGGAAAAAATCTTAAAAATAATTAGTTATTGGATTCTTCTAACCCTAGAGAAATCATACGAGGTTCGACTGTCGAGGGTTCTGCCAAACTTTTATTTAGCTGAACTGAGGAGATTACTCCGGTAAACCTGTCTACAAAATAGGCTTGAACCGTTCTCAAGTTAGGGTGCGGCCTACATACTTTTAAGGATCGCTAAGGACGATTATAAAGTATCGTTTATAAGTACAAAAAATATTTTATTCAAAAGTGTACGGCTCCTGAAGCTTTGTGGCCCGGGTGTATGGAGCTCCGACCAGAGCCACAAGGAAGGTCCGAGTCCTGGTAAATCCCGCCGCAGAAGACTGTCATCTGCGACTAAGCTCCAGGGCGCAAATTTAGTGTGTTTGAAAACCTACTGGGGCACCCACTCGCAGCACAGAACAATATATATTATAATGGAACTGTTGCCTTAGTTTTCCGGGGACAATAGTTTCGGGCTGCAACTTTAATTGGGGCTAATTCTCGGAGTCATCAATCGTATGATGGTATGTAGCACCAACCGCGCAAGTTTCTGTTGGGAGATGCCCAACCAAGTCGCCACAGATGAATTATCATTGATGGTGAAAACCTACAGTACAATAAGCTTTTGGTGAATATCTTCGATCGATCATGAAGAATCTACCCCTTATATTGTGGCTAAAATTAAGGGTCCGATTCTTTATGGTTTTGAAATGGCAGTTATTAGAGCAACCTTAATGGGAGTCGCCTCCTCAGCTGATATTTTCACCAGCGGCTGCCACCAATTTTTCTGTTGGGCTCAGCGGTTTCTGGAAGAATGCTGCACCTCCATAATCTGGATATCGTAACCAACTCATAATTAATAGCGCATAGCAAAGAACTCAATAACGTAACTTGAAATATTCATTAACTCCAGATGTTGAAATAAATATCACATATGGGGTCTTAATTTTACCGTATCTGTAATTCAATAAAGTCTTACTGAGCGCCTCTAATTTTTCAAAATCAAAAAACTCAAATATTGGCTTCCCTATCCAAATTTGACGCTCTCTACTAAAAAAATGTCGTATAGTGCTAGAACTCAATTTCTCGACCTAGATACAGCGATACCACAAGGCTATCTTTCTTATATTACACCTACATTTTCATTCTCTGCGCTCTTGGGTTTTATATCGCATCAAGGGGTAAAAATAAAATCGCTGGATAATCATTTAACCTATGACAGAAGCGACAAGAGAGTATCAATTTGTGTATGATGATAGGGAAAGTAATATGGTGGATGAAGCAGGGAATCTAATCAGCGATCAAGGCGAAATAAGAGAGACTTTTTCATTGTGGATTAAAGGGCCTGCAAATTCTGCACCACTTAATGTATAGGTCTTTTTAGTTTATAATACACCATACTTCTATATAGAGAATTACGCAATTATGAAGTCTTGAACTCATAAACCTACTTCACTATATTAAGAATCTGTGGATATGTCATTATCTTATTCTGCCTGCGATATTGAAACTTGAAGAGCGATATTGAAAACCACCCACAGGTGACATTCTGATAACGAAGGTGCGGTCTTCATCAAGAAAAACACTGTACACAGATTCACATAGACGACGAGGTTGTTCTATGCATGAGAAGATCTAAACAATTTCCCCTAATCCGTATCTGCAAAAAACTCTGCTACCTCGACGTACTGGATCAGCCCATTTCTATTCGCGGATTAGCTTGAAGTCATCTGCATTTACGCATAGTTCACTTGCACGACAGAACCAAAATAGAACAATTTTAAACACCAGTTTCATGCATTATTCCACCAACTAGCAACTGTACCCAAAAACCTGAAATGACGATCCCCCAAATCGATTCAATTTATATGTGTCAATAGTATTGTTTGATGCATATTTTTTTTTTCTGGAATTATCCCGAATTCTTGAAACCCTCGCAAAGCAGGGAGCGTGAGACTTGGATTTCGATTATTTTTAGCTCCCCATTTTTGCTTTTTGAACTATTACTAATAGCAGGTCTTTTTGAAAGTGTGGTTGGTCGAACCTTAAATCTGCAGGGAGCTTCCATTTTGCGCTCTACACACAAAGTGAGATCTGCATCGGGGCAGTTTTCTTCTATATATACTCTGGTAGTTGGTTATATATCTGACCCTTCACTCCAGTATCAATTTATTTTTTCATCTACTAGGGTTCTTTTTCCCTTTTTCTTGGTTCTTTATTCGAAGTGGACCTCGCCTTTCCCCTGCATAATTGAACGTAGCTGTTTCGACTTGTGATCCATAAATCCCAGATTTTTTTATCCATCCAGTCCATTTCCTTTTAATTCTTTATCCGGGTGCTTTGTCTTATATATATTGAAAATCCTTCCATTCCCAACGGATCCCTATAATTCCTCCTCCATCCTCGCCTTATTGATTTCCCCCAGTTAATTTCCTTGGTTAAACTCCTTTGTTTAATCTCATCCTCTCTCGTGAATTCCTATTTCATATGGCCTTTGAACTCACTTTTTTGGGAAGCTCTGGTGGGCCCATAGAAGGCTCCAACTGCTGCATCCTCATAAAACCACTGCATATATCATACCAGGATATCGTGGAGAGAAACCTCCAAAATGAAGTTTTGTGTGTGGACGCCGGAGCTGGCCTCGCAAAATTAAGCGAAGTTATTTTCAATGAGACCCACGACCTACCATCCTGTAACTTATTGAATCTTTACAACGACTCACTCAGCGTCGACGAATACTTCAAGACAAGCACCTCCAAGCCGTTTGCGGTGTTCAAGGGCAAGTCTCCCTTCCTGGCGGCTGTGGATGTGTTCAAGAATATCAAGAGTTACTTAATTTCCCATCCGCATCTCGACCATATCTATGCGTTGGTATTGAACTCACCGAACTTCACCGAGGCGAACCCGAAAGAGGTGTACGGAAGCTGTGATACCGTTCACGCCTTGAACTCTCATATCTTCAACGGGATAATTTGGCCCAACATGCAAGAATTTGAAATTGTCAACTTAAACACAGTTGGCTTCGAGTCACCCTTTGACGTCAGCAGCTATTCAGTTAAGATGTTCAAATTAAGTCATGGAAAGTTGCAAAGGGGCCACCGAAATTCCTCCATTTCCATAAACGAAAATTTTAAGGGAATCTATCAAGAATCTAAATCGGTTACCTATGTGTCGTCTGCTTTCCTCATAAGCTATAAGACCATCAATTCGAGGGTTTTGGTATTTGGAGATTTCGAGAGCGACCATATCTCCAACCAGAATTTCAATGAAGTCATCTGGAAGGAAATTGTCCCTATGGTGCTAGATAAATCCCTCAGTGCCATAGTCCTTGAGTGTTCCAATTGTAATTGTGTGGAAACTCTGTTGTATGGGCATTTAAACCCTATACATCTCATGAGGGAATTGTACAAGTTGAATGGTTTTTGTGTGAATGCTTCCGGCACAGAAAATCCGTTGAAAGATATGCACGTCATAATCAATCATGTTAAAGAGACTGACGGTACATTTGATCCTAGAGCCACCATTTTGAGAAACTTGGAGAAACTTAATCTCGATTATAACTTAGGCATCAACTTTTCAATTGCATTATCAGGTGTGTCGATCATTGTATAGATATAGGTTTATAACAGATGGTAAAATCTTCTACTTCGATTTGATTCTTTTTTGTACATTTTGTTTGATCTAAACGATTTGGTAGGACTCAGTGGCTAAGTTTTCACGCAAGTCAAATGGTAACGATTCCTCATCTTCATTCTGGCTGGCAACAATGTCCAACACTTGGACTTTACCGAAACTGTTATCACTATCAGTAATCTCTTCGAATTCAACTGTGAATTGCAAGTCCATTGGGAATAACGCATCTTCATCGGGGGTATCCACGGTGAATTCAAAAGAACCTTGTGGGTCATCGGTGGATATGGAACCAATATTAAACACGGTTCCAATGTCCTCAATATTGTAACTAATTTGACTGTTTTCTTCCTTTAAGTGAATATCTCCTTGAACTGGCAAGATTATCTTGATATCATCGATTGAGCTGTTGGTTGTATTATTTTCCAAGAATTCAGAAGTCAATTCATATTCAATGGTCACATCAGTACTGTCACCATTGGGGTTACACCAAATAGTAATTAATATTGGCAAGAATTTGGATTCATCGCTCTTTCCAGCACATCTCCATCTCAAAACACCCAAACTCTGGTCATTTGAAGGGAATGGCTTAGTCTTATCCTTCAATCCAATTACATGCTGTTGCTGGAACAAATTACGATCAACGTTTGGATGAGTCTTGTATTGTATTTCACTGGATTTCTCGGTGGTTTTCAACAAAATCTTACAATAACTCAAATCCTCATTGTTGATTCTCAATTGCAAGTCACCCTTGACTTCAGTCGACAAAATCGAACCATCTCTCTGTAATTGAGCATTAAACTTCTCATTGATGGTAACTAATATACCATTGTTTGGGACTTTTGGTGCACTGTTAACCACGGGGGTTGGAGTCATTGAAACTGATCTGGAGTTTGGTAAAACAGCTGTGTTAGTAGCTGGGTTGAACAACAAAGGTTGAGAGGCTTCTGATCTACCAGCAGGTTTCTTACCCAATTGTAAACCTCCGGATCTAGAAGTCAAAGGTTTGTTCAAATAACCACCCAGTGAAGGAGACTCGATCGAGTTGTCAACTATAGCAGGAGGCTGGTAGCTTGGTTGGTTGTGGTTATTTAGAGCAGCAGCTTCATCAAACCCGTAAGGTCTGTTAAACTGGTTTTCCAAGTTCTTCTTGGCCAATTCCTTTCTTTGGATTTCCTTTGCTCTTCTTTTTCTTTCTTCATTGGCTTCCATTTCTTTGTTTCTTTCAATGATTTCTTGAATCTTTTCTTCGTGGGAATCCATTTCCAAGAATGATTGTACCTGAGATAACGTCAAATTCTCCTTGTAACCATTATTGATAATCTCGTCGAACGAACTTAAAATCTCAAAAGCATTATCAAAGATTTCTCTTTCATCTATGGTTCTCAATAAGTTGCTGATGGTTGAGACAAACAAGTGCAACGTGTCGATATCCTGCAAGATATTCGAATGCTTGTTGGTCAACAAAACCACGTAAAGTTCTTCTAATGGTTGATAAACATATCTGATATTATCATCCTCAACGGCAGTGTGTTGAGAAGAAGAATTGGAAATCAAACTGGGGAAGCTCGATAACAAGCTGGTGATCTTATCCTTGTTTATATCCCTGAATTGTCTGGATAAAAGGGCTTTTCCGCCTCTTGTACATATTGATGCGGCTAAGACGACCATTTGTAGGCTGATTAGTGTGTTTTTTTGAGTTCACATTTTCTCGATCCATGAAGTTTTCGTGTCAACAAATTTTTCGGTGCGTACACGCGTAGAGGGAAACCTGGCGTTCGACATGTGGTGAAATGGGCGTTTGAGGAACATTGGTGGTTTGAGGAATGGGAAGACTCATATGGATGTGGAGTTTTGTGTGGGTTTATTTTGGTAATTTTTCTGGGTCATTTAGGTGATATTTGGAGGTAGTTAAATTATTGGCATAGAAATGTTCATGATTCAGATATGAGTATCGTGCTTCTGAATATATAGATGTGCGTAAGTAGTTATGTTTATGTGGACGGTGGGTTTATAGGAATTTGTGTGGTCAATTCTGAATACTTCCCAGAAATACCTATGAATATTAGATTGGATTTGTGATTTTTACTATTCGCAGCCACAAAAGAAAACATACCAACAAGCAAAGTTACACCTATATTGAAAACAATGTCATGAAAAAAAGAAATACACAAGAAATAAACTTGTATCCTGAGTAGTTCCTACATCTCTAGCTTCATCCTATTTCTTTTGTTAATTAAGCAAAAATAATAAGGTGTGGCACGGACAGGACTTGAACCTGCAACCCTTGGTGTTGGAAACCAAAGCTCTGCCAATTGAGCCACCGCACCATCCTTAAGTACGTGTTCGTGCACAAAAGTAACCTAAACCAGGAAGAAAAATATCTTGACCGGTAATATTTAATTGGCATCTATTACAAACAAAAGAGAGGTGGGGTGAAGACACTTCAATAGATGCCCATAAAACCATTAAAAAACATACAAAGGTCAGTTAAAACCATCAATTCATCAACTATGCATATAGGGGGCAAATACAGTTGCAGCCGATTATTTTGGTGCGAAGGAGAATTTTAAATCCGAGGTATTCAAGCAGATATCATGAATAATTTCTGGAAGATTGTGTTGGCAGTCTTGACGTTGACAAGTTACAAGACAATACCCTTTGCGTATCTATTCAAGTTCTACTACGCCTATACACGCTACGTTACAAGCAAAAGGTGGAAGTATTTGAAAATCGGAGGAAAAAACACCTTTGATATCACTATCGAGAAGAAAGGACCATTGGCTGTGTTTGAGCCAAACGTGTACTCGAGTTATGTGTCACCTTTAGAGTATGATATGTTTCTCCACAAGTCGAACTCAACTTACTTTGCTGACATGGACTTTGCCCGGATGAAATTGCTTTGCCAAAATATGCAAAAAGGCTTCTTCACGTACATGTTCAACGAGTACAACGATTTCAAGAAGGCTTCAGTGTTCAATTATCCTTTTGTACCAGTGGCTAGAGTCGAGTGTACTTTCAAGAAGGAATTGAAGCTATTCGAGAAGTTTGACGTTGTTTCAAGAGTTGGTGCTTGGGATGATAAATGGTTGTATGTTATTTCCAAGTTTGTTAAAACGAGCGATAACAGAACCGTTGCCATTGGTGTTACGAGATATGTCTTTAAGCTCGGAAGAATCACCATCCCTCCTAAAGAATTCATCAAGAGAAGCGAATTGTTGACGAGTGAAGCCGAAGCTGCCAACGAGAAATACTTGGAAAAGTTCAAGCATTTTGCTTCAACCGATGACTTCGAACAACTCTGTGACTCCTTTTAGACCCATAGACCTTTATAGAAACTTTACAAATATGATATTTATTATTTTTATCTATCAGTCAAATGGTGTTAATGATGCCTTTGTAAATCGATTTCATGGAACAATTCTTCCGGATTCACCGCATCCATCATCTCTTTTTCTCCGATTCTTTCGGTTGTTTCATTTTCTTTGTTCTTTCTGAACAATGCTAAGTATGGAATAATGTACAATAAACTCAAAAAGGTGGTACTTCCCAATGCACATGCCAATGATATACCAACGACTTTTCCGCTGGATAACTTCAGTGACTTGTTTTCTATGTCTGCCAGGGATAAGTACCTAAATTGGTCTTTGACCAAGATAGAGTTTACACTTCCTAATTGGGTACCTGTTAACGTAGTATATGCCAAAGGAGTCCAAATCTTCCCATCGTAGAATGCCACATTGACTAGACCGTATTCTTGTAATTTGAATTTACCTGCCACAGCCAAAATTTGATTTTTACTGAAGTAGGTCTGGTCATTGTCTGAGTTAGACTTCTTTAAGGTCAATAATTTCACGTCCGCGAGTCTTGTTTCATTGGAGAAGTCAATACCCTCGATATCTGACCATTCAGAGCCATTATACCCTTTGATGAACCCGTTACCAACGACAATGAATCTTCCCTTCAAATCGTCATCATAACTATCATCAGACATGATGAGCTTGGTGGGGACATCATCCGAAGATAAATTATTGAGACTGGAAGGTGCGGAGTCGAATTCATCTTTATCAAGGTTATAAACAGCAAATTTGCTGTCTTTGTTCTCCAAGCTCAAAGCTCCAGTGATTAAAACCTCATTGCTTTTGATAAACTTGATATCGGAAACGTAGTTCCCATCCAAATCACTATTTGGACTTTCCCATCTAGTGTTCTTTATGTCGTAGATACATAATCCTTGACAGTCTAATGATCCAGCACTATCAAAATTACCACCAACCAATAACTTTTTACCATTCTCGTAGTAGACAATGGCATTAACTTCCAAACCACCGGCGCTATTAGAGAGCTCAGCAGGCTGGAAACTAGTGAAGTTGTTGCTTTTGATGTCATAGATGATCACACCGCCCGATAACGAAAGGCCATTGACTGAGACAGAATTATTATAACCAATAAAAAGATATTCATCATTGGAATCAACGTATACCGTCTGAATGGTTGCATTAGAAGTCCATTCTATGTTGCCTTGTACCCCGGTAAACGAGTGATTATCCTTGGTTGACAAGAATCCAACGTCCACAATTGGTGTTTTGCTTGTGGTTTGGAAGTTTCCTCCAATCACACTCACCGAATCATTGATATAGTAAGAGACTGTGATGTTTCCACCATCAAGATCAATGTTGAAGGTGTCAAAAGATCCATTACTGACATCATCGTTACTGGTGAAATAGGCTTGGTTGGTGAAATAATTGTCCATAGGATTGAAAGATGAACCGGACACAATTTGCAGCCCATCAGATAAAGTGATCACTTCTGTGATGTTCAATTGCCTGTTTGGATTGGTGATCCATTCTTTGTTGGAATTGTCCCAGGTTCTTGTGTCCTCACTTGAAGAGAAAATGAAATATTCTGCTGACGGAAGCGTTATGAAAGTGAAAGTATCGAAAGTTTCATCAATGAAGTCATTACCAAAACTGTAGAAGTCTTCATTTGCATAAAGGACGAAATTATTCGCCTCATCGACAGATTTATTACCGTTGGACAAATCAAGGATTTCTACGCCGGAGTCATCTTGGTTGGTCATTTGGAATCTACCAATAAAAACTCTGGCACTTCCGTAAGATGACACTGTGGTTATTGAGTTGTTGAAGGTACCACCAAAAATAGTAGAGCTGTTAACATCAGCTCTTGTCACCAAGTCAACATAAACATCTTCAGAAGACAATAAGTAGTTGGTAGTATGATAGCCAGTATCAACGATATCAAAGTTCCCCCATTTCAGCCTTTTTTGAATATCTGCAACCGTGAAATTGGAAGTGGTGTTATACTTGCTAATCTTAAAGTTGATCAAATTGTCATTACTGAGAGTTAAATTCGACGAGTTTGAGCTGAAAGATCCTAAAACCAACAATGTACCATTGTCAGCATTGAACTGTTTCACAACTGTATCATTAGACAATTCTGAACTCAATACGTTGATGGTCGAATTTCCAACAAAAAGATTATCGGGGGAAATATCGTCATCAACAGTGTAGATCATATCTTCGTTGAAGGATGAAAAGTTAGCCAAGGAATACTCAAATAAACCATTGATCTTCAATTCCACCAAACCCGAGTAAGTGCCGTTCTTGGTTCTTGTATGGTTAGTAGAATTTGTGTTGTAGTAATCGTCCAACTCAACTATGTCAGCTCGAATTTTATCTATTACCATCCAAGGTTCTTGGGTCCCTTCAACAATGGCTTGGTCGAATTCAACTTCAATTCTGGTTTGCCCTTCGCTCAAAGTAGACCCTTCCAAATGACCGTAGAACAAGTAGTCAAACTTCTTGTAGTTATTGTTTTGGTAAATCAGTTTCCGAGCAAGCAATTCGTCCTCCGAGTCGTAGACAGTCACGTTAACGATTGATCTTAAATCACAAGAATCGTCCAGGATACATCCTGGAGTGATCATGATGATGGAATAGTCACCAGAGTAAGAAATGTTTGGGTACAAGGTGACCTTTCCATCACCCCCGGTAGAGACCTGGTAATCCATATTTACTAAGGAGGAGTCAATAGATGCAATGGAGTCGAAACTACCCGAGTTAATTTCGATTTTATTAGTTTTGTCTGGATCTTCATCACAATCAGGTTCGTTTAAGGTTTCGTTACCGTAAACAAAAATGGAGTTGGAGTACAATTCAAATCCAGCCACTGCTCCTTTGGAACCATGCCATGAGATTACAGTCAACCCGATTTGGTCAATCATGACATCATTTTCAAAGGCAAACTCCTGGAAGTTTTTGCCGTATGATAATGTCTTGGTTTGGGTGGAGGAATCATAATACATGGAAAACGTACCATCATCTTCACCAATGAATACATCATCGACATCCAAGTCGGCTATGTTATCCAAATTGTCTTGAGTAGCCTCTTTTAGCAGGGATAAAGCCGACAATGGGCACGAGGCATCACAGTAGGCGATTTCATTTGTGTCTGGATCCACATACGTCAAGTTCATTATCCCATTGTTTGGATACGAGTAGATCCTGAAGGTATCTATTGAATCTGCTCCATCGGGAATATACAATCTGACCTTTGTTGGAGTCAAACCTTGCATCTGTGAGGGCAAAGTTACCAACCATTGACCTCCCGAATTATCTTGAGGAGCCCATAACGAAGAGCCAGTGGACGGACAGATCAACGACGAAGGACTGGAACCATCTCCATTGACGTCGGTAAAAGTCCCATGCTTTAAGGAGATCTTCTGCTCAGCTGTGATTAATGAAGTGTTGGTAGAATTAGAATGCTTGGTTGAATTATTGAGGGCAGTGATATTATGGACCAAGAGATCAGGTATTCCCAAGGTATCAAAGTACCCCCCAAATATAATGGAACCATTATCATCACCACCATCGACCTTTGTGATGGCATTCACAGAAGAGTTTTTACCAAAGCCCTTGAATGGTAACTCTATTAGTTGTTTGGAGGTTGAGTTGTACACCACGGCTCCGTGCGAGTCATTATACTCGAAATCACCACCGAGGTAGATCAAGTCGCCGTCTATGTAGGTGGTTTCAACCGTCCCATTGAGCGACGGCAAGCTGTTATTGGAATCTCTCTTTCTCCTAGCAGCCGATGCGCTGGAAAATAAGTTGGTGAGGTCGTTACTCGTTAGGTTATAAATTATGGGAGGTTGACACGCCTGCTGGTTGAAAGAATCAAAGTCCCCGTTGATTAAGATGGTGTCGTCAGAAAGTTGTTGGATACTTGAGATGGAGCCGCTGACTTCGGCAAAGATTTTGGTGGTGTTATCTTTTCGTATGAAAAGCTTGTTGGGATCTGTGGACGTATCGGTGGAGGCCTCCCACGTAAGGGAGCCAGTGGCGTTGGCCAGCGAGTAGTACAGAATGGAGTTGAAGCCTCCCAAGAGGCCTAATTTCCCACCTAGTTCACCGTAGTCAAGCAGTGGATGTGATATGGAGGAGGATGAGTCCGCTCTGGCACCTCGAAGGAGTAGCAACAACGGCACGAGGAGTTTATACATTGCAAGTGTGTGGGCACAGAAATCACTGTGAGGAAAGGCTGGGATATATATGTGTGTTTGAAAATAGGGGATTGAGGGCAGGAGAATGCGTCAAAACACACGGGAGAAGGGCCGATGGGAATGGCACACGACGAGGATGAATAAAGTCAAACAGTAGAAATATACCCGAGCCAGGTAGAATGGGTGCCAGTAAGTGAAAGCAAACAGAACCACTAACAAAAACAAAGAAAAAAAGCTTTAGTTGGACAAGTGTTTTGTTGATAGTCAGAGGTTAAGCGAGAAAAGTGAGAAAAAAAACCTAGGATTTAAACAGGCGGATAAGAGAAGACAACAGCCGCCGGAACGAAAACTGTCGAGAATACGACGAAGAAAATACAGGCACACGGCAATCACACCGACACAGTTTGGAGGTTAGGTTTGTGGATGTGTAGGTGGTGAAATTCGATACATCTAACAAAGCCTGGTGCTTCAGCCGTCAGCGCACAAATAGTAATTTGAAACCAGTTGGAGTGGTATTTACCAAATGTCTTAAAGGGGCAAGGATCAGGACCAGGGAGTGCGAGTTAGGGCAGTAACCTGCAATCAATCGCCCAACCTGAAATCAGTCGCATTAACCTGCAATACCACCTAACCTTCTTGCAGTGCGCGCCATCAGAATCGGATCCTTTGACATGTCTCTGTATCCCATGGGACTAGATCCCTATGTATCTCGACAATGCCTCCTTCACCACATGTACTCGCCACTCGTGTCGGTACACCTGTCGCCCGCCGCCGACGCCTTCCTCCAGTCGGTCGTCAACGCCGCCGATACGTCGGTGCTATCGATTCTCAAACCCTATGGAAATAACGTACAATACCCCATCCCCAACCAGCTGTTCAAAATCACGAACAACCAGCTCATCACCAAAAACTACCCCAGTTTCCCCGTCCGCTTCGACTTCCCGTTGCAAGACTTGTTGTCCATCGCATCGTCATCATCCTCTGACCACTCGTCATCCCTCCAGCAACTATTCAGTATATCGTCCCTTGAACGGCTTCTCAAGGAACTCCCGTTCGATGCCAATGACGACTTGTACCTCGCATTCTTCAACAAGGTCATCACGTCCAACTCGATCGTGGCGTTCCACACATTCAACCACCCGATTTCTCAGATATTTGTCATCGACTATGCCAACGATTCAGTAGACTACTTGCGGGCCAGGATCGTTGAGTTCCGCAACTATCGCTTCCCGCCCTTCTTCCAAATCAACGACCTTTTGGTGCATGCGTTCGTGGTTTACGACGAGAATGCGGTGGGGGCCAGTGAGCTCGCGGCTTTTGAGGCCGACGTCAACAATAAGTTGTCTGTGGCGGTGACGTTTATCCCAGTGGTGTTCCAGGAACCGGAAAAGAGTGCATCACAAGTGGAGATTCTTGTGAACCAAAACTCGACAATTGACGAGGACTTACAGCGAATCTCTTTCGGTTCCACCCCCGACCATTTTATGATTCCCACACTGGTCGATAGAAGCCTTCGGGGGTCGATACACCAGTTCATCTCGCAGCAGTTGATTCCACATATGGAGAAAAAGGTGCGGTTGTGGGATGACCAGATTCTTGCTCCTAAGCGGTCCATCACCAACCGTTTTTTCTCGGCTTCCCGAAAGCTCTTCAACAACAACAATGCCTCAGATCACCAAGCCGATACCTCGTCGTTCAACTACCAGGAAAACTACTACCACAAGTCATCGCCTGAACAGTCGATTCGGAAACTCGCAGATTGGTCATTGATTCTCAAGGACTTTAAGTACAGCTACTCGGTCTACGACCTCATCAAAAAGGACTACAACAACGACAAGGCGTGGATCTATGTGGCGTCCACCCAGGAAATGTGCATCATATCCTTGCTCCTAGTGCAAACCCAGTTGGCCAATAATCTTGGGGTTTCTCCCGACAGAAACACCCTCAGAAGGATCCGAAACGATATCATAGAACCGTACCTTGACAACCTTCTGTATACGTACAAGTCCCGTCTCAATCTCAAGACGTACAATCTCCGGACATTGTTGGTGGTAGTGGAGCTTCTCCAGTGCATGTGTTCCACCTTCAAAATGTACTGGTGGTGGATCGACCTCATTGAGAAGTACTTGGTCAAATGTGTTCAGGAGTTCGATGCACATTTGATAGCTTCCAACCAGAGCCTGCAAGTGATCAAGGCCATCATCTACGAACGTCTTGGCTTTGTCTTTGGTAAAATCTCGGTGGAGTCAATGGTGCAAATCGATCATCAGGAGCAAGAAAAACCTCCAGAGGAAGAGGGTCTCTACCATAACCCATACAAGATACGCCCCAAACGAGTACCGTACATCGTCGGGTCCGGTAGGTTCAGAAAGTCGTCCACTTGGTACTTACTTTCCATTAAAGAATGGTTGGCACTTGAGAAATACGACCATATTAAAGTGCTTCTCAGCAACATTCGTTATTCCTTTGACCTCGAACTCACGGACAATTGGTACAACCGAAGCGATCTCTTGCTCGGCATCATAAAGAGGCGGCTAGTTGATCAGGACAAAGTTCCTCCGCTTGAAGTCGCCTCTTCCTAAGTAGATATAGCATATTCACCTTCGCATTACACAATTAGATACCTGATTTTCAAGTTCGCATTCAATCTCATCACTTGCAACGATGTCGTTCAGAAAGAGAAGCGAAGTGATAAACGGGACCCCGCGAACACCCGCGGTCCCCGGACGAGCAGGCGGCCCTCTGCCCATCCCCGGCCGTACACCAACCCCAGGCGTCCCCGGCAGAATCCCCTCTACTGTTCCTGGCAGAGGTCCTTTACCAGGTAGAAGCCAAAAGGCAAAACCTCCAGGACCACAAAAGTCCGATGAAACCGTATCTCCAGAGCCAGAGCTTTCAAATATCGGCATCAGGCCCTCGGTAATCACGTCCCAGCCAACTATATCGACAGGAACAGCGGATCTAGACAAGATCTTGGCTCATCAGGGTCTTCCACTCGGTGCCTCATTGTTGATTGAAGAGTCTGGTACCACTGATTTCGGGTCTATTTTGCTCCGATGCTTTGCTGCTCAAGGGATACTTCACAACCGAGTAGATGAGGCCAAAAAGTCCAACGCCCATGTGATTGTGGTGGGATTATCTCATGAATGGGCCAAGGACTTGCCTGGAATGTACAAAGGGTCTTCCAAAGATAAGAAGAAAGCGTTGATCAAGAGCGAGGAAAACAAGATTAATGTGTCCAACATGTCCCAGTCGTCTAACACCCAAGAGAGAGACTTGAAAATCGCTTGGAGATATGGGTTGAATAAGAAGGTCCAGGATGAAAACTTGAGTGAAGTTAATGAGAACTACAACCACCAGTTTGACATCACAGAGAGATTACGGCCTGTTCCCAGTGCCAATGAAATGACGTTCATTCAGTTGTCTACCGACTATAAGAAGCTCGTTTCCACCATCTCTGCTACCATTGAGCAGCAGATCAAAGCTTACTCGTCGAAAACAATCAGACTTGTGATCCCCAACTTATTAATTCCTTCTATATATCCGCCGTCACTCTCCCAGTCTACGTTCATGATCCCGTTTTTCCATAGCTTGAGGTCCTTGTTACGGCAGTATCCCAACCACTTATCGATGGCAGTGTCTCTTCCGGTTGACTTGTACCCCAGATCTTCGCATTTGATCACCACCTTGGAGAACTTGGTAGACTCGGTCATCCACCTCCAGCCGTTCAACCAAGCGATGTCCCAGTTAATCGAAAGGGCATACAAGAACGAGCCGGGCAAAATTCAACACGGGTTGGTGAATATCTTGAAGTTGCCGGTGTTGGCAGAAAGAGGATTAATGACCATTCACAACGGTGAATACGCCTTTAAAAACGGCCGTAAAAGGTTTGAGATCGAGGAATGGGGCATTCCCATCGAGGATGATGCCACTGACGCCAATAACACTCCATCCACTGAAGGACACGTTCCGGAAAAGCAAACCTCCAAGAATATAGACTTTTAATGAACACTTACTTATTCATGTGACTGATGAGAATGTCTAGTTTGTCCATGATATCCTTCTGATTTCGCTTGATTTCACCCACTTCTTGTATCAATGCCTCCATACTGGGGTCGAGTTTGGGGATTTTTGACTGGGGACTGGCGTTGGTATCAAAATACTCGATATGTTCGTTGAACTTCACGTTCTTTCTGTCTGCCGAAACCGCAACCGCCTCGTGTTTGCGCTTGAAAGTCTGGGCATGCTGGTGTTCGATTTCCAGGATCTGCTGCCTCCTGACGGGGGATCCACTTCGTCTGACCGGTGATACGATGGTATCGCTGCTGGTGGGACGCCTTCTCTCAGGACTCAAAGACCGTGGACGGATACTTATTTTTGTGCGTGGCGGTCTGTCGGAGGTATTTAGCCTGCGGCTGTCGACCGGAAGGAGCTGTGTGCGGGCATTTAGAGTCACTTCTGGGATGTTGTTTTGGCTCATGTTGTTACAGGAAACCAAAACAGAAGCGCGCGAATTGCGAAGAGCAGAAGTGAGAAAAGACCAAGAAACGGAGAACCACTCAAACATCCGGGAGGCTGGTGTTTGCGGTTTGACGTAGGCGACCCGGTGCTATTTCCCCCTCCTTAGGAGAACAGAAAAATGCCAATACAATTGGTACGGATTTACCAGTTCTGACCCATACACCCACTGATAGTGGTAGTCCTACCACCAATATTAATTAAACCACATTGGGAAATATAATTGATGGACGCGTCGCACTGAAAATAAATGTACAAATTCACATACTCATCTTTTTTCTAACTCAACCTGTTCTTTTTCCTCCATGTCGTCGCCAATTCACAACGTGGATGAACTCCCCGAAGATCCAAGCTTGCGGGAAACTGAATCCCAGTCGCAGACCCAGCACCAAGTGGTCCCCTCGTCTCCCTTGTTCTTCAACTCATCGTCTTCTCAACTACACTCCGATGCCAATAACCCAGGTAGAAACGCCCCTGGCAGCAGCCAGAGAACCCGGGCCGGCGATATATCGTCTCCCTTACACTACTCGTCGTCCTCGGCTCACCACAACTCCGAAAACAACCGGGGACCCTCTTCTGGCAGAAATATCAGAACTGACAGGTTGACCAGTGAGGTCGACAGAATCGTCAGAAGACACAATAGAAGTGACATCCAGGACACCACCTCATCGCCCTTGAGAAGAAGAGCGTTCATGGACTCTCCTCACGGGTCGCAAGAGTCCACACAACCGCCACCCAACCCCTCGTCGTCAAACCCCAATTCTGACAACTTGACGGGCGCCGACGATGAACCAGTCCGAGTGATTTGGGGAACCAATGTATCGATCCAGGACTGCTCCAACGCGTTCCGGGACTTCTTGATGTCGTTCAAAATGAAGTACAGACGATTACATGACCAGGGCGAAGTGGTGTTTGAAGATAACGAACTTTATTATGTGCAACAATTGAACAACATGAGAGAATTGGGCTTGACCAACTTGAACTTGGACGCCAAAAACTTGTTGGCGTACCCGGCATCCCGCAAGCTCTACTACCAGTTGTTGAACTACCCACAAGAAGTGATCCCCATCATGGACCAAACCACCAAAGACTGTATGGTCTCATTGGTGATGGATGACAACGGATTTGACAACACCGCTACCACCAGCGTCGACGAGATCGAAACCAACATCTACACGGTTCGCCCTTACAACATCAACCAGGTGGAACGAGGAATGCGGGAATTGAACCCCAATGATATCGATAAACTTGTGAGTGTCAAAGGTCTTGTGTTGAGAGCTACTGCCATTATCCCCGATATGAAGGTGGCCTTCTTCAAGTGTAATGCCTGTGACCACACAATCGCAGTGGAAATCGATCGGGGAGTGATCTCAGAGCCATCCAAGTGTCCACGAGAAGTTTGTGGCCAGTCGAACTCGATGTCCATCATCCACAACCGATCTTCGTTTGCTGATAAGCAGGTGATTAAATTACAAGAAACCCCCGACTTAGTTCCAGATGGACAAACCCCCCACTCCATCAACTTGTGTGTTTATGATGACTTGGTCGACAGTTGCCGAGCTGGTGACAGAATCGAGGTGTGTGGGATTTTCCGGTCGTTGCCCGTGAGGTCTAATCCCCGTATGCGAGCTGTCAAGAGCTTATACAAGACGTATTTGGACGTGGTTCACGTGAAGAAAATCGATAAGAAACGATTGGGAGCCGATGTTTCGACCTTACAACAAGAAGCCACCGATAAGGAGCAGGAGGTGGAACAGGTAAGAAAAATCACTGCCGATGAGATCGAGAAAATCCGTGAAATCAGCCAGAGAGATGACTTGTACGAGGTGTTGGCCCGGTCATTGGCCCCGTCCATCTACGAAATGGACGACGTCAAGAAGGGAGTGTTGTTGCAGCTCTTTGGTGGGGCCAACAAGACATTCAAGAAAGGTGGCCGGTACAGAGGAGACATCAATATCTTATTGTGTGGAGACCCGTCGACGTCCAAGTCCCAGTTGTTGCAATACGTTCACCGTATCTCTCCTCGAGGAGTCTACACGTCGGGTAAAGGTTCTTCGGCCGTGGGGTTGACAGCCTATATCACTCGGGACGTTGATACCAAGCAACTTGTGCTTGAAAGTGGAGCGTTGGTGTTGTCGGACGGAGGAGTGTGTTGTATTGATGAGTTCGACAAGATGAGCGACTCTACCCGGTCGGTGTTGCACGAGGTGATGGAACAACAGACGATTTCGGTGGCTAAGGCTGGGATTATCACCACTTTAAATGCCCGGACGTCGATTTTGGCGTCGGCCAACCCCATCAACTCTCGCTACGACCCCAACTTACCCGTGACCTCCAACATCGACTTACCACCTCCGTTGCTCTCGAGGTTTGACTTAGTATACTTGATGTTGGATAAGGTGGATGAGAAAATTGATAGGCAATTAGCCCGTCATTTGACCGATATGTACTTGGAGGATGTTCCTGATAAGGTCACCAACTATTTCGTGTTGTCGGTGGAGTTCTTGACCACTTACATTCAGTGGGCCAAAGAAAACATCAATCCGGTCATTACACCTGAAAGTAAAAATGAGTTGGTCAGAGCCTACGTGGAGATGAGGAAAATGGGGGATGACAGCAGGGCGTCCGAGAAGCGGGTCACCGCTACCACCAGACAGTTGGAGTCGATGATCCGGTTATCGGAAGCACACGCAAAGATGAGGTTATCGTCGACGGTGGACTTAATTGATGTTAAGGAAGCGGTACGGTTGACCAAATCGGCCATTAAGGACTATGCCACCGACCCCATCACCGGGCGTATCGACATGGATATGATCCAAACCGGTACCACCTCGGCCCAGAGAAGAATGCAAGAGGACTTGAATAATGAGGTGTTGTCTCTCATTGAGGCCAATAATAATGCCATCAGGTTCAACGAGTTGGCGGTGAAGATCAATGAGAAGTCGTCGGTGAGGGTGGAAAATACCGACTTGACTGATGCTATTAAGCGGTTGGCCCAGGAGGGCAAGGTGATTGAAACTGGTGATAGTCACCGGAGAACCATTCGGAAGGCCATGGGTGTATAATACTATATAGTGATGATAAATGTTTAAGACTGATATGTGACCTCGAGAACTTCTTGAAACCTAGATAACTCGCTCTAAAGACCTCGAGTTCTCTTGAACCCTACAAGAACTCGCTCTTGTTGGCCGTGGGTTTGGTGGGTTCTTCCACCATCTGAAAGAGTTGGTTCAACTTCTCATCAACATCAAAATCCATTCCATCCGACACCTGGCTCAAGAGACGGAGCTCCTTTTGGAGGTCGATGTGCTCTCCGTGTTGGAGTCTTGCCAAAATGTCGTTCAAGATGATCATCCGGGCGTGGTGGGAGTCTCGGAGAGTGTCTAATTGTTTTCTTCGGGCTATGACCTCAGTGACGCAGGAGCCAAACACAATGGTGAGGAAGAGGGACTTGGTGGTAGGGGTGCGAAGAACTTCTGTGAAGGTAGCCCTTCGACGAGGGATGGCGATGGAGTAGTGGCGCACGGGTGTGAGGTGGTGGCAGACTCGTGGGAGCCAAGGGCCTATGAGTCGAGCCATGGTGTTTAGTGCGAACTTTTGAAATGAGAAAGGAAGGTTCAGTCTGACTCACTTGTTGACTAAGTTTGGAGGTATCTTTAATTCTGACTCAGCTGTTGACTAAGTTATGGAGGTATGTTTAATTCTGACTCAGAAATGACTCTTTGGTTTGTCTCTGTTTATCTTTTCGCGCCCAAACTCAAAGTATTATTTCAAGTTTATATCTTTCGATATCTTTCCTATCTCATGATATCCATAAGACCCATTGCACCCAAAGATAAACACGAGTGGTGGAAGCTCTGGTGCGACCCCGACGAATCGTACCTCCAGACCACCGGGTCGCTCGCCAGCGTCTCGCCACTGACTACCGAAACCACCTTTTCCCGGTTTCTTGATCCTAGAGTGCCATTATACGCGGCCGTCGCACAAGACTCAAATGGTAATTTGATAGGGTTTGCCACATACCTCACCCACTTGGGTACGAAGCTCACACAAGAGAACATGTACCTCGGTGACTTGTACGTCAGTCCTTCGAACCGCCAGAAAGGTGCTGGTAGAAAGCTACTTGAATTCGTGTTTAGTGAGGCCGATCGACTTAACTGTCCCGGCTGCTTCTGGACCACCGATAAGGATAACCAGACAGCACAGCGGTTGTACAACAAGGTTGGGGTGCAAGCGGATTTCGTGCTCTACAGACGAGCTTAATGTAGTTGGTATTTTATAGTTCTACCTACGAGTTTGCAGTCGCACAGAATGACAGAAGGAGGATCGCGATAATCTATTGATTTTGTTTTAACCAATGTCTGTAAAAGAACCGCTTCTTGACCAGCAAGAATGGGAGATGCAAACAGTCGATCCATATGAAGATAACTTTGCATTTGCGCGGTTGCATGATTTGGCGATGAATCGTTATCGTCATCTAATATCAAGACCACAGTTGTTTGATTTGCTACAACAAGCATATGAAAATAGTCTAGAAAACATCAGTGAAGCTGAACAACAAGAAACCCTTCGTATTCTACGTGAGTTTGATCCCATAAGATGGGACTTGCTTGTTGCATATGTGGATGCAAATTTGAACTACCAGATGTTTTTGAAACGATTAATCATGACATCCACTACCAAGGGGGTGGAAATATCAAAGGACCGCCAAAAGATTATGTCTTGGTACTCCTTTACAGGGAAGGTGTCACCTGAGTATCTGCAGTACCAAAGCTTTGCCGAAGCCCATATTCCAAAGGAGGGCCGCCCCTGCTTGATCTTAACTTTTTGTGTGCTTCTGTTTTTCTTTTGGCTCGCCGGCCTCTTCATCTATTTACAGAACTATTGAAGGGTTGTTTTCTTGTGTACATTTGAATAAATAATAATTGAGTCTTATTGTACGTTAGCGTCTGAATTGGTGGTGGAGGATGAAAGCTCACGGTTAGCTGGACCACATCCAGTTTAAGTAAATCATCTGGAACCTTACTACAACAATTTGCATGGTCCAAAATTTACAGTTTCTTGGGTTGTTTTGCTGACAGATAATTGGAGTGACTGTGATTGAATTACGAGAGGTTCAAAGTTATTTATGGGATAGTTTCTATTTTGTGTCGTATGGAATTGAGTTCCTCTATAGAATTTTGAGGGGATACTTAACAGTCCAACCTTTATTTGACAGTCCTTTCACATTGTCTGACATCCTTAAAATTGCGTAAAAATGTCAAAACCATCCTTATTAGAGGGTGTTTTCAACATTCAAAATAACTAAAACAATATAAAATGAGTAAACAAAGGATATGTCTTCACCTTTGTACCTGAAAACTTCTCAGAGTCGGTAGCACTGAAACCATTCACAGCATTCAAGAACTTCTCAACACATTCAGCAGGAGAAATGAACAGTTCCCGGCCAAAAAAACTCAATTACTACTACAGGCAGTCGGTTTTAACTAAACCTGGGTGCAACAATACAGTCACCGAGTTTTTGATTATTTTGTTGGCACAAACAGCTTTGTGAATGAACACATCAACTCCATTGGGAGCCAATTGTTGAAGTTGCTTGAAGGAAGCCTCAATTTTGGTATATGGATAACCCGCATCGACATATAAGACGTTTAAGTTGTGTCTACCAAAAGCTTTCAATGGGCACTCAGAGTTCTGTTTCTAACCCTTGCAATTACCAATCCAATACCCCTGTTGGTACCGGTGACGAAGTAAGTGAGTCAGCGCATGACTGTTATCTCACTCAGTGTTGCTCACTTTCTATCTCTCTAGAAAGCCGAATGTGATGGTGGAGTATTGGTTGCTAAATTATACCCATAGCTATTCTCAGTGTTGGATGAATTACGCTTGGCAAACTGTTTTTGATAAGCAGGCGTTATCTTTTGCAGCCGGTATTCTTAGCATTTGCCTCAGCATTGTCTTACCATTTAAATGTCCCCCAAAGTGGTACTTCTTGGGGACCGATGGTACGAGTAGGAAAAGTTGACAGAAATGAGGACAACAATGGCTTTCAGGTCTTTCAAGTTGGTCATTCTGCGAATCTGAAACAGTTGACATGTAATAGTAGTTCTTAGATTAGTGAAGCCCAATCAATAATCCCATATTCTCTGTGAGAGGAGAGCTTATGAATCGCTTCCTAAGCCGAAGGCGCTTCAAAGGGGAAACCTTGGGCTCCTAGTCGTTATTGTATTCCATGGTTGAGCATATTGAAAGGTGTGCTGACATGAGGGTGGAAAGGAAATTTCCTGGAGATCTTCATATTCCAGGTGACTTGAATTTAGTTTCAGCGACGTTTAATCCCAGGTATTAGTTCCAGAGACCTTAATATTATAGGTATCATACTTGTGTTTAATATGAACTACATTGACAACAATAACACAAATTGTAGTCCAAGTATAAGCAACATTCAAACCACCGCACTTCGATGAGTACATGGAATCATGATTATCATAGGCCGCCTAGACACCTTTTATTCTATTCAAAAGAAACTTTTTCATTCTTCATTCCCCACTAGTATGTATCTCTAGACACATATCCAGTTGCCACTACCCCCTTTGTTCTCTTATCACTACCATATACAATCCTACCACCTTTCATGTTCTCAGCAAAAGCGCGACTAAATTCTCACAACATTAAACGTGAATGATCCATCCACAATGAAAGTACCCAAAATAACCAGCATACTTCTTGTGGCATTGAGCGCCATCTCCGTGCTAAACTTCCTCTTGAAGTACTACACGTACTTTGTGCTCATGGTCTCGTCGTCCAAGAAAACCGCCCACGAGGTTAACAACATTGCAGAAGAAACTGGCGAGGTGCCTCATCCACATGAACTATATGTGCCATTGTTGACGTTCATACCGACAAAGTCCCCCGTTCTCACAAGACCCTGGGTGCTTGTAACCAGCAGTTTGATCGAGGAGAACTTTGTGGGCTTGACTATGAGCTTCTTCACCATTTTCTACTTGGGCAAGTACCTAGAGAACATCTGGGGCCACAAAGACTATTCCTACTTCATTGCCTGTAACGTGTTGATTGGCAACTTGATGGTGTATACGCTATTCTATACGTGTCTGTGGATGGGCCAGTTGCATGAGGTGCCTCCGGTGGTGGTGACACCCATGGCAGTGATAATGGGGTTTTTTGTGGCTATCAAGCAGAGAATCCCCTCTCATTACTTACTCTTCTTCAAGGGCAATGTGAGGGTTAAGATCAAGTACTTGCCGTTTTTGTTGATCGTATCGAGCTTTATGTTGCTGCTTTTGAGTGAAGAATTTCGAATACTGTTCCATTTGTCGATCAACGGGTTTATCATCAGTTGGGTGTACCTCCGGTTCTTCAAAGAGGGTTCCAACGAAGTACAGTCTTACTTGCTTCCGTTTCTGCTCACGAGAAAACGGTCAAGCAAGAAGAACTATAAGGTCAAGAAGACGGAGCCCAAAGAAACCCCCAGCATATCCACCAACTCGAGTCTTCATTTGGAGACAGTGCCCATCAGAGGTGACCGAACCGAGCAGTTTGCATTGTACACTTTTTTCCCGGCTCCGGTGTCACTAGTGGTGAAGGCCATTTCAAATATAGTGTTCAACGTACTAGCCAAGTATAATGTCATCGATGCCAAAAGCTTTCTGCTAGGCGACCTGGATGACGATGACAGTGAACAGTTGATGTTTGAAGACGTCCACAAACTCCAGTCCAAGCTCTTTGGGTTGTCTTCGTTGAATGGTGCCCAAGATGTGTCTACCATTGCACACACCAATTCCAAATTCAAGTCGGTTTGGGACTGGGTAGTGGGTGGCCGGGGGAAGAAGGCTGGCGTCAATACCAGCATGGACAAGAGAAGGAAACAGGCCCTCAAAGAGTTTGAGTAGCATTTAGCATATGAAGTATACATTTAACACCCACTCACCTAATCACGTGACTGTATATTCCGCGAACCAGCTGATCATCTGCGCGATAACCCTTTGTAAACTACAACTTATTACATGGGAGCATTGGTTTCAATTCCTCTTGCCGGCACGTCGACGTTGGTTTCATCGGCTGCGTCATGTTTCGGTGCCGCTGCCTGTTCCGCCTTCTGTACGTCGATTGGCGGGACGTTCCAGTCGTCTATTCTCACGAGAATAACCTATGCATTTTTATTACTATTCAACTCCCTTCTATCATGGATAGCATTATCACCATACGTGGTGCACAAACTCGAGAAGGCCTCGTTCGGATTCATCAACAATAACTGTGGGGCCGAGGGTGGGCAATGTATCAGCTTTGCTTCTGTGCACAGAATCAACTTGGCGTTAGGGGCTCTCCATTTGCTATTAGCCGGGTTGTTGATAAACGTCAAGTCCACCACCAACCCGCGGGCGGCCATCCAGAACGGCTGGTGGAAGTTAAAACTGTTGTTGTATGTGGTGCTCATCTTGGTCAATTTCTTGTTGATCCCTGATGGGTTCTTTGTGTTTTACGGTAATCACATTGCCATCATATTTTCCACCATATTTATTGGGATAGGGTTGGTTTTGCTTGTCGACTTTGCCCATGCATGGGCCGAGACATGCTTGGAGAAGATCGAGTTGGAGGAGTTGACGGGTGATGGCGAATATAACGCTGGGTTCTGGAAAAAGCTTCTTATCGGAGGTACTTTGCTTATGTACGTTTCCAGTATCGTGGTAACCGTCTTGATGTACGGATTTTTCGCCAACAAAGGGTGCTCGATGAACATCACGGCCATCACGCTCAACATGCTTTTTGCAATCGTGATCTCCGGCTTATCAATTAACCAAACCGTGCAAGAATCCAACCCTCACGCGGGATTAGCCCAGTCGTCCATGGTTGTGTTCTACTGCACATACCTCGTGATGAGTGCAGTGGCGTCCGAGCCCGACGACATGAACTGCAACCCGTTGGTGCGGTCTCGTGGAACCCGTACCGCCAGTATTGTCTTGGGAGCGTTTTTCACGTTTATCGCCATGGCTTATACCACCACGCGAGCAGCTGCCAATTCGGCATTTTTCGACGATGAGGAAAGCACGGAGATGGCCTCAGGCCTCATCAGTTCCCAACCCAGCGGCCGTAACGAAATGCGGTACCAGGCAATTAAACAGGCAGTGGATGAAGGTTCTTTGCCTGAAAGTGCCTTGAATCAGTTGAGTTTGTACGACGACGAGGGAACGGCCGCCGATGAGGAGCGCAATAGTGTCAAATACAACTATGCGTTGTTCCACGTGATCTTCTTCTTGGCCACGCAGTATGTGGCTACTTTGTTGACCATTAATGTTAAGCAGGACGAAGTGGGAGACTTTATTCCCGTCGGAAGAACATATTTTTCGAGTTGGGTCAAAATCATTAGCTCGTGGGTTTGCTTTGCATTGTACGGATGGAGCTTAGTTGCTCCAGTTGTATGGCCAGATCGGTTTGGGGTTCAGTTGTAGTTATATAGGTAATGCGATACAGTGAGCCACTTGCCTAATTAGGCAGTCAAGACCCAAACAGTTTGATTGGCTCGCGACTTGTGCGAACATTTACAAAACCTGAAAACTTTTCGAATCAACTTATCTTCCCGTCTGTCAAACATGTCTGCTATTGTATCTAAAGCTACTGGAATTGTCAACAACGCTGTCGCCAAGTCCACCTATTTGGCTAACCAAGCCGTCTACTGGGGCAAGGTCGGTGCTGAGGTGGGAAAAATCGTCTACCAGAAAGAAGCTTTGGCACCTCCAAGCACCGCTCAATTCCAACAGGTTTACAACAACGCATTGAAGTTTGTCCAAACTCCAGCTTTGCAAAAAGAGTTTTTTCAGAAAGCTGCCAACTTCAAGCCCACCCGGGAATGTGCCGTCAAGGCCGCCGTTTACGGAACTCAGTTATTGGCCTTCTTTTCGGTTGGTGAAGTTATTGGCAGAAGAAGCCTTTTCGGTTACCCTTCTGTTGGTGGCCACCACTAATTGTACTTTACCATCGCATGTATCCATATATTCCTAGAATAAACAGTTATTGATATTTATTAAAATACACACTACTCTGAAGCAGCTTCCTCGGTTTCCATATGCTTTCTTCTTTTTGATGCCTCGATCATCTGCTGCTTCTGCTTACGCTTGTGGCTCACTACTTTGGGAACCGTACTGATTCCCTTTCTGGTGATCTGATTTTTTTTCAACAACTGCTTGTCTTTCTTGGTAAGCTTGTCTATGTTCTCCATCCACTCTGAATATCCACTTTCACATCCCGATTGCTTCATCACGTTTATGATGGGCTTCACGAGCTTGTTGTCTTCTTTGGTGAAGAACGTGATGGCTTTTCCCTGTTTCCCTCCTCTTCCGGTTCTTCCAATTCGATGCACATACGCTTGTGCGCTCTGCGGAACATCGTAGTTTATCACCAAGTTGACCCCTTTGAAGTCCACACCTCTGGCCAACACGTCAGTGGTGATAAGAACCCAGATATCTCCATTTTTGAACCGTTTTATCACCTCTTCTCGCTGTTTAGGGGTTCTTTCTGCGTGGATCACATCCACATTGAGCTTATCGTATAACAATTCATGGAACAACGACTTGGCCCTGATGATGGACTGTAAGAAAATGATGATGGACGGTTTGAACTCACCGTCTTGAATGAGCTGTCTGATGGCCAAAAGCTTTCCCTCTTCGTTTCCGGTGAAAATGAGTTTCTGGTCAATGGTGTTGCTGGCAGCTTCTTTATGACCAATAATCACTCTCAATGGGTCTATCATGATGGCCTGACAAATTTCCTCGACTCCAGACGGGATGGTTGCTGAAAACATGGTTTTCTGAACGTTTTTTGAGTTTAAACTCGCCAAAATCGTATCGGTTTGCTGGAGAAATCCCTGCTCAAACAACTTATCTGCTTCGTCAACCACCAAGTTTTGCACTTTGGACAAGTTTATGGACTCGCTCTTGATGAGGCCAATGAGCCTTAAAGGAGTGGCCACAAGAATGTCATGTTTGTCGCTGTTGACGGATTTTTCAGTCAACTTGTTGGCCAATTGCTTGGACAATATTCCCAACTTCAAGTTGAACCCTCTGCTCAAGATATCCAAGTTCTGGAAAATCTGAGTGGCTAACTCATTAGTAGGTGAGATGATAAGACACTTGATGCCCGAGTTCTTCACCGGCGGCGTCGCAGTAAACTTCTGCAACAAAGGTATCAAGTATGCTAAGGTCTTACCGGATCCAGTAGGTGCACATGCAATTAAATCCCGTTCGTTTAGGATGGCGGGTACAGATTCACACTGAATGGGCGTGGGTTCAACGAACTCGGAGCGGAGCAAATTATCGAGGAGTTTCTTGTTGATGTCGTACCGGGAAATCAAATCTTCAAAAGATCCTATTGGCATCGGAATATCGTTCCCAGACACTTTGGACTTGTTTATTTTCCGGAAGGTAGCTGCGTCCTCCTCAGTGGATATTTGCAATGGAGGAACTTCTGGTACCTCAGTGACAACATTTGCAGGTTCATCGGTGGCGAGTTGGTGTTGATCTTGTGGTTCAATGTTGGTACTTCTCTTTGTGTGGAAGAAATCTGTTTCTTTATCGATCTCGTGCTGTAAGGTCTTCTCCTTGCGGGTCTCGGTGGAGAGCTCACCTTGAGTGGGCAATGAGAAGTCTGCACTATATTGTTTGCTTTTCCTAAGGCTGGCACCTCTTGATAATACTCTAAAGATATCCATGAGTATGTGAAGATGAGATGAGACAAACAGATAGATTTAGTGCAGGACCGTTTGGGTGCGACTAGTTGATGAAAATTTTTTTTTGAGGTTTCTTTACCATTCAATAGCACACTGGCAACTATGAACAATTTCAGGGTCATGGCCAGCAGGGTGACGAGGGTTACTCACATACCTTCACAAGCATCCCGAAACATATATTTGCACAAGGGTCCCAGATTAAGTGGGTTGAAAAAAGACCCTCTCGAGGTGTTCACCACCAGCGACGGGCACAAATACGACAATGATGTTCACCAGAACGTCAAATACATCCAGGACTTTCTCAGTGACAAGTTCCATATCGGCAACGAGCTTGCGTTGCAGGTAATAACTCATAAGTCGTTTGCCAATGGTATCAAGCCATATAACGAGAAGTTGAGTGCCATGGGATCAAAGATATTGAATTTGCATTTGGCCAAATTGGTCATCGAACAGCCGTCCAAGAGTTCGAGTGTCAACGAGTTGGCGATAAATAACAAGAACTTGGATGTTTTGGGGCAGCCCATGTCGAGAGAATTGGCTGGTAGATTATCGTTGGGTGTTTTTGCCAAACTTAACAAGTTGAATTCAGTGATGTTCTGGAACAGTTACAGCACGCAGGGGTTGAACTTTGAGGCCAGTGGAGAGATGAAGGTGAGTGCACAGATGGTGTATGCGATGATTGGAGCGGTTCATTTTACCCATGGAAAAAAAGTAGCTGAAGAGTTTATCAACGAGAAAATATTCCCTGAGGTGGAGACCATAACTCGGGATGTGGTGGAGGCGGATGTGAAGCAGGCCCAGGAAGCCACGTAGTCATGTAAGTAGATTGTACATAGATAATGAAGTATATTCATGAGAAGGATGGGGAAGTGTATTACGACAGGTAGATGACAGGGCCGAGCGGGATAGACAGGGATAACAGGGATAACAGGAATTACAGGGATAACAGGAATCAGAAGGATTACAAGCATTACAAGCATTACAAGAATTACAAGCATTACAACTACCATTCAACCATTCAACCATTCACAACAAGCTCATAGGATTCAGTTAGTAAACACCACCACACTTCCACCTCTTATTCACCCAGAACTCAATGCGTCACTGTGCCATTTGAACATCACCTGAATTCTATTATTCATGATGATCTCCAGCCCCGGCCCTCTACCCCATAATTATCGGTGTCCAGCTTAACAAAGTATTCCGACTATTCCAACAATTCCTATGTCCAGTTGCAGCCTATGCGGGTTGCAAAATAATCACCGCACAAAAATACTAGACCCAAACACCCACAAAATCACACAGTCACCGACACAGTCACCCACACACCCAGCGACACACTTCCACCACCCCACACCCATCCATCTAAACACACCACAACCTGATTTCACTCTTTGTGGACACCTGTCACTCACTGGCTCCTTAAAGGAGTTTCCAACCAATGTCAACTCCTTCGCTGCGAGGCGTGTATATAACCCATTGCAAGGGGCAGAATCTTACATTAGGTTCACTGCTAATCATTGCAAACGGATAGGATATTGATGATTTCGAACCGACTGAGACCATAATGGTGCACCACATCGCGGCGTACATCTCTGTACGTATTGTTGGTGAAAATACACATTGCCCGTGCATTACCACCATCGTTTAACAAATAATTGCGCCTGAACCATCTTAAGCCTTCTTATAATGAGCATCCTATCTAATAGTGGTTACAGCCGAGGCTTTCATCCAGGCGGGTGTAGGTGGTTGAAGTACGGGGGTTTAACCGGAAGGGATACTGTTGCTTTCTACGCAGCTGGAAATTACGTACTTGAAGGAATATCCACACACTATGGGTGTAAAGTGCTCTGGTTACTATGGGTGTAGAGATGTGCTCAATGAGAGCTTCTACGATTGTAAGCCCTGTAATGTTGCTCGTTGTGGCTAGTGCACCAGAACCTGAGAAACCACAAACTCGTATTGGAAGTCTAATCACCCCTTCTTCCATACAAAGTGGGTTGTGAAATTCTTGTTATTGTACATAAACACGGCCATTGTCCAATCCATCAGAAAGAAGTGCCTTGACCGCGCCGCGTCTCTGTGAATTTTATTTTTTCGCAGTGACTCTCCTAACGCATTTGCACACAAAATTTTTCTTTGCAATTGTTTGTAAACACATACAACTACACATCAATTCTCAGCACCCTCGGGTCTACCAACGTTGAAATGAGCGTGAAGAACTTGAACAATCACTTGACGGTGTTTAAGCAGTTTCTCGAAATCTCCGGCGACGCCAGAGGCACCAGATCAAGAAACAAAACACGGGCTGCTGATGCCAGAGGTAAACTTTTAAGATTATCCAATAACCAGTTCAAAGAGCTTTCCACCGATGTGTACGACGAATTAAGAAGACGAATCGATGAGTCTCGTGGAGAGCCCGACCACTTGCTTCCCAAGCTGGCCTATCATCCCAGTAGAAACGATGCAAGAAAAAAGTTGAGCACTTTGGCACAACACAGATTCAAGGATTTAGTATCTGATATATCGTTTGAAATCGAAAGAAGGGGTTTGCAAAACTCTGAAGAATATGTCACCACAAAGAGCCCTACCGACACCAAGCTGGTGAATTCAGTACCCGGGCCTGTGTTAAGTACTGGTAGTCAACTGCAAGTATCAGAAAAACAAGTGACCGATCCTGAAGAAGAATCGAATGTGTCAAAGGCTTCAGTGTCTTCCGAAGTGGCCAACCAAACCATTGGAGTCTCCAGCAAAACTGTGGTACCCACGAAGGCCAATTTGACCTGGTCCAGTGATGAGGAAGAAGAAGAGGAAGTTGAACTTAGAGATGCTACCACCCCAGAAGATCTCAACGACATAAATGAAGATGAATTCAAAGGCGTCAAACAACTAGGAACGGGCCTTAATACAGCCATCGGTGCTCCTGCCGACTTTTCTGCATCCAAAGGTACTCGTGAATTGCAAGACGATTCAAAGGATCAGGAAATACAGCTGTTAAAGGCCAAATTGGATGAGTTACAAAAACAACATAAAGAGGTATTGGATAAAAACTTCTCCTTAACCAAGGAAAAATCGTTGTTTGATAACGAAAGAAGTGAATGGGAACAAACAAAGAGCGAGTTTCAAAACAGGCTTTTGAACCTTCAAGATAACGCAGACTACAAGCAGTTGACGCAAGAGTTTGAGAAAGTCAAATCTACCAATGCTGCCTTAAGATTGGAGAACCAGTCGCTCAAAAACTCTGTCAATGCGTCAACCAAAGATCACACCAGAAGTAGCAGTATGAATACGTTATCAAAGGATTTTTCCTCCACAGTTGACCCACAAGGAGACAAGTCCAAGGAAGGGTTGAATCAGCAAATGAAGACCATCTTGGACAAGTTGTCAAACTTGGACGCTCCTGCAAAGAAACCACCAACACATCAAAGCTTGAGGGATGAAACTTTAATATGGCAAAAGAAGTATGAAGATTTAAGAGCTGAAAAGCTCAATAAGGATTTCAATACTTCTCTTTTGGATCAAGACCATTTGAAGTCTTTTGTTTCAGATCAAGGGCTAATTTCCCTCGATTCTGTTACTCGATTACATTCTTTAATAGAAGTATTCATGAGTTTCATTGATCAAAAGTCTTTCGATTCGGAGCTTCTTTTTGAGAAAGTTTCGACTCTTTCCTTGGTTTCTAATGATATTGCCAATCAGGGTGACAAAGACCACTTGAATTCCAATGATCTTTCTATCCAGGTAAGAGATGCTGCAAGCCATTTATTGACTGTGGTGAGACATTTCACGGTCTTCCCAAACTTATTACCAAAAGTTCTTGTTGAAAGGTCTGTAAGTGGTTTGGTATTCTCCATTTGTGATTTGATTGGTATATGTAAATTAACCAATGATGACTCCATAAGTATGCAGTTCAACAAATCTGCCACCCCAGTTTCTCAGTCTAATACTTCAGACAGAGGTATTACCAATGTCAATGACGATCCAAGCACAGAGGTTGGCGTTAGACCTTTGAGAATGGCCAACAGATTGAAAGATAACAATAGCGAAAGCTCATTGGCAAGTTCTCAGGTGTCGAGGGATGTCTCACCAAGCAACCAACCTAGAAAGTTCAATGCTTTGGCCTTGAAATTGGGAAAACTGACGGATTCCTTGTCTACTATTGGCAACACCAGCAATGGTCAAATTGGTAACACTAGCAATGGTCAAATTGCCAATGATGATTTTGGAACGACACCTACAAAGAAGGTCAATACTTTTTCTTCAAAATCGGGAAAACAGACGGATTCCTTGTCTAATATTGACAACACGAGCCATGGTCAAATCGTCAATGACGATGTTAGAACCACACCTTCTAAAAAGTCCAGTGTTTTGAACAGAGTTAAGCAGTTCGAGAGCCCTCCACCAACCACGCCGTTCAATAAGAAGCGAGGATCCTTCAGTCCTCCAGGGAGCGAAAATGAATCCACGAGCAATAGTTTTATTTTGAACAGATCTTCTTTGGAGATGAAAAAGTCTCCTAGAGATATAGTTCAAAAATTCGAGTCCAAGAGCAAAGAATTGAACGGTGCCGCTGATCTCAGTGTTAATTCAATCAAGTCTGAAAGTTCCAATATCGCCACTCCCGTTGCTACTAGTGTGTTTGGTGATGATAATGCTCAATTGAATTCCAAACAAGGTGACACGGACGAAGCGTTTGCTCGGAGTAACTCGAGAGGAAAGGGTATTTTCCAAAGTATACGGGACAGATTCGCTAATACCTCTAAGGAAGAACCTGTGATTGAGACCAAGCAGGATTCAAGCAACCATGATTCTAGCAGTGAAAATATTCAAACTTCAACGGCAGAAACTACTCCATCTAAGGGAAGTACTTCAGATCTCGAAATTTCGCCCAACCCAAACAAATCTTTCCAATCGGTTAGAAGCAGATTCATGGATGAAGACGATGACGAGACCAGAGCTCCTTCTTCTGCTGCTTCTGATGGCACTATTGCCCTAGAGGACCAAGAGCCTGTTATTCGCAAGGTACAACTCACCAAGCCTGAGTCGTCTGCTTTGAAATCGGCTGAAATTCCTCCAGTACAGAGAGTGCAGAAGAAGAAGGTCACTATTGATCAACCAGAACGTGCTAGAGAAGAAAGAAAAGAAGAGGATAATGATGAGGATAATGATGAGGATAATGAGAAAACTTTCCAGGCCAAGCAAAGACAAGAATACAGGAAGTCTATGGCGGCTGCTTCATTTAACGTTGATTTGTTTGATATTGATGATCCGGATAACACCTTAACCCAAGTGTTGCTCTACTTGGAGCATCAGACTGTGGAAGTAATCAACACCATTCAAGTGTTGTTAACAGCTATTAGAAAACCTAATGCTACCAGAGGAGAGTTGAGTCAGAAATCCAGAGCTGTTACCGAAGTTATCAAGCAGATGACAGAAGCTACCAACACTTCGATGAACCAAACCAGAAACGCTCAATTGAAAGAGCACGGAAGTTGGATCGTCAACAGTTTGGAGGATTGTTTCCATCGGATGAATATCTTATCGAAGCCTTCTAACGATGAAAAGAGAGATCTGGAGTTCGCCGATAAGTCATTGAAGCAAAGATTAGCAGGAAACTGCCATGACATAGTGAGGTGTACAAAGGAGTTGGTGAAAACGGTCGAAGAGGCCAGTTTGAAGGAGGATATCGCTAACTTGGATGCTAGATTGAGACACTCCCACGATTTGGCATAAATGCCTGTCAAAAATTTGTAAAACTACGGGAGCTATACTTGTTGAGTTTATGTTTTACGTGTATTATTCGTTATTTAATGTCTCTTGATATTTAATACATAAATTGAAAATAAAGATCCTCTTATCTGACAAACTTGGAAAGAAATGTCTGATGGTAGTCAGAATCGACCGAGTTTGTAGTGAACTTGGAGTCTTTGGTAGTGTTGTCTTTGTCAGATCTGAATGCTGATTTTCTCCAACTCTTTTTGGTGGCAGTAGATAGAAGAGGGTTCGCATCCAATAGTCTTTGATCCTGGAGCTTCTTCTGCTCCTCTTTTTCTTTCTTGATGTTGGCAAGCTCTGCGAGCAACGCTTCCGAATCTTCATCGGAGTCTGAGTCTGAGTCTGAGTCTGAATCATCATCAAAAGCCTCCGAGTTGCTGGTAGCAGGATCATTATCATCCACAGAGGCATCTTCTTTTATAGTATTATCATCAACTTCATCAGGATCTCGAGACTCATATTTGGTGTTCACCAGCCCTGAACTCTCCTCATCTCTTTCTGTCTTGAGACGCTTAGTCTGAGCATTCACCTCCCCATTGAACCTCTTCACCTCATCGCCATTTACATTATAAAATGGAGCATCAGATCGGTATTTCAACTCTGTCTGCTGAGATAAGCCTCTTGCATGCACTACAGAGTCACCTATAGGTCTCTTCTTCCCCTTCTTACTCTCAAGTGTGGGTCTGTGGTTGGTTGTCATTATGTGGAGCAGAAACGGTAATGCGATAGTTTTTGCGCGCTATCCGCTGCCTATAACCATAATCATGTTTGTGTTTCCAGCATTCGACACCAACTATAACAAGAGGAAACGAACTTTCGTCTGTTGTCTGAGGTGTCGAAAACAGAGATCCAAGTGTGAGTTGCGGTTGGAGTACGAGAAAGAAGGTTGTGAAAACTGTTTTCAGCTGAAACTACCCTGTGATCTTATCACCAAACCACAGGCTACTTCTCTGGAACAACCCAAAAATCAACTGCTGAATGTCCCGGAAACCACAACAAACAATTTCCCAGACCCGAAAGACGAACTCCTTTCTGTGAATCGACAGTTTAATCTGAAGCGTGCAAAACCATCTCCAACGGTTTTGATTCCTGTAGCGGCCGATTCACCTATACCATCCATACCACTGATGTTAAACGGGAATTACATGTCGCCAGGACCCCTGATGGTACCATCGTTGGAGGGTTTGTCCCATGTACATTTTCCCAAAATCTCTGAGTACAGAGACCTTGATCCTCCTGTTCCTCAGGACCTAGAAACCGAGGAAGATCACCCAAAACTTGCAAGAGATGCCGAATCTACCGACGAAATAACTTCACTATATCTTCATAAGCGGTTCGGATTCATTCTCTCTCTGGGTGATGTCTTCAAGTCACTGTACGAATTTTTGCTTGGACAGCAGAAGGAAAATACAGTAATAGAAGGTTCCCACTACGACCAAAACCTCATCAGGTACTTGGAGGATATCAATGCGTTCACCATTGGAGACACCCAAATGTCCACATCAGACATGCGAGAGTTGTTGTCGATTTACTTTGCTAAATTCAACAAAATGCTTCCTATAATCTATGAACCAATCTTCTGGGAAGATTTTGATACTAGAACCTTACCCCATCTTCTATTATACCCCATAATCCTAGTGGTGCTGACAGACAAACTAAGCGAGCCGATCATGAGGAGATTTCTTGGTGACGTGGACTTCGAGACCAGATTGCTGGAATTCAATGACCTGCTTGAGTTCAAGATTCGCCAGTTTTTGTTGTTGTTAGGACGTTTGGAAAAAAACAAGTTCGTACGGATGTTGGTTCATATGCTCTTGGCCATGAGCTTCACAGTGTACCCCTCAGGTGCAGTAGGCTATATGAATGACATTTCTTCTGCCGTCAACCTTGCTGTTTCGTTGAAATTAGATGAGGAAGCAGATCCTTCAACACTTCCAGAAAAGATTAGAGAACACAGGAGGGGCCTTATATGGTCCGTTTACGTTATAAACTGCATATGTATGATCATAGGGTGCAGCCTGTTTGGCAAACCTAAATACTCAAACTTGACCTTCAGTTCTATATCAAGCAAACTCCCTACCAACGCATACTTGCTCAAGTTTATCAATGCCCTTAAACCAATTGATAACGCTTCAGTATTGTCTGGAGTAAGTCAAGCTAACTATTTGGGGTTATTCCAATATGATGAGTTTGGATATTGTTATGACAACTGTAATATGGAACCTCTTTTCGAAATTGGGAAAGGTGTACCACAAATCTCCACTTTGAGCTCCAGTTTTTCCCGATATAATGATAATATGTTGGAGATCATACTGAGAGTCTCAAGAAACTCGATTCTTATTCTGTTACCGGTTCAAGGTCCGCAAAATCGGATGACCGGTGTAAAACTCACTGCTGCCAAGAACATCATTACATATCTCGTGCTTTTAAATGAGGCCTGGCTGCTTCATTTATCTATTCTTATTTGGGGTTTGAAAATCAGTGTAGAGGTGGTACTTGAATATCCTACCAAATTCGAAAACCTCCCAGAAATCCTGGAATTATTGAGATTCTATTCCAAAAAGTGGTCCCACTTAAAGAAACTACAGCAGAAGTTGGATAAACTCATTGATCAACAGGTTTAAGGCATTTATTGGCAATATTTCATGTATAGTTCAAAACACACGGATCTAATTATCATCAATCTCGTCTTCCCAGCCGTCGTCATTATCGTCACCTCTCTGAGGCATCAACTCACTCATTATGGGCCCTCCAAATTCAGCTAAAAGACTGTTTATGGACTCTGTTAACTCCGGATCCAAGTCGTCACTGGTTTGGAGAATTTTGAATGCACTTGTCAATATGAGCTTGACATCGCTTTTAGTATCTTCATCTACTACACTGTTTGGTAGGTCTCTATAGTCGGTTTGTTTGTCTCTTTGTGGATACTGCTGCTTGGACTTGAACAAATTGGCCAACACTTCGTAGTAGTAAATGTCTAAGATCTGGTCGTTGATGTCTTGAGTGGCCTGACACACTTCTATAGCCAAGTCATAAAGTTCCAATTCGATTGCAAATTTAATAATGGTAATGAACGGCTGGATCAACTCGATCACTTCAAAATTCATTTCGTCATTGATTGACTCAAGCTGGATCTTTTGCTTTCTTTGTTGGAACAATTCCCACGATCTAGCAAGAGCTTCTTCAGCATCTTCATTTCTTTGTTGACTGATTCTGATGGAAGCTAGCAAAGAATACGTTTCCGGGTAAGAATCGTCGACCTTCAACGCATAGTCGATAAGTTCATCACATTTGGATTCGGCTTCAGGCTCCATACACAAGTCTGTCATCCAGATTTCGATTTTAGCGAATATACCTTCGTTGAGTTTCTTGATAGTCTTTATATCTTTATTTCCATTTTCAAACTGTTCGTTCAACTTGTTTAATCCCACATCCAAATAAGCTATACCATCTTCTCCCCCAATGATTTGTCCTAGGTAGAGGAATTTTTCCACTCCTTTGTCAGCTATTGGATCCATTTCACATGTTTTGATGAAAAGATTATAAGCATCTTCAACCTGGTTATTCTCCAATAAAACTTCCCCATATAGTTGTAAATACTCTATATCGGCTTGGTTTTCTACAAGCTTGGATGTGAGAAGCTCCAATGCCTCCTCTGGCAATGAGTTATCAAGAAAGTGTCTTGCTTCTTCAATAATACCCATGACAAGAACAGTATGGCCTAATTATTTTTCACTCTCATCTCATCGCGAAGTTGATAACCAACAACTTTCAGAACATTTACATAGACACCAAGGAAAAGGCTGTCCACGATGGAGCTTGCTCAAGAAGCGTATGATACCCTAATAAACGAGACGCAGGTTCTTCAACTCATCTATCATCGAAATAAGAATCAGCACAGACTTCTGGGTTGGTGGAAGTACTTCAAAATGCTTCTAACTCGGTTGAAACGCATTGTTAAGGACCCAATCAAGAAGAACGTTACAGTGCTATACCAGAAGAAAATCATCAACAAATGCTTTTACGAGTTTTATGGAATCATCAAACTCGGTCAGTTTATGTCTTTAGGGCTTGTTTTAGTAGCCAGTTTGAGCAAAATCAATGAGATCTTGAAGGCTTATACTGAACTACGGGTGCCTACTCAAATAGACCAACAAAACATATATTTACAGGACCTGGATGACATTGGAGAAGTTATTACAGAACACATAGGGGAGACCATTACCAAATCTGAAGGGTTATCAATAGGCAAGACAGAACTTATGAAAACAAAGGATAAACACTTAAAGAAGGACAAGAAGAAAAAGAAAAAGACCAAAAGTGATATCGACAAGATATTCGGCTAACGCATTACGAACCAACTACAAGGGACTGGATTCCTTCGCTTTTAAATTCACTTAATATACAACACTATTTAATACTGAACATATTGAGATTGCAAACTGTATTGGTCAATATGCAATTCATCGGTGTTCAACCCTGTATTCATGCCCATTATTGGTTGCCCGTTGCTCTGTTGGTATTGATGTTGCTCTTGTGGAGGCTGGTTGATTTGTTGAGGCTGGGGATGCTGGTTGGTGAATGCTTGACGGTATTGTTGAGGAAGTTGTTGACTCTTGATACCATTTGGTCCCATGGCCATGTTGAAGTTCATCTGCATTTGCTTTTGCATTATTTGATATTGTTGCTGCAAAAGCATAGGATTCACTTGACGTTGGGTGCCGGCAGCCGAATCGGGAGAACTCATGGACACGGGAGTAAATTGATTCAATTGGTCAACATCTAAACAGAACTCATCATCATAGTCTAGCGTGTAAAAGTAAGGGTCATTAATATCATAGTATTCATTCATAATTGGCATTTGTTGGGGATTGGCATTAAATTGACTGGCACTGGGAAGCACATTCTGTTGTTGTTGAACCTGTTGTAAAGGAGCAACAGAAGCAGCTTGGGTATGTGGTGGGTTCACCCGTTGTTGCACTTCGTTTCTTTGTTGAAGAGGACTCACAGACTGTTGGTGGGGAGGACTTAATTGTTGGACGGAGCTTGTGGAGTGTGGTTGCTGTTGGTGTTTCTTTGAAATGTCTGCTTCCAACATTGGAGATTGGCTCAATTCGCTTGAAAGGGGAGAAAGGTCTTGAGAATCAAAGTCATATTCGTTTTCGTATTCGTATTCATTTTCTTCAGTTTTGATTCCCTTCAGAGTTTCTTGCTTGATGATTTCATTGACCAAGCTCGAATACTCCGTATAAGCAGTTTCAATCTTAATACCCTTTCTCTTCATTTCCTTCTTCAACTTATTCTTGATTCGGGACTTGCCGATGAAGCCAGCCGGTAAGAATTTACACTCGCCACCTTCAATGTGGATTTCACACCAAATTTCTGAGTTGGGGAAGAACTCTCCACACATTGAGCAGTTTCCACAGGACTTGGCCCTTTCTTTGGTTTTGGTACCCTTAGGATACTGGAAATGCCTGGACTTCAAATGAGTCTTGTAAGTGTCTCTTCTGGAAAATCCACCGGTAGGATGACATTGGTGGGTCACGTTTGCTTCATCAATGTATACACTAAACTTGTGGAAAGGACAACAATACGCCTTTTTGATGGAATGTTTCTTCAAGTGTCTCGTCAAGTAGCCTCTCAATTTAAACGTAGCTTCACATTGAGGACACTGGTGTGCCTTGTTGGAGTCTCCGGGACCATTAAGGGCCGATAAGGGTGGCGATGGACTACTGGTGGACTTTGGACTGTGGTTACCCTTGGCGAGCTGGGCACTAGCCTGAAAGCCACCAAAGAGGTTCAGTGACATGATGGATTCGTTATTCGAGGATGAGTTGGAGATGGTCGGGGAAATGTTGTCGTTGGCGCCAGCAGTGCTATCGTTGAACGAAGCCGACTTGACAGAGGCATCGTCAGTAAACGCCCACTCGATTTCTCCCTGTTCATTTTGATATGGCATCATCTGTGTGGATACGCTGGTAGAACAAGGCTGTACTGAGCATTTCAAGTTGGAATACTTGATGGTTTCTGGAAACAAGTTGTCAGGAGATTTTTCAACCGCTGTGGTCAACGCCTTCAGGGGTCTGGGAGAAGCGTCGAGGGTCTTGTGGGAAGCAGTGGACCCTCTGATGGTGTGTTTGGATGGCTTTTGGGCATAGGATTCCTTAAGATACTGGTTGAGCGGATACACAAACAAAGAAAGAATAGCAAGGAAAGCTTTAACCAACGGGTGGTGTAGGATATATAACACGAGTTTGTTGGTGATCATAGTTGTGGTGGAGCCGTGTAGGTATGGAGGACAACAATCTATAGATATTTAGGTGGATGGAAGAGTCTTACAGCTGAAACAACGATAAATAGGTGTGAGCAAAAAAATTTTTCCCTGAAATCCAGCAAGAAAAAGAGGGATTTGGGATGATTGTGATAATATGCGAGTGTCGTGCGCAGACCACAGATGATAATGGGACGTTCCAGTTTTGCCAATTGTTAATAATCACGGCATTGTTGGCTGGGCGGGTGTGTGGGAAATGTCTTGGTGCCGACAATTCCACAGCAAACAACACGGAGCTTTCCACCAGAAACATGGTTTACTTACTGGTGAGTTTTAGGATACTAATGTCTTGAGCTTCTAACTACTGGTTGGTATGGTTTGCTCGTCTATTTGAGTGCAAATAGCCGGCACACCACTTTAAACTTTTTGGCACCCGATGCGGCGCTGTAATCCCCCGCGTGCGTGCACCGTGATCTGCCAATCAGGTTAGCGTCTCACCTGATTGGCGGAATGCAACAACGCAACAACTGGTTGCAACCACATGTACATCCTAATTACTAGTCACAAGTTGTCCGTGTTTACATTGTATTACCGATTTGGAAGTTGTCTCCCATTCTGATTATCTTACATATTGTACATACTGCTACATTATTGGTGCAGATTAAAGAAGTCCCGAAGATAAGGATCTTCCGTGATAAATTGAGAGAAGTCGCTGGCCGCAAAAATCTCTCTATTAAGGTAATCCAATAACTTCAGATCTTCTATTTCATTGAACATATCGTTGGTGGAAATAGGTCTTTCTTCTGTAACCTCCTGTACTAAGGGGTTGTTAGTTTTGGCGGGTTCTAACCTGTCTACGGTTGGGGTCCCCGGGCCTAGTGTCGATGGAGTTTTCAGTTTAGAGTTGTCCTTTCCCCGAGCCAAAAGCCCCACAGGAATTTCGGCTGCCACATCAAAAAAACTCGATGACCCGATGGTTGCAATAGGTGCCACCATGATCGAACTGTTGGAATAGAGCATTTCTTCCTTGTTAAGATGAAGATTTTGTCTTTCTTCAGGAGTCTGGTTGGTGACTTTGATGTCATTTGGGATGTCTTCACTGCTGGTGGTCTCGTCTGCGGGAACCTCACTAACGGTCTTGACTACCCGACGGGTACTCTCTAAAATCTCCCTCACAAACCACCATTGGGTAAACCGAGATTGCATTTGTTGGTACACCTCGACCAATAGCTGTTCGATGGTGGATATTGTGGTGGGGGTGAGATCTTGTCGAGACTCGACTTTCTTCAATATCACCAAGTATATCACTTTGATCTTATACTTGATGAGAATGGCAAGAAACAACGATGTTACCGCCGGAATCACTGAGATAGGAATTATCACGTCACTGGGGAGCTGTTGAAGAAACTTAAGAGCCCACCGCACAATCTGGAGATACCGCTTACTAAATTCGAATGCCTTTTTGGTGACTGTGAGGTGGAAGCTTTCAATAATGGTCAACAGTAAACTCAATGCATAGATCTTCAAAATGTGTGCTTGGAGCTCTATCTGACCAAATCCCCCAAGGTCAATAATCCTAAGACCATCGAGTTCAGCCTCGATCTCCAGGTTCCAAGAGCTAAGCTCAACCTTCGTTTCAAACCTGGGTTGATACACCAGGAGAATCACTTTCTCAAGAGTCTTACACGTATTGCACACCTCTCTCAAAGGACCTGGATCGGCTTCTAGAACATTGAAATCCTCTTGTTTAATCATAAATGCCTTCGAGTTCACCACCCCATTGAACCGGTCAAAAACGTACAAGGTCCACCATATATGACGGAAATACGATGCCATGTCATTTTTTCCACTGTCAATGAGCTTCTTGTGGGTAGAGTCGTTGTGGATAAAAATCGACTGTGCCAATCCAATGGCCGAATGTAGATCCTGACTACTCTGCTCATTTCCGTATCTCACGGGTTTGAAGTTAGCGTGGAGAAGAACGCTCACCATAAGGCGTTGGAGTCGGTCGTCGTCTCCAAGCTCCGGAAGCACCGCAACAATTTGGCGGATTTTGCGTTCAAGTAGAATCACAAATGCATCCAACCTAGTATCAAAATCCCCCGACCAAATCGTCGATAGTAACGACCGGGCACTCCTGTCTCTCACCGCTATAAGTACCATTCCGTACTTGACTAGAGTATACGCTTTCGATTGGCTGTAGAGCGTCCAAAAGATATCCTCGTGCACCACTGGGAATAGAGCATTAAAACTGCGAAAGTATATGCGGAGGAGCTCCTCCTCTTGTGCCTGGGTAATGGAGAAGTCATCGTCAGCGAGCGTAAACGCATTAATGTCCAAAAGATAGCGGATGGTGGGAAGGTGCTGGATTCCCAGTACATCTTTTTTCTTCGGACGCAGCACCTTAGGAGACGACCAGGAAGATGGGTCAGTCTGATGAGGAATGAAGCTGATGCTCTTCCAGTCACCCAGGGACAAGTTGAAGCCAAACTTTTCCTGAATGTACTCGGCGTCTAGCGGGGAAGGTTTGGTTTCTATTTTGGAGGCTGGTTCGCTGAGGCTCATTCTGGGGTGGTACTGATAGTCATTGTGCCTTGATAGCTTTTGGGGGGGCTCGCTTGTGCCGTCACCCCCATTTTCATGGTGGGAGTTGGTTGACGACGGCGTGGCGACAGTAGTGCTCATATGGTGGACCATGTTGTGTTGTGTTTGCGGACGCACTTCTTCCGTGTCGACCACAGTGGGACCGGTGGGAGTAGAAGCGGGACTCGCCACCACCGTAGGCGACACCAGGTATCCTGTAACCTTTCCGGGAGTACCGTACCACCACAACGGCACTCCCATAGGCGGCGTCACCCCGGGCATTCGGTTGGTTTGTTGAACCTGATTAAAGGGCGGTACCTGGGCCATCTCTGGTATCTGAGACATAGGCATTTGTGGCAACGGCATCTGCTGGTACTGGGCCATCTGAGGCATTTGGGGAACTAGCAGCAGCATACCACCCGGCGGTAGTGGCATCTGACCTACGTACTGTGGTGGTACTGGAGATATTGACTGGCCTGGCGACAGTTGAGGTATCGGCGTGGCATTGGCCAGTGTGGGATTCATGTGGTACATGGGAGATATGGCTGTTTGGGCCTGGTACTGGGGCGCCACTGCGGGACTTTTCTGGGCTTGGGGCGAAGACTGAATGGTGTCTTCGGCGGTTCTTCTAATTAAGTCACAAACATATCCGGCCTCTCGACAGTTCTGACATCCTGAAACCTCATAATCGGTGGACTGAAGGTTACATTTGATACGACGGGCTCGACACTTACGGCAGCATTTGTATGTGCGCTTCCGGTTGTTATAGCTTTCGTTGAAAGCTGGGAACACAAACATTAATGACTGAGATGGTATTTTCTGCTGCAACCAAAACTAAAATGTGCGCAACGGATGGGCTGCCAATTTGAACACCATGAATTTACGCGAACAATCATCTCACGGAGATAACTTCATATATCCTCTTCGTGTCTGCTCGGTCGTCGCCCACTTTGGTACCAAGCATCATGTTGACCACCGCCTTACAATCCCTAAAATCTGGCCGCTGTGCAGCACAATAAACCACATAGCCAACAAAACTACCGCGGTGCCTGTCTTCATGTGAGCCACCGCCCTTAAGGGCGGTGGCTCGCCCAAGCCTGGACCCGTTCCCGCGATGCCGGTTGCGCCTGCCGACCACCTTACGCCTACACACCTTAGATAGCCTTTTCTTCGCGCATCGCAATGGCTGCGAATGCTGAGTCCCTCGTCCTCACCGACCGTAATATGAACCGGATGGGTTTGGCTGGCAGGCATGTGTATCACGATGTTTTAGGCATGACTTACTTCTGACTTGACAAAGTTTGGGCCAATTCCCCCTCAAGTGGAACTCTTTCGTGTGATTTATATTTTGGGTAGGGTGCGAGCGGTTGGGGTTAGTTTGTTTAGTGTTTAGTTAGGAAGATACCCATTGTCTGGTATTAGTTTTTGACGAAGGTCTGGCTTAAGAGCCAAGCAGTCATCGGTGGGGGTGTATCATGCATCTGTTCTTAGTTAGCCTTTCTTTGTACATCCTATTGTTCTCCATGCACCAAATCTGCAGCCCTCTAGGTAAGTCTCAAACCTATTTTTCCCGCGCGGAGGTAGAGAATTTTAACCGAACGAACTTTTCAGATGGTAGATTTACACACCTTCAAACACCCCTCGGTAGCCGTGATCAACGGCGACCATTGGTTCAGTGAGATGAACGCAGATAGTTTCCCAGGCCAGGCGTTTTCCTTGAAAATCAAACGGATTTTACACCACGCCCAGTCGGAATTTCAGGACATCCTCATCTTCGAATCAGAGACTTTTGGCAATGTGTTGGTATTGAACGGAATTGTGCAGTGCACTGAGAAAGATGAGTTTGTGTACCAGGAGTTGATCAGTCACGTGCCGCTCATGAGCCACCCGGCCCCCAAAAATGTGTTGGTGATTGGAGGTGGTGATTGCGGAGTGGTGCGCGAGGTGGCCAAGCATATAAAGTTGGGGTTTGTAGATAATGTGACCATGGTTGAGATCGATGACATGGTGATCAACTTGTCACGCAAGTACTTGCCCAACATGGCGTTGCCCGAACTTTTCGAGAATGAGAAGGTCAACTTTGTCATTGATGATGGGTTCAAGTTCTTGAAGGAGAACACCAATAAATATGATGTGATCATCACCGACCTGTCGGACCCCGAGGGCCCGGCCGAGGAGTTTTTCCAGACCAACTACTTCCGTTTGTTACAACTGTCATTGACTCCTGGTGGGATTGTGATTATGCAGAGCAGTGAGAACATCTGGTTGAATCTCGATTACTTGAAGCAGTTGAAAAACAAGGCCGAGACCGTGTTCAAAAACGTCAAGTACACCCAATGCTACATGCCACTGTATACTTCTGGGCAGTTGGGGTTATTGGTGGCGACTGATGATGAAGAAAAGGATTTGACTAGACCATTGAGGACAGCTGACAATGAGAGAGAGTTGTTTCGGTACTATGGAGCCAAGATCCATGAGAGTTCGTTTGTGTTGCCCACCTGGGTGGCGTCGGAGTTGTCGCAGAAGTGATTCTGGCTGGAATATAATTAATACATAATTTCTAACTACAATTAGAGGACTTGTAATTTGTGAAAATTGCAAGTTTCAATATTTTCACTCTAATCTGAGATTGGGGAGCTTTGTGTGTAATTTCCAAATTACATTACCAACAAGTATTAGCAAATGCTTCCAGAATCTTAATATCGCTAATGAACAATAGGGTTTTTGCAGCCATTTGCTTATAGTACCATAACCACCGTTATAGCCAAACATATGGCCTGCATTCAACCCCCCTTAATGGTGCAGGGATCTCGGTCTATACCACCACTACCTTGACGACCCCAAACCCATTGTCTCCCGATACTTGGTTCTACATTAATCATATCTGATCACATAGGGGCCAGTACAGAAATATACGCGGTGAATGCGTATATATCTTCACGCAGTGTCCGCACCACTGTTGATTCTCCCACTCCCTTCGCTCCAAAATAAACACACTTCTCCCACTCCCATTTTTTAGTACACTTTGCACTACTAAGTACAGCACGACTATTTTGAGTGCCCTTTGTTACAAGTATACCACTCGACTTAAGACTTACCACAAACACGTCTTTTGGTTTGTCCTCCACTGTCTAAGTTTTCCCAACTCCCCAACGCCCCCGTCGTTGTTCTAATTGCTCTGCTACCCAATTACCAGGGAATCACTCTCTAATCAAAACAAATAAACAAATATGTCTGCTGAAGAAGATTATTCACACAATATCGATGATCAGCTATTGAAGGCCGTTAAGCAAGAAGGCGTGGTTCTTGACCAGGCTACTGCCCAGGAATTGCACCATCAGTCGATGCATCACCATCATCAACAACAACACCACCAGCAGCCTCACCATTTGCACCATCTGCACCACCAAGGTCTTGGACCGCAGGGACTCCCCGAAGGGTTGGGCCAGCCGCAAGGGCCCGGTGTGCACCCTCACCACCAACAACACCACCCCAATTTCAATGATGACAGCGAGTTTAACATTCAAATCCCTGACCCAATTCTTACCTCCAGACTGAAAATTTATCCGGTACAAGATAACACCATCACTGCCGAAGGAAACTTGATCACCAAACCGTACCCTGACCAGACGTTTACCGACCGTAAGGAATTGAATGATTTCATCGCCGAATTTGCTCGTGATAACGGGTTTGGAGTGGTAATTGCTCACTCCAACAAAAAGGCCATTTACTACACCTGCGAATTGGGAGGTCGCTACCGTGATAAGAAAAACAAGAAGGTTGCAGCCGGTGCGTTCCAAAGCGATGGTTACTTGATGGACCCAAACACCAAGACGAAAAAATTGAGATGTCCATTTGCTATGACTGCTAGCTTTAAAAAGGCCAACCAAAGCTGGGTGTTAAAAGTAACTTGCAATGAACACAATCACCCCCAATTGGACCCATTGTCGAATCATCCAATGTTGAGAAAACGGTCGACTGAGTTGAATATGTTGATTGTGGACTTGTACAAGGTTGGTACCAAACCTTCTCATATCGAGGGGAAAATCAAAGAACAGTATCCAGACATCTTGATCAAGAGAGAAGATATCTATAACGAGATCCGTGGCTACAAGCGGAAGTTGAAGCGTGAGAATGGGTATATCAATAATGCCGGTGGGGTTAATGGCAAACGTACCAACACCAATTCGTTCCACCAAGTGCGTATGGAGGATGATGAGGATGATTTCCATCATCAACATCGTAATGACGTGGACTTGGAACGCTTGCAACAAGCTGCTGCTGCTGCTGTTCAGCAACATCAAAACCAGCAACAAACCAACGATATCGACTCGGTGGCAGCCTCGATGGCAGCAGTTGCTAATGCCAATAATGCTCACTCCAACGACCAAATATCGATGGATAACATTGATAGCCGGTTGGTTGGTGAGTAGTGATTTGTTTTCCTCTTTTGAAAGCTTTTAAAAAGGATTATTGTAGAGATGTTTGTATATTATTTTTGTAATAAATGTTTTATATTGGCACTGGAACAGTATAGCGTTATATTCTAAATGTTATTGGCACCAAACAGCATAAGGTTATAATCTTCTAAACTCCCAAATTGTATATTTGATATTAATCTAAAGACTCTTGAGTAGTTCAAGGCCTTGTGCCCGTTCCTCGTATAACTTTGCTAGTTCACCAACTTTTACACCTCGAATAACAGGCCTTTTTTTAGGGCTTGCTGAGGATACCTGGGATTGAATGAATTGCGATACCACATTGACTTCTTTTGAATGTGCTGGGGTATTGAATCGGTACCTCTGTGGTGGATATTGCACAGATATAGAGGCGTCTATATCAGCAGCAGCTTTCACTGGACTTCCAAGCGAGCTCTTAATGGGACTTTGGGTTTTGGTGGGTGAAAGAAAAACATCTTTGGAGAAGGTAGATCCTATAGTACTGATTGAGGCAAATGAAGTCATGGTGTTTAAAACATGTTCATTGGAACCCAACACCTTCTTTGGCGAGAGATTGACATCACCTCCAGCCTCCAGTATAGGCTCATCTGTATCACCATCGGAGTCCACAGTCATGTCGTAGTCAATGTACGAGTTTTCTTCCCTACATTCACTGAAAATGTCACTCATTTCAACGGCTGTAAGACTTTTACCAAACTGGCCAAAGTTTTCAATCACTTTTTTGATGAAGCTATTCACAACAATGAGGTTACTTTCATTTGCTTTTGAATACAGTTGATGACTCAAGGTGGTCACAAAGATCTTCGCCAACAGCTTTGATGTGAGTCGGGTGATATGCTGATTGTTCACGAGTTTATGGAGAAGCTTGAAGATACTTACCAAAACCACTCTGAAATCATAACTCAAGTGATTTAGAATATCAGCAAAGTTTTGTTCTAAAGTGCTATCCTTGATCGGAAGCGTTATCAACTCAATGGGTAGCAAAGGAGGCAATTTAGCAACTATTTTTTTGAAGCTGGTAGCAATGCAATATAAGTTCCAGTCATTAATCCAGATAATTTGATCTCTTTTGATACAGTCCACAAAGATTTCACTGCTGAGCTTATTTCCAGGTCTTTGGAAGATGAGCTCTACCCTTGCGCCGTATGTGTCGATGATGTTGTAGGTCTGGTAAAGATGATATTTAAGACTCTCCAGAGGAACCTGCCAAGCCAAAGGAGTTGCTGCAGTATTCAATGAACGGAAACCGTCCAACTGATAATCATGCTTGTAAACATTGAGACTGATTTTGATGTTGTCAATATCCACAAGTTGGTCAAGATCAAATAAAGACGCACAGTTTACAATCAACCCGCCAGATCCGGAGCCAACAAGCTTGAACTCGTCGTTGTTTAAGTTAAAGTTCTCCAAAAGTTTTCGGGTCAATGTAAGGTTTTTTCTGGTCAATTGGTAGTTGGCCAAGAGACCCGTGAGGGTTTTTATAAACCATCCCTCGTGAACAGTGTACACTTTATCAAGATTTTGCAAATTGGACTCTTCAATGAGAAACTTCTTGAGAAACTTGACCCCCCAGATCCAACTGATCTTATTGAGCCCACTGCAGAACATGATAAGAGTGTATTTTTCCGAGGGCAAGATTGTCATCAATGTCAAAATGAGTTCATCATAATTTATATCATTTGAAGATGGAAGAAAGGAGGTATCAAAAACATACACTGGAGATTTGCTATGCCGATCGGAAGCCGATGTTTTGTAAAATATGCGATCCATTGGTGTGATATATAGATTCTAATGGGGATGCTGTGGAATTCTCGTGAAGGAGAAAGGAGGTAGGAAGAATGCTAATAGAATGAGTGGGATGCAAAAAGGTGGTTGGCGGATGCCCAGGAGCGAAAAGACGGAGCTAGTGCGAAAAAAATGGCGGGGAAAAGAAGATGAATACAAAGTTATGCCGTTCTAAATTCAGCCAGGACCGTTCTATGCAACAAACTGAAGGAAAGTGTGGAACAAAACCAAGCTTTAAACCGTATCGTGAGCGAGAGCAGTAAAATATAAACAAAGGAACCGTTCGCGCATTTTGAAGAACTGGGGCGTGCGCCACCACCAAAAAGCCCGCGATTTGTCAAACTGCCATTTTGCCATCCAAGATCAGAAACCTACTCACAGTGTTATTTCTGATAAGTAAGTGGAACGCATTGTCTCACATCAATTAACAATCCATCACTATCACCATGGCACCTGTGAAGGACGAAAACCCCGACCACGTCGAGAAAACTAAGAAAAAGGCCCACGAGGAAGAGGAGCTCAATGAAGAAGACCAGCACCTTAAAGATGAATTAGAAATGTTGGTGGAAAAGTTGAACGAGCCTTCTCACTCAGAAGCGGAGTATGTGGAATATCTTGATAGTCTTAAGAGCTTCATAGAAAACTCCACTACCTCGTTGACTGCTGTTCCGAAGCCCTTGAAATTCTTAAGACCTCATTATCTGTTGCTTTGTTCGGTTTACGAAAGTTGGAGTTCCAAGCCTCTGAACCTTCAGGATAAGTTTGCCGATGTTTTGTCGGTGTTGGCGATGACATATTCAGACGATGGAAACAACGAGTCTCTCAAGTATCGTCTTTTGTGCAAACATAGTATCATCACCGACTGGGGTCATGAATACATGAGACATTTGGCATTGGAGATAGGAAGCTCGTACCAAGAGAGTCTTGGAAACGACGAAGAGTACGTAGCCAAAGTCGTCAAATTATCGACCGTGATAGTGCAGTACTTTTTGAAGCATAATGCTGAAGCTGACGCTGTCGACTTGTTACTTGAGATTGAAGGTATCGAGAAACTTCCCCAGTACGTCGACGAGTCTACCTTCCAAAGAGTGTGTCTTTACATGGTAAGCTGTGTTCCTTACTTATCTCCTCCAGATGATGCTACATTCTTACAGACTGCTTATTCCATCTACGTAACCCATAACCAATTGACACAAGCATTGGCATTGGCAATCAAGTTGGACGACGAAGAGTTGATTTCTCAGGTATTCAAGCTGACGGAAGACGTCTTGGTCCACAAGCAGCTTGGTCTTATCTTGTCACAACAAAATAATGGGTTCAAGTATCCAGGAGATGACGAACAAGTGCAAGAGTGTATTGCCAATGTCAAATTAAACGATTATTTTAGTTATTTGGTCAAGGAATTGAATTTACTCGACGCCAGAGTACCTGAAGACGTTTATAAGTCGCACTTGGAGACCTCAAAGGCGGGTATTGGTAACTCAGGATCGATTGATTCTGCCAAACAGAACTTGGCTGCTAGTTTTGTCAATATGTTTTTGAACTTGGGTTTTGGAAACGACAAGTTGGTGCAAACTGATGAGGATAACAAGTCCTGGATATACAAAACAAAGGGCCCGGGTATGTCATCTACCACTGCTTCGTTAGGAGCTATTCACCAGTGGAATGTCAACGACGGTTTACAGATTTTGGATAAGTACACCTACTCTCAACAAGATGAGGTTAAGGCCGGTGCTTTATTGGGTACTGGTATTATTTCTGCTAACGTCCATGATGATGTGGACGCATCGTTGGCATTGTTACAAGACTATGTTGTTGACCCTAGTAGCAGCAAGGTATTGCAAACATCTGCTATCAACGGTTTGGGTATAGCCTTCGCTGGTACTGCTAACGAAGAAGTGCTCGCCTTGTTGCTTCCTTTGGTATCTGATTTGGACATCTCAGTTGAAGTGTCGTCATTGTCCGCATTAGCGTTGGGACATGTTTTCGTCGGTACCTGTAATGGTGATATCACCTCAACCATTTTGCAAACGTTATTGGAACGTGACTTTACCCAACTCACCAATAAGTTCATTACGCTTATGGCTTTGGGGTTGGGTCTCTTATACATGGGCAAAACTGAGCAAGTCGAAGATGTCTTGGGAACCATCGATGCCATTGAACATCCCATCAGTAAAACATTGAAGGTATTGGTGAACATTTGTGCTTATGCGGGTACTGGAAACGTGTTACAGATCCAGTCGTTATTGCAAATGTGTACTTCCCGTCCAAAGGAAGAAACTGATGTTTCTGGTGAAGATGAGAATGAAGCTGAAGCTGACGCTACTGCTCCAGTGGCCAACTCCACCACCGCCAATATAGATGAAGGTAATACCGAAGATGTTGCCATGGAAGATGCCTCCCCCAAACCTGAGAAACTGGAAGCAGTTGCCGACGATGAGGCAGACGAGGAAGATGATTTGGATCAAGATGAAGAGGACGTCATGTACCATGGTTTCGCTGTGTTAGGACTTGCTCTTATTGCCATGGGTGAAGATATTGGCCAGGACATGTCGTTGCGCCATTTTTCACACTTGATGCACTACGGAAACTCGTTGATACGTAGAGCAGTGCCGTTAGCCATGGCATTGACATCTACTGCCAACCCTCAAATGAAGGTATTTGAAACTTTGTCTCGATACAGTCATGATCCTGATTTGGAAGTTGCACAAAATGCCATCTACGCCATGGGATTGGTAGGAACCGGTACCAATAATGCTAGGTTGGCCCAATTGTTACGTCAATTGGCCTCGTACTACATCAAGTCTCCCGATTCGTTGTTTATGGTGAGAATTGCGCAAGGGTTATTGCACTTGGGTAAAGGTACCTTGACGTTATCGCCATTCAACGTGGAAAGAAGTATAATCTCCAAGGTTTCAGTGGCGTCGTTGTTGACGATTTCCGTGCTTATGCTCAACCCCAAAAGCTTCATTTTAAGTGACTCCACCACCGAAACTACTCACCAGTTATTATACTACTTGATTCCAGCCGTTAAACCAAGAATGTTGATCACGGTGGATGAGGAATTGAACCCCCTTAAGGTGAATGTAAGAGTGGGTCAGGCTGTCGACGTGGTTGGCCAGGCGGGTAAGCCCAAGACCATCACCGGTTGGGTTACTCAGAGTACTCCGGTATTGTTGAACCACGGTGAAAGAGCCGAGTTGGAGAACACCGACGAATGGATCAGCTTGAGCCATTCGTTGGAGGGAGTGGTGATATTGAAGAAAAACCCCGAGTTCATGGAGGTGGATTTGTGAGTAGCCGAATGTATATCATAATTGAGTAGATTTGAAATGGCGTAGATTTATTTGCATCATTTGCATCATTTAGTTCGCGCCACAAATTTATTTATCCGTATTTCTTCTTTTCTTGCCACCATGAAAATTATTCTCTTAGGGTCCACCGGGCTAGTTGGAGACAAGATTCTCCATGAGCTCATTATCAATGATGCTGTCAAACAAATAACCACTATTGGTAGAAGAGCTCCCAAACTCACCAGTGACAAAATCAATGCCATTGTAGAGCCTGATACTTCTCAATGGTATAAAAACGAGTATTTTGTTGGTAACGACGTGGCTATTTCTGCGTTTGGGACCACCAAGGCCGATGCCGGAGGAATTGATAAGTTTAAGGAAATTGACATCGACAATAACGTCAAGTTTGCCACTACTGCCAAAGCCAACGGGGTCAGTAAGTATGTGCTTATTTCCGCTGTGGGGGCCAACTCCAACAGCTGGTTCCCGTATCTCAGATTGAAGGGAGAGCTTGAAGATGCTGTGAAGAAGTTGGGGTTCAACTCGACCCATATCTTGAGACCTGGAGCATTGTTAGGGGACAGAGAAAAACCCAGATTGGCCGAAACGGTTGCTAATTCGGTTTTAAAGTTGCCAGTGCTTTCTCTGAGTCTTGCTAACAAGGCGGAGGTTGTTGCTGCTAAGGTTAATAGTTTGTTGACGTCTACTGAAAAGTTCAAGATTTACGGGGTGAAGGAAATCAACCAAGTTTAGGGTATAATATCTAACATGTTTATGGTCTGTGTTGAGCTTTGCACACTGTCTGCGTAGTACTATGTCTCTCTACTGTTCTCTGGCATCCGTGACAACTCTGGCGTCTCTGCCTCGTTCATATTTATGTTTTATTTGTACTAACGTCTTACTGACTACTTAAACTCCTGGGCTTTCCCGGCCATCAACAACCCCACGATCAAGCCAAACAACCCTAACACTGATCCAAAGATTTCTACCACTAAAATCTTGACGAAAAGTGACGAGTCAGCAGCATCGGAAATGGCAGCAGTAGAACCAGTTATACCCACCGAAATCCCACAGATCAAATTGGAAAGCCCCACAGTTACTCCGGCCCAGAACAAAGAATACCCCGTATATAAGTTCTCTTTGGTGAAGAGTTCCAGCTGTGGAACACTGGTCAATTTGGAAGAAAATACAATGGCCATAATCAACCCATAAATGGCCACCACTTCACAGAAAATAATCGAAATCAAGTTTTTCGTGGTGATTCTGGGTGTCTTGACCCCGGCACCAAGAATGGTTGACCCGGTGATGAAAATCCCCCAGGCAGCCCCCACCACCGATAATCCAATACAAGATACTATTCCCAAGTTTGCCCACATGTAGGGAGAAGTCGATTCGAGAAATTGCCCGACGTTGAATGACTCTCCGCTACCAGTGAAAAGCATGTACCCGCCGACGATTGCGGCTGCCGACGCCACGAGAATGCTGGTATAGGCCATGATGAAGATATGGATACTGAGAAACTCGAAGATGAATTTTGGCGAGTGCGAAGGGAGTGGTGAAAGTGCAGGTTTGCAACAAAAAGTGCGGACTGGACCCAAGCAGAATCGCTGGTTGAGCCAATAGTACTGCAGATTGGGTCTAAAAATTGCAGGTTGTCCCTGATCAAATGCTCCTGTAATCTCTCGCGGACCTGGCCGTGGGCAGAGGCTTTAGCAAGCAAGGACATCTCTCATGGAAAATGGTATTGGTATGGTACCACCTGTAACATCATTCAATGTCCAATTGATCCACAGTGTGTGTTGATTTCAAAACTCCCGGGAACGTATCCGGGAGTAGTTTCTCTTGTAACAGTATACTCTCTTGTGGATATTGGGGAAGAGTGGACGTACGCACAAGACGACGCAGCGGTAGAATGGCGGTAGTTCGCGGTACTGTGGCATCTACATGTGATGGGCTACCGCCGCACCGCTGTCGGCAGGGGTTTCCCTATCTTCCGCACCACGGAAATTTGGTCGTTATTGGCCTATGTATCCCGATGTGTGGTTCCGTGATTACTAAGACTAGTATAAAGAAACACTGAATTCCATTGTCATCTACATTTCAAAACATTTCATGATTTTGACAGATTATGACTCGGTATCAGAATTCAAGCGTATCACAACAATTTCTGGCAGAACCGTTGGCACCAGCACCAGCACCAGCACCAGCACCAACACCAACACCAGCACCAGCGTCCCCAGCACGTGACTATAATCTGTTGTCCAAGGTACTGGAAAACGGTGGAGAGAAGATCAAGCACGACAACCACGAACAAGACGAGGACCAGGAAACCGTTAGATCGGTACAAGATCAAGAACCTCCCTACTATCCGGACGGGGGCCGACAAGCATATCTTTCACTTTTGGGGTGTTTTTTGTCGCTTACAGCCACAATCGGCTTAACTAATGCCAATGGTACCATTGAAAATTATGTCGCAGATAAAATACTATACAAACTACTGGCATCTGACATTTCGTGGATTTTTTCGGTGTTTAACTTGACATCTTTTGGGGCTATCATTTTCCTAGGTCCGTTGTATGTACAAATCGGGGTTCGGGCCATGTTTATAATTTCCTGGGTATTGTTTGGCGTGGGGCTTATGTGCTTTTCGGTGTCTCGCGAGCTTTACCAGTTTATCCTAAGCTACTTTGTATGTGGAATGGGACTCCTGTTTCTGTTCACGGCCTCCATAAACACAGTTACCCAGTGGTTTAATAAACGTCGGTCGACTGCCGTGGGCGTAATGTACATTGGAAGTGGTATTGGAGGCATTGTTATTCCCATAGTGCTCAAGGCGCTTTTCGCAGCCGTGGGCTTTGGCTGGGCCATCCGGATTTTGGCATTTATTGCATTGATGATAATGGCCATTTCGGTGTTGTTGACAACCGATAGACGGAAAGAGTTGGGCCTTGATCACCTGGGGAATCCTATAATAGGGGCCATCAAAGGAGTAGACTTCTCTAGAGTGAAAGAGCCGCTATATTTAGTGTACTTGGTTGCATGTATTGGTAACAGTGGACCATTTTTTCTTACCTTGAATTACCTCGTGTCGTATGCCACAGCAAATGGCTGGGACGAAGGGTTGGCATACTACCTTCCGGTGGCATATAACGCCGCTTCGATTTTGGGTAGGGTGATTGGGGGGTACCTTTCAGATCGTTATGGTCGGTTTAACATATTTATTTGTGCGAATGCCATTGCTGCAATTGCGGTGTTTGTGTGTTGGATTCCACCAACTATTGGCCACTCAAAAGGAGGTCTCTTTGCGTTTGCAGTGATTGGAGGGTTCACTTCAGGCAGTTATTTTCAGAGCTCTCCCACCTGTTTGGCACAAATCTCCGATCCTAAACGATTTAGTGCTCAGTTTGGTGCATTCAGCTGTGTGATAGCTATTTTCAACTTTGCCTTTTTACCGATTGGAGGCGCCATAATTCTGGCAGGAGGTGGTGGAGGACCTGGCTACGATAAGTTTGTGATTCTCGTGGCGGTTTTGCAGTTTTTGGGGTTGGCATTTTCGATTATCACTAGAGTGATGCTAGAAGGTTTTCGTTTGACGGCGGTATGATATGGAGGGAAGACTGGGTTATAGGGTTTGACGGGCATACATATAGATATAGAATTTAACTAATATAAGGTATGGGAAGGTTGTGTACGGGTTATATACTAATGGATATAGAGGAATTTGCAATCGCTTTAATTTGCAGCCAGTTGCGCAAGTCAAATAAACAGTTTTTGCTTATTGAAAGAAAATGTATCACTAACACCTTCAAATCTAGAACAGATCAACTTGGGATGCTCGTTCAAGAATGTCAAACTCCATTGGGACTTCAAAAGACGAAACTCAAATACATCCCCCTGGATAGCATCTGTCAATCGCCTTTTTTTGCTGGCAGGACTGCTTTCATCCTTGGACTTGTCGTCAGCATACACGATCCGACCCTCAGAGATAATAGCCGAATTAAACGTATGGGCGATTTCCTCGGCTGAAACGCCCAAAAAATCGTACACCCAGGTATTTTTCATTTCTAATCCATTTATGACTGAATGGCAATCAAGCAAGGTGGTGATAAATGAAACACTGAAGTTGAAAGGTCCTTGGGTGACGTCACAAATCCACGACTCAGGGTGAGCCACGTCCTGAAATAGTTTCTTTACTTTATGCCCAATGGCACCTGAGAACTTGGTGGTTACAAGTTTGAGGGTTTTATTCAAATAAAGCTTAACGTCATGGAATTGGGACTGTGGTCCACCCAAAGAATCGCTTTCATAGTCCACTTGGAATACCAAGTTTCGACGAGGCTCTCGGGCAATGTATGGTCTTTGGTATTGAACGTATGCTTCCATGCCCTCAGGCACTTGCGGTATTGAAATGTATTTGGGCAGCACGTCATTCACGTTTATGATGATTTCTTCACTATCAGGTGTATATGGGTTCCGTGTGACGGCGTGCTTGATGATCCGTTGTTCAAGTTCTAAAAACCGATAGTAGCGACACTCTCGCATAAGTACCCGTCTGTGTGTATCATCTCTGATAACCTCCAAGTTCCCTCGAAGCAACTCCAATATATCAGCAAAGAGCCTGGCTGACCGTGTAGGAGCCTCGGCTGACTTGGCCGGCGGGGGTCGGAGCAATTGTCGTTTCTGAACAACTTCAAGACTTAGGATTCTCTGATCAAGTGGGTTGTTGATGGTCAAGTAATTGGGATAATTTCCTGGTGCCGCAATGAGAGATTTGGGGACTTTGAACGGAGTGGACCCCACACGTATGAAAAGGTATTCTTTACCAAGAATAGCTGAAAGACGGTTTAGCCCAAAGTAAGCAGCATCTTGGGCCAAAAACACAGAAATTCTGTCGTCATCTTCGTCCACCAGCACGTAGTAGCCTTGGAGATGAACACAGATTCTCTCGAACACTTCGGGAGACCTGTCGAGGAAGAGAGTCTTATCGGTGTTTTCTGGTTGCATGAAGTAGTTTGTGAAATAGGATGGGCCATCCGATGAGAGTGATGCTCCACTCAATTTGAAAAGCCGAGAGCCGACTTGGATATTGTAGATGTTGGAGTGAGGGAGGATCACTGGGATATCATTGGAATACTCGTGGGTGGCGTTGTCGAGTGGGTTCATAGTGATCAAGCACGGCTTTGCTTAGGTGAAAAATGAAATGGTGCGAATCATAGGGAGCTGCGAAAAAGGTGTTCACCGTGTGGGATAGTTACAAGAAATAGAAGGCAGTGGGAAACACGAGCTGAAATTGAGGTATCAGAAGAGCCCATATCAGAGAAACAAGCATGGCACAGAGTCAAAGGCAGAGGAGTTGGAATAAGGATTAATATGTTTGTTTAAGAAGGCAATTTTGCAGCAAGAAGGTGTGCTGACTCGAAAGTCAAAAAAGCCTATTTGTCATCATTTTCATCAGGTTAGTGTATTGGCAGCACCATTACTATCCTTATTTGTTCAAAAATTCATTTGTTGTCACTAATATATATTATCGCTACTTTTCCCATCATTCACCTATGGGTAATGACCCTTTCTGAGACCAAAGTATCCATCTGGAGCCGAAACTGTGGCATTTAACCGGCCAACAGAGGTGATGAGTTCATCATATCCTGCGTACATAACATTGTTCCCCCACCAGCTGATCGATTTATCATGATATTGCACCGCAAAAAAGATGATAATTGATGAAAACGCCACGCCAGCACTCAAACCGGCAGTAAGAATATAGGTGTACTTTTCCCACCATGAAAGGTAATGCTTTTTGATATAGTACATGAAGGCAAAGGAGAGGTACACTCCACTGGTAAAGTAACTCAAATTGTATGGAGCAAAGTTCATGAAACCTCCAATGATAAGAGTTGGTTGAAAGTACTTTCTGACGGTCCTGGGACCCCATTTCTTGAAAGCAAGACATGGAAATGGTAACAAAGCCCCAATCAAAAAGCACCATTGTAAAATCGGGTAAAGTCCTCCAAATACCTTCTTAGGTCCAATCACTCCCCATAACACCGATGCACTGTAAAAGGTTCTGGAGTTGGGACAGGTGAATCTTTGGGCTTGGGAAGGGCTACAGTAGTTCTCAATGTGATTGAGTTGGAAGTTAACCACTGCCAACGACACAAATGAACACAATATCACCGAAAGAACCTGGCATCTGAACAAGGCCCTGGGAGGAATCTTAATATAATGGGCCATCTTCTGGTCACTAATGTAGTTCTGAGCTTGGCCATTGATGTTGAACCCGAAGGCCTTGATGAAGTTAAGTGCCAAAGCATTACCGGGAAGGGCATATCCAATAATTAATTCGACCAACACATTGAGACCAAACTGGAAACCAGTGGTGGAGTAGATGGCCGTAAGGGGAATCAAGAACACAAAGTTGATAGCGAGGGCAAAGAAAATACCCCAGACAGGGGTTTCGGCTGGGTATACTTCCACACAGATAATGGCCAATACTAGGGAGATTACCAACACACATGTGAACACCCATTCAGGTACTTCCTTATATTGCCTCATCATCTGGGTGTGAGGATCATGGAAACCATCATAGGTAGACTTACGGAAGTTCTTAAGAACCCCTGCCAAACCCTTAAGGGAGTGCCACATTTGCTTGTGGTTGAGAATACACTCATAGAGGATGGCAAATGGATAAAGGGCATCAAAAGCACCGTAGAGTACAAGGTTGGCGGCACTATAGTATGGAGGTCCAATTTCCTCGTACTTCTCCTTATCGAAGAGACTGTTGGAGTTGACAATCTGTTTAACATCGTAAGAAACCCCTTTGTTAGTGAAGAGTCCATTGGAGTTGATGGGTATGTACCCCGTCCACAAATGGTTACTATAGTACACTCCACAAATACAGAAAAATGCCAAAACACTTCCAGAGTAGTTATTGACTTGAGCATAGAAGGGCCAGGTTAAGGCAGCGTTGTAATCAAGAATATTCCAGTCAAAGGTAGGAAATGGGTTAAATCCTAATCCTCCCACAGAGCCAGTTATTTCTGCAAGCGTTTGATTGGTTGGTTTAATCCATGTAATCCAGTTGAACGTAGATAAAAACTGCATGAGGTATTCTGGAAGCCAATAATACACAAACAGGAAAGAAAATGCTGCCAAAAAAAAGTAGTATCTTGAAATGGTCCAGCCGTTGATATTTTCCTTTTTTTCGGGACGACAAAGGGCAGCGTTTAAAGCACAAGTGGGCAACACAGTGGGCCAGATACTCTTGGTGGGATACACGGCAAATCGTCTCATGATCCCAGCAAAACCAAAACCCAAAAAATTGGTGGAAAGCATTAATAAGATTTGGTATCCAAAGTTAGCCCACTGATTGTTGTAGAACATTTCCATCTTCTGGACATTGATGTTATCAACTACGTAAGGAGTGCCTCCAGATACAGAATAAAAGATAGTGGCAAGCATTTGTTCCTTATAGTTCCAAGGACCGGGATTCAAGTCAAAAGTATATCTCCAAATCTTGAATTTCCATTTGGGCACAATGGCTGCTAACAATATTCCGCTTGGGTAGAGGAAGATTTGCACAACGGAAGCACTCAATACGATAGCAGGTTGTCTGTTGTGGAAAAATGTGTTGATGAACGACCCAATGGCTGTCCAAATAAGTCCCAATAAGTAAACCCTTGGGGTTTCACAGTATAAGGTAGGGTCATCATAACTTTCACAGACGGCCCTGACTTCAGGATAAGGTGAGTGGTAAGCAATCAAAGAGGCTTCTAACTTGAGTTGGAATGACAAGTCAAATACATGAACCAAGTCCACCTTATTGGCCTCCAACGAACTGTCAGAGTCACTGAAAGCAGTCTCCTCAACAACACTATGACCTTTAGTAAATAAAGCATCTAACTTTTCAGCAGTTTTACTAGTTGGAGCCTTACTAACAAGGGTTTCAATCAACTCATATACATCGGAAGGAAAGTTCGAGTCTTGGTCGTACGTTTCAAGAGCTTCTGTTAAGATTTCCACTGCTTCATCTTCCGAAAGCTGTTCAACTTTTTCAATCATAAAAGTAGCCGATAGCGGCAAGTCTTCCAAAGACTCCAATCCTTCTAAGCCCAATCTTCTCAAAATAATAAACTTTTGGTCTGAGCTTAGTTGAGTACCTACTTCACCAATTGATATTGGATGAGAAGCTACTGCCTGCAAATCAACCTGATGAGCTTCCGGCTGCATTCTGTCGATGTTGCTTGATATGGTCGCAACTGGGTGAATGTCGGTATTTTTCAGGTCCATTTTGCTGCTGAAATTTGTGAAAGAGTTGCAACTAGGCAACTTTAAATAACCTGGACCCAATCATGAACCCGGTGTTGTTAATAGATACAGTGGCATCCACAGCTGGCACAGGAGCCGTTCGAAATTATCAAATGGTAACAGCCAATTACAGGCCGAAAAAACATGATTGGTATATGGTTGCAAGGCTCTTGATATTTTGAGGCTCAAGAAAATGCGCTTTTCGATATAATGGTTTTGGGGCGCCATTGCCTAACCTAGGAAACAGGAGCTCAAATAGGAAATCCACCAACTCCTATGTAATTCCTAGTATCCGAAGTTTATTCGTTACCAGGTGGAGGTGTGGAACTGAAAAGTTAATTTCGCCTAAGCACGGCAGTAAATCCACGGATAAGAGAGTGTAAGTTTGATAGTGTACCCGGACCGGATAGATAGAGGCAGTGGGTAATAGCACCGTTCGTGATAACACCGAGTTAGAACAAATGCAGCAGGAAGAATTGTGCTTCGGCAGTATATAATTCTACACCGAGGATGCAGAACCTTAACACTAAAAGCCGACAGTTTTTCAAATAGTGGAAAGTCCTGCCACTAAAACCGGTGCAAGCCCCGGTGTAACCGATGATGATTCTGGTGTTCCATTGAACCTACAGTACTCTGTCTACAACGACTCTAATGTTTTGTCCGGCTTACTGGCAGTTGTTGTCCGATTTAGCCCTATCTTGTTCGGCACCAATAGCCCTGACAGTTCTAAAATTGGAGCAATAAAATAGACTTTAACATTTGCGTCAATGAGCGCACGGTTTAAAAATAGCGATCGCTTATTGTCCAAGGGTTTCGGTCGGCGGTAGATAACGACTGGACAGTAAATGCGCCGTGAGCATGAAGGTTTGCCTAGAAAATATTAGAAGATTGCAAATTGACTAGCATCAGATGGTAAAGGCTACAAGCGGAAACGCATCAGCACACCAGAGAAACTGTAGGCGGACATAGTGATACTTAAACGATATTGTCTTTTGTCCATGCAGAACTCGATGCAAGACGTGTGGCTTAAATGTGTCATTACACTGTGGAGAGATGAATATTGTCAACCACATGTATGTGCTTTATACTTTCGCAGCCCTTTGACAGCACGGGTACAATTTAGACCCGACTTCTTTACGAAAAACATCCCATTTTTTATCTGTATGCAAGGAGAAGCACCTTCATAGGAGCTGTGTACTAGTTGGCTAGGACAAGGCCGAGGTTCTTGTAAAACCCATGTTTCCACGCATATTTGATAGAATTCTCAATTCATCGTCCCGGATATGCTTTGCAACCTTAAACAGAAAGTAAATTCTCAAAATATATTGCCCCACTATTTCCTCTACTCCTTTGGGAGGCGCCAGCGGCTGATCCAAATGTGGCACATGCTATTAGAGTCTGTTGCACCTTAGAGAATCCACTTTCAAATCAACCAGCACTGCTTAACCAGGCAAACTTACCCAAAATTTCACCTTGCAAGTTCTAACAGAAAGAAATGCGTTATATATTAGAGCACTAATTTCTCTCTTTTGCTAATGCTGTTCAGATCGAGTGAATCACAATTTGAAAGTTTTGAATCATGATTGGAAGCCATAAGATCTACAGGGAAATCAAGCTGTTCTAGTCGATCAGCTGGTTGAGTTAAAGTTCTTAGTCGTTGGCTTCACCCAGGTCAGATCCGATCGTTCGAATCCCTTCAAACACCGTGGTCAGTATATAGATTAGGGTTTTTGAATATTGCCTGCACCCACGCATTTCGCTCGCTTCGCACTTCTCACCGAACCCCTATCAATGCCAGGTCGAAGAACGTTCAATGGATGCTGGACGTGCCGGTCGCGCAAAGTCAAGTGTGACGGACAACGAGAATCATGTGCTCGTTGCGAGAAAGCTGGATTGACCTGTAAGGGCTATGATATCAAGCTTTCATACTACCAGTCGCTTACGGTTTCCAGAGACGGTCAGCTCATAGATAGCACCAAAACACCATCTGGAAAACCCGAAAAACATACGAGACGGAAGATGCTGTTGGTTCAGTATCCGCCCGAGCTGCAGTACCAAACGTTTGCCGCCTTGAACGGCAGTATAGATCGTCTTGACACTGCCGTGGCATCTGGTGCACCTTCATATGACATAGGGCCATTTCGCGTATACGCTTCCACGGTTCAATTGCCTATGGCTCTGCTACCGCGGGTGCAAACGGCACCGGCAAAACGCCGCCCCCTGGAGCCAGTACATTCCCAGCAGCTGTCGGTGTACCGACTCCAGGACCTTTTGAATGGAGAAGCTGGTAGAGAAGAACTTGGAGGACGCGAGCCTCCGCTAGAGTCGGACTCCTACGATGCCAACGACGCGGCCGAAGCACCCGTGTACGGGGCGGCCGAGCTTGTGGCACCACTGCTCATGCCGCTCGCACGGCTCTCGATCCATGCCATCAAAGGCCCCGACTATCACATTAACGACCAGAATATTCACCATATTACATACCCGACGTTTTTCCCCAACATCGATTCCGACGACTGGGTGCCTGGGGTGCTGGAGATGGAAAAGCTTGTACGGCGTGGCACCGGCCTCACGCTAGCACCGCTCTACGTCGAGCTTCTTCGGGAGTTCTCAAGTATCAGTGCGATCTTCCTAAAGGTAAAATTTGCAGCCACTGAAAACCACCCAGATTTTTGGACACTCTATGTCAAGCCGCTTGTGGATAGTGTAGTACTATCGGAAATTGCCTCCAGGGATGCGGAAATCACGGATGTGTCTGTGGACGAAGTGGGGCTGGCCGGCGATAAAACTAGACGGTGGACTCGGCACCTCCAGCAGGCGATCCATGGTTTGGTGCTCAGCGTGGCGGCGTTCCGCCACAGCACAGCCGCCAAGTTTCGGATCAGACACAACACCGATATTCCTGGAGATATAGCTCTTTCCATCTGTCTACGGAAACGTGCACTCAACATGCTCAACTTCCACTTGGATGAGTACGACGACATCCATGAAGCAATCCCCCCTTTCTGCCATCTCAAGTACGATACCCAGTTGCTCTTGGCGATCGTTTTGCAGCTTGAAATCGACACTTACTATAACGTATTTGAGAACCTTGAACTTCTCTTTAGTATTGGAGAACTTGTGGCACAAGGCCCGTTGAAGAAGTGCGGCAACGATGTGTCTATATGCCTTGTCACCATGTTCGAGGTGATGACAACGATGTACAAGCTGACGCAACGGATAAATGTGTATAACTATCAGATGAGTGAGAGCGACATGGACCGGTACGATGACTTGCACGACTCGTACGACTTGGTGCGGGCGCTAGGGGCCAGCCGTGCAAGCACCGAACCAGAGCCGGATGACCACGATGAGCCAGCAATTGTGGGACCAACATCGTCTACACAGCCGCTCGTGGACCATACTGACTACAACGACTATACGGCCGACGTGGGTGTTGACCCGCTTGCCACGACCCTTACACCGGCCCAGGCGGTCTACGCGGCGTACGGAGTCCCCCAGTCTCTTTGTGTGCTTCTCGATCATATTGTCACTCTTGCCAACCACAAGCGAGTGTTCTACAGCGAGAAACGGTACCCCCGAAACTTTCCTAAAATTTGCAGCGAGTTTGAAGAAAAACTCGAGAGATGGCACGTCCAGTGGGACCTCCGCAACAGCACCGGGAAGTTCAAAAGCCGAGCTCATCAGGCCGTATGGTGGTATATTCAAGCGGTGCACGCAGCCATCAAAATCTATTTTCGGCGGCTCATCAAGTCGCAAGCGAGCGCCGCACACGTGACGGAGATCCTGCGAGCGGTCCAGGAGATGCAACAGGACGGGGCTATCAGACTCCGACTTCCATTCTGGGTGGGGCTTATGTGTGCCAACGAGACCAACTATGAAACCTCTAAGGCAGTAATTGCCGCTTGTTTTGGAGAAGATCTTACCTATTGGCGGGCCCAGCAGGTGATCATCGAGATGGACAAGCGGCGTGCGCACGACCCAATCATCTGGATGGAGTTAGTGCGCGAGTGGGACATTGCATTATTTTTAGGGTGAGACCCAAACGGGAGCCCGCCACAGCCAGTTACAGCGATATTTTTACCGGTGTTATCCCAAGCGATATATTTAGCGATTCGCGGGTGGCGATGGGGCTCACGTGACAATACCTCCCAACTAGTTGCGCCACGTACGAATATCACATTCACCTACCCCTCTCACCCCTACTGTAGCAGTTCTCCGGTTGGTACCGGGACCGTTGCCTCAGTAACCTTGAATTTTTCCGGCACCGAGGGCTTCTTCTCGCGAAAATGGGCAATTGGCAAATATGGATCTGTGCACCAACCGCCGCGAACCCGCACTAATCCGATCATGGGGGTACAAGTCCCCCACCAGCCCGCGCACAATCCCATCTTCCCCAGTGTGGAGTTCCCCCAAAAGTTTTTCCGTGGCCCTGTTGTTGGATTCCCCAGAAACCTGGAAAAATCCTCAAAAACTTTTACCACCTTTTCTTCTTACCCCATCGGTACCTACCCCTAATTTATTTGTGAATTGCCCATGACGCTGCAGGTTGCGCTCAAACTGGAGCGCATACTGGAGCCCCAAGCAGACTCCAAAATTAAGCTCCTGCCTTCTTCTTCCGAACACCTACCACCACGAACCACTGACGATTCGCCATATCCAGCCCCATCCCTGAACACCCATGGCGCCGATGCCACCGCTGACGCAACCGCCGACGCCAACGGCTCGCCCGACTTCCCTCCCGGCTCGCCCAAGCCATTTGTGCATGTCACCGGGAATCAACTGCGCAAACGGTCAAAAGTCTCAAGAGCCTGTGACGCCTGCCGTCGTAAGAAGATCAAGTGTAATGCCCAATACTCAACCCTGCTTCAAAAAGTGACCCAAATATGTACAAACTGCTCGAAAAACCAGGATGAGTGTACGTTTTCACGGGTGCCACTAAAACGAGGTCCCTCGAAGGGATACATTCGAGACTTGGAAGAGCGAGCGGAAACAAAGCTCACGCGGAACCGCATAGTGCTCCCGCCCTTAGGGCTGGCGAATAGCGGTGCTGCCCTCCCCACCGTGAACACGCCGCTCTCGCACTCGCCTCTCTCCAGCACACCGCCCCAGGGCCTCGCCCTGGGCCCCTTCTGGAAGGTGCCCTACGAAATGCCCCAGGGAACTGGCCACCACCAGAATCTCCTGCTGCTGCTGTCGCGCCGGGGCTCTGTTGACCTGGCGGCACTGCTGCTCTCGCTGGTGCTGGGCTCCGGCCAGCGCTCGCGCCTCCCTAGCATTAATGCCACCGACGCTCTGATGGTACTGGACCTGGACGACGACTTCTACTCGGCCCTGTCGTACCGCCACCTGCGCCGCTCCTCGGCCCTGTTGTCGCCCCGCAACTCGGTCCTGAGTCTTCTGAGCTTAAACGGTCGTATCCTCAAGGTCAACTTGGCCAATGGCACCAATTCGCCCACCGCGTCGCTCCCACCCGTCCAACAGTTCCATGCCCGTTCTAATTCTCACCCCATTATGCCTCCATTGAATTCACCCTACACACCACCGCTGCCGGCCCGCACTGTCCCCGCAGGGCTTGACCAAGATATCAAGACCTACTACGCCAAATTCCATCCCCCATTCCCTATTTTACCATTTAACGAGACCTATATACTTCAGGTGGTCGAGTCTTATGCTGTGAACGTCAAACAAGACGACCCCGTAATCAGTCTTTTCGCCCAGGCCATTCATCAACTCATCAATTATCAGTTTGTGTCCATCAATGATACAATCAACCTTGTGTATAAGATATCATCAATTTACCCGTTCAGCAATTTTGGCATTCAACTCCATGACAATGTGCTTGTGTTATTCTTCTCCCTGCTTATTTTGGTGAATTACCTGGTGCTCCTTTCGGGGAATATCTATTCTCTTAGTTTGCTGATGACCCTCTCGGTGTTCAACGACTTCAAGATCCTTGAGAATTTCAACGACTTGGTGGCCACCACCTCCATTAATTCTTTTGATCCTGGGGCAGTCGATAATATCAAACTTTACTTGCCAAAGTTGTATTTGTGTCTCGTGGTAATGGACCAATTCTATGCCCTCAGCTTTGGAATCAAAACCCTTGTACCTCCACAGAATTACGGTCCATTAGTGTCTAACCTTTCGCTTTTGATTCCGGCCGATGTCTCCAATCGACCACTCTTTCAGCTGGTGGACCTCATGGCGGACTTACTTGAGAACCGTGATAAAATCATCTTCAAGACCGGTAAAGACTTTAAGTTATCTTCGGATATTTGGGGTCGTTTTAACGAAGCTTTCAACTTTAACTACCATCTGAATTACCATACGTTGTTTTTGAAACTCGTTAAATCAAAATATGAACTGATAAATTTCCTTATTGAGATCGCAACCCTTTTCAGGTCAGATTCGTTCGTTTCAAGCTCATCTTCAAACGAAGAATGTCAAGAGGTTTTGAATGATCACATTCTTAAACTTGTGCGGTTAATTAAAACATTGACCACCAATTTGACCTCTATCACCGATTTCATCAATAAAAGCATTAACAAATTTGAGTTGGTCCAACCGGTCTTGAACATCTCCATTAATCAAATTTTCAAGTTGATTAAGTTGTGCAAATTGGTTATTGATTCTTTGGTTCAACTGGTCCTGGGAGATCTTTACCATCGAATCTATAAGATCAATAGCGATTTACTCAGCTGTTTCAACAACTTAAATGTCATCTTGAGCCTAAACATGAACGTGCTCTCCACCAGTTCGCTTAATTTGATTAAGAACAAGGTGTCAGGCTTCGCTATGAACTTCAACTTTCCAACTTTAGCACCTAATAGTTCCAATAACTTGATGGGCTGGAAATATGATCTTTTTTCATCAATTTTACCATTTGTTGAACGTGAAGACGTTGACGGATGGCTCTAATCAATAGCATTTGCTTTGATACGCATGTGTATACTACAAATAGAATCTACTTAAAGGAGGGATAAATGTACAATTAGACTATTAATTAGTCAATCTTGATTTGGGAATAAATCCTTCTGATAAATACAAAACACGAGACAAATCCCACTGCTCCACAACAAAGGAAAACTAACAATGAGATAACCAAAGAGTAGCCAAAGTATAACACGATAGATGTGAAATTACCCAAATTTTGCCCTGTAACCAAGAATAAGGAATGCAACAACACATAAACGGCACATCCCCCACCAATAAACATCGACTTCCAATGCCATTGGTAATTTTCTGAACACAACAAGTAGTAGATCATCAATACCGAGATTAATGATGTGGTCATAATCATTAACACGAAACAGAAGAATAAGAACCCAAACATATAGAAGATTCTGTTGAACCAAATGGAAGTATAGATGAAGTACATTTCAACCGCAATCGATCCAAAGGGGAAAATACCACTAATCAACATGATAGGGATTTGTTTCAAATACCATGGTTGAGGAGGAATTTGTCTTGGGATTTGGTTGGTTTTAACGGGAATCGTAACCATTGGTCTCTTGTAAGAAAGTAAAGATCCCACCACTGCCAAAGGAATAGATATAACAAACCAAATGACCACAATTGCCAACATCGTGCCAATTGGAATAGCTCCAGATGAGTTCACGAAAACAAGGAAGAAGTTAAGCAAAACGAACAACAGGAATAATGAGCCAGGCACCAAAAGTGGGTTAAGGAGAATGTTCATCTTCCATTCTTCGCCTCCAAAGAATCTGTACAAGTAACTCAGGACGAATGATGACACTGCACTGAAAAAAATGTACAAGATAAACATAAAGGTAGACAAGCTACCTCTATTGGAGGGGGACAATACACCAAACAATGCAAACACAATGGTGACTAAAGTCATAAGGAAGATTTGGATACCTGAACCCACAAGCACGGAGAAGATAAGCTTGTAACGAGGAGGACGGAAAACGTCACCATGGACTAATTTCCAACCACTTTCGTCGCTGATTTCATTGTCCAAGTTGACTTCGTTGTATTTCATAATATCATTCTTCAAAGTCCTCAACAAAATGTTGGCCATAGCAATGCCCAATACCACAACAATCAATGAGAAGTTCACGAGGGAAAACCATTGGATCTTTGGGTCATAAACGTGTAAATATTTATCCCATCTAGTAGCCCAAGCTTTATCGCTTGCCACAAATTTGACATCATAAGTGAAGTCAAGTTGAGTTTCTTCCCCTTTCTTCAATGTGATAGGTGGTAAATCCAAAGAACAGTAAGTATCAGCATCACTGGCACCATCGACGTTTCTTCTATCCAAAGACAGAGGAGAAACGGTGAAACCAACCACTCTATACGTGTGTTCATCCCGTTTATGGTACTCTAATTGAATCGAGAAATGGTTATAGAAATGAGCGAAGCTTGATTGATCCACCTCACCAATACTGAATCCTAAACCATAATAATTGGTCTTGGTTCGAGATTCTTGAACAAGATGAGCAGCTGGTAGCCCATCGATGATCCAATTGTGAGAGTAGCCAGCACGGATGTTTCTGTTAACAAAAAGAGAATCTTCCTTCGAATAGGTGCTTCGACAAAGACGCTGACACTGCTTATCTTCAAGCATTTTGATCTCGAATGGTGAGTTGAATATTCTGTCCCCAAATATAATTGAGCCTAAGCTTTCCAGTTGCTTTTGCGGTCCATTGGCGGGAGGACAGAAGTGAAACTTTGGATAGTAGTAATCATACGAATAAACGTACGTTTTCGAGTCCTGAGACATGTGGTGCATGGAAGGTGTCAAGTGGTTAACAAGGAGAGGAATTGATTCACCCTTCTTGTAATCAGTGGGGGCAACACCAGGGAGGTAGAATCCACTTACCACTGCCATAAGCTGAACCACAGCTAATATCAGCCAGAGATTTAGCTTTGGAATCATATTATTAATGTGAATTCAGGTTCAGTTAGAAGTTTTTTTTTCTGACTATTTGTCCTTAGCAATCGCGTTCCGAATATTTTTAGGAGTTTCATAACCTACACAGCCATTGGCGGACGAATCTCAAACTTTTCAGTTTGTCACTAACTATGTGAACCGGGGAAGATTGTTGATGTGGATGTTGAAATGGCCCAGTGTCGTTGTTTAAGCCATGTGCCTTCCACTTTGGTTCACCTGGTTTTGGTATTGCTGCAAATTCGTCTAAACTCCTTTTGTGTTTTATTGTCGGCAGTACCTTGAAATTGACAGGAACAGCGCATTGAGTTATGTATTCGCAGCCAACAATTGAGTGGCTTGTCCATTCTCATTCTCTTCTACTAACACTTCCCCTTCAAGTTCATCAAAGGCTTTGACACCACTTCCCCCTTCCGAGTTACTTTACGCTTCTACGTTTTTTCGCTGCCTCTTTCAAGGCATCCAGTTTTGCCTTGTCTGTGACTTGTTTGATCTTTGCGAGTTTGGCCTTGATTGAACTCTGATTTTTCATGTATTTCGGCCTACTTTTGGAGAAGTCACACTTAAGCCCCAATCTCTTACACTGGTCACACACCGGCTTGTCTTGGGGGCATGCTTTGTGGCGAATTCGACACGTCCAGCACCCTTGTTTAGATCTAGTATTGGTAATTTTCCTAGGTTTGGTGTTTCTGGCATTGGAACTAACAGGAATCATTGCACCACGGGTCGTGTATGGTAACTTCTGGTTGGGGAGAGCACCTTCATCTCTTCTTATTTCCTGGGTGAACTGATCATCTGATTGTGAAGACGAACGGAGCTTGAGGGTGCTCTCACTGGTGTCGGCCTCAAGTGGAACAGCTTCCAGAGTTGGCCCAGGCAGCAGCTTGTTGGGTGAACTAAGAAACATTTCAGGAATACTTCCCATATCCTGGTAGTTCTCTACTCTGGGAGGTGATGAAGACAGAAGGGAAAGTAATGCAGATGAAACCGTGAGCACATCCCAGTTTTCACTAAAAGTGGCACAAGGTAATAATGTTGCACTATGGAATTCCCTCGAAGTATGCGTACGAACTGCAGGGACAATACACTGTGTACTGAATGAATCTGGATGTATTGAGGGAGTATATTCAGCATTGTTGTCAAATTGTTGTGGTAACTCACCAAGTTCAAAAGGGAACATATCACCATCACTAGAAGTGATTTTGTCGCTGTCCAAAAGGTGAATTGGGGACTGGAGGCATGGAGACTCTTCCTGATGGAATTGGGATCTTGGTCCATCTAACAATTCTTGAGCTTTATTCAGTTTCATAGATGAGACTGAGACTTATCGTTTTTTGGTTGCAAAATATTACAGTGAGTACAAAGAGATAAAGTGCGAGAAACATTTAAGGGAGTCGTTATTCATTTCTATGTGCTTCATTGAGACGTATGGGCCGATGTATACCGAAGTATCCAACTTAGATTGGTGAGCATGAACTTGCAACCATCTGTCCATTCGCTGTTGGAGGTAACCCGGATACTCTTCCCACCAATTGTATCTCTTCTGTGAGATATCAGGTATGGTAATTCGAGTTCTGGATCGAGTTTCTTGAGTGTCTGGTGTATCTGCTCCAAAACCTCCAAGAGAGCTATCATCAGTACGTCAAACTTGTTAAAGTTGAAGAGCTTTCCTAGCGAAAACTCATTGGAGGAGTAAAGATTAAGGGTGGATTTGCGGACAGTCTGGTCTTCTTCATCCACTAATTTGATGATCTGACTCTGGCTTCCCATGGGGACCAACTTGTAACCACGTAAATGGAGTTTTAACCGCTTAACCAAAAACACCATCAATAACATGACTTGTCCCAAGGCAGTATTGATTTCACTCCAGGGGACTCTGTATCCTAAACGGAACCCATTGATAGTGCCAAACTGGTTACTGGCATCACAGGAAATATCAAAGAACTGACTATATATGTTCAACTTTCGCAAGCGGTCCAAGTGATCGAGGTGGTGTTGGTACTGGGCTTTTGCTTGACCAAGTCTTGCTGTGCTGGCATTCAACTCGAGAGAAAGACCGTTGCGAGTAGCCAAGATTTCGTTCAATTCGCCGGATTGAAGAGCATCGAACTCTTTTTGTAGCTGACGGAGCTGCTCGTCGAGCTTGGTCTTGGTGTGCTCAAGTTGCTGTAGTTCGGCTATCTTCGTTGATTCCTGTGCCTCAAGTTTACTATACTCTTCAATGGCTTGTGCGAGCTTTGGGTCTATATCAGCACCTTCAACGAGCTCGCCCTGGTCCCTTAGTTTCTTGAGAAAACTTAGATAATACTCCTTCTCCTTTTGGTTCTGATCAAACTTGTGCTTGTAGTTCTCAATCACTAGTGCCAGGCACTCTTGACAAAGAGGGTGGTCCACCTCGGTGCTGGTCGAAAGGAGCTCAAACACTTTGGCGAGAAGCCGAAGGCGTGAAGAAATGGGACCGTCGGCGTGATCCTCTTCGTGGTGATTGGAACTCAACTCATCATCTTCATTGTGTTCGTTATCACTGTTCTCACTCAACATCACAAACGAGTTCAGTGTAAGCGATGTCGACACCGATGTGAGCTTATCGTGAGAAGCTGATTCGTTCCGTTCGATCACCGGAACCGTCTTGTTTGGACTGAGCTTATTGTAGAACTGTAACTTTTCACTAGAGATGAATTGTGTAGGGTCCAAGTCGTCTGCGTCGTCAAGAACTTGGGAGTGTCGCGTGTAGTGGTTCAATTGGGGGTTTCCTTTGTCTCGGAGAAGATTCACTTGAACAGTGTTGAGAGATAAAAGAGACTCGTGGAGACGAAGACGATTGTTGCATCGCTGGCAGTAGAATGTCTCTGACATGATATTGTGGAAACTGTATTCGATAATGCGAAAGTTTATCGCGATCATCTTTTTTCGAGCACTTGATTTTTTGCAACGACTAAACGCAATGTCCCAACACAACCACCAAACATACTACCGCCACGGTTTTGACAAAAGTGTTTCCAACACCCACGCCTGGAGTACCACTGCTTCCTGCTGTGCTTATATGCTTCCAATTCTTCAGCCTACTGACAAAGTTCTTGATGTGGGGTGCGGTCCGGGTTCTATAAGTTGTGATCTTGCAAAGTATGTACTGAAGGCACAATTGTGGGTGTGGAACCAACTCAGGAACTTCTAGATGCTGGAAGGGAACTAGCTAACTCCAAAAATTTGAAAAATGTCTCGTTCCGGCTTGGACTGGCTTATGAACTCCCGTTTTAAGATGGAGCTTTCGACATAGCTCACGCCCACCTGGTGCTAGTGCACTTAGATGATCCATTGATAGCATTGAAAGAAATGCGACGTGTTACCCGGGTGGGGGACATGTTTGTGTTCGAGATGCTGACCTTGAGATGACGGTGGTATATCCTCAAAGCTACGAAGATAGTATTAGGTACCACATTCTTCACACTGTGTACACACAGCTGACACAGCCCCAAGCTGGGCGAAAGCTCAAGGAGTTAGCATTGTCAGCGGGTTTTTCTTCGGATCAGATTCTGGTTACGATGGGAAATTGGTGCTGGAGCAGTCTGGAAGATAGGCATACTTTTGGAGAGATCTTCAGTTCCAGAGCACAAAATAGTACTAACCCTGTGATTTTGGGTGATTCAGACACCGATGCTGCCAAGAGGAAGCAGATAGTCGAAGGCTGGCACCTGTGGCTGGAGTATGATGCCGGCTTCTTGGTTCTTTTTCACGGGGAGATCGTGTGCAAGAAGGAGTCGAAATAAACAAATATGTAAACATAGTATGTTTTGAACATAAAAACACTATATTGCTTCAGCAAAATACACGTATTTACTCAATAGAGTCATATCTAAATCTTTACATAAATTTATGGATGCAACTTTTGGAGTATTGCAAAGATCGCAGTTTTTACTTTTGAACTTCAGTACCACATAAGAGATACAATTTATTCTATCTCTGAAAATGCCTGGAACATAACAGTTAATCACCACCATTTGTCACACGGCCATGTTCTCAAGGTGTCAATACGAAATACCTTATCTTCTCCACCACTAGGCATTTTACCCGGACGGGCATCTCTATATCGCATCAATTTTTTCCGCAAAAACTTTTCTTCTTTCAACAACCTCCAAAAGTATGTTCAAATGATTTAACGCCTTTTTCCTGATGATAACCATAATGTGTCTTGAAGACTCTGTCTGTGTAAGCACTCAATAGACTACAACGGTATCTGAAAAACAATCAGCGTTTTGATGCAAAATTCATTCCATTAGTTACTAACAAACCCAAGTTTTGGATGGCGAAAAGACGGTACAACAAAAAAAAGTATGAGGGTCCGCTTCCAGTAACATTGTCGTCGACAGTATATGGGCCGCTACCAGAGGTGTACCCTCACAATCCGCTTTCATGGGCGTATTTTGCATACAAATACCTTGTTCTACTCACAAAGCCTGTTCCACAAGGGTGCATCGACAACATTGTTGTGAACTGTGAGCATACTGACGCTGGCGCCGTTTTCACAGTGAACGATTTGTCTGAAATGACAAGACTTTGGGACCATGGATGTTACGGTAAGGGTATCTTTTCTCGGTCAGACCCTACGTGGTACTCCAGGACTACTAGAAGACTTCATTTGAACCATCTGTCAAGTGAGCCAGCTGAGTTGTCTAACGAAGACATCACACGGTTTCGAAGGGAGGAACGGAGTCGGTTTAAGGCCGAAAGAACTCGAGAGCAACAGCTCAAGACAAAACGCCGACATACACCTCTTTCTACTGAAGAAAAGCAGGAATTACAGGAAGTTGAGTCTGTTCTTCTCGCGTTTCGTCGCTCAAATCGGTTGAAGGTGCAAAAAGAACAGCTGCAACCCATCTTATGGGGCGATATGAGGGATGAAGACCAGCTTAACGTTGACAAGGAAACGATGGAATTGGTCAATATCGAAGCTTTACAGCTTCAGCCTGTCGAATTGTTTTTCTTGAAATACGGTTTAGACGTGGTGGATGTGATTTCAAGCCAGGACGCGAGTGCACTTTCTACACGAGAAGTATTTTTCGCCTGCTGTGGAACTCGTACGCCGATTCCCAGCACCAGCTTTATTGTACAGTACGTGGTATACCACTACTACCGGTCGCTCGGTTGGTCTGTTCGACTGGGTATTAAGTTTGGATGTGACTTCATTTTGTATAAGCGAGGCCCACAGTTCTCCCACGCCGAACATGCTGTCCTCGTTATCCCTGCCGACGGACAACATGAGAAGAGCTGGGTGGAGTTACAAACGCTCTCGAGGGTGATTGGCAGTGTCAGAAAGACCTTGGTGCTTAATTATGTAGAAATGCCTTCAGTGGCAGATTTTACGGCAGTTTTGCACCCAGACCAACTGGACGAAACCTTGTTTACAACTCTCCTTCGACTTTACCGAGTCAATGAGGTGGTATATCGCCGGTGGGTGCCCAACAAAACCCGAGACTAGCACGAGATTAGTACGATATAACGATATAATGATAATGAACGCAAACGGGATCGGTCTTGTACAAAGACTATTCTACGCGGTTGGCTGCAAAGCCCTGTCTCAAAACTGCACAATTTCGCGAAGTATCCTATTCAACAATATCAACCCCAGTCATGGACAAAGAGAAGAGAACTAGAGTTCGTGTCGCCAAGTCGTGTAGTAACTGCCGTAAGCGAAAGAACAAGTGTGATAGGAAACGGCCATGTTCAAACTGCCGGACCAAAAATACTGTACATCTGTGTCGCTACGACGATGGGGAGGATGATGGGCTTCTACAACCACTACAGTCCATAAGCGAAGTGCAAGCCAAAATCGACCAGTTAAACAACAGACTTCGACAGATGAAGAAGGAACAGTCGCAGAACTACACTGATTTGGATATCACTCCCTACGGAAAACTGATTACCGTGAGAAATGGTAGAATTGTGTCTTATGGGCCCTCATCTTTCATGTATGTGAGTCTCAACGACAGGTATAAAAGCAACATCTACCACCAGTTTGTGAAGCAAGGACTTCAGGAGTTCATGACAGAAGGAGGATCCGTGATGGGAGAGCCAAAAGCTTCTGAAAGCTTGGATATAAACCCACATACCCAGGTGGAACTACCCAAAATGCCCAGTTTGAGTACTACCCGGTACTTGATCCGCCAGTACTTCCTGGTTTGTAGCATGCTTACGCCCTTTATCGATGAAAAGACATTTTTGAAGGATATAGCGGAGATTTTCGAATTTAAACAACATATCACTATTCAGGACACTCTCGAGATCCCGTCAACCATCGCCATGATTCTTATCATGTACCGATTTGCATATTTGACAGTTCCCAAACTACAACTCCAGGAAGTGGCAGAGCTTCAAAGCATGAACGTCATTGCATATGTTCTGTTTGCCAGGTATTTGCTTCTCAACAATCCGTCCTCTGATTTCAGGAAACTCCAGGGATTGCTTCTCCTTCGGGTATACGAGCTTCACTGCCCTGAGGATAATGGCAGTAGGTCTCACCAGAATGTGACGGTAACTGTAGCGTGTCACTGTGCCAAGGTTATTGGGCTTTCGGGAGACCCAAAGCAATTAGAATTTTTGAGTGATGCAGAGGTCTACTTGTGGAGAGCCTCTTGGGTAATTTTGTTGTGTTTAGATGCACTTAATGCGTTCCAGTGGGGGGAGCCGTTGATGGTGAGTTTGAATGTTGACACCCTATTTGACTCCAAATTATCATATGAATCATGGCTTTCCATTGAAGAAGTACAAGCCCGTAACCGAATGATTATTGTCACGAGAATAACCCTTTTGCTTCGAAAAGCCACCAACTACTTGAACTCTGGCAAAGGCGTGGCCTTATCCAGATATGACCTTTTGATCGAGGACGTCGAGTTGGCATTGTCTGAACTCGACTCCATCAGTGCGGTTCTGTCGAGCCACAAGCCTGAAGACCCCTACAATCTCATGGTTCGGATGATACTATTGGAGCTTCTTTTCACAATTCCGTCGGTGGTGTATGTCCTGTACGAGGACAATAAATACCTTTACAAAACAGTTGAAGTTGGCGTTCAAATTACCAAACTCATTAAGGACTTTATGGAAGAGCCCCACCTATGGGTATCTCCTGGGTTCCACACGCTCATGCCTCAGGATATATTTAATCCCATGAAAAGAGTTATCGGCCACTTAAGTTGTGTTTATGAACGAGTTGCTGCCAATGCAGTCAGTATGGTGCAGATCGTCGAGAGTTTCAGCTCTCCACAATTGGCTAGTTTTATACGACCCCACCTTAAGGATACTGATGCTGATATTTTGCTGACGTACTATGGTGTTCTTGAAAACATGTATCGGAAAATGAACCAAGCTTCTAAAACTAATTTCCAAGGGTTTCATCTAAGTTTGGCCATTAAGACGTTTTTGGATAAGTATAAAGGACCTCCTGGTCCTAATTCGATGGAGTCAGTGCTTTCAGATATTGAAGAATTTTGGAGTAAGCACCTAAGTACGGGCTTGCAGTTTGGAGACTACTTGAAGTCTATGAATTTGAAACAAGACCCGTTTGTGAATTTTCTAAGCCAATTGTAAGTGCCTCGCATATGGATATTTAGTTTACACCATAGGAGAACTGTTAAACGACACCAGGTGGATTGAGTTTGGCGTTGCTTTCAGGCCATGCTGGTTCGTGGCCAGTGGTGCTTTCTTTTCATCTTCTTATACGTATAATATAAAGTTGGCTATTAAGTATTAGTGTTCGGTGTTAAGTGATAACAAATTTGCAGCCACAACTGAACAAAGTTCCATCTAAAAGTCAAATATTAGCCAGATTTCTTTGAGTAATCAGCACCCGATTTTTTACACAAACAAGCACCTCTCAAACATAAGCTTTCATCTAACAGATTCTGTTCTACGAGGGCCCTATGGTATAATAGGCGGAATGGTCGGGTGACATTGCACACAATTTCGCAGTGGTGCGCATACATATCACACCACCCGAATAGGAATTTTGTCTCCGACAAACTTTTCTATTACAACTAATGGCATTCAAACGAGTCTGTGTCATTGGAGCTGGCCCCAGTGGATTGGCCCTGATAAGGGCTTTGAATGGAGAGCCATTTGAGTTTGGTATCGATGTCTACGACCCCAGATCAAATGTCGGTGGGATTTGGAACTATTCTTCTAGCAAAGAAAAGTACAATGATACTAACGACCTTGAGGCCAACAAAGTGTACAACTTTTCCCCCATCTACGACAACTTAGAAACTAACCTTCCAGCCCGGTGCATGCAGTTCACCGATTTTCCATTCCCTGAAGGTAGCAAGTTTTTATTCAGAACATCTGTCATTGACTATTTGCAGAAATACGCCAAAACCATCGGTCCCTTCAATTTGCATTTGAACACCAAAGTTGTTTCTGTGGAAAAAACTAACGATTGGGCCGTCACCAGTGAAAATGTGACGACCGGAAACTTGTCAACCAAACATTATGATGCCATAGTGGTAGCAAACGGCCATTTTGAAAAGCCCATTTACCCATCCGTCAAGGGACTCGAGGAATGGCAACAAAAGGACCCCAAGTCAGTCATCCACGCCAAATTCTACAACAGTGCTAAGAAGTATGCCGACAAGACGGTGTTGGTGGTCGGGGGCTCATCTAGTGGGTGTGACATTGCCGTGCAAGTGAGCTCCACTGCTAAAAAAGTGTATGTTTCATGCGATGAAGAGTCAATTTTGAACAAGATCAGACATCCATACCTCGAAATTATTCCTAGAATCGACGAATACAACGTGAATCACCATGCAGCTACTTTTGAAGACAAAACCATAAAAATTGACCAGATCATCTTCTGCACTGGCTACTTCTATGATGTGCCATTCTTGAAGATCCCCTTGTGCGAATCACGCTACATCAAGAACTTGTACAAACACATTTTCTACGTCGAAGATCCGTCCTTGGTATTTGTGGGGTTGGGCAAAGATGTGAGTCCGTTCCCCATGGCTGAAGCACAGTCGAGTGTTTTGGCAAGGTATTTCAGTGGCCGGTTACAACTTCCTACTAGTGATGCGATGAGACAGGAGTCGAGTCAGGAGTTGGCACTAAAAGGCGCAAGACTCCATGGATTAAAACCCCCTAAAGAGCCTGAGTATGTGAATGAGCTCCATCATCTCATTGAGGAGCAGCATCTTGAGGGAGGATTCATGTTTGAGAAGTACGAAGGTGAAAAACTCGAAGCTAGGACTGCGGCTGCAGGCCTCAAATTGCAGCGACTCACCGCATATTGTGAGGAGATCGTTAGAGACAAAACTAAGAGAATACTAAGTTTACACGGAGCCGGAAAAGTATAGATATAGTAACGCAGACAGAAATCCAATTCAGGCAAGCCAGAGTCAGTTCAATAGTCATTTCCGAAGGTGTTTGTATTGATTGGATAACTCATAGGAGAGTGTTCACGTGGTGGTGCGAACACTGTCAGCGGCTCACAAAAGATTCGGACCGCCCCGCACGAGCCTTGGGGCCATCATTTGGTGCGCGTCACCCGACGTGTTGGCTGCAAATTATGGTTTGAGGATCAGTTGACGCACTTTAATTACTATATAAACATGTCCCAGTTCTTGAGATTTTTCTACATTACAACAATACAATACAAATAATTATAACAATATGAAGATCGGAATTAATGGATTCGGAAGAATTGGTAGATTGGTTTTGAGAATCGCCATCGCCAGGCCAGATATCGAAGTGGTCGCCATCAATGATCCATTTATTGCTGCTGACTATGCGGCTTACATGTTCAAATACGACTCCACCCACGGTAGGTTCAAAGGTGAAGTCACTTCTGAAGACAACACCTTGGTGATCAATGGTCACGTTATAAAGGTCTATCAAGAACGTGATCCAGTCAACATTCCATGGGGAAAAGACAAAGTTGAGTATGTGATTGACTCTACCGGTGTTTTCACCAAGTTGGCAGGCGCCCAAAAACATCTTGATGCTGGTGCCAAAAAGGTTCTTATCACCGCTCCTTCTGCTGATGCGCCAATGTTCGTTGTGGGTGTCAATGAAGACAAGTACACACCAGATCTTAACATTATCTCGAATGCCTCGTGTACGACCAACTGCTTGGCCCCATTGGCCAAGGTCATCAACGACAAGTTTGGAATCAAGGACGGTTTAATGACCACCATTCATTCCATTACTGCCACCCAGAAAACTGTTGATGGGCCCTCGCACAAGGATTGGAGAGGAGGAAGAACTGCTTCTGGTAACATCATTCCTTCGTCCACTGGTGCTGCAAAAGCCGTTGGTAAGGTCATTCCAGAATTGAACGGAAAATTGACTGGTTTATCCATGAGAGTTCCAACCACTGATGTTTCTGTTGTTGACTTGACTGTTAACTTGGCTACCACCACCACTTACGAAGAAATATGTGCCACCGTCAAAGCTGCTGCTGAAGGTCCATTGAAGGGTGTTTTGGGATACACTGAAGAGTCTGTCGTGTCGTCTGATTTCGTCACCTCCCATGAATCTTCTGTCTTTGACGCTAAGGCCGGGATTATGTTGACCCCCACCTTTGTCAAGTTGATTGCCTGGTACGATAACGAGTACGGTTACTCCACCAGAGTCGTCGACTTGTTGGAATATGTTGCCAAACAGTAAGTAGTATATACAAATATATGAAAGGGTTGAAGGAATATTAATCTCGTAGTTTTGATTCTCATTGAGATTGGTTGCAAAAATTTCCTGCTTTAAAATACTTTATGTTCATACTATGAATCTAACTCTGAATTCATCTCAGATCTTGGGCATCTCAGCTCTTCACAATCTCCACCACGATCTTACCATTGTTTTTTCCTTCAACTAAGTACTCGTATGCCTTCTGGTAATCGTCAAAACTAAACACAGTGTCGATATGAGGTTTTATCTTCCCCAGCTCAAAGTACTCTTTGACATCTTCGTACCCAAGGCCCGGTTTCACCACGCAATAGACAATCTTAATTTTAAGAAGCCCTACTGCAGAAAGCAAGACCTTTTTCAAAAACGGAAACGTAAACATTCCCATTAAACTAGCATTGGCCAAATCCAACTTTTTACCTCCACCACAACTGGCATACACACCATCTTCTTTAAGAAAAAAAGTTACGTGATATAAAAGCTTGTCGTTACCACGACAGTCAAAATAAACATCAAACAAACGGTCCTTACACTCATCCAAGACTTCATTCACAATTGAGTTGGTTTGGGTATAGTCGATAATCTTGTGAGCACCCAACTCCTTTATTAAAGGTGCAGACCGTCCCGAACAAATTGCAACCACCTCAGTGGCTCGGGGGTCTAACTTTAAAAGACTTATAAGGTACTTTCCAACAGAGGTTGACGCCCCGTTCACCAATACTTTAGTGCTTTCATTGAATACTGCTGTTTTCTTCAACAAAACAGCAGTTGAGTAAACCATTCCAAAGGAACCGGCCTCAGCCATCGTTAAATTCTCTGGTTTCTTCAACATCCCCCAGCCCTTGGGGTAGTGACTTCCTTCGAACATCACATACTCAGTCAAAGTGTTGGTGTATGCTGTTTGTGATGTTTGTCCACAGACCTCGTCACCAATTCGCAAGCCCAATTTCTCAGCAGCTTTATCACCAATATCCACTACAACTCCAGAATAGTCGTTACAAAGTCCAAAGTTTCCACGTAAATAGTTTACCCATGGACTGACAATACCTTTTAAAAGTATGTCAATGGGATTGAAACTGGCATAGTGGATCTTAACAAGGACATCATCTTGTCCAGCTCCATAAGTGCCATCGAGTTTCTTGGTGAGATTGATGGGCTTTGGAATTAGCTCCAATTGAGTGGTTTTGTAGTTTTGGTAAACCGGACTTGTAGATTCCAAGATCGGAGAGTTAAACATCGAAATACTTTGAAGCTGGAAAGTGAAGCTTGATGTTGGAAAATGTAGCAGATATGAAAAGTTTTGTACTCCTCAATATCTCACTAACGCACTTATCGGTCATTTGCAACAGTTAGTAATCGGCCGTTTTATCAAATACAAATTAATATGAGCTCAAGTTACCAGATAATCACGGACACTGACTTGCATACATAACTAGCCTACTGTGTACAATCTATTCTAACCTAACCCTTGTCGACTCTTGAATCTCACAGTAAGATTGGTATTGTATCACGTGATGGCCAATATATCAACTTCGCACTGCCCTCCAAAAACACCTCCATAACGACCTTAAATGTCCATTTTCTTCAAAGCTCCGGTGGACATCGAGATACGTCTTGAAGCCGAAGATTCTCGTAAGCACGTTGATGTCAAAAACCCCCAGGGAAGAATAGATAAGCTCCCGGTGTACAAGGATGGTGAAACCGTCAAAGGATCCGTCACGATCCGTACCAAGGAAGGACGGAAAGTCGAACATACAGGGGTCAAAGTCCAACTTCTTGGGTCAATTGAGACCAGCACCGACTCCATAACGGCATCTGAGTTTCTCACGTTGGCAACTGAATTGGCAGAACCGCTGGTGCTTACACATCAGGAAACCTATCCATTTGAGTTCAAGAACGTTGAGAAGCAGTATGAAAGTTACCGGGGAAAAAACGTTCGTCTACGTTACTACATCAAAGTCTCCGTTTCACGGAGATCACTGCTGGAGATTACCAGGGAGAAGGAACTTTGGGTTTACCAAATCACCGAAGTTCCCAATGAAAGTCCTCTGTCAATCGTCAAAATGGATGTGGGGATCTTAGATTGTCTTCATATAGAGTTTGAGTACCTGAAATCACGCTACTCTCTCAAGTCGGGCATTATGGGTAAAATCTACTTCTTGTTAGCCCGGCTCAAAATCAAGCACATGGAGATCTCATTAATTAGACGAGAAACTGTGGGTGCTGCTCCCAATCAAGTCACCGATAGTGAGACGGTGGTGCGGTTTGAGATTATGGATGGTGCTCCTGTCAAGGGAGAAACTATTCCTATTCGGCTTTTTTTGGGTGGGTTCGATCTCATTCCCACATATAAGGATGTGAATAAGAAGTTCAGTGTGAGGACTTATTTAAGTTTGGTGTTGATAGATGAGGATGCCAGACGGTACTTCAAGCAGAGTGAGATCTTGTTGTACCGAGACTCATGAATCTCCAACAAGCAGACACTCTCAGTCCTCAATCCGCCAATATGCCTCTAGGTACTTGATATAAATTACACACTGAACAAGTTGGTACTCGAATTGTCCCCTTGTCTATTGAGATACAACAAATACAAACCACCTTGCCAGGTCAAGGACGTAAAATTAACCAAACACCGCATGCCGTAGACTTAACACTCTTTATCTCATCTCAAATCATCGACAGCCGCGAAAACAACATTTCGTCACGGTACCTCCACAAATGCAAAACAACATATCCACGCTACGAGGTAGTTCATTGGATTCTCTTGATAGTGTTACAATGACTCCTTCAAGTGGAGAGGACCTCTCCACCTCCAAAAACAACCAAGCCGTTACCGTTTCCACAGCGGGTGTTCGAGCTCTCATCTATCAGCTCCAAGCGCTTTATATGAGAACACCTGTTAAGTTGTTCCGGCCCTCGCGTTTCGACTACTTGGCGCACATCCGTACGCTTGCACACGTCAACGAAGGTATAAACTTGAAACCCTGGCGCTTCACCACTCACTCATCACTTGCACTTCTAGTAAAGGCCGTGAACAAACAAGGTTGGCGTCTTATTCCTGAACAGGTGCTACCGCCGCTTCTCGCCAATTCTGCTACTGGTCTTATTCTCTATGGAACTTACTTGTCAAGCTTGGACCACTTCGATGGTGGTAAAAGCAGTCGCTCAACTTCTAGTTGGGGTCCACTCCAGTATTCTCCAATTGATACTTGGAGAGCTGGGTTTGTGGCTGGTATAGCTCAGTCACTAGCCGCCGCTCCGGTGGATGCGATCTATGCCCGGTCTTCGACTGCAGATATCATTAATGGGAAGCACCTGAACCTATGGGTGTATGGGCTAAATAAGCTTAAAGAAATAGGACTTGTGGGAGTATTTGCAGGGTATGGGTTTTCACTAATAAAGGAGAGTTTTGGATTTGCTTTCTACTTTTGCACGTTTGAAGTCGTCAAGAATCAATGCTATGGTGCAACCATATCCGTTGTTAAAGGGTTGCGGAAAGTGAAAAGATTCTTTCAGAGGCTTTTCGCCAATATAGGGAGTTACGAGATAGACGAGGAGTTGACGAGGTTCGAAGAAAAACGGCTGGCCAAGATCTTGCGGTCCTCATTCGTGCTTCTCGCTGGTGCTTCGGCCGCCTGGATGTTATTGGCTGTTCAATATCCCATCTCAAAAATTCAGAACTTGCACTTATCAAGGCTCGAAGCACTAGACATCTTCAATTCTTCACGCAAAACATCACATAGAAGACCCTTTTTCAAAGTGTACTATAACTCGTACATTGACACATACCACCAGGTGCTTCGGATGAAGAGGAAAACAAGACAAACCTGGTTCAATATGGCTTATAAAGGGTTTGCCAGAAATGCTTTGACCACTATACCTGCCACCTCTATTGGGTTATTGGTTTTTGAAATCATGAGAACCCGATTGCTGGATAGAGACTACTAGTACATGTATATAGATTCTTGTAGATATTTCACGTCGTCGTATATGGTTAATGTTCACATAGTGTACAATACTTACCTACCCTAATTACCACATCTCTTTTGGTATGCAGCCCATCCAGCATCTCTATATCTCTTTCCTTCTACGTCAGGATCTCTTCCTTTACCAAAGAGACCTCTTCCTACAATGATAATATCAGTTCCAGTACTGACCACTTCATCAACAGTACGGTACTGTTGACCCAAGCCATCGCCTTTGTCATCCAAACCAACTCCAGGGGTCATTATAAGCCAGTCAAACCCTTCTTCACGGCCACCCATATCTCTTTGAGCGATAAATCCAATGACAAACTCTTTGTCAGTCTTGGCTATTTCAACGGTCTTATCCGTATACTCACCGAATGCTAAAGAACCTTTTGATGACAACTCTGCCAACATCAAAAGTCCTCTTGGTTCCTGGGTAGTTTCTTGAGCTCCCTGTTTCAAGCCTTGTACAACACCAGCTCCGGTGACACCGTGGGCATTAGTGATATCAGACCATTGGGCAATTTTGTACGCACCTCCAACGTATTGGGATCTGACAGTGTTTCCGATGTCTGCAAACTTTCTGTCTTCAAAAACCATGAAGTTATGTTTCTTCGAAAGTTCAAGAAGAGGAACGATAGTTCCTTCATACGAGAAGTCATCCACAATGTCGATATGAGTTTTAACAAGACAAATGTATGGTCCGAGCTTGTCGATGAGGGAGAGGAGTTCACTGGTGGTTCTGACATCAACCGAAGCACAAAGGTTGGTCTTCTTGGAGTCCATGAGTCGAAGAAGTCGCTGAGCCACTGGAGATGGGTGAATTTCAGCTCTTTGGGTGTACGATTGAGTAGTAACCATCTTGAGATCAATCTTAGTGGAGATAGAGATGAGTTTTTTTTTGGTGCGATTTCGATGATGTGCAATAATTGAGTATTAAGTTTAATCTACTTCATCTGTGTCATTTGAAACAGTGGCTTGTGCATCTTCTGCACTTTGCTCTATGACAGGATCTATAGTCTCTGTGGCGGGATCTGCATTTGACCGTGATCCAGTTGCTGTAGTATCAGCAGGTTCTTCTTTAGCTTCACTCTCAGGCCGTAATTCGCTGTAGATCGAGCTAACCTTGGTCCAAGTAGGTTCCCATAACTCCTTATTTTCTGGCGAGAGAACCCCTCCGCTCTGAAGAACCAATAACATGTTCTTCAACAATTCCATACCCGATTCATGATTGGCAGAATTGTCTTCGGTGGTTGCTGCTTTCTGAATATCGTCGAAAGATTTAAACCCATCAAGGATTCCAATCCAAGTGATTTGAATTTCCTCTTCCAGGAACTTTCCGATAAAATGAAGAAACACTTTGCTGCACAAGGACAACGCTTCGACCTGAGTGGTCACAAACCCTTGAGGGTCCGTTTGAATAACTGAAGGCTTAGCCAATTCACCTAAAAGGGGGAAGAGACCAAACTGGAAAAGGCCGGCTGGAGGAAGTTGGTTGTCGTGAGACTCCACGGCGGTGAGAACGGTTGATTTGAGCGTATTTAAAGCGGTGGAACGTACTTCACGACAAGGATTGAAACATTGGTGGGCTAACGCTTGTACTAATGGATACCCAGCATTATCGCGGGTGAACCCATCTTTTCCAAACACATACAGCAATTCCGAAGTAAGAGCAATTGACTTCTTTGAGGTATTGATGAGTTCACGAAGATACTTGCTTTTATCCTCTTTACCTTGTGCTTTGGCATGATTTGAAGAGTCTTGTTCCCATTGTGCTGCAAATGCTCCAACAGATGAGATTTCATCCAAAAGACCTAACACCAACATAAAATTTTCTGGCGAGATATCGTCTACAGATTCTTTGATTAGTGATTCTGTGAGTCCTAGCACCTTGGAGGAAAATACAGGAATCGCTCCAATAGAACGAAGTACTTTCCAATACTGCTTGGAAGAAAGTAGCTGTTGGCTTAAAGTAGACGAGGTGCTCACGAGCGAAATCAAAGGGCTTATCAATGGCTCACCGAATTTAGTTAAGATATCCTTATCAAGAGAAAGAACACTTCCTAGTGGTAACTCTATGTTTCCGACAATTTCATCTTCAGCCAGAGGATCATCGGTGAGAGTACTTAATTCTTTCCATAGCACCAATTCATAAACCGCCATTCTCAAATCGCCTTTTTTGCTCAAAGTTCCTCCTACTTTAGAGATCTTCTGGATTATTTTTTTGAATAATAGCTTGTCATTGGACAATAATGCCAAAAATACCAGGTTTTCAGTGATGAACAACACCTCCAGCTCGTAATACCGTTTCAGAACATCATCGAGCTTCTCTGGTATAGCATCTACCAATAGCTGGGCCAATAAAATTTTGTTTTCTTGACCTCCCTCAGCTACAGTCTTAAACAAAGCAACTAAATCCAACGACTTGACACAGTCAATAGTGCTTAATGTACTTTCAACCTCCAGGTCAGTAGGCTCAGGTGGTTCATCAGAATATCCCTTCAAAAATGACGAAAATGTCAGCAAAAGACCTGACTCTCTCAAAGGCTTGGAGCGGTTGATAATATAACGTGGCTTCGCTCTCGTTAACAGAGGAAGTGAAAGCGTCTTCTGAAACTCACTGTACATGTTAGGGTCCACAAGACAGCTTTCGTAAAGAGTGAGAATAATCTTGATAACTTTCTCCCAAGCTGGAGTAACACGACACTTTGTCTTCTTGAGTAGTCGGAACAAAACAACGGTAGCGATCTGAGCTTTGAAATCTCTTCCAAACCAGACTGCAACATCACTTACGGTTATGGTATCGTCTTTCCCTTCAAGCTTGATTTGAGTTATAGGTATTTCATCCCGCAAGTTGTCATCACTTTCGTCCTTATTACGCTTCAACCCTGCCGGATCTGTAAGGGTGGTAAGGTCGGCAAGAAGACCTATGAGTAGATCCACTGGCTCAAGAATTCCGTATTGTAGACAAATATTCACAGATTTATCGATAGTGGACATAAGACGAGTAATGATATGGTCATCAGTAGCTTCATTAAAAATTTGGACGAGAGTCTTTGTAATAACGCCAACCGTATCAGCAAAAAGATTCTTGTCATATACAGAAATGTCGTCAATAACTTCTTCATGGAGATCATTATTAGCCAAAGCTTCGGCAGAAACGACATTATTCCACACGTCATCAAACCACTTCTCAGTACCATGATGTTCTTCTGGCATGATAATTTCCCTATCTCTGATACTGCTGTAGATCTTAGAAAGATACCATTCGGGATAATTATCTCCTCCGTTGTATTGTCCTCTGAGATTCTTTTTGTAAGCTTCAAGAGTCATATGCTTTTTAACTTGTGGGTTATGAAGGTCAGTATTAAGAAGAATGATTGAGAATGAAAGAACAAAGACCGAATCTTCGTCAGGCCTAACCGTCAGTACATCTGGTTGATCGGCCTCTTTCAGATCCGGTTGTTTTTCCTCTTTCTCAGTCTCTTTCAAATCGGGTTGCTTTTCCTCTTTCTCAGTCTCTTTGATAACCTCTTGACATTCAGCATAACGTGAAGCAAAAGTTTCGACAATACGTTCAATCTGTTGAGCTTCTCCAGGCAAACGGAAGGTTTTTAACAACAACCGGATGGCCTCATCCACACGCAATCCTTCATAATCGAAAAGTGACATGAAATGCTTCAACAAGTCTTTGTTACTGGATTTGGCGAGATATTCTCCTAACACTTTTTTGTTCAATCGACCCAGTTTATTATACATAAATTGGGAAACTTCAGCAATATCATTAGGATCCTTGATGAAGCCATGACGAACAAGAGCAGCAAGGCCAAGAGAGGGTTTCTTGTTGAATTCGTCGGTGCACTCCACAAACGCCTTTTTATTGGCTTTATTGGAAAGACGACGAGGAACTTCATCGAGGTCCGACAGTGATTCGAGAAATTGTCCTTTCTTGACTCTTTCATTGATACCATTCACAAACGACAACAACCCTTCAAGGCATAGAGGAGGCACATTGTCAGTAGAAACTCTAGCCAGTTCTGGAAGGGCAAGAGTACAGATGAATTCTATCAATTGACGAGCCAAATCTGCTCTATCAAAGTCACAGTCATAATCAGCATATAATCTGGTAAAAAAGTAGGGATCTCTAGTCCAAAGAAGTGATAGCAGCTCAAGAAACATTTCTTTAGCAGTTGGAGAAGCAAATGTAGAGCCGGCAACAACCGAACTTGAGGCCCTTGCAGTTGCACCCAGACCCGTAGATGCTTTGGAGGAAGAGGTGGAAGATTGCGAACCAACAGCATTGAACATCAACGAGAACGTCAACTCTATTTGACTCTTCAAATGAGGGCCTAAAACAACAGCCATGGTTGCAAAGACTCTCCAAGCAACTTCAAGCAAAGCAGGAGACTCAACAGTAGCAATGATCTGAAGAACATGTTTGGACACTGGATCTGTAAACAAGCTCATAAGTGATGGGTGGGTGTAAAAATGATGGCCACTAACCTCAACAGCAGTGTTGATAAGACGAAGTGCAAGCACACGCGTACTTTCCATATGCTGGTATTGGTTAGAAGGCGAGATCATTGAAATGAGAATTGACGTGAACTCTATGAGAGCAGACACATCGAAACCATCGTCTGAATTGCTGTCTTTGTCTTCAAGAACCCTGTCATCTTCTGCAAGGTCTTCAGTTGGCTCAGTAAAGTTGGATTCAGAGTTTACTGTTGGAGACAGTTCAGTTCCAGTATCTTTTGTGTCAATCGAGCCCTTTTGTAGGTCTTCCTTGTCGGTTTCTTCACCAGATTCTTTCCGAGCAGCTGCAGCACCAATAACATCCTCGGGCAACTCACCCACCACCACCGAACCCGATTCCTGTTCAGGAAGCTCGCTCAAGCGAGCAAATATACGAGCGGTGATATTACCAATGGCCATTTCAGCTGCTCTTCTTAACACCTCACTTCTCTTCTTATTGCAAGCAAGAGACAAACAAGTTTGAACCACCTCCAGCACCACGTCGTTCGGGAGAAGCCCCGCGTGTGGACTGGTGGCGACGGCCTCCATGAGCCGTAACACTTTAAGAAGCACAGCATCGTCTGAACTCTGATCTGCTGCTTCGAATCGACAGTGTGTAAGAGCAGAGCAAATTTGTCCTAGCGTAGGACCAAGATTGGGCGAACGATCTGTAAGGACGCCATACTGTAAGAACCTGGAAATTGCCTCAAGGGCCATGGCCGTAATCCTCCCAGAGGTCAGTGGCAGCTTTACCACCAAAAGAAATGGTTGGAGAACCGTAAGACTGTCGAGCACCTCGATGTCTGTTGCCTCCAGGAGCATGGACCGAAGTTGCACGAAGCTCAGCACGAGAGGCATGGCGGTACTGGGATGGGCGGTGCCATTGGGATGGGGTGGACCGTGAGAGCCGTGACGGTTTGTGGGAGCAAATCCAAGATTCGTGGTAAGCAGGTCGTCGTCAGCGCCAGTTCCACCAAAAAAGTCATTACCACTACCCAAAATAGCAGCCATTCCGCTTTGCTGGTACCTGCTGACCTTGCGCATGGCCAGCAGCATGGCCATACACTCAGTGATGGCGAGCGTTAACGGATCAATTGCAAAAGATGAAAAGGCTCCGGTAGCAGCTATGGAAGACTGAACGTGAAAAGTCAGATTGTAACCCGACATGCCGACGTCTGTTGAGGGCTCTGGAGTGCCCCGTGACGACAGAACATTCGAGTTCACGTGGGAACCGAAGAGATGTGGAGACACGCCGGCGATTCCAGGGTTGTTACGATTCATGGACGTTGTTAGTTTGTGGATGAGACTGATTTTGCTTTGATCTTGTTTTGACGAGAGCGTGGAAAGGACACGACTATGCCTCTGGTGTGCACGGGTATGCCACCGAGGTGGCTCGCGGTAGATCGCGGTGTAGGTGTATGTACATGTAATAAATATAGGCTAGTTCACATTAAATACGCCGCTGGTAGTACCCACGGAAGCTAGTCCACGCCAACCTCCACTCCTTTGCGTCCATAGCCGGTGCAAATATATCAAAATCATTTTTCTCCAACCGACGCAAATAAAGAGTGGTGGGAATCGACACCATGAACGGTAAGAAGATTACATCAGGTATACCATGTCTCCATTTTCGATGATTTTTCTGGAGAAGCTTATCGTTAGGGTTCAGCTTCACCACCTTTGCGGTTTCTTCACGGATCTCTTGGAGCTTCTGACGGGCAGTAAGAATATGGTCATTTGCAACCACTGCGACATCGTAAAAACAGTTTTGGAGCAGTTGCCGAGTAGCTGCCATATCCTGATCATGGCCTTGCGCCAACCGGAGAAACTGTTCTTGGCTCACGTCATGACGGGTCATCACGTCAACCGGTACCGTCACAGAGTTCTTGGACGCATAGTACTTGGATCCCAATACCATCGATGCAACAGCAGTAGCCTGGCCTATATGTGCCGCCACATCACTCACTAAGCCTTGGAGACGGCGCAGGTGCTCGAGGAGCAGAATTGCCAGAGGTGAAATGCCCGGCGAAAGTAAAAGTCCCTGTGTCAAATAATTAAGCTGTGAGTAAGTTCCTTCCCCGTACGCACATATATCGTCAGTGGAATTAAACCCACTAGAGTTCAAGAAGTGCCGCCGACTCTGGAGGAACTGGTGGAGGCATGAGAGCTCGAGGTTAAGGTTGTTGCGGAGGGCATCTCGCAATAAAAATGCTATGGGCTCCCCAATGTTGGTATCTGAGTCGGGATTGGTGAAGATTCGTGTGAGCAAATCACTCCAGAACTTGAACTTGAGGTCCACCGCCGACACCCCTAGAGGGCTGGGGCCGGAGGATTGCTTGGGGGCAATCTTATTGATTTCCAAATTGAAGGCACGAATAGCCAAAAATGCATCTCTCGTAGGTTCGGGCATATACTGAGCAAGTAAATAGGAGGACCTATCTTGAGACTCAAGAATCTTATTGACGTCCTCTCGGGCGATTTCAAGGGTTGCAGCATAACCACCTCCAGCAGTCATGCCCAAGTATCGGATTCCTCCCATTGAATACCGAGGTTTGAAAAGTAACATGTTTGCGGTGTGAGCTAGAATAGATTATCTCATCGATTCATCGATTCGCGACTTCACAAATTTGCAACATGAAGGTAGAGCCAGTGCGTACCCAAGCATTCATGGATGTGTCCATCGGCGGCAAGCCGGCCGGCCGTATAGTGGTTGAACTCTTTGAGGACATGGCACCATTGGCCGCCCTAAACTTTATCAACTTGTGCACAAACACTGATGGATACACCTACAAACACAACTACTTCCACAGAGTGATCAAGAACTTTATGATCCAAGCTGGAGATGTGGTGAACTGTGTGGATGGAAAACCATACACAGATGATTCTGTTGGCACCTCCAACATTTCTACCGTCAATGGCGAGAAGTTGTTCCCGCTCGAAAACCAACAAGAACCTCTCGATGCCCTGTTCAAGTTGTGCACTGCCAATGCCAATGCTGCTGCCAACGGTCTGCAGTTTTTTATCACCACCCACCCACAAAGTCACTTGAACGGAAAGCATACGGTCTTTGGCCGTGTAGTGCACGGGAAGTGGGCTGTTCGTCAGATCGAGCAGGTTAACACCAACCCCAATAATTGTCCTACTGAGAACGAAAAAGTGGTGATTGAAGACTGTGGTATTTGGGAAGAGTCGATGTCGGTGCCCGTGTTCAACTCATGTGCTGATACCACCGGTGGTGACATCTACGAAGAGTACCCTGATGACGATGAGCAAATCGACAAGGAATCGTCGGAGCTGGTATTCAATGCGTCTACCATCATTAAAGAAAGCGGAACTTTGTTGCTCAAACAGGGCCGCAAGCAGGATGCTTTGTTCAAATACCACAAATGTTTGCGGTACGTGATGGAGTATATTCCCGATGATGAGCAGGAACCTCAGTGGTATGAAAAGTACTACGACTTGAGAAAGAAGCTCTACCTTAACATGGCCCTTGTGTACCTTCAAGTAGGAGAGCCAACACGGGCAATTGACTTTGCCCTGTATTTATTGGACCTTAAAGCATCCACTGCGGAGAGGGCCAAGGCCCACTATCGTCGTGGACTCGCGTATGTCGCTAAGAACCAATTCTCAGAAGCGGTTAATGATTTCACGGAAGCATCTAAGTATGTGCCAAACGATGAGGCTATTAAGAGAGAATTGAAGCGGGCAGAGGATTCGATTGAGAAGAAGAAACGTACTGAAAAGGCCCGGTACGCCAAGTTTTACCAGTAGCTCAGTAGTCACATATATGTATATAGGGGAGGTAAGCGTATGTACTACAGTAATCTATGATAGAACAGTTTATGCTAATAGAACAGGGTATAATGCGTGTGTTCACTCTGGTGATGCAGGTCTCTCGGAGGGAGTAGGTCCTTCAGCAGGGGATTCAGACAGACCGGAGCCCGATGACGACTCTCTAGTGGATGATACTGGTGCTGGTGGTGGAACTGATGTATTTGCATCGTCTGCGAGACTTCGAAGGTTCAAGAAATCCAACACTTCCTCTGTTGCCAGGGTCTGAGACTGCACCTCAGTCCGGGACTCAGTCGTGGGCCTAAGATTTGACATGAGTATGGGAATGGCCATCGATGCAGACACGGCGGTGTTAGAACTGTCTAGAGAACCAGGAGGTCGACTATATGTCCCCGATGACGTGGTTTCAACTCCATCTGCTGTCCGCCTGCTGGAAACCTCAGTTGGGAACAAAGGTTCTTGCATTGACCGGCGAAAGTAGTTAATGACTTGCGAGTAGATTTCATTTCCACGTTCATTGCTTTCGTCTAGCCCCGAAGCAGTAGCTCTTGATTCATCAGAGGGGTCAGTGGGAGCCGGTGGTGAAGGGCTGCCCATAGTGGACACAGCTCTTCTGGCGGCACTGGCACTTACCATGGACCTGATTTGGTCAAGGCCAGTTCTCGTTACCACTCGCACGTTGGGCCCGGCGAAGGTGGTATTGAGAATTCCAAACTGGGAATCATCACCAGGAGCCATGTCAGTATCAACTGGCGGTTGAGACTCATCTTCATCCTTCAGAACAACCTCCCGGCACAAGGGGCATGTCACATGACTTTTGAGCCATTCACAAACACACAGCCGACCAAACACATGTTTACAGGGCAACTGCACCGGTTGATGTCCGAGCTCTTCGGTCATATCCTTTAGGTACCTAACCGCAAATCCGTGGGAGTCAGAAGATGTTTGAGATGCAAATATTGGCACCGAAGAAGACTTATCCACACGTCTTCTTTTGGCAGGAGGTTCTTGTCCGATGTCTGAAACTACCGGCTCCTCAAAAGCTTCAAGGCAAATAGAACAGTCCCGTTCCTCAATTTCGTCCAAGCCTTTGAATGGGAACGACATGAACCGTTCTGTGGTCAACCCCTTTTTCTCTTTCTGAAGTCCGTTGACAATGGTCGAATAGGCCATTTGTGTAGCAAGCAGAATGAATTCGTCGAGGGTACGGGGATTCCGAGTCGAGGAGTTGTTGGGAAGCGTCAACACAAGAGATCCGGACCGGTTGGGGTTGGATGGGTTATTTTCGTCTGAGAACAAGTAGTTGATAGTGATGACAATGGCACTTGAGTCGTCCTCACGAACGGATGGGTGCAGAGTACCGGTGGACTCTTCGGTGGATGGACCAGTGGCCCCACGAAACCGCTGTGCCGTTTGCCGAAGGAGGTTATGAATACTCCGTGTGAAGCTGTTGTCGACGGGTGGGTCATTTGGCGTTTGTGGATTGGGAGCATCTGTTTGTGGATTGGGGGTATTAGGTTGAGGATCTGGTGGCATGTTCTGGTTAGAGCTACTGCCGTTAGACGGCTGGTCTGGCACCAGGGACATATTTGCTGTCGGGGCAGCAGTCAGACCAGAGGATTGCAGGCCGGTGACCGGTTGGGCTGGAGGCTGATCTGAAGAGTTTCCTTGTGCGTTCATGGGTAGAACGGTTGGAGGAGTAGCGGTGATGAACCTAGAAGGACGTCACCGGACTCAAAATGGATGGGGATTAAATATGCAGATGTGTATGTCGATAGCACTGTTACAATGACATAAAACAAAAGGGTGGTGGTAACTAAACACCTCTAAGGAGTAGATTATTAATGATAGTAAAAGTGGTATTTTCTCGCGACCCTCTGATTCGAGTGACGACTGCGAAACTTCAGACGACAATCGAAAACTACGAGAAGCGTTTGGAACATGGAATATTGAAGCCCCCATTTCATACATAAACCTATTATAATGCTAAAATCACCCCGACAAATGCTGCCGCTGTCATGAGCTTGGGCACCATTCTAATAGCCCCAGAGTCTCTACTACTATCGGTATCACTATTAGACAAGGTCACTGACCCAGACGCGGTGGACTCAGAACCACCGGAGTTGGCAGCGGTGGCAGCGGATACCACGGACAGAGCCTGAGGAATATTGGAGGAAATCACCTCGATATCCTCCTCATCACTGTGGTTCACTTGAGCTAACGAGATGGTCAAATCCTCAAGATCGTAAACCACATAGGCATTGCGCAAGAAGTTGTCTCCCAAAAGAAGATAGTCGGAGCTCAGGCTCTGTGCCAATATCCCAAACGCACAGGTACCGGAAGTCACCTGCACCACAAAGTGGGAGATGGGACACGAGATATTAATGCCACTAAAGGTGAAGTCGATGGAGGTGTCACCGCTGACATCACAGTCAATGAGGTATGCCCCCACCGAGTTGGAGTAGTCAAGACCAAGTGTAGACGCAGTTTTCTCCAATAATGATTGCGGGAAATATGACAAGGTCAGACCCGAGTCCAAGAGTGCCGTGTACCCGTTAGAGTTAACTTGCACTGAGTCTGAGTTGGTTAACAGGATTTCATCGACATTGATTTCTAACCGAATAGGACTTTCGTACCCGTATGATTCAAGGGTGTTAACAATAGGAACGGTTTGGAGGGTTCCCGAATACTTGGCATGGTCCACAGCTCCAAATAAAACCGTACCAGTTTTGGAGTCCGAAGACCCAAGGTAGAGAGAGTAGGCATTTTTGGCAATGATATTTTGAGATGCAAGTCTTGCCGGTAAGTTTTCATACGTGTATGCGTTGGATGTACCCAGGGAGTATGTGACTTCAAGCATGGCTAATCCGATTCCAAGCACGCCGATATTGGAAGAAGTATCGTTGGACACAGCAAATGACAAGTTATTGACGGTGGCATTGCTGATCTTGACGTCGTCATAGCCCCAGATCCCTTCAGCACTGGTACCGTCCGCGTACCGAATCAGGAAAGCTGGTGCCAGCGAGTTTCTGGTGAAGGATTCTGAGTTCGCGGTGTTGAACAGGCCATAAGACGTACATGTGTTTGTAGTGGAACCCGAGTCGGTGGCAACGGCAACCGCAACGGCACTGCCGGAGCCGCTACCACTACCGCCACTACCACCAAACGGGGAGTCGGTGGTGATGCCGAAAGCACTCAAAATGGAGTTGGCATTTGCCTTCCCTTGGAGTTTCTCTGTTTTGGTGGGGGAGATGGAATCTTCGTGTGGATGTACAAAGATATCTCCAACATGAAGTCCAAGGTCTCTCTTCTTGGTTGACGCTGATGATGACTCAGCATGACAGTCCACGTCATGTGCCATCACCCATAAATCCGACAGCCCCGTATCAACAAGAACCTGGTTCTTGTCGCCGTTAGAACCAATTTCAAGCTCGGTAAGGTAGAACGTATCGGCATTTTCAAGAGTCATCTCGAAGAAATCCCGACGCCAGACCTTTCTCCCTCGTTCGAAGAGTGGCAGCGATGCTTGTTCTTCGTCAGAGAGCATTCGACGGATGAGTCTCGGCGTTCTTTCAGTCCCCATATCAGTCTTGGAATTGCCCCGCTGGATTTCGAAATTGAGGGCAAAAAAACCCGGCTGCTCGGTCGGTACCACTGTCGTTTCAACTTGAGTAGCAGCAGCCATACCGACGTGCCAGGATGCGAGAATACTAGCAGTTAGAGGTCCCAATTTCATTGCAAAAAACCAGTGCCCGCCAATAAAATGCGAATCTACTGCTATTTATATATAGGGTTTTGCAATGCTAAGAAAATTATTCTGCGCCTATCACGCACCTTGCTCACTTTGCTTGGTACCTTGCGGGAACCGGTGCAGGGGCCTATTTGAGTGGCGGATCAGTTCGGGATAGAGTTGTGGAGTTCTAGGATGATCCTGGATGATCCTGGATGACCCTGGTGCGTTAGTGGCTATTGGCTAACAGTCTGGTGGAGAGGGGCTGTGAGGTTTGCAGCCAATAACCCGAAAAGGCTTATCCTCAGTGACTATGTCAGCATCTTTTGATATGTCAGCAGAGTTGATGGAAGGCCTGATAGTGGCGGTGCATTCACAGGTATTGTTTAGTGGGTGTTCATAGAGGGCGAATATGCTTTCAAAGCAGGTTGTTTCGGTTTACATTAGTTTCTATATGTGGTTATGGCGATATATGCAAACTCCACTCTATCCGTTTGGATGTCGTCTAGACCACACGCTCAGCTCCGCTTAACTTCACCGCCGCTCCGTATTTCTGCAATTTGGTCAACAATCCGTCACCCTGCTTGATCAACAAATGGTACTGACTGTTCTTATTGTCCGGACGAGTGGTTTCAATGATCCCATTGACCTTGTCGATTGTGCAGTTGAGCTTCTTGTTGGGGATAAACTTACACAAGTCGTTGTCCAAGAACTCTTCCGAGATGTTGAAGTTACGGGCCATCGACTTTAAGGACAACAGCTTATAACTCTCCAACAACTGTCTGTAGGCTTTGCATCTCAACTCCCGCAAGAAATAATTGGCATGTTGCGCAAGGTACTTGTTGGGCACAAGTAACTGGTCGTAAGTTTGAAGCAAGTACTCGAACAAACAGTTGTATTGGCAAGTGTATAAGGTGTTGGTCAAGTTCACCAATGGCTCAAGCTCGGGCGCAGACGAGTAGATGGATAATATTTCTGGCAGGTCGATGATCTTGGATTTCAACTCGGTTCTGCTTAAAGACAAAACCCCGGTGACAATGGCATAATGGGCAATCTGTTCATAGCTGCACACCTCACTAGAAGTGAAGGTCGCCAAAGAGTCGATCAAAAGCCCAGACGCCTCGGCAAAGTTTCTGGTGGCCATAAGGTAGAGCCCGTTGTATGTCTTGAACCGATTCCGACGTTCCCAATCACCTCCCTTGTCACTCAATTGTTTGATTTGTTCCAAATATTTAGCAGCTTCGTGGAAGTCATTGAAAAAGAACTCAACTCTCGTGAGCGTAAGCAACATATCGATTTTGTAGCCGGTGTTGGAAGTCAATTCTAAGGTCTTTTTATAAGTATCAGTGGCGTTTTGGCGGTCAATGATCGTGGTGTAGTACTCGGCAAGCTTCAAGTTGGTTTGCACAACGTCCAATTCACTTTCTTCGTCACTTTCAGCTTCCTTGACTCTGGCCTGCAACACTGAAAGCTGTTCCTCATTGGCTGCATTCAATTTCTCGTACACAGACTCGACATATGGGAAATCACTGTACTGTTCATGAAGATACTTGTAGTAAGGACCCATGTTTGCCTCAGTGATTTCTGATGCGAGCTCCTCAAAAATGGCTGCCCGCGCACTGGCCTCGGAAGTGTTCGCAAGAAGGAACTCTTTCTGGGAGAGGCGGTAGTCTGGGATTTGTAACACGTCAGATTCGAACTCCATGATGTTTTGAAGGCAAATGAGATTTCCAAGTGTTCGCGAAATGGGTGGGAGAGGATGTCGTTGGATGTCGCATTCTCACCGGTCGCAAACCGCACTGGCATTTGTGGGGAACAAGAAGTATAAAACCTCACACAATTCCATAGCCATTATTCACAAAGAATTTTCATTCCAATGACAGACCTTGACATTCCAGCAGTATTCCTTGATAAGATCTCACCACGTGGCCTCGAGGCGATCCGCAAGACCTACGACTTTGTGCATAACTACTGTATTCCTGCGGATGCTCTCTACTTTGACCAAATTTCCCAGGATCCCGAACAAAGGTGGAAAACCACTCCTGAAGTCACTGAAAAATTGAAACAAAAGGCCAAACAATTAGGTTTGTGGAACATGTTCCTCTCTAAGCACTATACCGATGGACCTGGCTACACAAACTTGGAGTATGGCCTTATGGCGCAATTCTTGGGCCGGTCGTTCGTGGCACCCGAGGCCACCAATACAGGTGCACCCGATACAGGTAACATGGAGATTCTCGCCAAGTTCGGCTCGGCCTATCACCGGGAGCAGTACCTCCTTCCATTGCTCCGCGGTGAGATCCGCTCGGCGTTCTTGATGACAGAAAAAGGCACTTCTTCATCCAATGCCTTGAACATCTCATGCTCGGCCCAGAAGAATTCACACGGCAACTACGTTCTCAATGGAGTCAAGTGGTTTGCCTCTGGTGCAGGTGATCCTCGGTGTCGCGTGTGGTTGGTGATGTGCAAAACCGAGTCTCTGGACAACATCTACCGTAATCACAGTGTGTTGGTGTTGGATGCGAAAAAGGCTTTAGCTTCAGGAAAAGCCAAATTGATCCGACCACTCAGCGTGTTTGGCTATGACGATGCTCCTCATGGACACTGTGAGGTGGAGTTCAACGACTTTGAGGTGCCAGCCGAGGATATGGATAATTCTATCCTTGGTAAGGTGGGTATGGGATTTGAGATCATCCAGTCTCGTTTAGGCCCTGGGCGTATTCACCACTGTATGCGTCTTATTGGTGCCGGAGAATATGCCTTAATGAGGGCGGTGCTGAGGGCTGCCGGCAGAGACATTTTCGGCAAGCCCATGGTGAAGAGAGAATCATTTCTCAATGCTTATGGAGAGCATAAGCTTTCACTTCAGAAATGCCGTCTTTTGGTGCTTAATGCAGCTCATCAAATCGATATTTCGAATGCTAAGACTGCCAAAAGAGATATAGCCATGGCCAAAATCGAGACTCCCAGAGCAGTATTGAAGATTCTTGACTGGTGTATTCAGGTTTATGGGGCTGAAGGAGTGTCTCAAGACACAGAGCTTGCAAAGATGTATGCTCACGCTCGGACTTTGAGAATCGCAGATGGACCAGATGAAGCACACCTTGGACAGCTTGCACGGGACGAGTCAAAGAAGTTTGCGGAGGTGGTGAAGTACTTTGAGGGACACAAGGCACGTCAAGACCAAGTCCTGAAGTTGTGAAACCATCGACCCCCATCGTCTTGCAGTATATAATAATACATTTCCGACATCTATTAGTTGTTTCTGCGCTCCTTTAATTTTCGTTGTCGTATACTTTATATACATACACTAATACAAGTCAGACTTCGTGAAATCGTTAATCAACCCTCTCAGCAACAACAGCTTAGTTTTCTGCTTTTCCGCTTGAACTCTTTCCCTTTGAATGGCCTTCAACTCGGCTTCAGCAGCCTCGAATGGAATATTTTGTAACACCTCTAAATGTTCATCCTCATGGTCGATATCCACTGCTCCCATCATCACTACATTTTCTCCTCTGACCATAAATACTCCTCTATAAGTTTCACCAAACCGGGCTGGCTTTTCCAAGCTCTTGCTTCCCTCTGCATCCAAGTATATCCTTTCCGTGGTATCCTGTAATACCAAGTTGGCAAATTGGTCAAACGTTCTCAAGACACCAAACAAGTTTCTTCCGTCTCTTAACAACAAAAATATCTTTCTGTCGACCGACCCGACAAGAGCTGCGGCTGTGGTGAAGGCATACGCCTCTAAGTATAAGTCTTCGGCATTGGACGATCCATCGGAAATCGAACGTGAATTTGGAGCCGACATTGGTGAGTTTGTTGTAAGTTGAGAGTTGGAATCGTTGAAAACTTCGCGGGTCGGTAGGGGCACATGTTACCACCCTAGGCTAATAGGATACATTGAATTAAGGAGAATCGAAGTTCATTGGAGACCAATTAAGCGTATAACTCGGCAAGTCGACAAGGGAGACGCACTTGGGCGGCTTTCTTCGGAAGTTTTCTCTCCCCTATTGGATATTTGAACATATCTTGGCTTTGCTCATCGCGAAATAAATCTATCTCTGAATTTATCACCAGTATGTCGTTCTTCTCATACAAAGACGTTATAGAAGAGGGTGACCTTGTACTCGCCTTTATAAGCCGGACTGATACAAAGCCCATCACTGTCACCAAAGGCCAGATCCTCAACACCAGGTTTGGTCACTTTAAGCATGAGGATATGGTGGGTCTCAAGTATGGAGAACAAATGGAAGGTGCTAAAGGATATGGATTCATACACCTTCTTCATCCCACGCCCGAACTTTGGACGCTATCACTCCCCCACAGAACCCAGATAGTATACACACACGACTCCGCCTACATTATGCAAAGGTTAAATGTAATTTCTGGTACTAGAGTTATAGAAGCTGGTACTGGCTCTGCTTCTTTCACTCATTCATTCGCCAGAACCGTTGGGGCAGCCGGAAGAGTTTTCACATACGAGTTCCATGAGCCTAGATATATTGAGGCCAAGAAAGAATTGGAAGAACATGGACTTACCACAAACACATTGATTACTCATCGTGATGTTTGTGAAGGTGGGTTTGAGATTGCAAACATTCCAGCAAACTTTGTACTGAAAAATGGAGGAATTGACGCCGATATGGTATTCTTGGACTTGCCATCTCCGTGGACAGCCATAACCCAACTTGATCTGGTAATGAGCAAGACTTCTAAAGTTGGAGTATGTTGTTTTTCACCTTGTATCGAGCAGGTGCAAAAGACTGTGGAAGCATTACAGGAGCATGGTTGGATCAATATTGAACTTGTAGAGGTTTCTGGAAGACGGTGGGAGGCTCGTAAAGACATGATCCGGGATATGGGAGACGTGGTGAAAAGGTTAAAGGATATTCAGTCAAGAAGAGGTAAGGGCATTGAGACCAGAAAAAGAGGTTATTTGGCCAACGGAAAAAGACAATTGGAAGAGGAAACCGACGACAGTGACTCGGGCGTCAATAAGCTTCCGAATACTGGAAAAGGATTCAATCCTTTTGGCAGAGGTGAACGGGTCAAGGAAGGTGATGCTAACTATACGTGGAGAAATGTTACCAAGGTGGAAAGCGAGATTAAGACTCACACATCATACTTGACGTTTGCCATCCGGTTGCCTTGCTAGGTAGTTTTGTTCATGTCCGAAGAAGTAGAGTTTATAAGACGTGGTCGATAATGTCACATTTAACAAATGCGGTGTAGCACTGGTGTAGGAACCAGGATTCATTCCAATTCCTGCTTTGAGCAATTACCCATTCACTCTCATACCCCAGATTCCCTACCACTGTACTGATGTTGACGATATTAGATGATATAGAGTATATGAGCCCAACTTTGTACGTGTGATCAAGCCCATAAATGTGGTATCTTGGTGGTTCTCTATCAAGGTCTCGGTGGGCATTGGCCATGCAGCTCCCGCGCACACATCCAAATAATTTGCAACCACAAACATATACACTTTCCAACAAACCTTCTTGTAAAATGGAACACACCCAGAAAGACAGAACAGCTCCCCACCCAATTAGAGGTACATTTCGTGTGAATAAGTCCGGTAGGCTCCTCTCGGGGTCGTTCGTTTACTCCATACCAGGCCCATTCCAACCAACAGATAAACTTAAACACCAATGTCAAGCTCATAGTTTGAATATGATGTCGTTTTTGTTTGGAAAGCCAATGGTATATGTCAATACAAAGGAGTACGACTTTAGCCGTTGGCCGGAAAGGTTCACTAACGCATATGACTTATATGAGGCTCTGCTGGACGAAATCAGAAGAAGACTCAGAAGTCTTATTGGCGACAAGGCAGCTGATCTGGTGAAAGATCCTTATAGGTACTACTACCACCTTATTGGCTTGAATATGGAGTTCCTCGACCTGTTTGCGGATCTCAGTACCCTGTTCTCCTGAAAGAGTCAATTACTTTGGTCAGAATCAGAGAATTTCTCTGTAATACCCGAGTTTCGTGTCCAATTACTCCATCTTGTCGAAGGCAGATATCATAGAAATCGTAGATCCAGTACATGCGAGTACTTTATGAGTTGAGTGGGTTCAGAGCATAGTGAGGCTCCGAGGCTCCTTTAATTATGGTTTCAATTTTTATCCCCCAGAACGGTTTGCGATTATACTTCAAGCTAAGGTAAAATGGTACATTATATAAGCCCAGTTAATCTGAAACTTTATTAGTATGTACTAGCAAATACCTCCTGTGTCACTTCAGTATTTTGTTGTTCATTCTCACCAGCCAGTGGTTCACCAAATCAGTGCGCGACAACTCAACCCTCATTCAAAACTCAACATCTACCAGCGGCGTATATAATCCCTACACATCACATATTAATATACTCCGTTTATCATGGCAGACACTCCAATTGGTAAGTACCAGATATAAACTCCAACAATTTCTCATTCAACTTCCCGAATACTAACCCATTGCAGTTCTTGACCAGGGTACTGGGTTTGTCAAAATAGGACGGGCAGGAACTAATTTCCCAGACCACACATTTCCCTCCATCGTTGGAAGACCAATCTTGCGGGCAGAAGAACGTAGTACCTTGGTACCATCTGACATCGAGATCAAGGACATCATGTGTGGGTCTGAAGCCAGTGAAGTCAGAAACCTTCTTGAAATCAGTTATCCCATGGAAAATGGAATCATCAAAAACTGGGAAGATATGGAGCATTTATGGGACTATGCCTTCTACGAAAGAATGAAGATCGATACCACCGGCAAGAAGGTATTGTTAACCGAACCTCCAATGAATCCGTTGAAAAATAGAGAAACCATGTGTGAAGTGATGTTCGAAAAGTACAACTTCAGCGGTGTTTATGTGGCAATTCAAGCGGTGTTGGCCTTGTACGCTCAAGGATTATCGTCCGGTGTTGTGGTCGATTCTGGGGATGGTGTTACACACATTGTGCCTGTTTATGAATCGGTGGTGTTGAACCACTTGACCAAGAGATTGGACGTGGCTGGTAGAGACGTAACCAGGAACTTGATCAACTTGTTATTACGCCGTGGCTATGCTTTCAACAGGACGGCTGACTTTGAAACCGTTCGTCAAATTAAAGAGAAGTTGTGCTATGTGTCATACGACTTGCAATTAGATACTAAGTTGGCTCAAGAAACCACAACTTTAGTGGAATCATACGAATTACCTGATGGAAGAGTCATTAAAGTCGGTTCCGAAAGATTCGAAGCTCCGGAGTGCTTGTTTCAACCTCATTTGGTAGATGTAGAACTGCCTGGTGTTGGTGAAACCTTGTTCAATGCTATCCAATCTGCTGATGTGGATGTCAGATCCACCTTGTTCAAAGCCATTGTGTTGTCGGGTGGTTCATCGATGTATCCCGGACTACCATCTCGTTTGGAAAAAGAATTGAAGCAGTTGTGGTTGACAAAGGTATTGAACGGTGATGCTTCAAGATTGGATAAGTTCAAGGTGAAGATTGAAGATCCTCCTAGAAGAAGACATATGGTGTTTATCGGAGGAGCCGTGTTGGCCAACATTATGGCTGATAGAGATCACATGTGGGTGAATAAGCACGAGTGGGAGGAACAGGGTCCAAGTATCTTGACCAAATTAGGTCCAAGATAGTACAATAGAATTGTAAGTTTGAATAAAATCAAAAGTATGGAAGCTCTCTCTTACTCTCCAATAGATCTAATATTTCATGCTATTGTCTATGCTACACTATGCTAACTAAAATTCAACTCTTCAATTTGTCTCATCACTGTCTCAACCAACTTGTCGTAAACATCGGTGCTTATGATTCCCGTCCCATTAGCGCGGTTATTATAACCAAAGTTTACGGCCAGGTGCACCAAGTCACGGATAAAGTTCTCACTTACCACTTTAGGTTTTAAGAAATCACTGGTTAAACACCTATCAACTGTCCACCTATCGTTTGGAATACGGGCCAAGCAATTCTCCATTAATTCTATAGCGCTGGTAGGAACTGGAACTCCACCAATACCTTTAGACGGATACTGGATCTTGACTTGAGGATTCAACACGGCCATGATTCTCTGGTTCCCACTGTACTTGCCGTATGGAGGCTTACCGTAAATCATTTGGTAAATAATACACCCACATGACCAAATATCAGACGGTTTGCTGACTTTCCAGGTGTTTTTGTGTTCTGTTGACAGCTGTTTCATGGGCAGCATCGAGTCATTAACATTGACCCATGCTTCTGGAGCCATGTAGTTTGGGGTTCCGATTTGGGCATCTCTGTAAACATTTGCAGTGTGATCAGGAACAGAGTCGGCGATACCAAAGTCAATAATCTTGAGCACCCCTCTGACAAAGAGGAAGTTCGCAGGCTTTAAGTCACTGTGGACGATTTCCGCTTGATGGACAGTTTGGACACAAGTTAACAACTCGGTGGCGTAGAACTTGACAAAATTCAAGTCCAACTTGCTGTCCCCTTTTAATCGGTTATGCAAAACATGTGAGAGATCGATCTCCCCACACTCCATCACAAGGTATATTTGCCCTTCTCCAATGGCGTAGTCCACAAGTTGCACAACCCTGGCGTTGTTTCGCAACTTCAACAATAAGTCGATTTCACCTTTGAAGCATTTGATGCATGCGTCATCAAATTGGTCAAAAGTGACTTTCTTAATGGCATAAAGCCGATTATCAACAAGAGACTTGACTTTGTAGACTTTGGATGTTCCTCCTCTTCCAAGAAGCTCTAGCTTTTCGTATTGTACATTATTAATGGTTATGGCTTTCTTTCTGGGCTCATCAACCAGTTGGGTTTGAGTTTTATCGGGCTTTCTTGATTGAATGGATTGTACAATTGCTGGAGGAAGTTGTACAATATCTCCCTTAATTAGGTCTACCGGATGAGGTTTATGCTCAACAGGTGTCATATTCTCTTTCTCTTCGTCGTGAGCTCCTTTCTCCTTGACCGGCGAAGGTCTTGGTAATTTGGGTTTTCTGAACCCGTTATCGTCCAGACGAGCAATATTGTTCTGGGAAGGTGGAAGTTCTACCAACGGATTCCGTATCCGTTCCATAGAAACTGGCTCTTCGTGTGTTGATAACGCTTTTATGGCTTTCGCTTTGGCATCTGCTCTTGCTCTTCTGCTTTCAAGTTCATTAAGCTTCTTTTGTTCCTCAATTCGCTTCCTGAGCTCCAACTCTTTATCTTTGTCAAGGAAACTGAGATCAAATTCGTTCGAAGATGGGGAAGGTCGTTTAGACTGCTCCTGGACTGGAGAAGGGGTATCTACAGATGTTCTTACCACTCGTTGAGGAGGCCCTATTAATTTTCCAAATCTTTTGGGGCCCCTCAAACGCTTGACTGGAGGCATAATTCTATCAGTAAAACGATCCGACAACGAGTTCTCGCTTGAAGGTCTATACCTCACTTGCGGAGAAGCTGTTCTGTATGTGGATGGATTGGTTGTGGGTAATGGGTCGGAGGCTTGTTCAGATAAGTTGTTTGTGTTGTGGTTGGATAAGCTCATGTGGTGATTTGATAAATTGGCATTGTAATTGGACAATTTCGTCACACTGTTGTGCGAGAGATTTCTGTCGGAGCCAGGATGGCTCATGCTATGATTGGAGTGTTGGTTGTAGGAAGAAGTGATGCTCGTGTTGGCATTTGGATTCACTACATCATTAGTCGGATCCGGCTGAAACTCATTCAGGCTTTTTGACAGGCGCAAGAAAGGATTTTCTGATGTGCTGCTCTGGTAGGCGGACTCCCTAAAGTGCATGGAAAGCTTCTCTTTGAGTTTGTTCCTACCACTTTGTGGAAAATCCAAGTCGTAAATACCTGTGATATGGGGGTTTTGAGGAGGCGGCTTCGACTGAGAAGTGCGATCGTTGAGGAGCGCTATACTGTATGAGCTTAGTGCTGGTGGAAGAAATGTGTGGTCATCTTCTAGAAGGTGTTTTTTCGCCGGTCTTTCTGGGACTATATCTCGAGGAAACATGTTTTTATTGTGACAAACATAAAATTGATAGAAACGACAGTTAGGGTAAAAGGGGCGTGGCACGTAATTACTGTTGACGTAAATCCTTGTATTGGAGCAAGGAAAAGTAAAGTCCTTGTAAGGATTGTGTATGTGAATACGTGAGTCTTGTTATGAATGGAGTCGTCTTTAGATGCGCGTTGTAAACAACACAAATGCGACTGCGATTCAATTGAAAAAAAAAAGAAATGCTCCACGGCAGGTTCGAACTGTCGACCTTCAGATGACACAATTTTACAACTATGAGACTGACGCTCTGCCAACTGAGCTAGTGCAGCTTTTCTTGTAGGTTGGAAAAGGAGAATATTTACAACACGGAAAGGTCAACTCTAGATTAGTTTTACATAGGTATCTGAAAGCAACACAAATATTATTGTAGACCTGGTACATTCACAGCGCCCCGTAGTTCATTAATTGATAGCTATTTAGTCTTTAGCGATAAGTCCGTTTCTTGTGATTGCCTAAACAGAAACTATTTCTATTCCGAAGTCTATGAATACTATTGATGATATTTCTAAAACCCTCCAGTCATGTCTCGTATACGATCGACCTCAGCCTGAAGCTCCTTGAGGTCATCAAGAATGTTAGTGGTGCTTCCAGAGGATTGGGCTGAAAGTTCTTGTTGTTGCGGCGGTGGATAGAAGGCTTCAGTTGGAATTACTTTGGGTGGGAGAGCTGGCGCCGACTGGGGTGGCACTTGGTACGCCTGGGGTGGTACTTGGAACGCCTGGGGTGGCGGTGAGCTGACCGTGCTTGAGACACCTCTTCGTCTAGATGGTGGAGGAGGTGGTGGTACAGAGCGTCCGTTAGGAGTGGGCAGTGATAAAGACCGGGCCCGACGAGCTGCTGGTACTGGAGGCGGAGGTAACGGTCTGTCTTGGTTAGGCGATGCGGTGGCATCAAGACGAGAGTTTGCAAGTGTGTTTTCAGCGGTGGAACCAGTCATTTGGTCTGTGAACAATTGAAGTGATACTCTAGGTGCCTGTGCAACCGGCTGTTCAACAGACTGCTGTGGCAGCTCATCTGGGGATGGCGAAAATATCTTCATCATATCGTACGGGCCGGTGACATTAGGTCGAAGCTGTTGTGGTTCCTGTTGTTGTTTCTGAAGGTACTGCGACATTTGAGCAGGACCCGTCATATTGGGTCGTAGAAGCTGGGAATCGTACTGTTGATGGCCAAATGGGGCTGAAGATGGCACTCCACCAATGGAAGCGGTATCGACGTTGTTTAGGTTCCGGAAATGGTTCAACTGCAGCCCCATATCGTCCAAAATCTGTTGTTCTTCTGCATCTGGATTCTTCAGCTGGGAAGAGATCCGGTTGAGCAATTGATCCATTGGAAGCGAGTAGTCAATCTCGTTCTGTGGAGACGGCGACGGGGCAGGTGATGGGACTGGTGGGCCCAACGATTCGTGGACATCCGTGACGATTTGATCAGAGAATGTGACAGATTTTAGCTTTTTGCTTCGCTTTTTGCTGGGTTTATCGTCTGGCCGCTCGCCCGTAAGCATGAACTGGGTGAAGCTGTCCAAATCCAACGGGTTGGAAGTTGGATTGGCAGGAACACTGGGGTCTTGAGAATCGTTGAGGGTGTCATCGTCTTCTTCATCATCTCCACTTTGACGTTTCTTACTCAAAATGGACGGAGGCGCCGGCACCGGTGCTGCCACCCTGATTAACCCTCGATGCAACAGATTCCCCTGCAAGCAGTGGGATATAAGTCGAAGTAAGGCAAAGAACTCACCGATATTAATGGAGTTGAGAATCTTAAAGAAAAGACGGTTTAATTTATCCTTCAATTCGGCCGAGAGCTTGAAGTTGTGAAGAAACTTATAGACGTCGACCATCAGAATGGTTCTGGTTTCGGTTCTAGCCAAGATATCCGAATACCATCGAATGTAAGTTCGAGACTCGGCAAGGGTAAGGTCTTGGGTGGTTAGGGAAAGGGGGATGCCGGTATCATCGGCAAGTGCCTGAGATGCCTGATTGTCATCTGATACGAGCGCCGTGTCGCTATAGGAATGGATTCTAGTGGTTTTGGCTGATGGAATTGAAACATTGTCTGCCAGAGCGTTATGCCGAAGGGACGAGGATAAGGCAGAATCGGAAGGACCCAAACCGCCAAACGAGACGGATGGAGGGGCTGGTGATGTTGGCCGTATCTTCTGTGTACTAGACGCAGATTGTGGGAGTTTGAGCCAGTCAAAACCGTCCATTGTATATGTCTATAAAACCACTGGTGATCTGTACTTGACAAATTTTAGCGCGTCAAAATGCTGTAGTGAGTATCAAAAGTGAGAGGATTAGAACTATGGTTAAAACAAACAATTTCATCAGCGGTTAGAATCCACTGTATTATGCTTCTGAATATCAATTGCATACTTAAAATCTAATTTAATAACACTGGCACACTCAATGGCCTTGGAGAATTACAAGTCAAAGGGTCTCTTTAATTTCTGATGGCTTCCTGCAACGAGATGTTATTCTCAATGGATCTGGGGTCCAAGCCCGAACCTGTCAAATTCTCAGAGACTTCTTCCTGGCCGGTCGGTACCTGTCCTGAAATACTGGAAGCCATTCTCTCAACCTCATTGGATGAAGGCATAAAAATCACCTTACTTCCGGCATTCCTGGCCATAGATTGCATGGCATCCAAGTACCGGATTTGCATAGCAGGCTTTGAAGCCAAAATATCAGCCGCTTTTCTCATCAACTTGGCACTTTCTACTTCGGCCTTGGCATTGATGATTTTACTTTCACCAATCCGCTTGGCTTCAGCTGCCATTGATAATGATTCCTGGACTTTAGGAGGTAAGCTCAAGTCTTTAATTAAAATTGACTCTATGTTAACACCCCAGTCAAAAGCGGTTTTGGCAATGATACTCTCGATGGCCACAGCGATTTCCTCACGTTTCTCCACCACATCCTGCAACACCCGGTTACCAATGACGTCTCTCAAGGTGGTTTGGGTTCTTTCCATAATAGCAGTATGGATGTCGGCAATCGAGAAAATGGCCTTTTGCGGATCAATGATGTTGTAGTACACCACTGAGGTGATCACCACACTGACATTATCACGAGTAAAGCAGCTTTGGGCAGGAATATCGGCAATAGTTATCTTGACCGATACCCGGGTCAACCTCTCAGACCAAGTATTAACGTACGATAAACCTGGTTCAACAGTTCTTTGTAATGCACCAAACCGCCTAATTAAACCTACTTCACCTTGTTGGACTTCTTCGTACGGATTGGAGCACAAGAAGCAGCATACACCACAGGTACCAAAAATCCTACCGAGTTTGGTGATGACTCGCTGGTAGGTGTTGGGCACAGGAATTGGGTATGATTTGGCAAAGTTTTCAATCACCATTTCTGGCTTGATATGTTCTGGTTCTTTGGTAATGACATTTTTGAAATTGTCAGAGCTAGTGTCTTCCATCATGGTGAGTTATTGTAATAAAAAGTGATTCCTCACGGGTTTTGGGGGACTACTTATACTTGAGAGGAAACTTTAACAGTGACGAAGTGTTTGTAATCATTGTGCAGTACAAATGGCCCTGGTACCCAATTAACGAATTACGAGGGTAAACTGTCCTGTTAAAGGGGGTGTCAACTAAGCCTTTCTTTTGTTCTTTGGTCAACTATATAACCAGGCTGTACTAAAGAATGACTATCGGTCCGTGCTTATCATGAATACCGAGGGGCACAAGCCTCAAATTTTGTAGTGACTGTCTCTTTATGTAATTGGCATGTTCTTTCACAGTAGGTTGTCATATGCTATTGCTTGTGATATACCGTATTGAATGTCAGCATAATCCTAATCATTTCCGGGAGTAATAATAGTGCCTAGGTCGTGAACTGTATGCATCGTGGTAAGCCCCCCGTCCCTACTGGTATTGATGATACGGTTATTACTTTCATAAAATCACCCCCAAGGTACTCCACATTGAATACCGCATTTTGTCGTGATCGATCATTTTAGTTAAGCTTTGGCAGCCGCATGAACCTGTGATAACCGGATCGGCCGTAAAAGCAAGTGATAGGTCAGCCTCCACCACCCCACGGCGCGCCCCCTACCAACTGCGCGATCCATCACATGGTGGCCCTCACGTGCGACGCATCTCTCTTCGTCGCGAACAAATCGATCGCAGATTCTCTTGCTCATTTAACCTCAAAATGGGATTCTACATACCGCAAGATAAATTGCCCAACTTAAAGTTGTACAAGTACTCATCGGAAGATCACTCGACCATCTCTAGGTTGGTGTTGAAACCATGGTGGAACTGGTTTGTACAACTTTTCCCGCGGTCAATGGCCCCTAATGTCATTACCTTGCTTGGGCTTGTGTTTATTATTTGCAACCTTTTCAGTGTGTTCTACTATGATCCATACCTCAATCAAGACAGTCCTCGGTGGTGCTACTTCTTCTACGCGTTCGGTTTGTTCATGTACCAAACATTTGATGGATGTGATGGGTGCCATGCCCGGAACACTGGTCAAAGCGGACCTCTTGGTGAATTATTCGACCACTCGATTGATGCCATTAACACCACCCTTGGGTCCATTGTGTTCTGTTCAGTGTTGCAGACGGGCTATAGCAAGTTGTTCTTGCTCACGCAGTTTGCGTCGGTAACAAACTTCTACATGTCCACCTGGGAAGAGTACCATACTCATACGCTTTTCTTATCGACATTTTCCGGGCCTGTTGAAGGGATTTTGATGATCATTGGTATGTTTGCAATTATAGGCGTCTTTGGACCTGGCATCTTCCAATACAAGCTTCTCGCAGTCAACAATCTGTGGGTGGTATTTGATGTTGACGTGAAAACTGCCGCTCTGTTATTAGGCCTTGGGTCACTTTACTTTAATATCGCCCAAGCGTTCGGAAACGTGGCTCGGTACTACCGCCGTTCGAAGGACTCTGTGGCTGCATCTAAGGCCATTGACATGGCTTACCAGGGGCTCATTCCTTTCTTTTCCTATTATACTTCCATAGCAATGTTGGTGACGGTGTTCCCAGACTACTTGTACCAGTTTGGATTGCCTCTTTCCCTTTCCATTGGTCTTTCGATTGCCTTTGCGGTGGGAAGAATTATTCTTGCTCACTTGACGATCCAGTCGTTCCCAATGGTTCACTTGCCCATGATTGTGCCGGTGGTGCAACTCGTCACCACAAAGTTCTGTGTGGACGTGTATGGATACGACTTGTTTGACGTGGTGTATTCGCTGGCATGGTTGGGCTTTGGAGTGACGTTGGGGATCCATGGCCTGTTTATCAACGAGATTATTTATGAGATCACAACATACTTGGATATCTATGCCTTGTCCATCAAACACAAAAAGGCATAGGTTAGACGGGAAACCTCTGTGTGTGTCCTTCTTTAAATCCAGGTAGTTTCGGTTTTCTGAAAGAATCAGAGTTAACTTCAGTTCTCCTCCTTTGTGTCTCTTATGGTGACATGTTTATTTTATATACAGATACCGTTAGATAGGTCGTCGACTACTTACTTCTTTTCTTCGCTTCCCGACGCCAATACACTTTGAGCGGATTCTTGTAATGACATTTCTCTTTCCATTTCTTGCAATTGGGTTTCACTCAAAATAGCAAGTGATAATGGAACTCCCAACAACAAAAGACTCGAAGTCACACCCCACAACAAGTTACCTCCTTTGAACAATCCGGTGGTCACCAGACTCTGGACGGTTTGGACTGCGGATAAAAGTACATTTCTTTGCTTTGGAGGAATGATATCTTTCAAAGCAAGAATTCTGTCATAAAGGGTTTCGTTTTCAATGTCAAAGTCGTCTTCAATTTCGCTTTCACTTTCACTGTCACTGTCACTGTAGACTTGTTCGTTCTTGGGCTCAAATGCACTGGCCTGTGTCTCGTCAATTTGGGTTAACTTAACCATATTTGTGGATGATGTTGGATATTCGAGCAATTTGTCGATGAAGTTTTTTTTCATTAGGACTTGAAAGCGCGGGTCGTGTGCACGTCCGTGGTGGCTGCAAACTTAAAGGTAGTCGAAGTTCTCATCCAGGGGGAACGAGGTAAACTCTGGAGCTACTTCGTATCCCAAACACCTCATCTTTTCGGGGTACTTGCGCATGTTGTAAAACTGGAGAAGGCCTCGCAAGCTGATTTCCTGATCGAACGAGTTGTGGAAATCGTTTTCTACGTCTTTCCCACTCAACCATGTATCTCTCATAGAGAGTCGACAATTGAGATACACCATTGAAATTAGGTCCATGTTTAGACTCTTCCACTTCCGTCCTTGGTATGGAATCAATTGTTTGAGTATCTTAAGGATTGGTATCGTAAGATGAGGGTTGTCAAAGTTAACCACAATCATCTTGAAGATCTCAGATGGCTTGAGCTCGTTGACAGTCAAAATTCGCTGCGTATGATTTTTGAGTATCACTTTGTGTATAATGTTCACCAAGTTGATCATGATGAAGCAATGGTTCTCGTTAACCTCATCAATAACGAACTTATTGACGTTGTTCTCGGTTAATTTGGTGCCAAACTCTGTCAACTTCTTTTTGTTGATGAGATGGAACCTGTGCGGCTTTGAATTTCCAAGGCACTGGTTAAAAAAGTTTAGCATTGGGATAGCAATGGCTGGGTTGGTCAACTGATTCTGGTAAATCATGGAGTCGTAAGCATTTTCTAATTCATGACCGTTGGTAGTTTCTCGGTTGTTAGGGTTGTTGAACGTTTCGGTTAAAAAGTCCATGGCCACCGTGCACACTTGAGAATCAAAAAGAATCGTCGTCAAGTAGTAGTACTTGAGAACGTGATTAATTTTGAACCACTTCAATAAAAGACAAATAATACCGGAGCTAGCTTTGGCAGTGATTTCTTTAGTACGGAGAACTTCCAATTGTTGAATCAAAATTTTGTCTATTTGGGTTTTCTTATCGTTATTCATCAATTCCTTATCGTTGGCATAATATGGGGTTTCACCATTCAACTCATCTTCAATGAAATGCAAATTGTGTTCGATTTTGTAACTCCTGATGGTGCCGATCAACACCTCCATCAAGCTGCTGAGCTTATCCAAGTTTTTTCCGTAGAACTTTTCTACCCTCATAAAAGACTTTATCTCAAGAACATTCGATGGGTACTTCTTCAAAAGATCATCCATATTATACTCAAACTCGTCTGACTGAGACTCTGAAACCTCCTCCTCGTAATTATTCAAGTATCCTCGTTCCTGTACCATAAACTTCTGTCGTTCTGCCCAAAGTCTTTTGTTGGAATAGCTGTCGTATATAGAGTCTCGAAGGATCTCATCCGCCTCTTTTACGGCATATGGCACTTCAACTTCGTCACTTAATGGGTAAATAAATGGCATGCTTTGATTTATTTGGTACAGTTTCCTGATCTTCTCTCCACCAGACATGAAGTCCGATGGAGTTGACGGTGGGGATGGAACTGGGGTGGAGATGTGCACAGTTTGAGCAGGTAACTGTCGTTGTGTGGTGTGGACGCCGTTAGTTCTGGGATGTGCGATGTAGTTGGACAACGAGCTCGACTGAGAGTTCAATGCCATGAAGAAGTCGTAGTCCTCGCGTAATGAAGATGATGATGACGATGGGTTGGGTGCTCTGGGATTGCCATTAATTTCGTCCAAGGTTTTACCGAACTGTTTAAAGTCATAAGGATCAGTTTTGATCAGGGTAAGCTCGCCAAACAACGGATACTTGTCCACAAGGTCTTGTCTGAAAGTGTAGTAGTCCAACGGAGAACATGTCAACTTGTTAAGTTTGTTATCTTTGCTCTTGATATTATGGTATTTGATAAGAAACTTATCACAAGACTGCAACGTTTCTGACCCACCAAATTCAAGTAGAATTAACTTCCATAGCAAGATGATCAAATGCCGAATTCTATAGTTCCCATTGGGATTGACCTTCCAATGTTGAATGAAACTTACTATGCTACTCATGAGATCGATATCGTTCATATCTGTTCTGAAGCTCAAGTAAGTGGGGGAATCGCTGCATTGAAGAAAAGTGTTCACCATGAAATAAAGTATCGTCAATGCTTTGAAATAGTTGGTATCATCTGTTAGTTGGTCACTTCCCAGATCGTCGGCATTAATCCTTTCATCAATGAAAAGGTTTATCTGGTGACACACACCTTCGACGACGCCCAACGAATAAAGCACTTTAACGTTATCTCGAATCTGGTGCACTTGCTCACAAACACCTGTGCACAGTTTAAATTTGCCAAACCCGTAGTAGATCAATGTATCAAGTGACAGACCACATATCTCATCTTGAGTCAAGGACTCGACGCAATGCTTCAAATACTCGATTTCTACCTCGTCTTCTATGTGTTGAAACTGACTTTCAAACCGTTGAAGGCCTTCAGTGTACCTAGCATTTAAGCCATCAAGATCTATAACTTTGAAGTCATGAGCCACGAACCAGTCGTTTAACTCATTTTCCAAGCTACCGTAGTCTCGATATGTGTACTTCAACTCGGTTTTGTTGATTAGACGTTGAAGAGTTCCTTTATCGTCTGGATCCTGCGAGCCTTGGCTGGCGAGTTGTTCAGCTCGAGCATTCAATTTCCTCTGGAACGTCTCGTCTAGGGTGTCCCCGTTGAGATCATGCTTGGTCGTGGCATCAGGATGGTCTATGAGCTGGTCCTCGAGCCTATCAATCAGCAATAATTCTTCTTGCATTGTAGGATGATTCTCAGGCCGATTTTGTTTAGTGCGAATTGTTATTGAGAAGGGCGATTTGGAGAGTGGAGAAGGGCAATGATTCAAGTAGATATTACTGTATGTGCTCCCATCTGTGGTAGAAGTCTTTGGAGCAACTGGTGTGAGCTACTACTAAAACACCTTCGATAGTGTCATCAAGAGATACTCATTGGAATATATGCTGCTATAACAAGAAGATCCTCTGTTGCAACCTTTAAACAATTTCTCTGTTAATTGTATCACCCATCTACCGCAACCTTCCATGATATCGTCAAGGTCTCGAAGAGAGGTGCCCCGCGATGGGTTGTGCCTTTAAACCCATCGAATTCTTTGAATTTGACTGCAAAGTCCCCCTTTAAAGTATCTATTTCTGTCTCCAAGCTCACGTTAAACCAGGCAAAAAGCACTCCATTCACAAAAACCCGATAGTCGCAAACATGAGCAACGTTAATGTGGTGTCCAGGACGAAGTATGACGTCTCTTCCTTCAATTTGTACTGTGTCATCCTTGTTATTATACTCCCAAATCTGTACGAGTTCAACTCCACACTCGACATCTTTTCGAGGATTGTATCCTTGTAAGACTACGTTTATTTCGGCTGCATTTTCAGAATTATTTGTCAAGTATCTCACAGTATTTGTCAATTTTACCTCTGTGAACTGCACCATAATCGGAGAGTTCACTTGGTTCACCAACATTATTGCTTTCTGTTTGTCCTCTGATGCATCTAAGTAATTCTGCCAGTACTGGAGGTATCGGAATTGTGACTTGATTGAAACTCCCTTGCCAGACCCAGGCCGCATTCTTCTTAGTGTATACAACTCATTCACTTCATGGGCAGACATGGAAATTCCGTGCTTATATGATTCATACATTATGACAGCACATGCCACTGTACCCGAACGGCCTTTTCCTGCTTTGCAATGGACAATCGCAACATTTTCTGGACTTTGGGAGAGAAACCTATCAATACTTTCGACTACCTGCATCAAAAGATAGAAAGATGGAGGTTGATGATCTGGAAATGGGAAGTACGACATCTGACCCAACACGTCTGCTTCATTATAGCCTTTTCCTTCCCCTCGTAGGTTCCAAACATGCCAATTTTTCTTATGATTATATGTTAGCACCTTGACTAGGTCCTCAATGGGATATCGGTACCATTTCTTGAAGGAGCTGCTGACGGGTCCCGAGCTTACTACCACGTTGTGCTGAACGTATGCTAAGTCATACTTTATATCTTGCTCATCTTGGTATGCAATTTTAGGTAGGGATACTATAGATCGTATTAGACTCTTCATGAGCATGAATCTAAAAACTGCGAATTCTACCAAATACAGAAGTAGTACACACTTTTCTTTCAATATATACAGAATACCACAAGAGCTATCTACAAATCTAATGAGCATCCACAGACTTAGTTAGCTACACCTGCTGCCATCATCGATTGTCTCATAACTTCAGCAATTTTTTCAGATAAGATGGGGTCAGCCTTTATTCTCTTTTGCATCTTGGTGGCTTCAGCAAAAGAAGTGGCTTGAACCTTTTCTTCAATGGTTCTGGCCAAGTTGGAAGATTCTTCAAACAACACAATGGCCTCATCCACTTGTTCTTTTTGCAACTTCAATTGGGCTAAAGAGATTCTGGCCAATTCAGACTTAGGATCCAATTTGCACGCTTCTACCAACAATTCTTCAGCTTCATCAAGCTTGTTGAAGTTCTCTCTGGAGATCAAAGAGGCCTTGTTGACCAATGGCAAGGCACCCACCGAATAGTTTGGTAATGCTTTTTGTAATCTGGCCGCAGTTTCAAATTGCTTCAAAGCAGCTTGGATGTCTCCTCTGTCAGACAAAACCTCACCATAATAGTTTGGAATTTCGGGAGAGGTTGGAAACTTCAACTTGGCTTCCGTGAACTTGTCTTCAGCTTCTTTGATATCTCCGTTTTTGTAGGTGATACAGGCAGATTGGACGTAGGCGTAGACATTTTGAGGGTTGGCCTTCTTGGCCTTTTCAAAGTTTTCTTGGGCTTTATCCAACTCATTTGTCAAGTAGAATAATTGTCCCAAGTGGTAGTAAGCATCTCCAGCATTTGAATCCATCTTGGCGGCCGAAGCAAAGTCGTTTCTGGCATCCTCGTACGAGGATTTATCGGCGTTAATCAAGGCTCTGATGACATAAGTTCTAGATCTTGGCTTCAACAGAACGGCCTTGCCAATATCAACAGCAGCCAGTAATGGGTCGTTTTTAAGGAATTTGAAAGTAGCAGCGTACTCGTAAGCAATAGATGCTTTGGCGGCGTTGTCAGAATCAGCCTTCAAGCCTTCAGCGTCATAACCAGAAACGGCTTCCGCAATCAACTTATCGGCTTCTTCATATCCTTCTGGGGTGTTCAGGTTGATTTTGGCAATGGCATCGAACAACAACTTATCATTACCAGTAGACTCTTCACTAATTCCTTCTGGGTTGGACTCGGTGACAAAGGCACCAAAGAACGAGCCAGTGGTGGATGCAGAGGGCAAGTCAAGAACACGAGTCTTTATGTTTTGCTCAACGATTCTCACCGAGTGTTTTTTCAAAACTCTTTCCAAAACCTGTTCCACAGACTTGTTACTGAAACCTCCATAGATGGTCAACGCAGTCAAGTCAAACATGGCATCTGGGTACTGTTCCAAGATTTCGTAAGAAGTGGCTCTACGCAAAAGACACTTGGTGTAGTCAGGCTTCAACTTGATCGCTTCGGTGGTGTCTTTGACGACGTTTTCATGGTCATCCAAAGCAGCGTAACAAGCAGATCTGTTGGAGTAAAATACAGGGTCCACCTTCAATTTCAAGGCAGCCGAGTAGAAGGCAACGGCCTCTTTATAGTTTTTGGCCTTGTATTCGGTGTTACCGTCTTCTTTGAGTGCCAAAGCCCATTCGCTCTTTTGGTCCGCCGTCAAGTTGGAGATGGTTGCTTCTGAAAGATCAGGCAATCCATCCTTTCCAACGGGATAGATCTTGGAGGAAGCTGGCGATGCAGGGGCAGCAGAAGTGTCCTTGGAGTCTTCAGGCTTGGACTTCTTCTTCTTTTTATTCTTTTTCTTTGAAGCGGTGGAGTCTTCAGGGCTAGGAGTGGGTCCTTGTTGAGAATAGTAGTACAATGCCCCAACGGCGGAGATACCGGCGACAGTGGCTGCTATGCTAACAAGAGTCTTGTTTCTGGCCAAGAAGGAGCCAGAGTTATCTAATGCCGACATGATGGTAGCTTATTATTAAATCAACGGTCTGGCAATCGAGAGAACTTTTTTTCAGTGGACAAGGATTGGAATTCGCGAGGAAACCGAAGTCGAGGTTGGGACGGCGTGCGCAAACCATATGGGTTATGTACTGATTTCAGGCAGACTATGACTAGATATACAAGAGATTAGTCGAGGGCCTACTCGAGGTTATTATAGTAGTGCTCGTGCTGCTGGTACCGTCTGCGGGCCCGTTGATGGTCGGACGGGTTCTGGTACGTGCTTTCTTTCATGACATCTTCATAGGTGGGAAGAGGAAGACTATCTTGACTGGATTCAGCAGAAGAGGCACCACCAACAGGTAGGCCATCGGGTCTGTTCGGGAGCTTTGGTGGCGGCACTAGGTGGGAGTCAGCACCATTAGCGGTCTTTTCATCCGGCAATGGCTTATTTATGGTGGGGATTGTGGATGTTGATGCACCTTCCAGAAGGCTTCTAGTCATGGTCAATCCTCCAAGCACCTTAATATCGTTGATTTGTAGGTCCACATACAGTAGTTTTCGAGTGAGCTCGGCCAGGTTGTTGAAGTCTGCAATTTTTTCGCTTGAAAATCCCCCTACAACCGTCAACCTGTATTTCCGTTGGATGTTGCAAGTTCTGAAAGATGGTGACAAGTAGTCAGGCAACACACAGTTGGCGAAGTACTTCTTGGGGATCTCCAACTCGTAGACATTGTTGGCAAGATTGTTGCTGGCAGTGGTGGAGGACGAGTTTTTCAGACGTTTGCAGTTCATGAGGTCAAGCTTCAAATTCTGGTAGGTGTTATTGCAAATGTTGATGACATCGTCATGACGGGATTTGTGAATTTCATTCAACACCCCGTCGCTTTCAAGAACGGAAATGGTGGTGGTAGATGTCAAATCCATCACAAGACGTTGTAAATAGACCACTCCAAGTCCGTTACTCTCCTCGGGCCGTCCAAACTCTGAGAGTGAGTATACCGAAGGTCGCACGTTAGACACCAAATAGAGTTTAAACGACGGGAGTTTCGTCGGAATCAAGAAGGCCGGGTGCCTGAAGCGGATTTCAAATGCAAACGGCACGTCTTGGGTGTTCACCTGTGGCCGAGGACTCGTGCTTCCCAGAGCAGCCAGGTTTCGTCTCGGATTGGGCGGAGGTGCGGGTGGTTCAAATAGTTTCTGGAGAAAGCTCTTTCTAGGCACCACCAACGGTGCCTGTGGAAGTAGCTTGTCGTTGGAAGACATCAGAACTTTCCCCAGAGGCATCTTGACCCCTATGATCTCAGGAATGCGGTTTTTGAATACCACATCTTTACGCACAAATGCCTCTCTATACTCTTCGTAGTCTTCACTGTGGATTAACGGCAAGTTGTGGCTATCCAAATCCAATGGAAGAAAAATAAACGGGTCGAAGGCCCGGAGGTTCACCTTAAGAAACGACGACCGCTTGCAGGTTACCTTGACAAAGTACTTAATAGATGCAAATTCACCGAGACCACTGAGCAGCGGTGGAAGCTGCGCCGTCACATGGTAAGCCTGCTGGGTCGGTGGCGGTGCCGATGTTGAAGGCATCTGTTGTCCTTGGAGATACAGAACCGCCATGTTCTTCACCATGTTGGAGTTGAAATTACCATTGTTGATCTTGAGATCCAACTTCTTCATGTTGAACAGCACTTTGTTGGTGATGCCCAGCAACTTGATGCATGAGTTGTTAAGCGGTAACTTAAACGTGAACGGGTACGTATATGTGCCTGGAGTTAAGGTGAATTCTTTGGCCTTGGACACCTGCCGGATGTTCTCTGGCGGGAACACTATAAGTGTATCGTAAAGCACCCGGTGAGCATCCTGGAGAATCTTATCGCGCTTTTCTCGCCTATCTCGCTTGTCTCTTCGAAGGACCTCTCGGGGAATTGATAGCTCTGTTTTGGAAATACCTTCTAGTTTCACCTGGATATAATTGAGCGAAATGGATCCGGTGACGGTAAGTTTGACGGAACCCGTGAGAACGTCATAGTTTGTGAATGTTCCACCCGAGGTAGCCCGGTCGATTTCTATTGCAACATCACAGTTCCCCATAACCTGACTATTTTCTGTCTACCATTCAAAAAGACGTGCGGTAGAGGCAGGTTTGCTGCTGCGCACAGAATTAGCCTGAGGTTCGCGGGGGCCGGCTGTACACAGCATTCTTCACATTTTACACATTCATCTCCTTGATACTACACATCAGCCAATTGCTCTTATTAGCTCATCTGAGATTTGTTCACATTCTACTTTCATTCAATATATGTACCGATTTCATTGCTGCATAACTGACCCTTCTTTTTATAGTAGTGTGTCCTTACCATAAATTCACAGTTTTTTCACCTGTGGCCGCACTCAGGAAAAAATTCGTTGATGATTCTTAGTGCCGTTTGTAAACCCGTATTCAGAACCACCTTTGCCTCATCAAGTCGATTGTTTACCTCAACTGCCTTTAGAATGTCTGCTCCTCAAACTACCCAGATCGAATTCCTCCAAGAAGGAGATGGAAAGACCTTTCCAAAACAAGGTGATCTCGTTACCATCCACTACACTGGTACTTTGGAAAACGGTAAGAAGTTCGACTCTTCCAGAGATAAGGGCAAGCCTTTCCAGTGCACCATTGGCGTTGGCCAGGTGATTGTCGGTTGGGACACTGCCATCCCCAAGTTGTCGGTTGGTTCTAGAGCCAAATTGACTATTCCAGGTCATGAGGCCTACGGACCAAGAGGATTCCCAGGTTTGATTCCACCTAACGCCACCTTGCTCTTCGACGTCGAGTTGTTGAATGTTAACTAGAGTATGTGATGAACCAGAGAGTTTCACTGAATGTTGTTCTGTGGCTCCTGGATCAGCTTTTATAGTCTAAATTTACGCTTGTATTTAATAGGCGATTACTAAAGTATTTGGCAGTTACTGATGTCAATGGCAAGTCTGTTGAAATCATAGTCCCATAATCTTTCTCAATTGGTCTTACTGCTCGTATCGTATTCACTAATGCCGTCTCATATTCACTATTGCCGTCTCCACATTAACAACCCATCACGAGTGATCACATCGTCAGCCACCGGTAACGCAGGTAAGCTTACTTTGTACTGGATGTCAAACACCTTCAACTGCGGCATTTGTATCACACTCTCGCTGCTGTTAAACTGTCCGTAGTACTCGAGTTGGAATCGGTTGAATGGTAAAACCGGAAACTTGGTTTGTACTAGTGGGTACATGTTTCTCTCATCATCAAAGTTCCAGATGAACCTCTCGTTATCGTCCACCAACTTGCTGCTGAAAATGAAGATCCGTGGCGTTGGGTTTTCAATAATGTATTTAAGTTTCACAGTCTTTTCCTCGTTCTTTAGTTTCTCAACTTTCAAGAGCATACGAGGATCTGACAATGGCAACACAATCTCCCACTCGTCCGTTGAGAATACATTCAGCTGGTCGGAGCCCTTACGTCTCCAGTCAATCTTCGCTGATACTACCATCATGACATTACGGTGGGAAACTCCATTTTTGCTTCTGGTTGCAAACGTTTGAGTTTTCGAGACATTTCCAACTTTTGGCAACAAGTCTACCAAAATCTCTGAATTTTGAGACTTGACTTGGAACTCGATATTCGTGGCCTCGATATCCTCGCTCGGTTCATTCAACATGAGCTTGGCCTGCCACAACCGGGTCACAATGGGCATCGACAAGTGGTTGCTACCGTGCATTATGAACGGGTTGGGCATGTCATTCACACCGTCTTTAGTGTCTCTGAACCGTGGAGCAATTGATACTCGGCAGTTAAAGGGTACGTTGACGATGGGGAGAATATACGTTGCAGTGTCGTAGACAGCTAGTGCACTGGACTCTGTATCATTTGTCTCTTGTTCACCTTCTTCCGCTACTATCGTCTTCAAATCAAGTACAGCTTGGTAGGAGTTGTTGGATTTCTTAAGTTCTTCTTCAGCGTGTAAGGAAGTACTGTGTATCGCAAGGTTCATTTTCACTGTGACTGCATCTGTTTTATCCAATTCCTGAAGCACTAATGCCTCATCATCTTTCAAGCCATCCCAGTTAACTTTTGGGTCAACGAGGACCAAGTCGCCTGCGTCAGAATTGCTAGTGACTTTCACTCGAGGAGATAGGGAAATCTTATTGTAGTTGAGTTTCCTTTCATTTTGAAACTGTACATCGAAAGTCAACGTGACTCGTTCTCCTAGAGTGATGAAGTTGATCTGGGGAGGTCTCATTGTTACAACCACATTGGGTCTGATAGGAAGGACTCGAATCTGATGAGCCCTAAAGGAAGAGGAGATTTTGACGGGGACTTTGATCAAAGAATCGTCAAGCTTCTTGAAGTACCAGTTATACAGTGGCTGCCTCGTGGGAGTAATTGATTCACTGTTTCTAATAACCAATGTTTTACTATCAACTTTGATTTCCAATACTGATTTTAGTTTGACAGTCTTTAATTGGTATACTCCGGACTTCTGCACCAGCTGTGAAACCTCCAAAACCTTCTGGTGGTTTGACACAAAACTCAAGTTTGCTTTAGTGTCTTCAGGTTTCTGCAAAACAGTATCTTTAATGCTTGAATCATGGAATACCTTTATATTTGATAAGCCTGTGAGTTCTTTGCTATCTTCGTTTTGAAAATTCACTTCTACATCGGTTATTTTGAACAATATTTCAACCACTTTTCCTTTTATGTGATTCTTAATTGCGTCAATATTGACCTTAGGGCGAAGTGAAAGCTGGCACACAATATTGTCAAATACAGTAACATCTTCAGTCACACCCGAACACCTTTTCTCATCGGCGAACAAAATATCGACGTCAAAGAGATGACAATTTACATCGATATCTCCATCAATCGCACTTACATCAACTTCGTGATTACCAGTACCATTGTTCAACAATAGAAGTAACTCCAATGACTTATGAGGGGCATTCAACTCCTGATAACATTCTATCAATTTGGATTTTATCAAATTGTCGGTAGACTTCCAACCTCCTAAAGCCTTTTCAAAGTGTTCAGCAGACAATTCCCATTCACCAGAAGAAAAGTATTCTCCAGCCAATAAGAAGCATATGTACTTGGCATTTCCTTCAATACTTACGTTCTGTAAAGCTTTATGTAGCAATATCTTCCTTTTCAGAATGAGCTCTTCAGAATCTTTGTAGATACGCAAATAGTCAAGCTGGGTAGTCTCAGAAACACCAGTTAAGTAAGATGAGCATTTTAAATAGAGCAAGCCGGGGTCAAGAAGCACATCTACGTTATCATCGTGGAAACGAACCCCTCCGGCATACCTAGTGATCTTGCTGTTCTTGTGCTTCTTACTGTAGACTCTGATGTTGGCTTCGGTAAGAATAGATTTGGGTACCATCTCCAACAACTCAGCTAACCATTCATACTGAACAGCAATCCACTGTCCTGATTCTATTCTCCCCCTTGTAATCGATGTGACATTTGAAATATGGGCAGCGTGCTTTTTCAATGCTGTAATCGGATCTTCAATTGACAAATAAGCCCTCACGATTTGAAAAGCTGTAACGTCAATAAGATTCCGGAGCTCCTGATAAAGGGTCAAGTCACGCGATGAGATGTGGTCCTTCGAAAACTCAAAGTAGTTCTCCAGCACAATTTCAACCAAGTTTTGGTAGCCCAACTCTAAGAAATGTATACAGCTTTCAAGATTATGTGGATACAAGAACTGGTCGATTATCCCCTGTTTGATGAGATTCCGGGTTTCTAAGAACTTGGGAGTCAACTCAATGGTCGTGTCGATGTGGGTGGATGTGGGGATCGAGTAGTACTTCTTGTGTCGTTGCCTAATTTTTGATTCAATGGCTTTGTAGAAGTCAACCGCAGATGACTTCAAATTCGAAACTAGACTTGTTACAAAAACATCCACTTCACTGGAGTATTCCTTCAGTACACAATTCAAGTAAAGAAGACCCGTTGCCTTTGTCAAGTTTGTAAGCTGTCGGAATCGATTGATTCTAATCTCATCCTCCAGTGAATTGGTTGACTTGGATATTAGAATAACCACAAACTTTATACCGGCAGCATCAAATCCGCTTTTCAACTCGGTCATTTCAGCAGCTATTTCATCATCTCTGGTGGCTACATCGGGGAGTTCCATTGTCTGAACAAATGCAAATGGTTTCAACTGTTGGTACTTGAGAAACCAGTTCTCAGAGAGTATTCCGTTGGGGAAAAGGTCGGAGTCGGTGTTGAAAGGGGAATAACGGGAGTGTTTATCTTTCACTTTGAGGTCGTTTAGCAGTTTAAGCACCTCAGCTGAGTATTTTGTAGATGTTGACACATTGACGAGAAAGCTGTTTGACAGTAGTCGATTCTTGAGAATGGAGTTATGCCACAGTTTTCCCGCCAAATTTAGTTCTGAAAACTGACGTATAATCTGTTCATATGGGGCATCACCATTCGGCACCTGAACGCATACCAATGGGGCCAGGATACTGAGAAACAGTGTGCTATAGTTTTGCATACGGGCGTGTGTATCAAAAGCTTTAATCTCGGTTTTTGTGCGCATCACCATTTCAATCTCAAATCATTATTCAGCACAGACTCATTTGGTAGCACACATGTCAGACGAAGTCATTAACGCCAACCCCACGATAATCAACGTGGAGTCGCTTCCCACACGTCTTGGAGCGTACGAGCTGGCCCAAACCGCCGTCAAGTCAAAGCTCCTTGACACTTTCACATCACTTTCCCTTTTTCAGACGGAAAACCTATCATCACCTGAACTCACAGGAGAAAGCTCCGACAACTGGTCCGACGACGACGAACCCGAAGAAGAAATCGACGCACAGGAGATATTCGATCTCATTGGTTCCATATCTGACCCCGAACACCCGTTGACATTGGCTCAACTTGCGGTGGTCAACTTTGCGGATATCCATGTTAAAAATGGCCCAGACAAGCATAAAGACTTGTCGGAGGTGTTAATCAAGATCACTCCTACCATCACACACTGCTCTCTTGCCACGTTGATTGGCTTAGGAATACGAGTGCGTCTTGAACGATGTCTTCCACCCAGGTTTCGTATTCGTATCTTGGTGAAAGAAGGCACGCATGAGTCAGAAAACCAGGTGAACAAGCAGCTTAATGACAAGGAGCGTGTTGCAGCTGCATGTGAGAACGAGCAGCTTCTCACTGTCATTCTGCAAATGTTGGGCAGTTGCAAGTGATTTATATGAGTTCATTAGGAAGTTATATTATGTAAAATACAAACTCAAACCAGACAGTTGACATTCGAATCTCCACCAAACTTTGTGGAGCGGCCTCGTAATACATCATAGAAATCTAACATTATTTAAAGCTCTTTTAACCATCAAGTGTTACTTTCTTTTCTGTGCTTGGAAGAGTAGGAATGTCCCATTTTGACCGATATGGTAAATTGCCTCCTGTTTTTTGCACTCATCATACTGTTCTGACTTATGCACGCATGTAGGTAATTCCGAGATGGCTGAATCAATTTGGCACCTTTCGTAGTATAATTAGTAGTTATTTCTACCTCCGTAATGGTAGTTATCCAAGCTTTCGGTTAAATTATTACCTTGGCAAACTAAAAAAGTCCTTTCTAGTGATCGAGTTGGATGTACATCGATTTAGAATGCAATACCCTGTTCGTTCATATCTTCTAAAACAAAAATGATGTTTTAGGCGTATCTTATCAGAATCTTCATTCTTAAAGTACGCCTGCACATCGACTATAACGGCGCATGGGTGGTCCTCAAAGTGGCAAGAATGTAGACCAGAGCGGAAATGCGGTTCCGGCACGTCACTCTTATCGGTGAGCGCATTCCAGCACCGGGGTAGGACGTCTGGTACTATTCGCACCCCTGGTCTTGCACTAGCAGTTGCCGCGCACTCACCGCTGGTTGAATGACTAGCAAGGGATGGCCCCATACAGGAACGGCTTCCGCATATAAAGCGCACAACCCCCAGCTTTTTTTCCCGCCATCCCCTAACTCTCATCTATACCATCATGAGACTTAGCACTGCTTTCGCTGCCGCCAACTCGTTGGCTGCCCTCAATGCGTTGGCCATTCAAAACCCCTTCGACACAAACATGTTGCAGACACCCCTTAGTTTGATGAACAACAACCGATTACTCAAACTCTTTGGTGACAATGCCGGGACAGACTTTTTCGAGTCCATGGGTAACTTTTTGAACGAACCCGTTTCGAAATTGACTCAGAGCACCAAGGACTTGTGGGCTGAGATGATGGCTGACTACCCACACGCGGTGACGTCGATGATGAACAAGATTCCTGGAAAAAAGAGCATTGAGCACAAGTTTGACTTTCTTGTCAAGAGTGACAAGTTCAAAAATCACAAATTGAGAGGTAAGGCCACGCCCAAGTCCTTGGGAATTGACGATGTTAAGCAGTACACTGGGTACTTGGACATTGAAGATGAAGACAAGCACTTTTTCTACTGGTTTTTCGAGAGTAGAAACGACCCCAAGACCGACCCGGTTATCTTGTGGCTTAACGGAGGTCCTGGGTGTTCTTCCATGACTGGATTATTCTTCGAGTTAGGTCCTTCTTCCATTGGTGAAGACTTGAAGCCAATCAGAAACCCTCATTCCTGGAACAACAATGCCTCGGTGATTTTCTTGGATCAGCCAGTGAACGTGGGATACTCCTACTCATCTGAGTCTGTTACGGATACCACCGCCGCTGCCGTGGACGTGTTGGCGTTTTTGGAGTTGTTCTACGCTAAGTTCCCCGAGTACCAGAAACTTCCTTTCCACATTGCGGGAGAATCTTACGCAGGTCACTACATTCCTACTATGGCCAAGACCATCTTGGAGGCTCCAGAAAAGAACTTTGAGTTGACGTCGGTGTTGATTGGAAACGGTTTGACCGATCCCTTGGTGCAATACAACTACTACCAGCCAATGGCCTGTGGTGGAGGTGGATACCCATCGGTGTTGGAGCCTGAAGAATGTGATTCAATGGAGGCAAGTATTGGAAGATGTACTTCGTTGATTGCCGCCTGCTACGAATCATCGTCTGCCTGGGCCTGTGTACCTGCTACCATCTACTGTAACAATGCTCAGATGGGACCATACCAGAAGACCGGAAGAAACGTCTACGACATCAGAACCATGTGCGAAGGTCAACTCTGCTACTCCCAAATGGACTACATTGACCAATACTTGAACTTGCCTGAGGTCAAGGCAGCTGTTGGGGCTGAGGTGGAAGAGTTTGAGAGTTGCAACTTTGACATCAACAGAAACTTTTTGTTTACTGGCGACTGGATGAAGCCTCAATTCAAAGAAGATGTTATCGAAGTGTTGGACTCGGGTTTGCCTGTATTGATCTACGCGGGAGACAAAGACTTTATCTGTAACTGGTTGGGAAACCAGGGTTGGACTGACGCTTTGGAATGGAAGGGAGCCGACGGCTTCTCGGTGGCTCCAGTCCAAAAATGGAACAACGGTAAGGTTCATGCTGGAGATGTCAAGAATTTTGACAAGTTTACCTTCTTGAGAGTGTTTGGAGGAGGTCACATGGTTCCTTTTGACCAGCCCGAAAACTCTTTGGACATGGTCAACCGATGGATTGCTGGTGACTATACCTTTGGTTACTAATTCACTAGTTTAGTTATACCCATAGTCGATAGGAATATATTGTGATTTTTAGTTCGCGTAGTTTCAAGTGTGTCTCAGGCAAATGTTTTGGCTGCAATTTTTACATTGCCTATTTGAGACGTACCATAAACATATGTTCCTGTCAACATCAACAAAACCACTCTGGTTTATTGTGGTTGTGGTAAGATTAGGAAGTCTTTGGAGTAACTCTGGTTATATCCTGCTCTGTACCTGTAATCAATGCCTTTGATTGGCTAATTCCCCCGTATACCATTCAACTTGCATGGCTTGGAGCTTCCGCTTACAGAGGGATAGCTTACCTATTCCTGCTCCGAAGACCTTAAACCTGTTTTGGGGCTGATCTTGATGTTTCACACGCAATTGTTGATTCCATCATTTGTGTGGTAGGAAATATTTTTTTGCTCCGAGTTCATCAACCTATACTCTCCCTATATTTATTGCTTACGATGTTGCTCCGACGTCTTATCACAACGGATCATGCTTTTAATGGAGTCCTACTTCTAGTAAGTTTGGTACTCGGCTCACTTGTGATAGTTACGTTGGCGATCGACCTCAAATCCATCGATATCATTCTACTTTTATCTACCATCTCAACCTTTTCCCTATGTTTATGGTTGCTTATACGGCTTGTACCATTCAGTTTGTTATTCAAAATGGTGGCTGATGCCATCTTCAAGGTATTTTGTATGGTCATGTGCATCATATACCTACTTCACCAGAAACACACCCGTTTTAATTTAGCCCTTCTGGCCCTCATGCTCATCCAAATTATCTTATCTACTTCCACTTTGGTGACTGGCTTCATCATCTACATTCTTAAACTTGGTGGTCTGGATCAAGAAGTATCCGAAGGAACTGGTTCCAGCAACTCCACCGTCAAAAGCATGAGCGTCGAAGACTACTACAAATCCCACCAGTCCAACTCCAAATCAACCTCGATGGATTCAAAGAATTGGATGGACATCAACCCAGCCACAAATGCTGATGAAATCACTTTGGCTCCAGGAATTGATCCTCAAACAGGTACGACCAATCGACTCCATTCCAAGAGTATGCCCAATTTCAACATCTCGGTCTCAGACTTGGATCTCCCTCTCCAGCCACACGACGAGATCAAAGTACTTCCCAAATCAAGCAGCACCAAAAGCCATGAAACCCTAATACCAAATTCCAACTCGGACAATTCCATTGTTCATATGATAGAAACAGCCGATCACGTGAAAAGGTCTAAATCCACTGGACACTTAAAACAGACCATCACAGTCAACAAACGACAACAACAGTGGAAGTCTATCAGCGTGGAAAAGAACTTTCTCGAGAACATCAACGAGAATTTGCTTCCTTCGGTACTAAAGAAAGGCGAAAGCCCAATTCTTGCGTTGAAGAGGAAACAGCAAAGCCAGGATTTCGATATCGAACAAGTAGACTTTGAATACCAATACCAGCCCAAGAAGGTCAACTTCTTCACTTCCACAAATATGGGTTCCAAGACCGAAGAAGTATTTGACCTGAATGATGACAAAAGGTCTGCAGACCTTCCATACATATCTGAGTTTGGCGAAGGGCACTCAGAAGAACCAGCTATGATGTTTGAAGATTTTGACCAAAACAGTCGACTTGAATACGAAAGGACCATTGCTGATTTCCAAATCCCCCAAACATACGAAGGGCTGTGGATGAGCAGTACCCAATCGATGAGACACATTTCATTGGACCAGTGGAACCAGAACTCTCACATTTACAAGAACTTAAGGACTCGATCCGGGGTAAGTTTGAACATTCCTCAAGTATTCAGTGAACATATTCTCAACGACAGCAATGTCACCCTCACAAGCGATGGAGAGGATCTTTTAGCACTTCCCGACAACCGGACTGATAATATCGACCATTTGAGCGATATCCAAAGTAACACTAGAAGCTTTGAAATCGACCAGAACATGGACCAGCTAGTGGACCTGGAAGTCATTCACCATGAAGTTTTCATCAACAACCATCTTTCCCCATTGTTTTCCCAGCTGAATCGATCGTTTAGTGCACCTTCGTTGCAAACGTTCAGAAACGTTTCCGCAGGGTCTTCTTCTTCCCAAGGCACCGAATACTCGGTCACCGCCATCTGCCGATTTACCACTCCACCTCCAATCGATTTGGGGGTTTCAGAACCACCCAAATCTTCACCCATAAGAAAGCTCTACCTGAGCCCCAAGAAGTTGTTCGGCAAGTCCATGGACACCATCGACACCTCGTCTCACAACTACCACAAACACACTGGTTCAGTTATTTCTAACCAGTTCTCCTTATACTCTTCGTCGTCTAAATCAGGGTCTCCTAAGAGAACCTCATTATCCAGGACCTCTTCCAGGACCAAACCCTCCAGATCTCGGTCTGTGTCTCCTAAGAAGTCCTTCAAGTCCCTCATAAGAAGATCCAGCACTCAGCTGGAGAGCCCGGTAAAGGTTACAGTTGCACCTCCCACTTTGCTAAAGCAGGCTATAGTAAAGAAACAACAAACTGAGATAGATTTCGTGGAGGATCGGTGGGAATTAAGACCCATGCCATCTGTATCGAACTCCAGAAACAGCTCTTTGCCTAGTGCTGTTATTGGGGAGTACGACAGGGAAAAGTGGAATACCCTCAAGGTTTTAAATAATGTATCATAGTGTAATAGTATTTCGCAACCGCATTAGGTAATAACAGCCTTGGGCAAAGCTTTGCATCTCGTAGTTATCTTGCCCCACCACCGATGCCACAATTAGCCGGTTTATTCGCCTTTATCTGCAACAGTATGCCCGGAAAAGGCCCCAAATTACGAACAAAGCCGATGAACCAATGAAATCTTGCATAGGCTGATTTCAAGAGGATAAGTCAGTTAGGGTCCTCCAAGTGTAGTCCTTTTTGGGTATTGCACTTGCCCCAAAATCAGATTCATGCAATTGGTGCAGTTGAAAAACTATCATTGTTTCAGTATGTTGCTGTGACGGCGAGCTCCATAAGTTCTACAAAACCTTGTTGTTAATGGGTCAGGAAAGTGGGCCCCATATTTATAAGGGTCGGGGTGGGCGCTAAGGGCGCTTAGATCAAGGGTTTACGTATCTGTAAAATTAGCCGCCCTCATCATCACAAGTTTACAAATATACGATTTAGGAAAATTCTTGAAAAAGGACCCTCGATTGGGTTAGAAGTATATGCTGGATTAAAGTACATGTAATGGCCTAGACTCTTTGCTTTTGATGCCATTTCCCATTGTCTACCGAATGCAAGTGATTGTGCAGCTTATCCAGGTTTGGAGTTCGCGATCTCATCTCAATTTTTTCTAGTTTTTCAAGCAGACAAGATGGACGATCTATTTGATGTTTTTGACGAGGCTCCGGTAGAAGTGCCTGAACCTCCTATCGCTCCAGTCAATAACCCGGACACTGTGAAGAACACTGCTGAAGTAGTAGAACCCCAAGAAGACTCTGAGTCCCAGAAAAGAAAGTTGGCCGATGACAGTGCCAGCCACAAACTCAAGAAGCAAACCACCAGAAAACCCAGCATAAAGGCAGTGGTTTCCGATGCATTGGAAATTGAGGCCTCCCGAGAGGTGGCTATCTCGGACGGGTTGTTGGCATCCAAACCAGACCCAAACGGTCATCCTTCCGGACAGTTGAAGTTAAAGCATCAAGTTAGGCACCAGGTTGCAATCCCTCCAGGATTCCCATATGTGCCAATCAGTGAACACAAACGTCAAAACGACGCCAGGCGGTACCCTTTCAAGTTAGATCCATTCCAAGACACGTCGATTTCTTGTATTGACAGAAATGAATCTGTGCTAGTGTCTGCTCACACGTCGGCTGGTAAAACCGTAGTGGCTGAATATGCCATTGCCCAGTCACTAAGAGACAAACAAAGAGTCATCTACACATCACCAATCAAAGCTTTGAGTAACCAGAAGTATCGTGAGTTACAAGCGGAGTTTGGAGATGTCGGGTTGATGACGGGAGATGTTACCATTAACCCAGATGCTGGGTGTTTGGTGATGACCACCGAAATTTTGCGGAGCATGCTTTACAGAGGATCGGAGGTGATGAGAGAAGTGGCATGGGTTATTTTCGATGAAGTTCATTACATGAGAGACAAGTCTAGAGGAGTGGTATGGGAAGAAACTATGATCTTGTTACCTGATAAGGTGCATTATGTATTTTTGTCTGCCACTATTCCCAACGCTATGGAGTTTGCCGAATGGATTGTCAAGATCCACGAACAGCCGTGCCATGTTGTATACACCGACTTCCGTCCTACGCCTTTGCAACATTACTTGTTCCCGGCTGGTGGTGATGGAATCCACTTGGTGGTGGACGAAAAGGGAACTTTTAGAGAAGAAAATTTCCAGAAAGCCATGGCTCAAATCAGTGATGGTATGGGAGAAGACCCTGGGGCAGTAGATGGGAAGAAGGGGAAGAAGGGCCAAACCTGGAAGGGTGGGAATAACGATGGAAAAACAGATATTTACAAGATTGTGAAGATGATTTACATGAAAAGGTATAATCCTGTGATTGTCTTCTCTTTCTCCAAGAGAGACTGTGAGACTTTGGCATTGAAGATGTCAAGACTCGATTTCAACAACGATGATGAGAGAGATGCCTTGACCAAAATCTTCAATAATGCCATCGGCTTATTACCTGAGTCCGATAGAGAGTTGCCTCAGATAAAAAACATCTTGCCGTTGTTAAGAAGAGGTATTGGGATCCATCATTCTGGATTGTTACCTATTTTGAAGGAAATCATAGAGATTTTGTTCCAGGAAGGGTTGTTGAAGGTGTTATTTGCAACCGAGACTTTCTCAATTGGTCTTAATATGCCTGCCAAAACAGTTGTTTTTACGTCTGTTCGTAAGTGGGATGGTGTTGGGTTCCGTTGGGTTAGTGGTGGTGAGTACATTCAAATGTCGGGTAGAGCTGGTCGTAGAGGTTTAGATGACCGTGGTATTGTCATCATGATGATCGACGAAAAAATGGAACCCCAAGTGGCCAAAGGAATGGTCAAGGGCCAGGCCGACAGATTGGACTCAGCCTTTCATTTGGGATATAATATGCTCTTAAATTTGATGAGAGTTGAAGGGATTTCTCCCGAATTCATGTTGGAAAGTTCATTCTTCCAGTTCCAAAGTGCTTCTTCTGTTCCCAAGATGGAAAGTCAACTTGTGGAGCTAACCAACCAATTATCAACAATCAATATAGACGATGAGAATTTGATCAAAGAATACTATGAATTCAAGGTTCAGTTGAGCAAGTTGCAAGAGGATTCTCAAAAGATCATAACTCATCCAGGACATATATTGCCCTACTTACAAAGCGGAAGAGTTATTAAGGTGAAGATTGGTGACATGGATTACGGGTGGGGAATGGTTCAATCGTTCAGTAAAAGAGCCAACAAGAGAAACTCATCTGCTATTTACAGTGATCACGAATCCTATCTCGTCCAAGTTTTTATATATTCCTTGTTTGTTGATTCACCCGTCAATTTGATCAAATCCTTCAACCCAGATTTACCAGAAGGTATCAGACCATCCAAATCTGGAGAACAATCCAGAGCTGAATACATTCCAATCACCTTAAGTTCCATTGAGAAAATTAGCAGTGTAAGATTAAAAGTTCCAGCGGATTTCAAGAGCTCGTCTGCCAAGAGAAACTTGTTGAAGACTTTGAAAGACTTACCCAAGAAGTTGCCGGATGGTATTCCAATCATGGATCCTGTCAATAGCATGAAGATTGATGATGATGAGTTCAAAACCCTCTTGAGAAAAATTGATGTCGTTGAATCCAAGCTCTTAGGCAACCCATTACATGGATCTGTCAGGTTGGACGAGTTGTACCAAAAGTATGACAGCAAGGTTAAGATCGAAACCCAAATCAAAGCGTTGAAAGACCAGATTCTCGAGACCAAGGCCGTTATCCAATTGGACGACTTGAAGCACAGAAAGAGAGTGTTAAGAAGGTTGGGATTCACCACTCAAAATGATATCATCGAGCTTAAAGGAAGAGTCGCCTGTGAAATTAGTACTGGAGATGAACTCTTATTGACAGAGCTCATTTTCAACGGTACCTTCAATGACTTGACCCCTGAGCAGTGTGCAGCCTTGTTATCATGTTGCGTGTTCCAGGAGAAGGCTAAAGAAACCCCCAGATTGAAGCCTGAGTTGGCTGAACCACTCAAGAACCTTCAAGAAATGGCCCTCAAGATCGCTAAGATCTCTAAAGAGTGCAAGATTGAGATGGTCGAAAAGGATTACATCGAGAGCTTCCGTCCCGAATTGATGGAAGTTACTTACGCGTGGTGTAAGAATGCCACGTTCACTCAAATTTGTAAAATGACCGATGTCTACGAAGGGTCCATCATCAGAACCTTCAAGAGACTCGAAGAAATGATCAGGCAAATGGTTTCCGCCGCAAAGACCATTGGAAACATGGAATTGGAAACCAAAATGGACAAGGCCTTGGAATTGGTGCACAGAGATATTGTTTCTGCTGGGTCGTTATATCTTTAGAAGTAGTTTTTGTACTATAGTAACATATTAGAAGTAATCATAGCCTAAATTTTTCGCAGTCATCCTCAAGTTGCCTTTAGAGAACTCCTGATTCCCTTACTGCGCAACCTTCTTATGCCTCCCAAACAAAGAACATTACTTTCAGGAGAGGTCGAGTTGCTCTATGTTAAGTCCAAGGTATATTTACACCCAAGTGCCTCTAAACGGGATAATGTTGTGGGCTTTTTAAGCATTTCAAAAGGACCAAATTCCACAAATAGCGATTTGCTCATATCTTTTACAGCAGAATCACAATTGAGCAAAGAATCACTAAAACTATACCAGGAAGCAGATCTCGACGAACTAGATGGTTCCAAAGATCTCAAGGTTGTCAGCAAACCAGTGTCATCGGTATTGTCTGGTTACAGCTACAGTGTGCCTATGTCATACATTTATTCAATCCAGCTCAGAAAGCCACTGCTGGGTATGTGGTACGGGTCGGTGGTGATCAATACTTTAGACGGTGAAAAGCTTCCCATCATCTTCTTCCATGACGATGAGTCTCCATCGACGAAACTCAGGCAAAAAAAACGGAACCAGAGTTTTGAAACGTTCAGTGAGTCTGGAGAAGTGATCTGGGGAGGAACCGAATTTTTGGCGGTGTTGCACAATTACTGCCACTTGGTCAAATCAACAGTTGAGCCTTCCGTTTACTTGGTCAATCCTGCAAGTGACGACTTGCGGAACTTTGCTCCGTTCAAAGAAAAGCCTAAACCTGGTAAGGATAGTAAGAAAAAGGAGTTCCAGATTCCTGACTTCAACAAAGTTATTGCCAACGCCAAGTGGAAAGTGTTGGAGACGGTAGCCACGTTCTCGGCCAAAACCAAGAACCAGGTGATAGACATAGTGGATGAGCATGCTCCGTTGCCTATCAAGCAGCTCATAAACAAACCTGAGGTTCAGAAGTTGGGAAATGAGTTTGAAGGAGCTCGGGTTTATTTGGCCAAATGGGCTGCTCAGGTCAAGGAAGAGGCCGAAGAGAGTCAGAAGAAGTTCCACTTGAACGAAGAAATGTATACCATAATCAACAAGGAATTGGGAAACGAGTTATTGACTAACGAGGAAGTTAGCAAAGCCGGAAGAAGAGAAGCCATCAGCAAGTCTGAGTGGGATAATTTTTTTGACTATAGTGGCAGGTTAAGGGTTACTGTTAACGAGATCAAGGACAGGATCTTTCATGGTGGAGTGAGTCCTTCTATCAGAGGTATGGTTTGGTTATTTTTGTTGGAAGTTTATCCTTGGGATTCGTCTGCCGAAGACCGAACTGTTATCCGAGCGAGCTTGGAAACCCAGTATCACGAGTTGAAGGCCAAGTGGTCTACAGATGAAGATAAGAGATCGACGGAGTTTTGGAAAGATCAGAAATTTCGTATAGAGAAGGATATCAACAGAACTGATAGACATCTAGACCTTTTCAAAAACACCAAGAGAAAAAGAATTTCTGTGTCGAGCTTGGCGTCCAATGTTCCTCCTACCATTAGGGAGAGTTCACCTGAAACTCCAGACGAAGATGATGATGATGAGTTTGATGTTTCCAATATTCGTAACCCACATCTCTTCAAAATGAGAGAGATTTTGCTCACCTATAACGAATATAATGAAAATTTGGGATACGTTCAAGGAATGACCGACTTGTTGTCGCCATTGTATGTTATTTTGCAGGATGAAGTTTTTGTGTTCTGGAGTTTTACCAAGTTCATGGACAGAATGGAAAGAAACTTTGTGAGAGACCAGTCCGGAATGAAAAAGCAAATGTTGACTTTGAACCAATTGGTGCAATTCATGTTGCCTGATCTCTTCAAACACTTAGACAAGTGTGAGTCAACCGACTTGTTCTTCTTTTTCCGAATGTTACTTGTATGGTACAAACGTGAGTTTGAGTTTGACCAAGTGTTGAGACTCTGGGAGATTCTCTTGACAGACTACTACTCAAGTCAGTATCACCTTTTCTTTGCAGCCGGGGTCTTGAGTGACAACGAAAGAATCATCATCCAGAACCTCCGTAGGTTTGATGAGGTGTTGAAGTACATGAATGATCTCTCAAATCACATGAATTTAAACAACTTGCTTATTCGGTCCGAATTACTCTTCTTGAAGTTTAGAAGAATGATCGATATCATCAACAGAGAGAATCTCTACAAATCCGAAAGGACCATTGTTAGTCCCGACTTGTTACAACTTCTCTCAAGGGATATTGTCGTGGAAAAAGAGGGTCCCAGGCCTGTAGGTGCCGGTGGTGGTTAAATTTATAGTGTTGCTTATTGTATATGCCCAATGATTTTTTTGCAGTCAACCGCACTTTAAAAACGTTTTCCCCATCCCGCGCCCCATTAATTTAAACTTGTTATAACAGAACGGTAGAATGTCAGAGACAAATCCGCTTCTTAACAAGCGATCACCCCGTGAAGAGGACATTTATGAGTACGAAGAATATGACGAAGAGCTCTCTTTGAGCCCCGGAGTCAAATATACCTTATACGGATTAGCAGGTTTTTTGTGTGTGGGTATTCTCTATGTATTTACAGTGTTCCTTCCCGCATATTTTATCCCGGAAGCTGTGGAACTTGATGATATCGTGAAGATCAGTGATTTAGGTGTGGAACTAAAGCCGCTTGTATCTACGGTTATGTTTAATGATGTTGTTGACAGCGATGACTTTGTGGATGAACTTGACAGTGATGACTTTGATGATGAACTTGACATGCTTGAGGCTGACCATATAACACATTATGAGGATGAAAACGCTGTGGGTGGATCCAAGAACACGGTTGAAAGGCTCATAATGATCGGGGATATCCATGGACACTATATTGAATTAAGACACTTGTTGAGAAAAGTCAAGTATAATAAGAAGAAGGACTATTTGTTGGTGTTGGGCGACTTTGTTTCTAAGGGACCCGATTCGCAGAAGGTAATTGAGTTTTTGGACAAGAACAATATCGACTGTATTTTGGGAAACCATGAATTCTACATATTGCAAAACTATGTCAAGTTCCACGGATTGAAATTCCCTGATTTCATCGTGGGAAACTCCACGGAGTCTATTCCTCTCGATATACACGTGTCTGATGCCTTCAACGATGATCCTGAGTTCTTACTTGCAAAGAAATTGCAGCCTGAACATATTCGGTATATCAACAAGTGCTCTTTGATAAAGAAACTTGGACAAGTACCGGTATACTCCAAAAAGAAGTCGTCCGGGATCTTCAAGCATATCACCACCACCAAGAGCAGCCCCGGTATTGCTGTACACGGAGGTTTACGATGGGATTTGTCTTTGGAAGACCAAAATCCTATCGAGGCGTTGGAGATGAGGTCTCTTGTGGGTCCATACTTCAATCGGTCAACGGATGATCCTCATGAGCAGTTTTCTGTAAGCTGGTCGAAGGTGTGGAACAAGAAGCAGAAACGTTCGAGCACCTCGTCGGTGGTTTACTATGGACACGATGCTAGAAGAGGATTAAATTTAAAACCATATTCCCGTGGACTTGACACTGGGTGTGATCGAGGCGAGCAACTTCTGGCCTTGGTGATATGGAATGAGGCCGATGCCACTGGTGGCATCGACCAGATTGTCTACAAGGAAAAGGTAGTCCAAGTAATGTGTTAGTATATAAACAAATGAACTTTTTGCATCCAGATACGCGCTAGAAATTTGACATGGACACCCACACAAAAATAAAAACAAAACATCCAAGTCCCCCTAACTAACACAAATGGTGAAAACTCCATCAGATCTTTTTACTGTTGGTGAGCGGCCGCTATTGGCGTTTATGCCCAAAGACGATCCTGAACGTGATACCTATGTCAAATTAATCGAAGACAATGGTGGGATTGTCACCAGCTCTGTACCCAACGCCAAAAACGGTGTGATGTTTATAAGCTCATATCCAATAGATGGTTTCCACCCAATTTACAGAGCCTCTTGGGTAGACCATTCCATTTCCAATGGCAAATTGGCTGACGTCAATCCCTACGTGTTTCCAGTGAAGAAAGAAACTGGTGGCCGGAAAACCGTCAAGTATACTCAGGCCCAGGACGAGTATATTTTAGAGCAAATACGATTGAAACCGCTTGAACGTGGAAGCCATCGGTTTTTCGAGTTGCTTGAAGGCCACGAGGAGTTGAAGGGTCACACCAAACACTCGCTTAGAAGCAGGTACAGAAGGCACTTGGTGCACAATTTGAAGTATGTTTATAAGGTCAACGAGCACGGTAAGTTGATTTTAGACGAATATGGCAACAAAATCAAAGTCCTGCCAGATTCGTACCCTGATCTCAAGAAGCGATTCACACCCTTGGATGATTACGCGTTATGTGCGGAGGTTTTGCGGTTTGCAGTACTGAGGCTCAGTCCTGAAGAAGCTAAATTCGAGAAGAACAATCAAGATCCGGCTCGGTCCTTGATCCCTGAGAGTCCTCATGTGCTGCGGTCATTTTTCAAAGACGTGATGTTGAGGTTCCACAGACAACACTCCGACCTGAGCTGGAGAGATCGGTATAGAAAATTTGCTGTCAAGTGTGGGATCAAGAGCTATTTTGAGTACTACGGAAGGTGTGTAAATGAAGGTACCACTCCTTTGGTGATGACAACTGTACCTCTCCGCGACACGGAGTTGAGTGTAGGGGCCAAAGCGTTGGTGGGACTGAACTATAATGATGACAGAGTGAACATTCCTTTGGACGAGGAGATTAGCCAGACCAGAAGCTCTACCGCGGGAAGGTTATCAGAAGGTGCGCAGAAAAAACGGAAGGTTGCAGCCATTGCTACTCCGGTGTTGGGGTTGGTGGAAAGTGATGAGGAAGAAGCTTTTTTTGATCCTGAGTCTCAGCCGGAACCAAATGCCACTACGCCAGCTGCAAATGTCTCTACGCCAGCTCCAAAGGCAGATGAACCAACTCCCAAGAAACCCAAGGTCCAGGCATCCCCAGAACCGGGATCAGAAGAGGTGGAAGAAGACGAAGAAGACTCTCAAGTGGGTTTCGAGTATCTCGCAGACCCTATGATGGTGTATGACTTATTTGAAGAAGAATTCTTCCAGGAAAGCAGTGATACCATGAAATCCAAATTGGACACTGTGTATGCCGAGGTAAAGTCCCAACCTCTTGCATTCTTGATGCAAAAGCTCAAAGAATTGCACTTCAAGTCAGGTTTTGTTAACCATATAATCAGATCCACCGGAGGGGTCCACGCGAGGATTAAGAAATATAACGATATATGGGTCAGTCGGCTCTTGAATGATCCTGCTTTCATTGAGGATGGAAACAGTCTTTTGGACATGACCGGACAAGTGGGTATTTGGACAAGGCTCTACGATAATGAATTGAAAAAGGAGAAACTTCTTGGAGTGGACCTGGCCGAAATCAAGTTTCAACCAAAGAAGGAGAAAACGAAGCGGGTGGCCTTCTTGAAGTCGATTGGCGTGTGGTAGGGGGTGGTTGTATTTTAGTTATTGTTATTGTAATTGTATGAGTTTTAAAGTAGAAATTGCTGCAAACTAGCAAAAAGTGAAAAGTGCACCACCTGCAGGATTTGACGAGCACCAAATACTCATTGACGATTAAAGGAAAACATACATTTTATAAACTCTTGCTATATAGGTATCACACCAGCCAAAGCTTGTAAGCATAGCAAGCCTACAAAATGCTAGATAAAAACAGTAAAACAGTAAAAAATCCAACTAGGTCATTTAGTTAAGAATACCCCAGTATTGTTCAGCGTTGTAAGCGCCTGGAGCCTTCCAGATGTCGTTGAAAGCGTTGAACAAAGTAGAAGCACTTCCACAAGTGTCAATAATGGATTGGATGGCGGCCTTTTGGTTTTCAGCAGAAGGAACAGCCTTTCCGTTGGAGTCACCCTGGGATGGCCATCCGGTTTCGGTAATAAAGACTCTCTTGCTACCTCCACAAGCAGTGTAAACTCTTTGGATTTGTTGCAAAAGCCAGTCACCAGCTTGGTCAGCGGTGTAGTAACCATCAAAGAAGGCGTGGGCGTTAACGGCCATGTAATCAGAGTGATCACACAAACCAGGATTGTTGATAACGGCAATGAATGTGTCAACAGCCACAATGGAACCAGAGTAACCAGCAGCAGTTAAGGCAGACTTGGCTTCAGCGACGTAAGAACCAACTTGGGAAACAGTGGCCAGACCTCCGTTCACCAATTCGTTACCGATGGAGACGGTGTCAACCTTGTCCCAACCACCGTTGGCTTCAACGGCGGCAGCCAAGGTGGAAACACCACCAGAAATGTCGGACACGTCATAGATTCCGGCAAAGATTTTTTGGTTGTCACCAATAGCAGCCAAGACGTTGGCAGCCTGGTTACAGTCGACACCGTAGATTCTAATGATGTCGTAACCAGACAATTGAGCCACGTCACTGGCCACTTCACTGGCACTCTTACATCCTCCATCATCGGAGTATGGCGAGTACGTGATACCCTTGGCACCAGAGGCACCGATAGCTTCGGAGGCGCTGGCGGTGGACACTGCCGAGGTGGAAGTCTTGGTCTCAAAAGTGGTTGGGTTGGAGAAAGACGCTGGTTGGTTCTGAGGAGTGATGGTGGTATCAGTGTTGATAGACACATCAGTGGCAGCAGACAAAGCAATAGAGGTGGTAGGGATGTCAGCAGCTCCGTAACCGGCAGTGACGACGACGGTGTTGACTTGAGTGACAACCTTGACAGCTCTCTTTTCATGCTGATGTTGATGTTGGTGTTCATCTTGGAGTGGTTGGGCCAAGATAGTAGCGGCTAAAGCGCCTGTAACGATCGATTTAAACAACATAATAGTAAAGGAAAGAACGAACTAACTCTGAAGTATTCACGAAATCTGGGGGATAAGATTGAAAGGAACGACTGGTAGATTTCAAAAAAACTAGAAAGTTGTTTGGTGAATAAAGAAGGAAAATCAACAAATTTTTGAGTGTAAAAATTTTCTGCCACCAAACGAGGGATTATTGATACTGGTGGGCGCACATGCCTGTGTTTAGTGTTGGAGGTGTCTCAATCGGGTATTTTTCAAAGCGCCACTGCCACCCGCGTCTGCGGGTTACCTGTTTGGGATTTTAATGGTTACTGTTTAGGGGAACTTTGACAACATCGGCACGGCCTATTGGCTGGAATTGCCTCTGGCCTTGGCAGTACCCGGTACCCCTGCGGTGGCAGCGGCTCAAAGCTAGGGGGCGGGAGTAGTAGCTTGGACCAGGGACGTCGAAAATGTGGGCCCAGATCTGGGGTTGCGAAGTACCGTTTCATAATTCCGCTGTTTCAGGCTATTGGCACTATGGAATTTCTTGGTGGTGAGGTCCCCCCTATCAAAGCTTCACAAACACATTCTCTCCTTGCCTTCATGGGGGCGTGATCGAGCTGGCCACATAATCAGACGAGTTCCTCTAATTGTAGTAGGCGTTAATTGTGCACCAAAAGGGATGCCAGGTGCGTGTTTGATATTTGGGTTTTAGTTCGGGTACCCAATGTCCTGCACACATCGAGGGTAGGTCGAGATTAGTCGGGATTCATGCAGGCCGCGTCTAATTGTGTGAAGGAATGTATGTTTTATTTACAGGTTTCGGGGGCTCATCTTTGCCGGTTGTTCATAGGATATTTTGCCGGTTTACACAACACGAGGAGCGTGCAGTAACGAAAACACGTGATGCAAAAAGAATGTGCTACCGCGTCAGGTGACTTCATAGCAGCCCTCTGACTGGGTTGCAAATTCTCGCAGTGCGGTAGCCACACAGCAACAATACCACTTTTGAAAGTAGAGTATTTATTAGGGATTTCAACGAGCAACAGCATTCTGACAGACTTATGCATCCATTATGTTCTTCTCCTGTCCTTCTAGCTCCACTCTTTCCCCACCACCGACTGTCTTCATAACCATATCATTTACGTGTGCGCACCGGTACCCTGCGCACTTCTCCCTGATTCTCACAAAATTAATAAGCTCCTACCAAAACGAAATCAACTCAATCATCCCTCTTCGACCGTGTACCATTCATATAAAAGCACAATCCTGACCGCAATATGATCTCCGATGTCGACTCCTTGGAAAACAAGGAAAACCAATACCAATTGACCCATCCCCACAAGCCGGTTGATAGTCAGTCTCCGGGAATCGCAATCGGTGCCAATGTTGAATCTCTGTGGGTAGACCTTCAGTCATCCGACACCAACGTCGCCGGGTTGCATCACGACATCTCCGGCGTGGAGGTGGATGATGTGGACGTAGACGACGAAGAAGACGACCTTGACGATGATGACGATGAATCTGTCACCTCACCTCACCGTTACACCAACAAAACCACGAGTCAATCTCCCTCCAGACCCTCATTACCAGCCTCCAATGACTTCCATGCGTTATCACACGCGTTGTTGAAACCGGTCCCCGACTATCCAGTCTCTGATGAAGGATTCCATGTTTGGGAAATCAAAAATTGGTCCGGCCTCACCGACCACAAAGTTAGAGGACCCCGGTTCAAAGTGGGTAATTATGAATGGAACGTGCTTCTTTTCCCCAGGGGAAACAACAATACAAACTACATGTCCGTATACATCGAGCCCCACCCACTTGGCCCCGAACTGGATGATTGGTATGCGTGTGCACAGTTTGCGTTTGACTTGTGGAACCCCCAAAACCCCAAATGCCATTTTTCAGGATCTTCTCATCATCGGTTCAACAAGAATGAGACCGACTGGGGATTCAGCTCCATTATAGACTTGGGCTCGTTGTATCGGCCACGTAACAACGAGGATGCTGCCATCATTGCCAATAACCAGTTGAACATCACTGCGTACGTGAAAATCATCGACGACTCGCAGACAGGGGTATTATGGTACAACTTCCAGGACTATGACTCGAAGAAGAACACGGGCTACGTGGGCTTGAACAATCAGGGTGCTACGTGCTATCTCAATTCGTTGTTGCAAAGCTACTATACCACCAAGATATTTAGGAAGTTGGTTTATCGCATTCCCACCACCTCCAATACCATCATCAAACTGAACAAGAAGATCCGCAAGCAGAGCTCCGTGGCCTTATCGTTACAGAAGATTTTTTACTTGTTGTCGACATCCCCAGTTCCAGTGGGCACTTTGGAGTTGACTAAGGCTTTTGGGTGGGATACCAGTGATGCCTTTACCCAGCACGATATCCAAGAATTGAACCGGATCTTGATGGACAAGTTGGAGACTTCCATGAAGGGAACTCCAATCGAAGGAAAGTTGAACGACTTGTTCGTGGGGGAAATGAAGAGTTTCATCAAATGTATTAATGTCCCATATGAATCGTCCAGAGTGGAAGATTTCTGGGATATCCAGTTGAACGTGAAGGGATACAACAACCTCACTGATTCGTTCAAAAACTACATCGAGTTGGAAATGTTGACCGATGATAACAAGTATCAGGCTGGTGATGACTATGGTTATCAGGATGCTAAAAAGGGTGTTGTTTTCCGATCTTTCCCTGCGGTTTTGCACTTGCAGTTGAAAAGATTCGAATACGATTTTATGATTGACGATTTACAAAAGATTAATGATTTATATGAGTACCCAAATGAAATTGACTTATCTCCTTACTTGGATGAAGACCTTCCCGGCGATGTCAAGCTGCAGAACTGGACCTACAAGTTGCACGGAGTGTTGGTGCACCAGGGTTCCATTTCCAACGGCCACTATTACGCCATGATTAAACCCAAGGCTCACGAGGATTACTGGTTACGTTTTGAAGATGATAAGGTGTGGAAGGTCACAAGAAGTCAAGTTTTCGAAGAGAACTTCGGAGCAAATGAACTCAGCCAGGAGGAATTCTTCAAGTTGTCGAAGTTTGAACAGAATGAGAACATGATTAGACGGTCAACTAGTGCCTATATGTTGGTTTATTACCGTGAAACGATGTTGGATGAAATTTTGCCTGACGATGACGAAGAAATAGACAAATGTGTCCCATCTTTTATTCCAGTTGAAATTGAACAACAAATAAATGAAGTCAAAATGATTGAAGATTTGAAGTTGCAACAATTATACAACATCAACATCAATATTGTCAACCTCACAAACTTCCAGAACTATTCTGAGTTCGACTACTACTACGATTCAACAAATCAAAAATATTATGACAAGCAGGCTTTGCAGAAGAACCAACTTCTTCAACCATTAGTTTTAAGCTTGAAGAAGACTGATACCATTTTTGATTTGTACAATAAAATCAGTGAGACGTTGAATGTTCCTGTAAAAGTGAGCAAAGTTGACCACTTGAGTGACTTGCCTTATAGATTGTTATTGATCTGTCACCGCAACAATCAAACTAACCGTGTCGATGGTTGTTTGAACTTGAGTGAATTACTCGAAGAGAATGGTGAAAAGGATCTTACTTTAACCTCCATTTATAACAAACTTTTCAACAAACGGTTCGATGAAATGGTGTTTTACACCGAAGAGTTCAAGTATGACTTGGACTACGTTAATGAACATAATGCTCATAAATCGGTCCCAATAGAAGATTTCAAGTTTGAACTGGTTTCGAACAAGTTCAAGAATGCTTCTCAACTTGCAACTACAACACCTCCTCTTCCAAAGACTTTGGATGACCTGTCAAATAATATCGTTATTTTCTTCAAGTTTTTCAACCATTTTACTAATGAATTGAGAGGATTGACCCACTTGGTGGTCCCCAAGGATGAAAAGGTTGCAAATATCCTGAACAAATTAAAGAAATTGTTGGACTTGGACACTTCTGTCAATTTGGAATTGGTGGAAGAATTAACCCCAAACAAATTAGAGGTCGTTCATGTCAGTTCATCTCTCGAAAAAAATGAATTGAGCAATGGTGATATATTGATATGTCAAGTGCATTCTCCTGAAGGAAATAAAGCCTTAGCGGAATACTTCAAATTCCTCACCAGCCGGCTTCACCTCAAAGTATCTCTTGTGAAAAATGATTTGCCTCGTGTTGCAAGTGAAGATATGATCAAAGAGAGTGATGATGAATTGTCTGATGTTGCAATGGAGAAGAACTCGGGTGTAGATTCGTCAGATGGAGATGAAGAAGTGTTTTACTTATGGGTTTCAAGTACATATAGCTACGAACAATTAAGCAAGAAGATTGGGGAACGGATCAAACAAAACCCTGAATACTTGAGATTCTTTGTTATTAACCAGCAAGGCTTTAAGTTGCCAATCAGCACATCTTCGAACTTGGCACAATTCTTCCCAAAGTCCTTGCCAATTTCTACTCTCATTGATTTTGAATATGAAGTTTTGCAAATCCCACTTAAAGAACTCGAGAGTATGAAAGTTCTTAATGTTACCTGGGTCACGAATATCATGCAGTATGAAGAGTTGGAAATTTTAGTTCCAATCCACGAAACTGCTCACGAATTAGTCGAAAAGGTTTTCGAAGCATTGGAAGAAAGAAGCCATGATACCAGCAAAATCGACAAATCCAACTTGTTTATGTACTGTGGTAATAATAGCAAGTATGTTGATTTGGTCAAGTTCAACAAACCCATTGACAGTTTGAATGAATCACTAGATTACTATATTGGAGAGTTCCCCACCGAGCTCAATGTTTTGATCAATTACGACCTCGTCAGCAGATATCAGAGTTCCAGCTCTGTTCCTAACTTTGAAAGTGGTATTGAAAAATACGAATACGACATGGCAGTCAAACACACAAAGGATTTGAATATTATTCCAGTGTTTCATTTTCATAAAAACTCCAACTACCATCATTCCATTCCATTCTTGCTAGTGCTTTTCCCCAACGAATCTTTCAAAAACACCAAGAAGCGGTTACAACATAAGTTGGGCTTCAACGATTTGAACTTTGGAAAAGTCAAGTTTGCGTTGGCGGACTCCAACGATAAAGGAAAATACTTGGACGAACACGACAATTTGATATTGTATAACGAGGTCACGTCTGAGTTATCCAGTTTGGCACTTGATCATTTCGATAAGAATCCCAAGAAAAGTATGTTTGATAAAGGTATCCAGATCAAATAAACCCTTGTGTTGACATGTAGACTTTGTGCTGCGAAATATATATATATTGCATTTATTTCTGTTGAAATTGCGTAAGTTCTTGTTCCTCTCTCCTCAAGTCAGTAGAACTGAGCTTGTTTTCTCCTCCAATGAGCTCAATTGCGTAGACTGTGAGTTTTGGATACCCAATCGACTTTCTGAAGTTATTAACAAACTCTCCTCCAGATGCACTTTCCTTACTCAAAACCAAGCAGTCAATACCTTTGATATAACCAGTGGGTCCACAAATATCCACAATCTTATACAAATCAAAAGTCTGGTTACTGGCGATTTTCTTCAAAAACTTGGTGGTAATTTCCAATCTTTTTTCAAACAATTCCAAGTACTGCTTATACTTTTTATTCTTCAAAAGTTCATCATCAGTAATACCTACAATGACCTTGTTTTTGGCTAGAAACACCGCTGATGATAGGAGAATCTTGTGCCCGTCATGCAAATGGTCAAACGTGCCACCCACCGCTACTATATCAAATTTTCCAACTGAACTTCCTTCCAGCGGCCCAGCATCAACACTCTTCAACTCACTTGGTATTGCCGTCACATTAAGTTTTTGCAGCTTAGCAATGTGAACCTCCTTGTCACTCACGTATATTCTTTTGTAGTCTTGGAAGTCAATGCTATTGAATAATATGTCTATGTTGAACTTGTAGGAATACTGGTGGTCTAGCAGAAGAGCTCTTACTTGTCCATACAACTTATTTAACACACGCCCCAATTGCTCCACAGAGTGGATCAGGCTGTTTAGGTATACATCAATTTGAGTCGGTTTTAACTGCAAAGCCCTATTGAACAAATCTTCGTAGTCTTTATGGATCGGATCGTTTATTATAATTAATGACATGATACAGCTATTTACAAGATAGTGCGAACTTTATTGAAGATGTTAATAGGATCTTTGAAACAGCTTTTTGTCTTCAGGTGATCTGCTGAGTTTTTGGACTAGCCGAACACACGGATTCAAAGACACGGATATATCTTTGATATTGGAGTAATTTTTGAAGGAATCTACCATTAACTGATTGTATTTGAGCTTATCTTTAGAAGTTCTCATATTACGCCAGTTGGAGTCAACTATCTTGTCAATGATTCTAGACACCTTTTTCCAGTTTACTTGGTCTATAGGACAAATATCCGTGTAAAGCTTTAGGTTTTTGGCCAAGTACTCAAGATGTTCTTTAGTGAGAGACTTTTTTTCCTTTTTCAAATTATAGATGGATCTGTGGAAGTACTCAATCTCTTCATTAAGCACCGACAAAAGCCCGTCGTATACAGAGGAGTCGACAAGTCTTTCGTTCTTCTGGATGTATCTTACCAAGTGCAAGGTAATCGAACTTGATTTCATTTCCTTTAGGAAAATCTGGTTGATTTTGAAGATAAAAAACCGGATTAACTTTGTATCAACAACCTCCAGTTTATCATCAACACCTAAATCGTAGTTGACTTCTACTTGGTACTCGTTAGACTTGATGTTGGGCAAGGTCTTGAACTCAATGCCTCCGAAGTCGCTTAGGATCCACCAAATGCTGTTTATGAATTGAACCGGTCTGTCCAATTCACATAAGCCATCGACAAATCTCATCAACAAGAACTTATTGATGTGAATGTTAGACCTACTTTTGTTGATTACAGCGGTGACTTTATCTAGGTCAGAAGTTTCTGTGGGCTGTTCTGCATTCAAGTCATTTACTAGCTTCTTGAACTCATATGCTTTGGTTTCAGTTAATGCTTTACTTGAATCCAACTTGACTGAGTGCTTGTCCACAAAATCATTAAATTCCGGAACCCATACACAGAGTTGCTTCAACGCATCTGAATTGTAGTCATGACCAGGCTTCTTGATAGTGTGGGAAAAACTAGTGATATAGGCAACAACAAACTCTTCATCAAGCTGCTCCCTTTTGACTTTCGACAAAATAGACTGGGCGACATGGATGAGCTCATTGCCCAATCTGTAGAACTCCTTGTTCTTTTCTAGAGAAGGTGCCTGTGAGCTTTTGGTTAGATTTCTGGTCTTGATATCATAGTTATTCCAGATTCCTTGCAAGAATATAGTGAAAGTCTGAGCAGAAGGCTTGAAATCCTCCAACGAATTGAACAATTCCCAGGCCTCATACTGGTCATCAGTCAAATTCTTAACTAAACACGACAACAAAGAGTTGAACATGGATAAAGTGGGCTTTTCCACCAGTTTGTACAAGTTGAGTAATGTATCAGTGAGTTCTTGATCAAGTTCTCCATACTCTAAAGACCTGGCAATTCCTCCAAACAAAATCACATAAGTTTGTTCGTTGGGCTTGTATCCCCATTTCTTACAGTCGTTCAATATCTTGAGCCCGCTCTGGACATTCTGAAGCTTTTGAGATTTGTCCTGGTCTTCTCTGGTCTTCAAAGTGAATTCAATCACTCTATTCATCGAAACAGGGTTTTTGTAGAAACTCAAGTTGAGCAAATACCTGGCCCTCTGAGTGTCATTATCTTGTTGCAAAAGCTTCTCTATTTGCTTTGTTACCATCACTTTGTCTCTTAATGTTTTGGGTTTCACTCCAAGAAGCGTGAGGAAAAGGGTCTTGTCGATAGGTTTTTTGTCCACCAGGCGCAACTTCATGAGATTCTTGAAGATAAGAAGGTTCTTTCCTTGTAGCTTTGAGTTTGTCAAGTCCCTGGTGGTGATTTTTGACGTATTTATGACGTTCGAATTCTCATCAAAAAGAAGACCATCGTATTGGTTTCTTAGTATCTTCACACATCTATTGAGTGTACTAGCTTTGAAAGGGTCAGGAAGCTTCTGCCTCGTCGTATTTCTGTCACCCTGAAGCTCCAAGAATACTTTACCCGACTTTCGGAACTCGAGAAGCTTCTGCTTCACGCCTGCTAATAAAATCGTATTGGTCTTCATGCCGCTTTGGAGGATATATTTTCAGTTGATGCGCATCGCATCTTTAGTTCTCACAACCGGTAATGTCACAAACATCTACAGAATGGATACGACTCCGCACATCGATTGAAGCATTGGTAGACAACCTCAACGAACACAACATTGATACGATCGCGGTGGAGCTTTTCAAGCTCAATTTGTTCAAGGGAAAAGGTCTTCTTGTAAGGAAATTGATGTTATCGCAGAGAACCTCAAGGAAACCAGCTTGGGTATATGCGAGTTTGGTGAACGTGTTGAACTTCAAAGTGCCCGATATAGGAAAACTAATTGTCATTAGGTTACTTATTGTCTTCAAAAATGAGTATTTGCATAACATGTACGTGAACATCGACTTGGTGTGTGAGTTAGTCAACTATCACGTTGTAAACAACTTGGTGATACTCCAAATTCTCGAACTTTTGATGAGCAACATCACTGACGACAGCATCGGTGTGGTGATACGGATCCTAAAACATAGCGGTGCTGTACTCCCTACAAACATTGTTTACGCCATAATCGATAAATTAAGAAACTTGGTGAACGAAAAGCAGGTCTCCAATACTAGCAAAAGTTCCATTGAAAAACTACTCCAAATATGGAGAAGAGGGTTCAAAGACTTTACTGCCATTCTCATCGATGGCGAAATGTGCCATGAAATAGACTTGGAGGATGAACTAGATGCCTCTATTAAGTTACTCAAAGACGACGGTAAAGAGTACCATGAGTACGAAACGCTAAAACGGGAAATTCTTGGTGAACTCGAGGAAGGAGCACTTGAAGAAGAGCATCGCCCCGAAGAGCCGCAGCAACATGTCCTGGCGGAACCGGTGGTAGACATGTCACAGGCCGAGCTCATCGGTCTCCAGAAAACCGTCTACTTGACCATCATGTCCAGTCTTTCGTCCGAAGAGTCGGTACACAAACTTCTTAAGTTGAACTACAAGCCTGAAATCCTCGCCGAAATCGTCATCAAAAGTTGTGTTCAAGAGAAGACATACTCAAAGTACTACGGAACCATCTGTGAGATTCTCAGCGTGAAGTTCACCAAGTACAAGCATGAGTTCACGCGGCTCTTCGAGGTGAACTACGAAAACATCCATCAGATCGAGTTGAACGGGATCCGGAATCTTGGCAAGCTCTACGGATATTTGGTGGCCACTGGAAAGTTACCTGTAACTATTCTAAAAGTCATCTCGTTGACTGAGGCAAACACCAACTCATCAAATCGGATATTTATCAAGTTTTTGTTGAAGGAAATGGTCGAAGAGGTCGGTACGCCCACCGTAAAAGACAAGTTGACTGGGAATATGCAACAGCTTTCTGGGATGTTTCAGATGGATGGAAAGAGAGACGACTTGGTATTTGCAATCAACTATTTCACAGCCATTGGATTGGGAATGCTTACAGACGAGATGAGAGACGAGTTGGAGAGCCGCAAAAGAGGAAGAAAGCGTGAACGACATGAGGTTGGTAGTCGAAGTGGTAGTGGTAGTTATAGCAGAAGTGGTAGTGGCAGTTACAGTAGAAGTGGTAGCAGCAGCTATAGCAGAAGTGGAAGCAGTCGCAGCGCTAGTTACAGCCGGAGTCCCAGCCGAACGCCCAGTCGGGCGACCAGCCCGCACCACCGCGCTACTGACGAACGTGACTCGCAGGGTACGAGTGGTCACTGATTTGCCGGGTGGTTCCTAAACCACCCGGCAAATGTCGCAGCAATCTCTTCCACCGATAGTGTCGCACGACTCTCAGCCGTACTGCAATATTCCACTATTGAAGACCCCTTGTTGACCCCAACCCACACCACACTCTACCCACTACACCTACAATAAGGGTACCTCTTCCTCCATGTCCGAATCCCAAATCGCTACCTTAATTTCGACGTGCGTGGACGTAACCCACGGCCAACTAAAACCAGCCAATAAAAAAGCTGCGAAAAACAATCTTACAACTAAATTTGTATAAATATACTCTCAGGCAAAAGAAAAAATTTTCAGTTTGTCACTACTTAAACACAAAACAAAATTAAAGAAAGATGCCAGCCAAATTCGAAAAGGGTAACGAAAAGAAAGGTGCTAACTTGTTCAAAACTAGATGTTTGCAATGTCACACCGTTGAGGCCGGTGGACCTCACAAGGTCGGTCCTAACTTGAATGGTGTGTTTGGAAGAAAATCCGGTCAAGCCACCGGCTACTCTTACACTGACGCCAACAAGAAGAAGGGTGTTGAGTGGTCTGAGCAAACCATGAGTGACTACTTGGAAAACCCCAAGAAGTATATTCCTGGTACCAAGATGGCATTCGGTGGTTTGAAGAAGCCTAAGGACAGAAACGATTTGATCACTTACTTGGCCAAGGCCACCAAGTAATCGTCCTAGAACCCTTTGTCATCCTAGCACTGCCTTCCACTTCATCATAACATTTATTATTATCTTTTACTTTGTAAATATTTATTGCTAATAGAATCTTCTGTTTCTTGTTGATAGAAAAATGGTAGTCGGTAATTCGCTGTTTTCGCAATCAGGTAACCATGATTGGATTATTTTGTGTATAACGCCAATGTAATTGATTAGAGGGCCAGGTGTTCTTTGGGTGGCGTAAGTGGTGAATTGGAAGGTATGACGAGGCTTTTGATGTAATTCGGGCCAATTTGTACCGGCTGAGGTTCATTTATACTTTTTGATGTTCTCTTGTTTAACATCTGTTTTATGATATGCAAGATGATATGTGGTTTGGAATTGTTGTGATGTTTTCAGTGATGGGTGCTTGGCTTTAACGGAACCAGCCAAAATTCTAATTGGTGTGGTTTGCTTTTGATTATTTAAATACTTTGATTGAACTAAATGCAATACGTAATTTTCGCAATTTGCAATCATTCTTCTAAATGTCAAACAGCTAATTTATGAAAGGTTTATGTGTTTTCTGTGAAATGATTGGCCAGAGCACAAGAAACCCATACAAACACCCGTAAGCACTATCGCCTCGAGAAGTTCCCTATACACCCACTTATGGCCTTGAGCTGCTTATATGCCTCATAAAAACCTGGAAAGACCCACGAAAACTCCGGGTAAAAGCCTGAAATAATTACTAACTCCCAAGCAGTCTTTTTGATACGCTCCCCCAAACTCTTGCCTCACCCTCCAAGTCTTTTCTACTCAAAACGAATACTCCATCAGCAAGCAGTCGTGCGCGCTCATTGTGAAAACTCGGTCTCAAAACCAACCGCACCTTCAGTCAAAAGTCACCATGAATCCTATGAGTGATATGAAGGTCCCCGTCGAGGTGGACCCAAATGAGGACACTGAGTGGAACGATATCTTGCGAGCACATGGGATCATCCCCGAAAAACCACCGTCGCCCACGCAAGAGCTCGAAAACGCATTGGAAGAAGCCCTCAAGAATCAGCATGAAAACCGATTGGACAACAAAGAGTTGGATGAGCTAGCTGAGTTGGAAGATGAGGAAGACGAGGAGTTCTTGAACTTCTACAAGCAGAGGCGTATGAACGAGTTGAGCGAGTTGCAGTCGCGAGCCAAGTTTGGTCTGGTGATGTCCATCTCCAAGAACGAATACGAGAAGGAGATCACGTTGGCTAGCGAAGAAGGATTTGTATTGGTACACTTGTCATCAGATCTGATGATTCAAAGTCGCCTCTTGGCGGCCATCTTCACTCAGTTGGCGGCCCGGTTCCCAGAAATTAAGTTTGTCGATATCCCTGCCAAGCGAGCCATCGAGAACTATCCAGAACAGAATATCCCCACCATTTTGATTTACAGAAACAAACACGTCATCAAGCAATATATAACATTGACGGAACTCGGGGGTAACGACACAAAGACTGGAGATATCGAAAATGTGATGTTGGAGTTGAAGATGGTGGAGTTTTCCGACAGACGGCTCGTGGTTAACCAGGACGAGGACGAAGATAACAAAAAATCGAGCAGTAGATTGAAGTTCAAGGGCAAGTCTATCCAAGAGGACGACAGTGATGACGATTTTTACGACTGAAATAGACTTATAGCTTGTTTAAAATCATGTAGATGCCCACCGCAGCCAGCTGCGAGCGGGCCCTTTTCGCAATTTGACAAATCGATGAAAATCTGATCTACCACAAGACACTTGCAAACCCTTGGACATTAGGCCAAAGAAGATGTTTGAGGATTTGGGTTCGTGTCAGCACATTCGACAGGTGTTGAACTCCAAAGCTCGAGAAAATGTCTTGATTACCTACAAGCAAGCAATCAAAATTGCTTTGCTCGTGAATAAGTCCAATAATTTTAGGCTTCTCAAAGACAACTCGTCTTTTTCCGCCGACAAGCTAATTGAGCTCAAGCTCAACGCATTGAAGTGTTCCAACTGCAAGCTCTGCAACTTCAACAACAATCTTATCTGCCTACAGTGTCCCAACATTGGCTGTCAAATTAACAACCATGGATACAATCACTACAAGTTGAACCAACATGTATTTGCTATTGACAGTGAAAACGGATTGATTTATTGCTTCAAGTGTAACACCTATATCAATGATAAGGCCTTGAACGACATACGAAACGAGGTATTGTCTCTTATCGACCCCCAGGTGCGGCCCGAGTCGAGTTTGGAGTTACCGGAATCTGATGATACAAGCGACCACTACGATACTCCTGAAGAGACTTCGATCCGGGGCCTCAAGGGGTTTGTGAACTTCGGATCGACGTGCTTCATAAGCTCAATATTGCAGACGCTCATCCACAATCCCATGTTGAAGCGGGAGTTCTTCAACAGTGACGAGCACTACTTCAATTGTGATGTGAGCGAGTGCATCACTTGCTCAATCGACAAAATCTTCACCGAGTTTTTTACCAGTAGCAATAACGACTCGTTCGGGATGACGAACTTGTTGATAAATTCGTGGTATAAGAACAAATCGTTGACAGGCTACGAGGAACAAGATGCCCATGAGTTTTGGCAGTATCTTCTCAACGAGTTTCACAAAGACCACATGAGATTAAAGAGTGATATGGGGGAGAATGATGTGTTTGGCCATACGTATGAGGACTGTGACTGTATCACCCATAAGCACTTTGCTGGAGAGTTGGAGAGTTTGATCATGTGCTCAGATTGCGACAATACCACCAGGACTATTGACCCGATTATGGACTTGTCATTGGAACTCACGAATTTGCCAGACCACTCGACCGTGTACGACTGTCTAAACTTGTTTACCAAGGAAGAAACGTTGGAAAACTACAAGTGTCAGTTCTGTAATAAGAACTCGAAACCGAAGAAGTCGTTGAAGATCAATAAGATGTCATCGGTGTTATCGATCCAACTCAAGAGATTCAAGCATAATGTAAACTCCTTCATCAAAAATGATATCCCCATCAGAAACCCATTGTACCTCAACCTCTCGGACTACTTATCACAAGATAGTAATGAAGGGAGTACCAACCAGTTCTACGAACTATTTGCCTTGGTGGTCCATATCGGATCTGTCAACACAGGTCACTATGTGGTGCTTATAAAGACGGAGAACAACCAGTGGCTTAAATTTGACGACAGTATCATCACATTGGTTCCTCAACAGGAAATTGAGTCTATCAATGCCTATTTGTTGTTTTATATGGTTCACAACATTTAGGTTTGCATCAGGGAATATTGATTCATATTCCATACATAGGAGGCATACTGGACTGTGCCTATTAGCACATGAGGAAGACTTCTTATCTGCACATTAAAGGAAGCATGATTATTCATATTGAGATATATATCCTATTAAGATGAAAATTGGACAATCTCAATTAGCACAGAACAGGAAGCGTAAATTATTCAGCACATACATGGAGGCATGAATTATCCATATTAATGCACATATTTAAGTACATGAGTTTCACACTCATCTAGGCCTTGAAAGGGCAGGGAAAATATATTTAGTGTCATGTGCCGTTTAGTTGATGCAGTCGTAACCAAGCCTCGATTCTAAATTTAACATTGCACTTGTCTTCAACAACCCTGACTTCCCTTCAAGATACACATCGGTTTACAAACACATCCTTTTAGTACTACAGGTACCCGTAGTCCCACCTATATCTACTCCTACCCAGTTCTACCTCTCTAAACCTCAACCAATTGCTCTCTCAACTATTTTGACAGCCATAAATACGAGCGCCGCGCCCGTAAACTGGCGGACTTTTGGAAGCCCAAAAATTCCGTTCGACAACTACAACTATGCTTAGCAGGAACATAACACGTCTATTGGCTTTAGCAGTTGGTGCTACTACTGCCTTAGGATTGGGACTTGGCCTAGGACTCGGCTTGGGACTTAAGAAAAAGTCTGACTCCCACAATGCCAGTACCACTTCCAGAACCACCTATTGGAAGCCAGAATCAGGTACAACATGGGATTATGTCCTCCAAAACCCTCCAAAGCTCTCGTCTACAAACGAGAGCATCGAGGTATACGATATCGACTTATTTGACAGCTCGGTGAAGCTCATCAAAGACCTTCAAGATGATGGTCACAAGGTGGTATGTTATTTTTCAGCCGGAAGCTACGAAAACTGGAGACCAGACGCTGACAATTTCACGGCTGCCGACCTTGGAAACGATTTAGATGGCTGGAAGGGTGAAAGATGGCTCAACATTTCGTCACCAAGCACCAGGAGCATCATGATAAGCCGTCTTGAGATGGCCTTGGAGAAAGGTTGCGATGGGGTGGACCCAGACAATTTAGATGGATATGACAATGACAACGGCTTGAATTTGACTCACACAGACTCCATAAACTATATCAAGTACCTTGCAGATGAGGCTCACCTGATGAACATGTCGATAGGGTTGAAGAACTGTGGTGCTATAATCGATTCTGTGATTGACAGTGTTGAGTGGGTGGTGGACGAGCAGTGTGTGGAGTACGACGAGTGTGACCTCTACCGGCCCTTTATAGACCAGAACAAGCCAGTGTTTCACGTGGAGTACCCTAAGGGTGATACCGTTGACAATGACAACAGTGTAAATGGAAGTACTTATAGGGAGATCTGTGGGTTTAAGGCCGCGCAGGGGTTTTCTAGTATCATTAAAAACATGGACTTGGACTACTGGATAGAAAGTTGTTAGATATGACCAAATATGACCAGATCTGTAAAAATGTATACATGCGCAGATACTACTATGAGTATATACTCAGCAGACGTAGAGCCACTTCAGAACTCATCAGAGCCGTTGGATACCCATCTCATTATTTTTGGGTGCAAAACGGAATAGTATACGGAATTATATGCTGCTGCTGATACCTGTTTTCACTCTACAGAAAAAGTACCAGTATAACTAGTGGATGTATTGCCAGTCTAGTCTCCCTTCCAAAGTTCGAGTGTCTCTTTCAGTCAAACTTGTTATCACTAGGAATCCCATAAATGCCATCGAGAACACACTTCCTGAGTACCCTTGAATTCTGAGACCTCGACAGCCTCCTGAAAGAATCCTCTATACTTCAAGCAACTATTACTCTACAACTAGGTTCATGCTGTGCTCCTAGGAGACCTCAAACGAAGCTGTCTCACATATACAGTTATCCCAATTCTCGGTGAGACCACCACTAAAATCCCTTTTCTGTGCCAGATATCTCACTATTCAGGTATATTTCAGGTGTTGACACCTCTATACTGGTGATAAAACCGTGTTGTACACCTCCTCAAGCAGGGTACATTCTTGTTTGTACTTTCTATCGTTAACCTGTTGATCCTATCACTTGCCTACTTCATTTGGTTGGTCTGGTTTGTGTTCATGTTGGACAGTTTGATCTCCCATGAATAGGCTAAGGTACATCGGCTGTGTCGTACAAGATGCCAGCCACTAATTATTTTCTGTTGTCTACTAGTGTCAAGTCTCATTGGGTCTAGAACTTCTCGTAGATTGTACACAAAATCCCCCAAATTAGTACTACAAGCTAGTACAGAGATCGTTCTAAACCCCTGACACACCAACTGCTCCCCTGCCTACATCACTAACTGACACGTATCACTGGGATGCAGCTTACATGATTTGGTTCTCCTTATGTTCTAGTTGCTATTTCGCAGCTGCAAAATTGTGGTCTATTATTTCCTAATAAGGGCTTTTAACGTGTCGGGATTTCCAGGTATTTTCAAGGAGGGACAAAGCCCCCTCCTGGACGTTTCTTTTTGGGCTTTCACCAGACGTGTGGGTGGGATATATGGTACTACTTTAGCGACTATAACCACCCCATTAGGATTAGAACACGCTTTACTGAGAGACGCTAGACGCCATATTAGGCGAAAAGCTTTTTGTCCAACCGATTTATTGTTCATGCCGGTAACAATTGAAGGAGGTGTATCGAAGCCTCGTCGGGGTTCATACACATGTCGATAAGGGATAATTGAGAGCATTGCGAAATGGGAGTGGGAGAGGGAATGGGAGTATGAAAGTTTGGTGGAGGACCCACAAAGTGTGTCAAGACTGGTGGGGCAAGTTGTATTTACGCGGTTGTGTTTATATTGCGAATGTTCCTGTAAAGCTGCAATCTTGATCCCATTTGCACACAAGGGCGTAGGAGAGCATAAGGTTGCGACATTTAATTAATCCGGTTTCAGCACCTCCTGGTTTGTTCCAATGAACGTGCTGAAACGAGTTATGCTTTTGAATTCCTCACGCCTCCAAATAGTATATAAACCATCTCATTCCCAGCCCTGGTGGTTCCTAGATCATACTTTACCTGGCTTCTGTTAGTATCGGAAACGGACCTCCTGACTGCGAAAAATTTCATGAAGTGTGTGGCCCTTATCTGGTTTTTGCCATGGTTGGCTAGAGTTAGTTGTTCTACCAACTACGCGTCTTTGTTCACCGATGTGGTTGATTTCTCGTGGAGTAGATTCTGGGTTACTTCCAAATCCTCCTGGAGTGAAAATGACAAGTGCTTGAATAATTTTGAATACCCATCGGTATGGGATCAAGCAGTCGCAGGAAAGATGATTGCAGATTCGGTGAATGCTGCAAATATTGATTTGGTGATTGCAAACTTGAAGGACTACCTTAACTCAGACAATTGGTTCAGCTCGTCCACCGCCAAGGACAACGACGTATATATGGACGACAATGCCCAGGTTTTGTGGGTTTTGCTCGACTCATATAAGTATGCCGGTAATGTGGACGACTTGGAGTTGGCCAAAAAGCTAATGCTGAACTTAATGAATCAGGAGGCACTGGGAGGAGGTGTCTATTGGAAACTCAATGCCCCCTATGTCGCATCCATTTCCACGGCCGAACTGGCGTTGGCCGCTACCAGACTATACCAAGTTACTCAGGACCAACTGTTACTTGAGTTTGCCAGTAAGCAGGTTAATTGGCTTTTAGACAACTTGCAAGACTCCAGCGACGGGTTGATCTACGATGGGATCAATTCAAAAACCGGGGCTGTTAACAAGGGGAAGTTGAGCTATAGTGTGGGGGTGATGGTATCGACTTTGGCGTATTTGAATTCCTTTACTGGAGAATCCGACTACTACGATAAGGCCACCAAATTGGTGAATTCAGCCTTAAATAAGAAGGGGGCATTCTACAATAGTGATGGCACTTGGAACAACCCAATGTACTACTCCCACTTGTTGTTCACCGGAATCAGCGACTTGATCACCATTGCAACTGCTACAAGCAAAAGTCAAGATACCTACTACCAGAGCCTTATTTCTGAGGTGAACACGCAGGCGCAGAATATCATCAAAACCTACCAAGTATCCACCAACAACTTTGTGGACAATATACTGAGCTTCAAGGCTGATTCTTCCAATTACTGTGACGGCAAACCAATTGGGAACTTGTTGCAAAGTGCTTCAGCTGCACAAATTTTCTATGCCATGTCAAAAATTGGCTCATAGATTGCTTATAGAATGGTAGGGACTGGCGCTGCAAAAGATTATTTCGTAAAAAGTAATATGGTATTCAAATAATTAATAAATAGAACTGAATGGGGGTAAATTTCGTAAAACTTTTCAGTAAGCAATGACATGTTCGAAATCACCAGCATCAATGTTGGCTTTTTCACACATATTGGAGAAAACACCATCGGTGTGGAATAAAGATAATGGGGTTCCTTTTTCAACAACCTCGCCTTTGTCAATGACCAAGATACGATCGTAGTTTAAAATAGTTTTCAACCTGTGGGCAATGCATAATATAGTACAATCGGCAAATTCCTTAGCAATGGTTTCTTGGATTCTGGAGTCGGTTTCATAGTCGACAGACGAGGTGGCTTCATCCAAAATCAAGATCTTGGAATTACGAACCAACGCTCTGGCTAAAGCAAGCAATTGTCTTTCACCCAACGAGAAGTTTTCACCTTCATCTTCAACATTTTGATCCAAGTGGAACTTGTGTAATTGGTCGAATCCCATCTTGTTCTTTGGATCAAATTTGGTAGCTTTGATTTTTTCCAAAACGGTTTCGTCAATCAAACCAGCTCTTCTCAAAGAATCCCACAACTTCTCATCGGTAGACTCGCTGAAAGGATCTAAATTCTTTCTAATAGACCCTTGGAACAATACCGGGTCTTGAGGAATAATCGACAATCTCGATCTCAAATCAAACAACCCCATGTTGCTGATATCTAACCCGTCAATAAGAATTCTACCAGATGCCAACTCACATAACCTGTACAAAGCAGTTGTGATAGATGACTTTCCGGCGCCGGTTCTTCCACAGATTCCAACTTTTTCACCAGGATAGATGCTAAAGTTTAAGTCCTTCAATACCAATGGTAAGTTTGGCCTGTACTTCAAGTTGACATCTTCAAATTGAATGTAACCAGTTTGAGGCCATTCTGCTGGAGGCTGGAACTCGGTTTGCTTGTAAGCCGCTTCTTGATCCAACTTGAATGCGTACTCATACAATCTTTCAACCGAATTCATTTCGGACTCCACTTGAGTCATCGATCTCACTGTTAAAGACAATAAGCCCACGATTTGAATGACATAGTTCAACAATAAACCAGTAGAAGAAGCACTGATGTTGAACTGATCAGTGATGCACAACATACAGATAATCAAGGCAAATATAGCTGCCACAATATCCAAGTGGACACTTAACCATCTTTGCGTTGCGATAGACAAGAAGTAGGCTTCGTTCATCTTGTTAATGAATTCGTCATTTCTCTTGATGAACACGTCTTCGGCTTTGTAAGTCTTGATGGTACTCATACCAGTCAAAGTCTCATTGAAGTTGTTGTATACCAAAGATCTTTGGACGGCTTCTAATCTCTTGATTTCACGGCTGGAAGCTTGGTAGAAGTTGGAGATAAAGATAAACGAAATCGCCAAAAATGGAACTGCAACAGCAAAATATGGCAAGTATGAGATACACAAGATGATAATACCAATTATAGTGGCCAAAGGGAATAAGAACAATCTCAATTGTTCTCCAATTTCATTGTCCAACGAATCGGTATCCTTAGTGAATCTGTTCAAGATTCTACCAAGAGGATTAGTATCCATGAAACTCATTGGTGCATGTAACACCTTTTCGACGGCTCTAACATTCAAGATTTCAGCAGACTTACTATTCATGTATGCCAACATCGTGAATTCTATAGCCGTAAAAATGACCGTTAAGAATGCAAAAGCCACATAGAAACCCACGTAAAAATGGTCAGACTTGCCAGGAAACTTTCTTTCCATCCAATAAGACAACCAGGTGTTGGTAAACACTTGACAGAATGTAGCCAAACACATCAAGAAAATAAAGATAGGAGCAGCAGCCCATCCAAATATACCAGAACCCAAGTCAATATACTTCTTGTAGACGTCCCAGGAAATGGAGTTAGCTCCCTTTTCTTCAGCTTCAACAACTCTTCCAAGCTCGTTCATGGCAAAGTCATCAATATCGTTATATTGCATAGCAGACCGGTTGGAGTCGTCTTCAGAGATGACTTCATCAACGTCTTTTTTGTCAGCCATTACAAGGTTGAATTCAAACAACTTTCTGAAGCTAGCGTTTCTGGCACTCAATTCGTCAATGGTTCCAACATCAATGGTACCGTCACCATTCAAAAACACCACTCTATCGGCATTATCAATAAAAGATAACTGGTGGGTAGCCAAGACTCTGGTTTTGTCTTTCAACAAGCCGTTGAACAAGTTGTTGACAATATGCTTACCAACTCTTGAGTCCACTGCACTTAAAACGTCGTCCAACAAAATGGTATCAGGTTCAGCATAAACGGCTCTAGCCAAGTTGATACGAGCCTTTTGACCTCCAGATAAGGTAATACCTCTTTCACCGATTTCTGTCATATCTCTGGCAGGCAATAATTTCAAGTCATCTTCCAAAGCACAAGCGTAAAGCACTTTGTTGTACTTGACAGGATCAAAGGGAGAACCAAAGGTAATATTATTACGAACAGTGGAGTTTTGAATCCAGGGCTGGGAACATAAGACCAGCTTATCGTAGATTTTCAAGTCACCAGACTTGAGTTTCATGAACCCAGCCAAAGCGCTCAACAAAGACGACTTACCCGATCCAATGACACCAGTGATGACAATGAACTCATTTCTCTTGATACGCAAGTTCACATTGGTCAAGCCGTTGAAAACGGCATCGGCGGAGTTCAAAGAAAGGTCAGAAGAAGTAGGTTGATTCAAGTCTCCAAGGTCCATGGAGTGTCTGGCGGATTCACTGATGATCTTTTCTGCATGGATCTTTTTGGCATTCAACTTAAGCTGCTTCTTTCTTTCCTTTTCCCGTTGTTTCTGCTTCTTCTTGATGATCTTGTCCTTCTGTTTCTTGGTCAATTTTTCACCAAGTTCCCAGAGATCTTCGTTCTCCAAGTCTTCGTTGAAGGTTTCCCACACAAACTCTCCGTTTGTGACTTCCAAAGCCACGCCCTTATCAGCATCAGGAACCTTTTCGCCCAAGTAGTCGTCACCAATGATGAATCGCGTGTTCAAAGCGTTCAACTGGTCTTCCAAGTCGCTGTTGTACTCGTCCGCGCTCAAAAACTCTCTCAATCTTCTGAACCCAATCATGGCATCAGCCCCGGTGGCCAACGCAATAGGAAGCAACATGATAGCCTGGGCCAAAATGGAGAATAATGACAAGGACGAGAACACTCTACCGGCGTCCTTCATGGCCTCGGCGGCCCACAAGGTGACAAATGAGAGCATGGAACTCACCACTGGCAACGTCACTGCGTATGCGGTGATGAAGTTTCTCAACACCTTGATGGTGAACAAGTACTTCATTTCCTGTTCTCTGACAGAAGTGATTCTCAACTTGTAGGCCATTTCCCAAGCGTAGAACTTGATAACTTTCAAGTTGGTTAATATTTCTCTCATCAACCCGATTCTTTCATCGGTGTAGTCGACAACTGTTTCTCTGGTATTGAATAACTTGGTGGTTAACAATACACAGATGATCAACGACACGAAGAACAAACCAATTCCGGTTAACGCCGTCACGCCAATAAACTTCAACAATAAGCCAATGGCAATGATGACGGGAATGGGGAAACACACCACCAACGGCTGGAATCCCACCGCCAAATCGATCCGCAGCAAGTCAGTGGTAACCATGCTGGTGATTCTACCGGGTGGAAATGAATGTTTGGCCTTTGAAGTCAACTTGAACGACTTTAAAAGTACTGATTTTGTCAAAATCGCTTTACACTGGGCGCCCGTAACCATGGCGTTGTGGAAAAAATGGTTCAAAAGTAACCCGTTGACGTAGATCAACACCACAGACCCCAAGGTGTACCCAATACCTTTGTTCAAGGTCCTCTCGAACCCGAGAGCCCTGTATTCAACAAAGTCAATTAATTTCCGCGTGAGCAACGGAGAAAGTGCTTGACAGCAGAAAGACAACCCCAAAAAGATGCACGACATGGTGTATTGGAGCTGAAACGTCTTAAACAAGCACAACGGCACAAGGTGCACAGGCCATTTGAAATCCGACAAGTCGGCGTGGTCTTTTAGGTGCTTTTGTCTCAAGTCATCAAGGTGTTTTTGTAGTAAAGTGTCAAACTTTAAATGCATGTGTTCTACCGTCAACTCCTCCGTTAAATGGTACAAGTCATCAGGGACCAAGGTTCTTTGGTAACCCTTCGCCAATATCGGTAACAACCAGTAGAAAATTCCTCTGGAAAGCAAATTCACATCTTTCCAGGGATATGACTTACGCTCTTCGGGGCTGTTGATGGGAGGAGGGTTTTTGGGGAAAAGGAACGAAAAAAGCCGGCGTTCCTTCTTTAATGGTGCAAGGTTTTCAAGATGAGCCATATCAATGGGGGCCTCCTCTGCCGAGTGGATAGTGCTAACTGGGGGTTTTCTTTTGGCACTTTTCTTCTTGATGGGTTTCTGGAGATTATCAACGTAAGTTGCTGTGGTATCTGAGTGATTTGAGTACGATTCGTAAGGATGCGAGTTAAACTCGTCTGCCGAGAGGTCAGACTCGAGAGAGCCATTGGATGCGACCGACATCGACTGTTTAGAAAAGTAGGACATCCGGGTATTAGAAATGGGTTGCTAATGAAGCGGTGCGGATGATCTGGGGTATAAGACACCGAAACAAAAGGAGATAATGCTAGAGATGGAAAATAGTAGTGTGAAAGAAACTGGGCGATGTTGCTCTTTATATGAAATGCAGCCTCCGCTTTTGACTGCAAGAATTTCCTGTTTTCGTTAAGAAGGCACTCTGGTATAAAATTTTGTTCGAATACTAGTGAGGGAAGTTTAGCTATTTCCCTAATAGGCAAGTAGTGTATTATTACCGGATGAGGATAAGTAATAATGGGATCTATGTGTAGGATAAATTCGAGTTCCGGGGGTATGGGAATTTCCCGTCGTCCATAGGGCGGAGTGGGTGGTCTCAAGGCCGCAGAGAGTGCTTATCAACTTGAACGACTCAGCCCACCCTCGAGATCGTCCCTCGGATATTTCAAACCTGCAGCTGAAAATTTCACACGCCTATCGACAGTAGAGGTATTGTGAGGTTTATCCTTAATAAGATTAGACAATGATTAAGTTATTGACCTAGCTAAATTATTGATAAGTCCTTATTAATCCCTTCCATTTGGACTGAACAGGTTGCTTTTAATTTGCGCCTGATTTAAGTTTTTTTTGACTTTTATCTTCCAATTCCATTTCACCTCATCGTGTACCCCATTTTTTTTGATGATGCTGATTGCGATCGGCACATCGGCATAAACCCCCTCATTACAATCCGCCGAACGGGTTGTGGTTGCCAAACTGACCCGGGAACCCGCCACCCCCAGAACCACCACTGGGTTTCCTGAACCCTGGGAGGCCGGCTCCCATTAGGTCCATATCATCAGGATCACCTACTAATGGGTCGTCGTACCGAGCCCCAAAGGGAGCATTTCCAGGGCCCCCCATTCGGTCTCGGTTGAAGAGCGGATGGTTAGCCGACGGGTACATTCCACCAGAACCTCTTGAAGTGTCTCTCAACGGATCTAGGTACCCTCTCGTACTGGGGTCTTTGATGCCACCAGGATATAAGTCGTCGTCTCCCACCGAGGGAACACCGCCAGATGGTGGACCACCAGGTGGTGGTAACCCCAAAACCGCCCGGTGGCTCTGCATCTCGTATTCGTCATCAAAACCGGGTTTATCAGGAATCGAAGCGTTTTTGGATGCCGGTGGATCCAGCAAAAATGTAGATGGAGCCAGAGCTGGTACCAGAGCCAGGGCCACTGCCAGAGCCGATTCCAGAGCCGATTCCAGAGCCGGTACCAGTATCAGAGCCTTTTCATGAGACCGCAAACTTCTTTTAAAGAGCGCTTCCATGTACTCTCTATTAACCTCTTTGTCAAGTTGGCTGTTAAAAAGAGCAATGATCTCACTCGATAAGTTGATTTCATCCAATGGCAACACAATAGAGTTTTTTGGGTTCAAAATGCTCCAGTCCACTACTACTGAGTCTACCTTATCACCTTCGTCCTGTTTGTGGCCACATAAAGTTACCACCAGCTTTTGAGGGGTTAATTGCACCACATTAGCGATCAAAATGGTGTGTTGCTGGGACTGATCCGAATACACAAAGTATTGGGTCAATTTGTCACCCGCTTGAACAATTTTTTTGACAAAAGTCAGTCTATTGTAGCGGCCGATGTAGTCGTTTGTCAACGCACAGGTCAATTCGTAGAAATTATTGATCATTCTAGGTACAAGCAGTGGTTGTGGAGGCAAAAAAAACAGTCTTGCTGCATCAAGTGCGCAGGGCGCGCACCGGAGCAGAAACTCTAAGAAAAAAGAACTCCCTGAAATCCGCAACAAGCTCACTGTAACCTATACTCAAACAGAGATATGACCACGACCGTACCATTGGTATACTCGTTCCCTGAGTTCTTGGGTGTAGCCGAGGCGGTGGCCGACCATGTAATCACCGCACAAAACATGACGCTCTACAATACACTTGATCCCAAGCAAATCGGGTTGATCAAGGAACAACTTCTTGCCCGTCCTCAGCTCTTCAGCTCGCTTTCCACTAACTCCATCAACAACTCGTCGTCAACCACAAGCCTCAAATCTAAGTCGCTGAAAAAGAATAAGGTCAAAGATATCCGCTTCAAAATCGCCATAAGTGGCGGGTCCTTACTTAAGATCTTGAAGCAAGGGTTGATCCCACGACAAAAGGAAATCGATTGGGCCAAGTGGGACATTTACTTTGCAGACGAAAGGTTGGTACCGTTTGATTCTCCCGACTCCAACTATGGCCTGGCCAAGAGGGAGATTTTCGATTGGATCACTACCGACCACAAACCCAACGTCTACCATATAGATGAAACACTTATTGATGATCCTCAAGAGTGTGCCGACAGCTACGAAAAGATTTTGATTGGGAACTTCGCCAAGAAGGACTCTGTCAAGTTGCCGATGTTTGACTTGTTGTTGTTGGGATGTGCACCAGACGGACATATTGCTTCATTATTTCCCAACCATGGCGAGCAATTACGGGAGAAGTTAGCCTGGTGCTTGCCAGTATCACTGGCGCCTTCAGGGCCCGAAAATAGAATCACCCTCAGTATCCCGGTGATTTGCCATGCGCAAAGAGTGACCTTCGTAGTAGAAGGATTGACCAAGGCGCCTGTTATGAGAATTATCATGGAGAGACCAGAAAAGGGCTTGCCAAGTTCCATTGTGAATGAAGGTGCAGCAGGAAAAGTCACTTGGTTTGTCGACGACGATGCATTAAAGGACTGCTATGACGTTACCAAGAAGAAGTATAAGTTTTTATCGACTCCCAGCTTGTAATGGGATAAGACTTTCTTTCTCCTTATGAATTAATAATTAATATTGACTCCATGATTGCAGATAGCTTCCGGAGCTCGGGTACCTTCGGATTTCTCGATTCCATGATCTTAGGATTTCACTTCATTCCTTTATTATAAATCAACCAGCAATATGTCTATAGATTTTTGTACTCCAATACACTTCTGAGAAAATGATTGCATTAGCGAGTGCATGTGCAATCGGTCAGGGATCCAAATACGCCATAGGGATCCCACCACTCACCATTTTTACCCATCTAAGTACATTTATATGTGGTTATTCTTAACTTTTGTGGGAAAACTATTTTGGGAAAGATTATTGGCAATGCTGGTGAAGGATTTCAGGTCAGTTTTAGGGCAGATATTGATGTGAGAAAACCTCGTCTGACAACACTGTAAGTTCCAAAGCTTTTGGTGCCAGTTGACACAAATATAGTTAGAAGCATCACATGTACTATACTCTATCACATAGCACCGTAGAGTTATCCTCCTTTAACCATACCTTACTACCAGTGTCAATTCTCTCTTACAAAGTGGTGTGGTTTCTTGCAATGGTCAACTCTTGCGCCAGAATCTGCGAATTTTATATATTTTAATCACTTTTAAGCTTTATAAGACTACAAAAATCACAAAACCACCTCAGTGCAAGCAATCAAGCAACACTGATGACGGTGGAAGGTTAACTGGTATGAGCTGAACTTTTGCACAATCAGTGCTGGCATCTGAATACTTTTGGGATTTGGACCTGTATAAACTCTGTGTTGCGACCCAAACACACACTGCCTATTGTGCTACTAAAGTGCCATGTCTTTTCTTAGATGTACGTAAATCACACCCAATCAGTCCCATGATGAGGATTATACCGACAGGTGGTAGCCCACAGGCATGCTCAATTGCGTAATTTCAATTACGGTTTGGTGTATTCATTACATACAGCCCACTACTAAAAGAGCCTCCAAAACCTCCATATTGAACCTGGAACTCTACCCATTTCACTGGGCAGCACATGAGGTATTATTCACAGCAACAAAATCTGGGGTGCCTGAAATTGGCTATATTCATTACTTGGGTCAGCCGCATGCACATGCTGTTGGGTCATCTGAGCACATTATCGTAATAACCGTCGTCCACATAGTGACCCCTCATGGAATTGAGTACGTTTGACCGGAACACCTCGGGTGTCTTCTTCAATACGTTGGCAGCAGTTTTATTCAAGGGATCGGTGGGGTTAGGCTCAAGAAAGAGGAAGTTGAGACCGATAATCACTGAGTTCAAGTTCAAAGCTGGCAGCCAGTCTTCTCTCAAGATATTCAAGCAAATGTTTCCCTCAAGATCGATATTGGGGTGATATATTCTCTGGAGACACTTGATTTTCGGTGGGTCAATGGGGAAGTTTTCGTTGACAGATACGGCGAACCTGAACCGGCCATGCTGATAATAGCCCAGCTCGGGCTTTATGGTGATTTCAAAGTAGGAAATGTCGGCCGGGTTGGGAAACTGCACCGATATGGACCTGGGGAGGTCAAGTTCAGTTATATCCTTCTGAAGTCTTATATGTGCAGAGTTGACTCTGTTCGTGGCCACAGGGGAAATTCCGTGCAGTTGGGCCATCTGGGCGGCCTCAGCCTCCTCCTGTTTTTTTTTCTGGAGCTGGCGGATTCTGAGCTATGGGGGTTAGTACAAATGGGACAGAGAGAAGGATGGCGAGCTTGTGGTACATACCATTATTAATTGCCCTCACTGAGAATGGAGAGTTGTGCGGATGCGATTTCGCTGAGAGTTTTCAACTGCGACTTGGTCTGGGTGTGGGCTCGCGCTCACAGTGAGATGCTGTAGCACAGCGATAAAATGACGGTGGTGATCGAGTGCCGGGTGATCAGGCGGGAACAGGCCCGCCCGCTTGTTCTGGGCCGCTAGAGCTGCGACTAACACCGGCTGGAACGGGGCTTGTTGCTCTAACGGTACCACCAGGGCGTATGGAGTGATATTGCAGCACTCCACCGATAAGAGCCAATGCAACTGATCTAGGGCGAACTGTGGGTTGTGTGTGGTGGTGGTGGGCGAGTCTGCCACCACTGGAGAAGCTACCGTGACTCCGAACTTGCGGTTTACCTCGTCCACTGCCCGCACATGTTGGTATACCGCCGCTTGGATGGTGCGCAGGTCCGCGTACAAGAGCACACGAAGATTGGTCCATAACGACACATCTGCCAAGCTCTCATGGCACACCTCCGTCAACTGCGTACGAATTGCCTCCACCTTTGTGCCATCACCCACAGCTATGCTTACACCAATGAGCCACCGTAGATAGTTATTCCCGTAATAGTTGGCATAGTGTAATCGGCAAGACTGCAAAACTCGTGCGAGAAGTACGTTGAAGCGTCCTCCATCAAAGTTCATCATCACCGTGAGTTTGCGGAGTAAGTTCCAAAGTAGCAGGTTCTTGTTGATCTTACTGAGACGGCTGCTGAGCAAAGTGGTGATGATTTCGAACTCGGCCTCGAGAACATGAGCATCGCGGCGGTACAATTCGGCAAGAATGCGCTCGTGAAGCTTGAAAACCTGGTGGTGATCGTTAGTCGTGAACAAGTACGTCACTGTAACGTAAAATATGCTGTAGAGATCACTTTGAGCGACTTCTGTGAGGGCTTGCGTGAATAGTTCACGCTGCAGGTGCCATAGTCCATGAGCCTGTTTGAACGCCAGAAGATAATTTTGCTTGGTGATGCCGATGTCAATGGCACCGACTTCTTCATGCACCATGAACAACAGATTCATATCTATCTGTGGAATGAACTGGACCACCTTTGGTTTCCCGGGGAAACTTGTCAAAGTTTCATACACCTGTTTGCACAAACTCATGGTAGTTCGCAGTTGCACACTTCGCAGTCGCATCATTTTTGTATCCATCATGTTGGCATTCGATGAGCTTATAGATGTGGACGATCAGTTAGTGCCCCCTCCCGATACTCTCAGCACAGCACTCTATACTAACAACAAGTTGGATTATATGCTTCGAAATGTGGACGAAAACCTCCCGTTACAACTGGAGCTAGACTCATCTCCTTCCCCAGAACCCCAACTGCAAACTATCACCAACAACTCACACTCAACCACCACCACGAACTGGAAACTTCTCCGAGTGATAGCAGGTGCCCATACAGGGTGGGTGAGGTCCCTTACTGTGGATCCAGTCACCAATCAGTGGTTTGTTACCGGTGGTACCGATGCAACCATCAAAGTATGGGACTTGGCGAATCTGAGCTGCAAAGCCATCATAACAGGCCATATAATGGCGGTGCGGGCACTAGTAGTATCTAAAAAGTTTCCATACTTATTTTCGGGGTCAGAGGACAAGGAAGTCAAGTGTTTTGACTTGGAAAGATCCAACTCTGTACTGGGCTGCGAAATCAGAAACTATCACGGACACCTAGGAGGCATCTACACTATGGCCCTCCACCCCCAGCTCGACCTATTGTTCACGGGCGGACGTGACCAGACGGTGCGAGTGTGGGATATACGGTCCCGGGCGGAGGTCATGACCTTGACGGGCCATAAAAGCGACATCTCATCGCTTATTGCCAGTGAAGTGGACCCGCAGTTGATTTCCAGCTCGATGGATGGGACGATACGACTTTGGGATATTCGTAAGCAGACCACTGAGTTGACGTTGACACACCACTCGAAGAGTATTCGGCTGATGGTTGAGCATCCGGCAGAGCTGACATTTTGTTCTGGAGATTCACTGGGGAACATCAAGCAGTGGCTCTTTCCTCAAGGAGAGCTTTTGAACGAGTTTAACAGTACCGATAAGAATATCATTAATACGATGGCTGTCAATCACACAAACAATAATCTTTTTGCTGGGTATGACAACGGGCAGTTTGAGATTTTTGACTATGTTTCGGGAGAGTTGCTTCAATCGAGTAAGACGATTCCGTCACCGGGATCGACTGAATCGTCGATATTCTGCTCGTCGTTTGACCTACTGGGTCTTCGGTTGGTCACAGGAGAGAGTGACCATTCGGTGAAGATTTGGGGAGAGGAGACGCAATAGGAAGATTGCTTACTCATGTATATTAGATAAATACACTCATTATAGTGGTAATCACTCGTCATAATAGTACTTCTTAGCACACCAATTACACACCTGTGCAAATACACCCATGAACCTCATTATCATTAACAGTCCATACCTCCATGGTTAGGTTACCATCCAAACCGCAATTGGTTAGCGGTGAACGAAGGAGGTGTCCACTCGAGTTTTCTTGGATCTAACTCATGCTTCTTGTTCTCCTTCACCTTTTTCACTAACTTCTCATACAATATCATAATCTGATCGGTTATTACAATGATGTGCTGGCCCTTGTAGTACCTCAACACCTGTAGCGTCGTCAAAGTGTGAAGAATGTCGGTGGTCGTCATGCAGGTGGAAGAGGAGATTTCTTCAATGGTGATTTCACTTGAGTTCGCGTTGTTGAAAGGTCTTACGTCCTCATCATCATCATCAACCAAAGGATTGTTCTTCTTGGCTAGGGCCGGATCATTCTTCTCCACAAGAAGCTTCACCAACGTATCAGTCCAGTAAGCTCTATAAGACAATAATCCCAAATCAGATAAGGGCTTTTCAGGAGAGCCGATTTTGTTCTCTACGTTTGACAACATGTATGAGAACTGAATGAGAAGCTTCCCAAAACCTCTCTTTTGGTAGCACGGAAGTGTCAAGATACATGCAACATTATAGTTATCGGCACATTCCTTTTCTTTCGAGAAGAAGCCCACAAGATGGTGTCCTTCTTCGGACTTAATGGTCATCACGTAGAAGAGAAATGGGTCCACATCGTAGTAGAGCGTCTTGTGATCCAAGAACAACTTACAGAGCAAACACAAGTTTCTGCACCACGTCCGTTGTCTTCTTCCGTCGATTTCCCAGAAACTCACCTTGGAGTCTCGGTATATCTCATTTCCCGGGGGATGTTTCATCGAACACTTGGATCTGAATCTTTCAAACTGTTTTTTCGTCCCGAAATACGATAAAGTAAAGTCACATACAAATATCTCGTCTTCCTCTGTTAATTCCACCGGATAGGGTGAAAAGTACCAAGGTTCGATAATGTGTTCACCAAAGATAATCGAGCTCAAGTTCCTGACTCTGGATACCTCCGAGTGGTTCTGCGTCATTGACCCACTGGTTCGAAGCTTCTTGATCTCATCTTCCCTGCTCAACTCTTCGCCAGGTCTTTTGATCCCTTGGACATTCAAGTCAGCCAAGTCCAACTCATCATCGTTCTTAATTACCGGAGTGGAGGAGCCAGAATCCTTCTCTTTACCAGGCTGAGGAGTTTGAGATGCTTGTTTCTTGGAGTTCTTCAGCTTTGTTTTCTTCAGTTTCAGTTTCGACTCCTTCTTCTCGTCCACTTTCACTTCTGGTGCGATGATGGCTTTGGTGTAGTCGATACGGCTAGTTTCAATCCACTCATCCAATCTTTTATTGAACTCCTGATAGTGCACGTAGTACACAATACGACCCTTTTTCTGATGCTGTTGCAAAATTTCCGCTAGTCTATACTCGCCGTCCTTTTCCACAAAAACCTTGCACCCGGGAAGGATATCCTCCACTGAAAACAGGACATCCCCAGAATCGGTTTTGCCGCGTTTCTCGCTCTTGATGGAGATGGGCGTAGATGACAGAGGCACAGATGCCTTCTTATCATCACCAGCTGTCATGATCACTTCGTATTAGCGGTGCTTGGTGATTGATTACAACTGAGGTTTGGGTTGTTGTGTGAGATTTTTTTTAATCGCGAACGGCCAATTTGCGACAGCTGCAAAAAGTGTGCCATAAGCAAGTGGCTTTAAAGGTGATAGAAAATCTATTTACAGTATATTTACAGCCTAACTGCCATATCAAGGTGACGAATTCCACTCAATGAGCTTTTCCGAGTCTATAGATGACAAGTGGGCACGGACCGTAAGGTATCCAATGTTATAGTCCTTGAAGTCCACGAGAAAACGTGCTAAACGTGCTCTTAAGTCGGCCGACACTACCCCTCTGTCCTCTGAATAGATCAAACGGAGATCCTCGATTAAGTTTCGCTCTAGACATGCCATCACAAGCTCCTCAAACGAGAGATCCCAGATATTTCCCTGGCGGTTGAGTCCGCATAAGTAATAGTTATCGACAACAAGATAGTTGAGGTGGGCTTGCAAGCGGTCACGGAGGGTGGTATCGGAGTAGAGTCCTATGGGCAAGTACTGTGACACCAAACGCAATGATCTGACCATGTTTTTTACCTGTTCAGCAGGCATGTTGTAGGCGGTGCGAGATGCCAACAGGCTCAAATCTGCACCCGACTCAAGTTCTTTGCTCACAAGGGAGGAGTTGGCCTCAATCCCACGGGTGTCCCATAACCGAGGGACTATAGAAGGCAAAACACACGTCAGGGGGGTTATCTGAGGAAACGCATAGCATAGCAATGGTGTGCACTCGACAAAGATTGCAAAAAGCACGGCAAAGAGTGGAAGTTTGACAAAGTCCTTGCGGGTCCTGTTGAGAAGCTGGTACTGCAGTCTCGTCAAGGCAAATAAACCAGGGTCAAAGTCCTGTGGTCGTTGGTTGTGTTTAATGAGCTTGGTTTCAACATTGGAAATGTCGTTCAGAGTCTTGTTCTCGATGCGGTTCATATAGATCACCTGGGCCATTTCATGGGTCAACATGTTGAACCTGGGGATTCTGAGCGCCACCGACTGACCCGCGTGGTCGACTTTGTCGGACATCATGAACTGTTTCTTCAATCGATTGCACTCGGAATTGTTTTTCCATACATTAACTACCCCGGCTCGATAGAATCCGCCAATAGACTTTCCATAGGCGTAGAACCGCTTCCATGCCAACAGCACCCCAGAAGCTGTGGGGTTGTCGTGGGAGACCTGTTCATATATTTGTGGTTTGGACTTGATGGGCTGAGGCAAGGTGGTGGCGGCGTTAATTTCCACACGATCGGGCTCAAACTTGCACCACAATGAAGCCAACACCTGGCTCAGTTGTGTTTCGGAAACAAATTGTTTCTTAGTTGCGGGTAAGGACCAGAACCCCAATCGTTGCACCTGGTTCATCTCTTCTTCAGAATTGCAATTTCGCGGTTTTCGCAGATCACTAATTTCGCAAGTACTCTATCCACAAGTGCTATGAAACCCATCAGAAGAATCACCTCCAACGACGACCTCGCCAAGTGGATCGACTCAGACGCGTACAAAAAGATTGTGGAGTTTGTGGAAGCCCTCCAGGATCTGGTTTTGGGCCTCACAAACGAATCTCCATGTGAAGAGTCCAGCACCATCACCACACTACTCAAGATCTTGGATCAGGTCCAACACATAATCGACGCCAATCCCGTAGTGCATGAGAAGAACGTGTCACGGTTCGGCAAAGTCGAGTTCCGTGATTTCTATAACCAAGTTGCCAGTGAGAGCACCGGGTTGGTTTCGCTATTGACTGACGATATCGATACAGTGACGGAGGCAAACACATATTTCATCGAGTCCTGGGGTAACTGCACCCGAATAGACTATGGGTCGGGCCACGAGTTAAACTTCGTGTGCTTCTTGCTATGTCTTCATGAAAAAGGCGTTCTTCTTAAACAAGACTATGCTGCTGCTATCTTGAAGGTGTTCACCAAGTACATTTCCATTATGAGAAACCTCCAGAAAAACTATTGGTTGGAACCAGCTGGTTCCCACGGCGTGTGGGGGTTGGACGACTACCACTTCTTAACGTTCTTGTTCGGGGCATCTCAACTTGCAACGCATCCTTATATGAAACCCAAGCTGATCCACAATGAAGAGTTGGTGGAAATGTATTACAAACAGTATATGTACTTTGAGTGCATCCATTTCATTAACTCCATCAAGACGGTACCCAGCAACCAGCAGAGGTTAAGTATTAGATGGCACTCACCTATGTTGGACGATATTCTGTCGGCGAGATCCTGGCAGAAGATCAAGGATGGAATGATTAAGATGTATAAGGCTGAGGTTTTGGGAAAACTCCCCATTATCCAGCACTTTATGTTTGGGGACATTTTGAAGTGTCCTGCTGGAGTTCTCGAGTACAATGAAGAAGAAGGTAATGACCAACTTCATGACCACGATCATCATCACTCAGAAATGAATAATACGTGGGGAGACTGCTGTGGGATCAAGATTCCCAGTGCCATTGCCGCATCGGAACTGTTGCGGTTGGAGAAAAAACCCATTCCGTTTGATTAGCAATGTATATTACACGGTATGGAAACTAAACTACTCGGTGTAACCGATTTTGGTGGCAATGAGTATGTTTCTGGGAAACGCCCCTGGCACCGGCAACAACACCTTTAATCGGCCCTTGGACTCCTCATACTTGGAGACATGGACATACCCCAAAATGCACGCGTCGAGCAAGTCATTGGGCAGTTTGTTGGTAGCCGGCAATTGTGTCACTGCTAACACCAAGTTTTCAAGGTTATTGGCAGAAAAGTCGTCGATTTTCTTGTAATACTTGTCCAAAGTATCCTCCTTCTTTTCAGTTTCCTCAGTTGCATCGGGTGCAAAGGAATCTCCTGATGGAGCGAACAATAAACTCGAATTGAACTCGGACGAGTCTACCGGCTGGTAGAACACAAAGTCCGAAATGGTAATTTCCGTTTTGAAGGGGGACAACGGGTTGCGGAAGTACCCGTTGAAGTACTGCTTGATGGTCTCTTCCTGACACTTTCTTATATAGCTTTCGTCAAGCTCCACCACTCCTTCGCTTTTGGACAACTTGATAATACACAACAGATTGTTAGACACTTTGTGCACAAATTTCTTCTGTAGGTCTATAGAGAGCTTCTCATTGCCTATCACCACGATATGGTCCACCTCAAAGTCAGACACAATATCCTCGATCAATCGTATATCTTTTATGGTCAACGCGGGTGTATCGATGATAACTCCACTGTTTTTTACGGCAATATCCTCTTCCAACCGCGACATGGTGGCCACACCGAGCTTCGAGATGTGGTGTCTGTATAAGTCCAAGTTGGCGGCAAAGTCCTCGAATCCGTAGTTTTTCACGAGTGGCTGTTTGGGGTTGTGGTAGGTGGTACCACTGGTGGTCAGACCACCGTAGCCGCCCACGGCCTCTAGGTCGAAGTTGTCACTAATAGGGGTGGCCGTCAAGGCACCGGGCATAGCGAACACCCCGTCCCGTGGGTTTAAATTCACTAGTATGGGACATCTGTCCATCTTGAACCCATATGAACACAAGATCTTGGCCACCGTCGACTTCCCGCTGAACTTGGGCCCAAGAAGTAACACCTTCGGAGCAGGAGTCTGGTTGACACTGTGCTGATTGACCAAGTTACGGTCGGTGGCTTCCTGGCGCTTTTTCTCCAAGTAGAAGTGGAGGTTGACGACTTGTTTCATGGACAAAGTATCACTGCTGATATATTCGCTAATGGATGCGGGCTCATTGGTGGTGTTGGACTGTTCCTTGTTGATCTTGAGTGTGTACTGCAACTTGCATCCTTGGGGCAACGGCGCGTAGACACTGTATTTCACTCCTGAGAAGCTGAGGTCCGTGTTTATGGGTAATTCGGTGCCGAAGATTTCGGCGATTCCGTCGAGGATTTTAAGGGAAAGAGAGAGCTTGAAGGGGACTTCGAAGCGCCATTCGTGGTTTTCGGGGATGGTGATGGTGATGGGGAGGTTTGATTCGACGTCGGCGTCTGGTCTGTTAAACCCTGGGATGAGCTCCATGATGAAAAGTGAGAATGCGAATGTTTATTTAGACCAGCTAGATAGGTATTCAGAGAGAAGGGTTGTACCACCGTCCCCTAAGGGGCGGTGTTCACGGTACTAGTAGAATGAGTAGGGACATTGAATGTTAGACATTCGATGCCACTTATAAATAGTGTACAGTCCCCACCTAAGCAGAACTAAAGTCTAATTTCTTGGGCCGGATGTGCGCCTGGCGCTCCAGTAACCGCACTATCTTCTTCTCGCCCGTCTTATTGTTTACCAACTCGAGGTGTGTCAGGTAGTCCACCTGCAGTTTGTTGCTATTGAAGGGATTTTGGATATTGAGGTTAGCTTTACGTGCTGGGTTGGCAGAAAGAAACGGGTTAACCATTGGTTGTCTCTTTCGAATCACCTGCTCTTCGTCAGCCTCATCGTCTGAAAAGTACTTGGCTGAGTTGCCATACCATTCGTGGACTGTGAAGTCGTTGATCATCTGGTGACCGGGCGTCAGAGGCACATCGGGAGCCCTCAGCACAGGAGAAGAGGGCTCTTCAAACGGGTTCCGACTGATACGAGTAGGCGACTTCAACATCCGCAAGTTCGAATTAGAGATGAACTTGGTTGTATCGGTGGGCTTGAGAAAGAACTGGTCCATCTCGTCCGAGCTTTCAGGTTGCTCTTGGTCAACTTCTTCCATGTCAGTTTCGAATTTCAACCCGTTATTTAACAGGGTCAATGCATCGAACTTCAAGGCTGCCGGCTTGATTTTGGTCAAATTGGCGTTGGAGCTGGTGGCACTTTTTCTACCAGACCCAATGGTGGAAGGTGTTGGCAACAAGAGCCCGAAATGGTCTTGGTGGAAGCTATTGGGTGTAACAGAGGCTGTGGGAGACTCAAGTTTGAAGATGTTTTCGATTTTCTTTCGGCGCTGTAAGCGGGGCGACTTGTGAGGAGTGAACTCAGGGGTGATGGGGGCCAACAAGTGTTTTGATTGTTGGGGCTGATGAGAAGTGTTTGTGGAGCCGCTGTTCATGGCCGAGAAAAAGTTTTGGACCTTCTTGGAAGTCGATTGGGGTGTCTTAAGAGTCCCAAATTTGGATGGGCCGATGGTGACACCTTTTCTTAGACGCGGAGGTGTGGATGGGGGAGCGAACCGGTCAGCTTTCATGATTTGATGATAACTAGCAACAGAAATCGAGTACACGTCTGCAGAATTTTTTGTGGGTTTTAGGCGCGCTCTTTTGCCAGCGTGCGCAATGAGAACCGTCGTGTACTCACGATTTCACATACTAATTTCAGGTACCAAAATCTTTCTCGTCTCAAACTTGCAAGACATTCTATTAAGAATTCTGTGATAATCGGAGCAACGTAACTACAAGTGAGAATAGAGCAAAGCTTCAAAAATTTATACCACCAAGAACGAGACAGAAGTACGCTTTCATTGCTTCCTTCATAGTTAAGATCTGTAGGATATTATAAGAGGCTGGTTTGCACTTGAACACAAGAATCAGATATCCCAGAAATATGCTATTTAATGACAGACCGCTCGCATTGAATTATTTTTATGATTCTTCGGTTCGCCAGTAATCGTCATTTGCAGCCATTTCGGTTTGGAGAACGATAGGCGCACGTAAGGGGTGAGAAAACCCATGACTACTACTCCACTTGGCATATATATTGTATAGGTCAATTGCCACATAGTGGGTGACAACGGCATTAAAGACAGCGTCGGTCATGGGGAATATGCCATGTTTAGTTACCAGCAAACGCGAGTTCGGTCTTCTGTATGGATACTAATCTGTTCCTCTTCGCTACCAGACCTGCGGGAGGTTATAAAAATAAAGCCAGAAATGCTAACCCACCTTCCTAAAACTTACAAATTACAAATCTACCCCATGATGGAAGAAGATATTATATTTGTTCCCGGCCAGGTTAATTGGACGGGCATAATAAAACCATCTCCTTAGCTTGCAGGCTGTAACAGTCAGGGGTTCTCAAACAATGGATCACAAAGAAAACTACTCATGGGCTGAGAGTGATCAATAGTGCATGTGCATAAATCGAATTCTGCAATGTGCCCCCCATGCGGCAATACATGCCGCATCCATTCCGCATCTATGTTAGATAATGCAAGGATTGACGGAGCATATGACGCAAATGGACCCTATACCTGGTCTGAGATCATACAATTGTCATTTTTTAGTGTAGCTAGGAAATCGCATATGCACTCATCGAAGTTTGATTCGCAGAAGGCTACTCCTATCAAATGCGCAAACTCGGCGAACACTCCCAAGTTCTGACCCATCATCTGTCGTTGGCCGACCTTATCCTACCCTGTTGGCCTTCGCCCCTCCGTAGCCGAAAACCTGTCGCTAGCCAACACAAGGAAATAGCCCCCAAAAAGCGCCGTGCGCGCACCATTTTGTAAACACCATATTGTTAATTGTTACAGAAACAAACAAAACAACACATTTTTTCTGTTTCCATCATTTTATATATTGCACATTCCCCTTTTTGTTTTACCAAAAGAACAGGTATTTTGTTTGCAAGGCATCTTCCACCACTCCTTCTTTTGGTTTTCTATTTAGGCGACCTCCCATCCCCGTTTGCCTCGTGTCATCCCGCTGCCGCTGTTGCAAGTTTCATTTCCCCGTCTCCGGCTACTTGAAACTCATCAAATAAGCGAGTGAGACATATCACATTTTCACAAACCTATATCACCAACCACCCATTCAAAGTCGGTGGTCTCAATGTCCACTTCTATGTCTTCAACCATTGTAGAGGAAAAACTTAATCCCAGTATCGTCAAGAAGATCCATCGGGAAGTCAGATTCGGTAATTACATTCTAGGCTCCACTCTTGGAGAAGGAGAGTTTGGAAAAGTCAAACTCGGCTGGCGCAAAGATGGTAAGCTTCCCAACCAGGTGGCCATCAAGCTCATCAAACGAGAGACGTTATCCAAAGACACGGAGCTGGAAATCAAGACCCATCGGGAAATCAATTCTTTGAAGCTACTCAGTCATCCCAACATCGTCAACTTGGTGGAGGTGATGAAAAGTGGCAAGTATATCGGCATAGTATTGGAATACGCCTCTGGCGGCGAGTTGTTCGACTACATTTTGAATCACAAGTACTTGAAAGAACCTCTTGCAAAGAAGTTTTTTGCCCAGCTCGTCAGTGGAGTAGATTACATGCATTCAAAAGGCTTGATACACAGAGATTTGAAGTTGGAAAATTTGCTTTTGGACAAGAACAAGAATATAATTATCTCTGACTTTGGATTTGTTAACAGTTATAATTTGAGTTCCAATAATGACTTAATGAAAACCAGTTGTGGATCTCCATGCTACGCGGCCCCCGAGTTGGTGTTGACTCCAAATCCTTATAACGGTAAAAAGGTCGACATCTGGTCTTTAGGTGTCATATTGTACGCCATGTTAGCCGGGTACTTACCGTTTGATGATGACCCTTCTAACGAAGATGGCTCGGATATCATAAGGTTATACCACTACATTTGCAAGACTCCTTTGACTTTCCCCGAGTATATCACTCCTTTACCAAGAGATTTGTTACGGAAGATCATAGTGGCAGATCCTAAGAAGAGAATTAATATCAATGAAATCAGAAACCATACTTGGCTATCTTCATATGCCAACTTGTTGTCCATCAGACAACCCGAATGGGATAAGATATACAAGGATAAACAGACCAAGTCCATTAGTTCAACCACTTCGAGTGTAAACCCAAGTGTGAGCAGAAGTCAAAACGCTTCAAAGAGATTCTCCATGATTAACGAACCAACCAATTCCGCTCAATTGACGTATAATGCATTTAAGAAACAACACGGAAGATCTACGTCTTCAGGATCAGCTTCCAACATCTTCATGAGTTCTAATACATCCATTGACGAACATAACGAGGAGAATATTCAGGTGGGTACTGTCGCCGCTCCTGGCGGAAACAAAATCTCCACCATTATTGAACTGCCAAAGAGGCATCCTTTAAGCGTGATTAATGATACCACTTTTTCCATAAATCCTAACACCACCATTCCTATTCCAATTGCGATTTCGAATTCGGAAAAGCCTGTTGATGCTGGTGCCAAAGCTATCCATAGTAGCACCTCACGTTTACCTCACCAACCCAAGAAACCTAGACCAACTTCGTACCATCCTTCCAGCTCATACAGTGCATATAACAGCAGTAACCCAAGTGCATTAGATTTCAGGTATCCTTCACCGATCAACATTCCTATTCTGCAATTCCTCCCACCTTCAAGCGGTTCTACTCCCAAGAATTCACCCCCAAAGGGTTCACCTCCTAAGTCTGATATTGAGTCTTTGAGCTTGAGTTCCAGAAGGAACTCGGTGGTCACTGCAATAAACGTTAATGGCGTTTTGACCAGAGACAATAGCGAAAAGAGAAACTCGGTTTTGATTTACTTGGAGGACAGAATGAACAACATCGATTTGGCCGAACGCGAACGTGAACCAGAAACCACTGTTTCGACATCACCAATAATGAAAGTTACCACTCATGTTTCCGTCGCTGAAGAACCAGCTTCTACTGCTGCAGTCCCATCTGTTGAAAAGATTGTGGAACCAACGCCCAGAATCAGAGAAAGATCCGATAAGGTAGACAAGGAAACAAAGAGACGCAACAGATTCAGTCTCTTATCGATTTATTCCAACTACAGCACCAGTCAAGTAGACACCACACTTGTCCAAGCCGACTCTAGCAGACGGAAACCTGATGTGGACAAACCGAAGGCATCGGTGTCCAATTCGTCATCAAGCCTTGTGAAGCGTAACAAAGAAGTGAGTGCGGCCAAGAAGGTGATGGACTTCTTTAAGAGACGCAGCATACGTGTAACTTAGCCACCAAGAGACGCATCGGTGGACCACTCGTTTATATAGTCCATCCATCCATCCATCCAATACAGTAGCACTAGGCTTCATGAGGTAATAAAAACTAACCCCGGGAATTTAATTCAGCATTTGTATAGTATTGTATAAAAATTTATGTCGAGATTTCGCAGCTGGCGATAACATTTTTCACTTAGTATTGTTATGGCATCTGATACAAATCTACGAAATCCCACTGCCAGCGGCGATGTTAGCACCACCGAATTCCAGACGGCTGACGAAAACATCATCACACCCACAGCGCTAACCCAGGAGCCCGGCAAATCTCAAAGCTCTTCTTCAGAGACAGAAGACGTTTATTCAGAATCTGAGTTAGAATCAGAATCAGACTCAGACTCAGACTCAGACTCAGACCTCATTACATCACTTTCTGACACCATTCTCACTGATATCGAGGCTGGAACGTACGCGTGTCTAGTTTGCACCTTTGAAATCGACAAGGAAACTTCTCAAGTATGGTCTTGTCCTGACTGCTATAGGGTATTCGATTTGGACTGTGTCAGAGACTGGGCCAAAAGGGGAACCTCCACCACTTCCGACAAAAAATGGCGATGTCCCAACTGTAATACGTCCCACACTAAAGTACCCAACCGGTTTACCTGTTGGTGTGGTAAAGTTGAAAATCCTCAACCTGGTCTCGTGCCGTTCAGTTGTGGGAACGTCTGTGGACACAAGTACGACGAATGTGTACACTCGTGCACTGCCGTGTGCCATCCGGCTAACCATCCCATTTGTGGAGCCATGGGGCCCAACATGGGCTGCAATTGTGGGCTTTTTGAGAAACAGTTACCGTGCTTGATCACTCCTTATAAGCATGGATGGAAGTGCGACGAGCGGTGTCAAATCTCCATTTGTGACTTGGGCCACAAATGTAACCGGTCATGTCACCTGGGATTTTGTGGGCCTTGCACCACTCCGATCACGGGGTCGTGCTACTGTGGGAAGAATACCATCACCATCGACTGCAACCAGAAGTATCTTCAAAAAGCTGGCGACGGGATCGCGATCTCTTACTGCGATGAAACCACCAAAAAGTACTACGACTGTGGTATACACTACGAAACTATCGAGTGCAAGGTTCCCACTGCCACGCGCATGTGTGAGTTTTCGCCTGAGCTCCAGAAGACGTGCTACTGTGGGAAAACCACTGGAAAAAGAAGACAAAAGTGTACAGACCCCATTCTTGAGTGTGACTTGGTGTGTGGTAAGCCGCTTCCGTGTGGTTGTCTGTGCAACATGAAGTGTCATAATGGCCCGTGCGAGTGCTTCAATCAAAAGGTCATCAAATGCAGTTGTCAGAATCACGAGTTTTTGGTGAGCTGCAAGTCGCTTCAGCTGGGATTTATTCCCAAGTGTAAACACAAGTGTGACGCTCTTTTGAATTGTAGAAAACACTACCACAAACAGGAATGCTGTGAGTACGAGCCGGTGGCGTTGACTCGAGAAAGACACATCAAGAAGGCGCTCCGAAACCGAGTTGTGTCGTCTATGACTGCGCATAATGACGTGATGACCATTGAACCAGTGCATATATGTTATAAACAGTGCAACCGGACCAAGAGCTGTGGAAACCACCCGTGTGAGAGCTTGTGCCACGCGGGACCATGTCCGCCGTGCTGGCAGTCGTCCAGCGATGACATGGTGTGTCACTGTGGGAAGACGGTCCTTGCTGCACCAGTGCGGTGCGGGACCGAGATCAAGTGTACTGAACAGTGCATACGTCCCAAGGCATGTGGGCACGCTCCCGAGTACCACCGGTGCCATGAAGATGACTATGAGTGCCCTCGGTGTACGAAATTGGTGGAAAAGACCTGCCAGTGTGGAAGGGCCACTATCAAGAACATTCTTTGTTCGGGTGCAACTCCCAAGTGTACGTACGTGTGCACCCAAAATAGGGACTGTGGCCACAAGTGTTTGCGAAACTGCTCGCCAGCCTGTGACGAAGGCGCTCACTTGACAAGTGCCTCATGTCAGGACAACTGTGGAAAGTTCAGATCCAATTGTCCGCACAAGTGCATGTTGAAATGTCATATCAATAAGGTGGGCAAGTCCGCCAACTGCGACGCCAAAGTGTGTTCTGAGTTGGTAAGCGTCTCATGTGAGTGTGGAAGAATTACTAAGAAAGTGTCTTGTAATAGTTCAGTTACCGAGCCAACTGTTATAGGCACTAAGTTAAATTGTGACAATACATGCGAGCTGCAGAAGAGAGACGAAGAATTAAAGCGGATTCTCCTTCAGTCGGAATCCCAAACACCAGGAAATGGGGTTGTGTATTCCGAATATGTTATCACCACCTTTAGGAAACAGCTCCGGTGGTGTGGGAACATTGAGACGTTCTTGCTGGAATTTATAGCCAGTGACAAGAAGTCGCATCATTTTGCGGCGATGAATAGACCACAACGGCAGTTTATCCACGAGCTAGCCGAGACTTTTAAGTTGTACTCCGAGAGTCAGGACCCTGAACCTAGACGGAATGTGTTTATTTTCAAGACATCAGAGTCCCGAATACCATTGCGAACCATTAAAGAAGAAATCAAGATTATTGATGCAATTGCAGCAGAAGAGCGGAAAAAGCAGCAAGAGTACTTGGACAAGCTCCAGGAAGAATTATTCAACTCGGTGTTTATACAAGATTTGTTTTTGGGCATCACCAAGCAAGGACTTCAAGAGCAGCTCTCAAACCGAATGGAAGGCTTTGACATTGGAGAGCACGAGTTTATACAAATCAATAAAGATTTGGCTATTATTTGTGTGGGGGCAATGACGATTGAAAGAGAGAACCTGGTGTATATTTTCATGAAGTTTTTGAAGAAATGGTTGCGGGAGTCGAATATTGCATTTGACTGTAACTTGAGTTTGATTAGAGAGGGTGAAGTGTTGAAGATGGATGTGAAAGTAGCGAGGGCCAAGGAGGTGGTGAAGCTTGAGAACAAGGAGAATCCGTTTAGGATGATGGGAGCAGAGGGAGAGGAGGAAGAGGAGGAAGAGGAGGAAGAGGAGGAAGAGGAGGAAGAGGAGGAAGAGGAGGAAGAGGAGGAAGAGGAGGAAGAGGAGGAAGAGGAGGAAGAGGAGGAAGAGGAGGAAGAGGAGGAAGAGGAGGAAGAGGAGGAAGAGGAGGAAGAGGAGGAAGAGGAGGAAGAGGAGGAAGAGGAGGAAGAGGAGGAAGAGGAGGAAGAGGAGGAAGAGGAAGGAAGAGGAGGAAGAGAAGGAAGAGAAGGAAGAGAAGGAAGAGAAGGAAGAGAAGGAAGAGAAGGAAGAGGAGAAGGAAGAAGAGAAGGAAGAAGAGAAGGAGCCAGAAGAGAAAGAGGAGACGAAACCAAACAATGGACCATCACTATCACCATAGCATTTGGCACACCTCTCACTCATTTCTAGTGGCTAAGCTACACCACACTATCGATATATACATTAATCGTTACATTTCATAGATATCTACACTAATCATCAGAACCAGCGCCACCATCATCAGAACTATTTTCCTCTCCATCTCCAGACTTCTCTTCCTTTCTAGTATGTTTTCTTTTTCTTCTTGTTTTCGTAACCTTCTCACTGACCTTCTCGTCTTCCTTGGACTTCTTCTTCTTAACACTCAACGGATTAGGACCTTTGGGACCCTTCTTCTTTTTCACCACCGGTTTAACCGACTTATTTTCCTCACCATCCTCCTCTTCTTCAAGATCTCTCTTTGTTCCCACCTTCACATCGTTTAAACCACCGGTCAACTTCAGTGACTCCAACTTCTCGGCGTACCGCAAAGATGCAGACGAAATCGAGTCCATCACCATCACTGAATTCTTCATGAATACAAAGGGAACGCCCGGAACCGTCCTCATTCTGTTTCTAAGCTCAACGTGCTGGGTGGCTATCACATATTTGAATTTATTGTCAGGTAAAGTAATCGACTTGATACACTCTACAGGCGTCAATGGATCAGAAGGAGGATGGTTGCACCGACGTCTTTCAAAGGTTTTGGCCAAGTCAATGGCACTTTGGTTGTTGGTTTTGTACAACGCTTGCATGCAACACTGGGTGATCATAGGTTTCACTTCACCTTGGATAGTTCTCGACAACCCTCTAGGTAAATTAAAGGAGGCCTTGTCGCTGGTGGTAACGATCTCGTCGTCAACAATCACCTGGAACGGTTCTCTGAACTTGAACGCGTGAACGTAGACGTTCATTTGTTTTTTGTACGACTTGGCTCTCTTTTGTCTCATGATGAGGTGGTGAGGCCATCGCCAGAAGCGAGAAGAGCGAGAACAGTGTCGCGCCAGGAAGCAAATGTCGGGATGAGTGTCGCAAAAAAAGTCCTCAGAGAAATTGTCGCGTGTCTGGGGTCCACTTTCTGAAACTTCGTCGCATTGACATTCCTGACTAGTTCTCTTTGGCCCGCCACACGGCCCCGCAAACATATGGACGTGGGCAAACCCATTTATCTTATCTGTTCGTCTTCGATTTCAGATGAGTCCCCCAAGCTCATAAGGCCGAAACCGCCTTAGGCCCGATCTCTTCACATGGTTGGGCCCGTGCCCTCGGGAAGAAAAGTTGGAACGGCACCATCACCAAATCCCTGGCAGGGGGTGGGCGGTGCCTCCCCGGTATGGGTGCGTCTTTAGCTGTCCGCGGGTTCACAATTTGGTACGACTCCAACGGGGGCCGACTGATGCACGGCTCAGGCTATAAATAGACGTGGTCTGCGAAACGTACGCGAAGACCACACTTCTTTTCACCCGATACTAAACGTAGACATCCTTCACAATCAGTTCGGTTGCCAAAATCGTGTTGATGTATTCCCATCTCTGAGCGGTCTAATGTAACTTGGTGCAGCTTGGTGTTTCAGTATTTAAAGCCACCGAGCGCAATTATTTTAAGGATCGTCAGACAGCAAGCAAAAAGTCACATATTTTTATGCACATGTCAAACAAGCCTGTCATAAAAATGTGTCAGAAATTCAGACTCACGCAACTTGGTAGACGGGGACATCTGGCACTTGGGCCATAGTTTTCACTCACCGCTGAACGGCACGCCTGCATCGTACTTTGACCACATAACAGAGGGCAATATGGCGTCAAAAACATTAAAATCGGGGACGTACGGCTCCTTTACTTTAACCAATGACATTTTAGGATTACCTTTCAAATCATCATACTTTCCTGTTTGGGAATGATGCTGGGAGCCTCGTGCCAAATAGTAAGTAGATCTCAAGAAGCTTTTGTTATCAGCGATTAAGCATATAAAACTCACATTTCCCCATCTTTTTAATCTTGGTTATCAGGTAAAAACAATGGCGAAATTCTCCAAATTCTTTTCATCTGAGAAAGATTCTGAGATCGTTGAAACTAACCAATTCTCCGATGATTTCGAGTCTGGCTCCCAAGCGGTGCCCATTTTGACCACCGAAAAATCAAGAGATTTTGACCCTATTACCTCCAATTTGGAAAAAGAGTTCATTGCCGACGAGTATGCAGGTGTTCACGTAGAAGATGATTCTCCATACGCTGAAGTTAGAGCGGCTGTGCCCTCCACTGATGATACTCTGATGCCCCAAAATACCATCCGGATGTGGACTTTAGGGTTCATTTTGTCCACTATCGGATCTGCTATCAACTTGTTATTCTCGATGCATTCACCTTCCATTTCCATCACCACATTTGTTACCTCCATTTTGGCGTGGCCTGCTGGTTACCTCTGGGGCCGGTTTCTACCCAACGTTAATATCTTTGGAATGCCCTTAAACCCTGGACCTTTCAATCTTAAAGAACATACTTTGATTGTCATTATGGCAAATGTGTCTTTTGGAGGTGGTGCTGCTTATGCCACCGACATTTTGCTTGCTCAAAACCAATTCTACAGTCAGGATTTTGGCTGGGGATTTGACCTTTTGGCCATTTGGTCCACCCAGTGTATTGGGTTTGCCATGGGAGGGTTGGCTAGAAGAGTGTTGGTACACCCGGCCTCGATGATCTGGCCCTCCAACTTGGTTTCGGCCACCTTTTTGACCAACATGCATATCAACGCAAACTATCCTGCTAACGGCTGGAAAATCAGTAGATTGGCGTTCTTTGGAACCGTGTTCGCCTGTTCGTTCTTCTGGTACTTCATCCCCGGTTACATTTTCCCAGCCTTGTCATACTTTGCTTTCCCTACGTGGATCAAGCCAGACAATGTGATTGTCAATCAGGTGTTTGGAACATCCACCGGTTTGGGATTAATTCCAATCACTTTTGACTGGAACCAGGTATCTGCTTACATCGGGTCTCCTTTGATTCCTCCAGTAGGAACAATTCTTACCATTTTCTCTTCGATCGTGGTGATCTTCTGGATTGTGGTCCCGGCCATTCACTACTCCAATGTCTGGTACGCCCAGTACTTGCCAATTTCTTCATCTAGCTCTTACGACAACACTGGTGTTTCTTATAATGTGAGCAGAATTATTGATACCGACACCTTGACGTTCTTGCCCGACAAATACAAGGAATACTCGCCTTTGTTTTTGTCCACAACCTTTGCCATCTCGTACGGGTTGTCATTTGCAGCAATGCTTGCTACCTTGGTTCACACGGCTTTGTTTCACGGAAAGGATATCATCAACCAGCTTAAGCAGAAGGAAAAGCCCGATGTTCATATGAGATTAATGAAGAATTATCGGGAAGTCCCTGACTGGTGGTTCGGAATCGTGTTTCTTATCTTTTTTGGTCTTTCCATTGCCACCATCAGAGCCTGGAACACTGAAATGCCTGTCTGGGCCTTGGTAGTAGCTTTGCTTATTGCCCTTTTGTTTTTACTTCCAGTGGGTATCATCTTCGCCTTGACCAACATTGCCGTTGGTCTTAACGTCGTGACTGAGTTTATTATTGGTTACATGATCCCCGGTAAGCCATTGGCCATGATGTTCTTTAAGACCTTTGGTTACATCACCAACAACCAGGCGGTTACTTTTGCTCAGGACATGAAGTTGGCCCATTACATGAAGTTGGCTCCAAGATTGGTGTTTTCCGTGCAATTTTTCGGTGTGATTTGGGGTTCTTTGGTACAGATTTCTGTGTTGAGATGGGCTTATGGGTCCATCACCGACTTGTGTACACCCACCCAGGCTAGTTCCTATACCTGTCCAAACGGTAGAGTGTTTTTCAATGCTTCTATAATCTGGGGTGCCATTGGTCCACAACGGGTATTTTCCCACGGAAGCGTCTACTATGGGCTTTTGTTCTTCTTCATTATTGGTCTCGTTGCCCCAATTATTTCCTGGTTGATCTTAAAGAAGTGGCCAAACTCACCCGTCAGATGGCTTAACTGGCCCGTGTTCTTCTCGGGTACTGGTTACATTCCTCCAGCAACTCCATACAACTATTCCACTTACTGTATGGTTGGTATCTTTTTTGGATGGTACATCAAGCGTAAGTACACTCACTGGTGGGCTAAGTACAACTATTCGTTGTCGGCCGGCTTGGACATTGGATTGGCTTGGTCGTTATTGATGGTTTTCTTCACCTTGAGTTTGACCACCACCAACTTCCCCAACTGGTGGGGAACCACTGTCATTAATACTCCGGATTACGAAGGAACTGCTGTTAGACATCCTTTGGCTGCAGGAGAAACCTTTGGTCCTCTGACTTGGTAGTATGAATATATTTACGTATGGCAATTAATGTAAGTTAACTAGAAAGAATTGTAGCCTACGAATTTAACGATAGTCCATTTGGCTTTGTCTCTCATTTTGCAGTCACAGGGAAATAAAAATTTTCGCGCTTGCAACATCACCGAACTCAACACCGTCACTTGTCTAGCAGAATGCAGAGAATCCAAAAACTAGTGCCTCTCGCCTCGAGGGCCACCGCCACCAGAGCCGCTGTCTTGACTACCAGCAGCACTGTATCCACCGCCTTAAGCTACAGGCCTTACTACTCCCCAGTCTTCGCCGCCCGTTTCAACTCCACCAAAGCCAAAAATGAACCACAAGAAGAAAAGCAACCAGAAGCCGCAGCCGAAGTCGAAGCCGAAGTGAAAGCCGAAGTTCATGAAGACCCAATTGTCGCTGAGTTGCAGTCCAAGTTGACCACTAAGGACAAGCAGTTGGCTGACATGAAAAACCACTACGCCAGAGCCGTGGCCGACTTCAGAAACTTACAAGAGTCCACCAAGAAAGAGGTGCAAAAGGCCAAAGATTTCGCCTTACAGAAGTTCGCCAAAGACTTGATTGTGTCGTTGGACAACTTCAGCTTGGCCTTGAATGCAGTCAAGGAAGACACCTTAAAAACCAACGACGAAGTCAAAAACTTATACGATGGAGTCCAAATGACCCGGACGGTTTTTGAGAAGACTTTGACTAATCACGGTATAGAGAAAATCGATCCAATGGGTGAACCATTTGACCCCAACACCCATGAGGCTGCATTTGAGATTCCTCAGCCAGACAAGGAGCCAGGTACTGTTTTCCACGTCCAACAACCAGGTTACACCTTGAACTCCCGAGTCTTGAGACCTGCCAAGGTTGGAATTGTCAAGGGTGAGTAAATGCATTTTATGATGACTTCTTGTATATACACCAACAAAAACTAGGTTCAACAATGTACATATTTAAATGCGGAAAATAGCTCTATTTGTCCCTAAACAACTACCAATCTACTCCTTTACAATACCTTATAACAAAAGTGTGTTTATATCGCCACTTTATTTTCGGCTTGGTGATAGTGTCATATACTTGAATCAGGTATGACTCAAAGTCCTTAGTGAAAAATTTCCAAACCCGATCGCGAAATTGACTGGAAAATCGTCGCTTTTTCATTCCCCAGATAAACTGCAAACAATGTTCTCCAAAACCATTCGTGCCTTTTCTACTAGCTCCACCTCGTTGAAAAACATCAAGATCGGGTTGATTCCTGGTGACGGGATCGGAAGAGAAGTCATCCCCGCCGGAAGAGCGGTGTTGGAAAACTTACCTTCTAAGCTTGGCTTGAAGTTCGATTTTGTCGATTTGGATGCTGGATTTGAATTATTCCAGAAAACCGGAACCGCTTTGCCCGATGAAACCGTCAAAGTGTTGAAAGAAGAATGTGATGGTGCTCTTTTTGGAGCCGTCTCTTCTCCCTCTGTCAAGGTGGAAGGTTACTCTTCCCCTATTGTTGCGTTGAGAAAGAAGTTGGGTCTTTACGCTAACGTTCGTCCTGTCAAGAGCGTTGAAGGGATTGGCAGACCAGTCGATATGGTAATCGTCAGAGAAAATACTGAAGACTTGTACATTAAGGAAGAACGTACATACAAGGCTGCTGACGGTACCAGAGTTGCTGAGGCCATCAAGAGAATCACCGAGACAGCCACCACCCGGATCGCGAAAATGGCCTACGACATCGCTTTGAAGAGACAGGCCATCAGAGAAGCGTCTTCGGCCACCGGATTGCACACATCTCCTTCTGTGACTGTCACCCATAAAAGTAACGTTTTGTCGCAATCAGATGGTCTTTTCAGAGAAATCTGTAGACTGGTGTATGATGCCAACCTCGGCTTGTATGACTCCATTGCCTACAGGGAACAGATTGTGGATTCTATGGTGTACAGAATGTTCAGAGAACCCGAAATCTTCGATGTGGTGGTTGCTCCAAATTTATACGGAGACATCTTGAGTGATGGTGCCGCTGCTTTGGTGGGATCTTTAGGTGTGGTTCCTTCTGCCAACGTTGGTGAAAACTTCGCCATAGGTGAGCCATGTCACGGATCGGCTCCAGACATCGAAGGAAAGGGTATTTCCAATCCAATTGCTACCATCAGATCTACTGCCTTAATGTTGGAATTCATGGGACATACCGATGCGGCTGCGACTATCTACGAAGCGGTTGATGCCAACTTGGCCGAGGACTCTATTAAGACTCCAGACTTGGGAGGAAACTCCACTACCCAACAGGTTGTCGACGATATTATTAGACGTTTCTAGTGTATTGAAATCAAAATTATTAGACTCGAAATTAGTTATACCAGCTCATTCATTTCCCTATAGCTCTTCGCTTTTTCCCTGGTTGCTTAGCATATTTTTATTTCTTCAAAGTTTTGTGGTTACTGGATTCATCCGGCTATGTAAAGATCTTTTTCACTTGAAGTAACCAATTCAAATGAAAGGTGAACGCCTACATTGAGTGGATTATTAAATTTCAAGCTTCCGTATTCCATTGGATCATATACACTACATAAACATAATCGCCTTGTCAGTAACCGACATCAAGCCAAAAAGAACGTCTTCAAATGAATGCCTCCAGCAAATAGATCGAGCTGGTGCCAAAGTCTTCAAAGACTGGAATGAGCTCCATTGTACGATCGTAATGTTTTACCCAATAAAGCCTATCTGAGAAAGCAACAGTTTTCAAACTGGGTAATTTCAGGATGTAGCTAGGTATTTTAACCATCTGGTTCTCGGTCTCCAGCAAAAGTGACTCCCTACATTCCAGAGATTTCAACACCAAGTAGTATTCAATCGAAGATGATGACTTCCACCCATAGAACTTTACACTGTTCATTTTGGTGAAGTCCAAGAAACTGGAGTCGTCGTATTCGCAACTTTTGCAATTACAACATACACCTTCTAACTGGTCTTCGGGTGCCAGCTTCCAAAATTCCTGAGCGTAACCCTTCATCAAGTTTTCTCCTAGCTCCACCGTTTTCAAAGATGGCCAATTTTTGTTTAGCCATTCGTTTTCTGAAAGCCTTAGACTTTGGGTGCTGGCAGTTTGAAGTTTGTCAAAGGCAATCCAGCTGCCCCTTTCTAAACTCAATTTCTCTGGTTGAAATCGGATATCATGGCTCTTGATGAGCTGACGTAAGTCTACATTGGGCTTGAACAGAAATTCTACCGTGGATTCCAGGAAGAACTTTTTGTAACAATTTAGATCATTGGCATGTCTGAGACTAAGACCTTTGAAGGATGTGATGTGTTTTAAATCTTCTGGAAATGACATACCTAATTCAGGAAGCACATAATCGAGGCTTCCTTCAATATCAACATTTGTGTTTCCTATTTTCATCTCACAATGACAACGTGTGGTAGAATTGTCAGAATCGACGTCCCGATCCTTAATCTTTATTTTGCAGCCAAATTTTGCACACTGTGAAAAGAGTTGTTTGCTAGGAACATAATGGTAAAAGTAAATTGTATTCACCAAATTAGGTTCAAATGTATATCGACTGATGAGATCCAAAAAATTCCTTGTGGATAAAATCGTGTAATTTTCGGGATTCATGAACTGTAGTTCCTTGGGTAGGCTTGTAAAACCTTTACTCAAATTCAACCTTCTGTGAAAAGCTATATCATAAACAAGAATATCCTGGTATAGCTTTGGCTTTGTCATTTGGAATATATATGAATTGCAAGTAAGCATTTGGACCAATGACCATTGGTCTAAATAGTCAAGAATGATTTTTATAACTTCCACTGGTAGGTCATCAAAGCTCATATTGATTTCACTCAGGCACCGTTTTGGAGGAGCAGAGACAAACAATTTGTTGAAGTTAAAGGGACATGTCATCATAATTTGATCTGAAAGGGAGGTTTCAGTTGCAACCATTTGGATTACAAATTGAAGCAACCTCAGTAGTTTAAATAGTCTCGATTTTTATGACACTCGCTCCCCACATATCAAATATGGAGATTTGGCTAGAAGCGATGATTATTAATTCTGGAGTTTCTTACTAGCGAGCATTGTCGGGTATGTGGAGGTAATTGGGGGGAGAGTTTAGAAGAGCACCGGATGGAGTAGATCATCGGGCTTAGGTGAATATAGGTCATAAAAATTGTTGTTCCGTAAAAGCCAGCTGCTTCCTTCCTTTTACCCTGCAAATATGATATTCTTCGAAATCCACTACAAGAGCTTTAAAATAATAGTTTATTATCAGATACTTCTTATGAATATGTATTTATTGGAGCCCAGACTATTATTTGGTATGTCAAACTGGATGCAAAAATTAGCACACAAATAATGCAGTTATGGACCGAATCCCGTCCAGTCTTCTTCTTCTTGTTCTTCTTCTTGTTCTTCTTCTTCTAGTTCATCTTCTAGTTCTAGTTCTTGTTCTTGTTCTTCTTTTTCTTCTCCTTCCCCTCTACTGGCTGCCTCACGTCTCACAAAACAGGCAGCAAAAAAACCTATTCCTCCATCCTCCTTTGCAACAGCTCGAACACATCCTCCTGCAAGATCCCCAACACTTCTGCCTTCTTCTTGAAGAGCAGTAAACTCCTGTGGCCATCCTCGTCTTGGCCAGGTAGATATCACCACATTTCTTGGAGCCAATGTCCAACCCGCTTTCTTGACGTTCTCATCCAACAACAAATCCACCACCACCCTCTCATTTTCTTCCGCATGGATCGAACAAGTGGAATATACCACCTTTTTAGCTCCTGGAAATGATAAGGCGTGCTTCATTATGGAGAACTGGAATCTGGATAACTTGTTTAGCCTCTCGGTACTGATCTCCTCTTTATGCTGTTCCAATGAATCCTCAATGGCCCTTCCAAAGATGCCTGACCCGCTACATGATGGATCCACCACCAAAGCCTCAATGTCTTTGAAGTCATTTGGATTGACGCTGGTGAAGTCAGCATGAGTGATTTGGATGAGGTTGGGTTTGTTGGAGGCAAGGTTGCACATCTTCTTCAAGATCTCAACTCTTTTGTTGTCCCGTTCAAACGCATAGACAACCGAACTCGGCTTGTCATATAAATACGATGCTGTATGTGTTGTCTTATTCCCGGGAGCAGCACATGCATCGATGATGTGTGTTGGTTGGAACTGCGGATCATTAAAAAGTATATGCCCAGGGAAACACGAAGCTCTATCTTGGATAATAAGTTCTCCTTTGGCATAGGCGTCTGATTTCATGATCAATTCACGATTATGCACACCGTACAAGTTCGGTACAAAGTCATCTTGGTAGAGAAACCCGGTGGAAGTGATTTCGCTGATATCACTGACTGGCTGCAACTTTTTGAAAAAGTCATATTTTTCAAAGAATACGGCCGTCGTGATCTTGATTTGATTAACTCTAAACCACCGTATGGGTGTCTCATCATTTTGTCCCTTCAAATTGGGGAACTCTTCGACGCTTTTGATCTTATATTTCAATTTCAACTTGATGAGCTCTGATGTGAGCCTCGTTTTGTGCTGCAAAAACGCATCTTTGATGGGATGCTTGCCCAGTTGGATACGACCTTTGGCCTGAAAAAGAAGGTCGTGTGTCAAGAGCCACAACATTTCGTCGGTAACCCGAAGTTTCTTTATTATAGGACTGGCTTTAAGCTTCGATGCTTTGATCACCTTCACGATGTACTCTTTATACTTGAGAGTGGAGATAACCAAGGCAAACACATGTTTGGGTGAATTAGTTAGGCTCTTTTCATTGAATATACGGCTCTGGAGGCTGCCTCGCTCATTTCCTGAGCTACGGAGGTACTTTTCTGCTTCAAAGTACAACTTCATCGCAGAAGTTTTATCGGCAGAAACTTCATTAGATTTTTCGCGCGACCCTCAAAACTTCTTGATCAAACAAACTTGGCACTATTGCGGCTGGCATTGAATCCCTCTACCTTGGACGACCACCCCTCTCATGCCGTCAGCTCCGCCAAATGCATATGCACCGGGCGCCAACTTAACCGTCGGATCGCATAATGTTTCTATCATCAAGTACATTTCTTCCGGGGGCTTTGCCCATGTCTACACTTGCAATATTGATCCTCCATTCAGAGGATCTCCAGTTGCTTGTCTCAAACGAGTTCAAGTCCCCAGCAAATGGCAATTGAACTTGTTGCGCCAAGAAGTTGATGCCATGAAGCGCTTGAGAGGTAATCCTACCATTGTGTCATATATTGATTCTCATGCCTCCCGATTGAATAACCAGGGCCATTCTACCATCGATGCTCCAGGCTCTAGCCAACAATATGAAGTGTTTCTTTTGATGGAATACTGTTCCAACAACGGCTTAATCGACTTTATGAACACTAGGTTGACCAACAAACTTACTGAACCTGAGATCTTGGTGATTATGAGAGACATTACCTTGGCCGTAGCCATGTGTCACCACTTACAGCCTCCGTTGATACACAGGGACATCAAGATCGAAAATGTCTTATTGGATGAAAAAGGAACCTACAAGTTATGTGATTTTGGGTCTGCTGTGCCTTATGCTCCGGTCCCTAAAACCAGTCAGGAGTTGCAACTTTTGAAGGATGATATCATGCAGCATACCACTCCTCAATACCGGGCTCCCGAGATGATAGAGTTGACCAGAGGCTTCCCCATTGATGATAAACTGGATATTTGGGCATTAGGCTGTTTCCTCTATAAGTTATGCTACTACACCACTCCTTTCGAGCTGCAATCCCACGCTTCTTTACAGGATTTGGAGAACCTGATTGTCAACAGTTCACATACGTTGCACATTCCTCACAACCGGCCCGGGTCGACGTTCTCGCCCCGTTTGCGGAATATCATCAAGTGCTGTCTTCGTGAAGATCCCCGAAGAAGACCCAATGCCGTTCAGCTCTTGGATGAAGTGTGTGTTATGATGAATATTCCGGCTCCTAAGGTCGTTCCTGCTTCTGTCATCGAAAGACCTAGTACTCCTGCCGCTCCTATGCAACCTCTGAACGGGCTGGTCCACAGCAAGAGCTCATCAGATTTGAATAGCATCAACAGGCCCCCTCCATTTGAAGGCCGCAAACCCCAAACCGCCAAAACTGATCCTTTTGCTCTGATAGACAAGTCTAAGTTGCTTCAAACGACGCGTCAGCACCCACAGCAGCGACCCAAGTCATTGTATGCTGCTCCCAGACCAACCTCGATTTATGGTGGCAGAGATATACTGCCTATCGGAACATCGGCAAATACCCACCAGTCTTCGAATACATTGAAGAACTACATCCAACGGCAACTCAGCAAGAGCAATGAGAGCATCATCACTCCTCCCGACGAAGATGACAACACTCTCAACTTCTTGAGAGATATGGAAGACATTTCCAGTCAGAATACTGGAGGGAGTTTCAAGGCGTCGTTCAAGAATGGGTTAAGAAAAATCAGTACTGGAAACAGTAGTTCTGGTGTTAGAAGTTCGAACAATACTGGGAACAATTATATTCTGAATCATAGAAGATCCAGTATCTCGTCCATAAAACAAATTCTCACAGGTGGGGGATCTAGGAAGGCCAGCAACCACGAAGAGAGTGAGTTTAAGAGAGATACAGAACAAACAATCACTTCTTCTTCGTTCACATCTTCTGCTCCCAAGAAGTTATCCATTCAGAGAAGAATGGTTCAGTACTTGAACAATAATAATGATCAGACAGTTAAAAGAACTGCACACGGTTATGGAAGATATACTGCCGAAGAAAGTGACACCGACGATTTAGAGGCCATAAACGACGGCTCCTACAAGTCAAGGATATCTTTAAACCCTCCTCAAGTCCCCACCAGTTTATCTTCCCAAAGAGCCAAGTCTGCCACACCGCCTCATCCTTCGCTGCTGCCCGCTGCTGTTCTTGCGAAACCCAAATATAAGCATTCGTCTACGAACACATCTGAAAAGGCTCTACCTTCCATAACTCCCTCCAAAATGAGAAATCTGCTTAAGAAACCACCTCCAAAACCTACCAAACCAGTTTACTTACGTACCGCTGAAGGTGATAGCTCGAGTCGGAGACTCAGTAGCTCGAGCGAGATCTCCATACCCGACTTGGACGACTTGGAAAAACAATTTGCCAAACGATTCCCCAGCTATGTATAATTATGCTATAACTCTACGAGTGAAGTTACGAATAGTTTAATGTTACATTTGATAGACAAAATTAATTTGAGGCGCTGCTATCTTCGAAATCTTCAATGGAGTCCAAAATGAAATCCACTCCTTCATCAAACCGTTCACTGATGACTTCCCAGATACCATCGACATCAGCTCTTATGACTCTACCGAACTTTCTTCTTGGTCTCTTTATTTCACCGTTTGCGTCTGTGGTTGTCACAGTCGAGCCATTTCTATTGGCTTGGGATCCACTCGAAGCATTTCCTGTCCAGCAAGGATTTAAACAACTGGTGAAAATAACAGAATTCGAGTAGAACCAATCAATCATTGACTCATCCATCACTGGTACTAAAGGTTTCAAAGTAGACCTATTGACAAAACAAACAGTTCCTTTGACGATTTCCTTAATTTCTTGTGAGGGTCTTTTGGCATAAAGGTGTACAATGGACTGGTACGCATCACCGAACCCAACGAAAATAAGTTTGGTTAACTTGTTGAAATAAGATAAATAGTTGTCCCAAACGTACAACAAAAGTTCTTGAGCAAAGATGTTTGGATTGTAAGAACCATATGAGGCATTGGAATGTTTGTTCAAGTGTAAAGACCCATTACTGGACACTGGCAAAGTGAACGATGGAATGTTAATGTCTATGTATCCAATCTTCTTGTTGTCTTCACTGGCATCATCATCTTGCTCTTTCTTGATCTTTTCAATGATTTGTATCAAAGGGTGCTCTAAAACAACTGAAGAGTTACCCTCAATATTCCCATTTACTGAGTTCACATTGGCCCAAATATCTGGAGGATCATGGACAGTCACAACCACAACAGGGGCATCATATATATGAGGACTTGCAACAATCAAATCCTCCAACCGAGGTGGAAGGTCAACAGTGAATGGGTTAAACTTGTCGTTCTCATTCGACACAATTGGCAAGTTGATGAATGAGTACAAATTGAATAAGTGGTTGGCCTGTTGAGATCGTATAGGATCATTAATGTTGGTCAACTTATAGCCATTGACATCTTCTGGTAGCTCAAAGACCTCATCGAAAGATCTGCTTGGGTTTCCTGGTTTCAAGCACGTCCAATATTTGGATTGAGTCTTAATGACCTCATCAACAACCTCAATAGTATCCAAGAAAGGATGTTGTGTGATGGTGGATTCGGGAGGTTCTCCAAGTAATACTTTAGCCACTGCCAAAGCACTTTTACTGATGGAATCAAGATTGTAACCTCCCTCCAAAATCACCGATAGCTTACCTCTGGCAATACCTTTCAACATGTGTGTCATATATCCATACCCAGCCGGGGTAACATGACACCCACCCACAATGTCCCCATCGGCCGCATCGAAACCTGAACTAACAATGATAAAATCAGGATCAAATTCTGAAATCACTGGGATCACCAACTTATTAAAAGCATAGACATAATCACCATCCCCAGTCCCAGGAGCTCTCCAAGGAATGTTCATATTAAAGCCTTCACCTTCCTCTTCTCCACACATTTTGTGGCTACCAGCTTTGGTGCCAGGATAAAACCGGCCGTTTTCATACCGATGAAGTGATATATACAAAACTCTCGGGTCATTGTAGAAGGCCTTTTGGGTCCCATTACCATGGTGGATATCCCAATCGACAATGACAATTTTTCGTACCGAGTCTGGGAACAACTTTAACATGGTCTTAGCGGCCACCGCCACGTTACTGAAGAGACAAAAACCTCCAGGGGTGTCAGGTTCTGCATGGTGTCCTGGAGGACGAACAATTGCCATAGAATTTTTCACCTGTCCGCTAATAACTGCCTTACAAGCCTCAATACTTCCACCACACGACAACTTTGCCGACAAGTACGAGTCGTTATTGACATATATCGAATCCCCCGTCTCTGTTTCTTCAAGTAGCTTATCGCGTGACATCGTCTCAGTCGAGGCAATATACTTCAAGTGTTCTTCGGAGTGTACCAACAAGATCTCCTCATCAGACGCTTCTCTAATTGGAATCTTCATCATAAGAGGCCCCAAGTCATCGGTTCCCGATAACGATGGATCGGTGATCAAACCGGCCTCAGCAAGCTTTTTGTAGATTCTGTAGATACGTCTGGGGTCTTCTGGATGGGGATCAATATACTCGAAGTAGGACGTGAAAATCTTAGCATGGTATCTCATCCTCACGTCGTACACAAGCCCAGTTTTCAAAGGAGTATAAAAGAGCTGTGGACCCGACTTGGGCACCACCAACATCCCGTTGCCGTTGGCGGCCACTTCTCCATTGCCGTTACTGGTAACAATTTCGGCATCAGAGCCAGCTATAGGAGTCTCCGACTTGACGACGTCCTCCGTGAGATGGATTCTTTTGGCGTCACTTTCCTCCACGTCTTGGACGGGCCTTGTGCCGTTGTCGTCCTGAAGCTCTGCTTTGATGGACGGGTCTGGTACTGAGTTGGTCGAGGGTTGAGCATTGTTGACATGGCTGAATATACCATCGGGATGATGGACGTCTCTTTTGATGCCATTACTAACGTCACCAGCACCGGGAGTTATCTGCTGTTCGGATATTTCCTTGTCACGGCCAACAGAGGCTTCCGGGTGGTTTTCAGACATTTTAAAGGAAAGAAAAAAAAACTATAGATAATTTTTATAACACCGTTATTTGTGCTCGCTAAAACTCTGGTATTCGAGATATGTCCGCGATAAATCAAAGCCTCTTGGTTCCAGACGAAAGTGACCACCGCGATGCCCATGACTTCCTCGACCACAATGACATCTACTACCAACAAATAGACAAGGCCTCTGTGATCTGGCGCTTCAGTTGTATGAAAGGATTTTTTCGCCAGACTTTGGACGCTACAGACGACATGACTTTCAACTACGCGCTTCAAGATTTCGGCATTCTCAAGCCCTGGGAACATATTGTGCTGGAAATACGTCGTCGAAATCGTGATGAGAACCTGGCCGTTAAGTATAAGCTCTTATTACTTGCCCGGCATGGCCAAGGGGTCCATAATATTGCTTCTATTATGTACGCGCTGGAGTGGGCTTCAAAATGGCGATTTGTGGGAACTGACGGTAACCTCGTATGGGGTCCGGACCCGCTTCTCACACCGCTTGGCCGTTGCCAGGCCGAAGAAAACCGCCTGTTTCTTGAGACTCAGGTGCAAAAGGGTATGCCAATTCCCAGCAAATTTTATGTTTCTCCACTCACCAGGTCTATAGATACCATGAGGATCGAGTGGAGTTCGGTGGAGACTCTGCGGCCATTGGTGGTGGATAATCTACGCGAAACTATTGGCATCAACCTCTGCCATAAACGGCTGCAAAAAGGTGAATTGCAGGCCAAGTACCAAGACTTAGACTTTGAGGACGGGTTTCCTGAGGAAGATGAGCTTCATCTAAAGCTGCAGAAAAGAGAAGAGATCTGGGAACAGTTTATGCGCATAAACGGGGTGTTACAGGATCTCTTCAGTAACGAGTTACAGTCTGATGATACCGACGATGTGGTGAGCATCACTTGCCATGCTGGTACCATTAGAGCATTTCTCTCGGTGGTTGGACACAGAGGCTTCACAATCCCGAAGGGTGGCATTATCCCGGTAATTGTAAAAGCGGAGAGAAACTAGGTTATTTATATGGCAGTTTGAATATATATATATATATTTACTATTGCAAATTGTAGTGCGCTGACCTAAAGTCTACGCTAATACGCTGAACCTAGTGCTGTTCTAGTATGGCTTGTACCGCACATCCTTCTTCTTTTTCTTCTTGTCCTTCTTATCCTTCTTGTCCTTTTTTCTATGCTTTTCCTTCTTTTCCTTTTTCTCTGGTGCTTCAAGCTCAATTGCTTCAACCCCAGGAACCTCTAATTCCACCTTCCACGGTAAATCCCACATCTTCACCAGTCCATCCTCCCCACACGATAATGCCTGTTTCCCTCCAGCAAACACCTGTAAGTCTCGTACTACCTCGTCCCCATGAGCTCCTGGAAATACAATTGTTTCCATTCCAAACTGCTCAGACAACGGACTAAACAGCCGCAACGTCAATTCCTGGTTAGAATTCGTTCCATACGACACGTAGCCCTGTGGGTTTACGTCCACCACGTACTCGCACCCCCAAACTTGCCTGGCGTCGCCCAAGTCTTTCGGTACGGGCTCTTCCCACACCTCGTAGTTCGTATTGTTCAACTGATGGAAGGAAAGTGTCTCCATGTGAGACAAGATTCCAATCCGATCCTTCAGCACAAACTGGCACGAGTGCACTGACAGGTAGTTGATGACCTGGTGAAGGGCATCGTCTTCATCCTGTTCCTTCAAGTCATACACATTGACATATCCATCTGTCGAACCAGACATCAAGTACTGGGAGTACTGCGGGTGGAATCGCACACAGGTTACATCGTCGTGGTGTGAATCAACGTATGATTTGATTGGCGTCCCTGGGTTTCTTAAGTCCCATACATGGACTTCGGCGTCTGTACCTATCAATTCAGTACCACCTGCAAGCATGTTGGAATGGAAATCAAGCGACAAAAAGCCGGTGTTTTTTGGGTTATGGAGCTGGTGTACAAGTTTTTCAGTTCGAAGGTCCCATACTTTGATGCCATCCGTGGAGCATGAAGCAATGCCATTGGAGATGAGCTTGATGCAATTAATGGATGATTCGTGAGCGTTAATGGTCTGCACCGGACACCGAAGAGTGGCGGCATCGTAAAGGTTTAAGGTTCCGTCCGAGTGCGATGCCACCCACGAGTGGTCATCGATCACCTGAAGCTGTAACACCCAATTTTCAGGGCCATTTTCCCATGTGTTAACAAGTTTTGCACTCATCTATCAACAGAACAAAACCATTCGCGCGCAGAAAAATCAGATTTTATCTACAAAAACAACCCTAATGAGTAGTATTGTGAAAAAGGCACAGACCCTGTTCACGCCTAAGTTCAAGAAGAATGTCAACAGAAAGCGGCAGAGGACCTCCGATGCAGATACCTTGGTCACACCCCAAACCACCCAGCAGAGCCAAGAAGACCTGATACCAGATGCTGCTTCCCCCGATAAACAAGCACCTTCTGTAACTCCAGAACCTTCCCAGGTAAGTTTCTACAGTTCCAGCAAGCTGGACAAGGTCGCTGAAGAAGATGTGGATCCACACGATGCGACCCGGAAGATCAGTATTTCTGAGGAGGTCATCACCAACGAAGGTGAAGAAGATGAGGAGGATTATGGTGATAATGACATTTTCAAGAAACCTCAAGAAGACCTCACCCGACGCAAGTCATCCATGTCACAGAGGCGATTGTCAGGAATCTCCATCAGAAAATCTGGTTCTCGGTCGGCGTCGATCTCGATTTCTGTCACTCCTAGAGGCTCCTTTGGCGAGTATAACGATAAAATGCCAGCCCCCATCCCTATCGAGATTCCAGTGACAAAGAACAAGCGAAGACGATCTTCAGTAATTAAGCCTTCCAAGCGGGTATCAATCTCTGACGGTCGATCCAAGTCTGTAGGTGAAGGAGGTGAAGTACGTGATATTGAAGAGGAGGATGAGGACGATGCCAACGAGGAGATGCTCCTAGTTGACGGAGTTGAAACGAGAGACACCGTCGTGGAGTACAATGTGGACGACGAAATTTCCAGAGACGAGTTGTATGAGCATGGGGAGTACCTTATATTTGCAGTCAACCCCATCACGCTGATATTGAGCCAGTTCCGAACCGGGCCGTTGGAAGGTAAACTTGAGGGGCATGACGATAGAGACTATCCTTTAGCACCCGAGACGGTGAGTATGAAAATCAGTTCAATCAAGCAAATCCCCAAACATCTAAGGAAAAGGAATATTGGATCTTTGGTCAATATCAAAATCGACCTGGAAAAAATGACCATGGAAGACATATGCAACCCCTCCTTACCCGTAGGGGTATTATCGCACAACTTTCAGCTCGTACAGGAAGCCAAAAAGAGGACATTGGAGGCACAAGCCTTCCGGAGAAATGCTAGAAGATATGCCAAATTGAATCAAATATCGTATGAGAAAGCCATAGAGATTTTGGAGAAGCAAGCCCGCAAGGCAGAACAAGAAAATGGCACAGTATCCAAAAAGGAAGAAGATACCGAACAAGGAGTCAAGCCCGATCCTGCAACCGAGCTTCCTTCTATTCGTCAGACAACTGGACTTAAGTTGAACGTCAACCCCTCGGGAAAAATTGACATTGATGCTGAGTCCACAGTGGTTCAGAGAGGCGCGCAGGACCTAGGCGATAGACAGAGAGAGGAAACTAATCCGTTTGAAAAACCAGTGATCTCTAACACCTATTCTAAGCGGAAGTACACCGATAAATGGGAACCCAACGAAGAGCAGAAGTTCTACGACGCCATAAGTGTATGGGGCACGGACTTTTCTATCATTAGCACGCTTTTTCCACACCGAACCCGCAAACAGATCAAGGCCAAGTTCAATAACGAAGAGAAACGTCGTCCTGAGCTTGTAGATATGGCCCTCAACCGACACGGAAAGGTTGATTTGGAAAAGTTTGCTGCCGAGACCAGGATGAAGCTTGAAACGAAGGCTCACTTCGAAGAAGCGCAACGGCAGATCCGAGTGGAGAATGACGCTCAGAAGAAGGAGATTTTGAAAGAACGAGAAAGAGCTATGCTTGAAGATGCCGAGAAGAATAGAAGAAAAGAGATTGAACGGAAGTCGGGACAACGGCAACCGATCCAACGACTTTCCAGAACCAAGCAATTGCGGCAAAACGAAGAAGTGGTGGGGACCTTGGAAAAGAAGTAGAACAATTTGCCAAACAATATTTAGAACACTAGGTAAATATAACGACGATGACATGAACGCGCGAGCGCGACTTCTGTGACTCTGATTTTTCAATACTCGATCGCGATAACCTCCATGAAGAACTACGACTTGATCATCAGTCCTGGCAATGACAACGTCAAATTCACGGTGCGGGAAAATTCATCCTTCCAAGCCATCAAAGGGCCAATTTTCGTGGTTCTTTTAGCATATCTAGTCAATATTTTGGTCGGTCTACGCACTAAGCTCCTGCCGCTCACGTTAGAATTGGTCGACTACTTCCATGTTGCGGCAGTGGCCGCCATATCGGCCCTCGTATACTGCCGGCAGGAGCGAGAAGATGTCATGCTCGTGATGAAAAACATGGGGATCCAGCTCAACAGCAAGAGTTCATGGAAGTTTGTTCCCAAACACCATAAGAACATATTTGTGCCCCTAAGCGACATTATAGATCTCGTGATCCACGAAGGGTTCTACGGGTATGGCCATATAATCTTTTATATGTGCGTGCTTACAAAGAGCACAAACACCAACCGAAACGACGAGATGATCAAGGTGGTGTTCAGTGAACTTCTCCCTAAAAAGGATCTCTTGGTGACGGTATGGAAGCAGAGTCGAGAAATGCTTTTCGGTAGTAACAAGCGGTATTTCAGACGTGTGCCAGGCCAGGGTCTAAAGCTTGTCGATTAGAATTACAGCATAAGCGTGAGGATTGGAAAACGTCTTTTCTCACCCTCCTCACACCACTACAATAACCCTACAAGAACACCACACAAACACATACCCCGACCTTCTCCATGCTAAAATACATCAAAAGTGACCTCTTCAAGCACCATCTACTGGTCCTATTGAAGCTCGGTGTCCTCATTCATGTGTGCAATTGCAAAGGGTCATGGGGTGCTGGTGTGGCAGTCGCGTTTAAGACCAAGTATTCCCTGCACCTATAAACCCTACCAAAGCTACTACGAACGCTACGAACACAACTCGGCCCAGCTCCTCTATACCGTGCAAGTCATCCTCAGCAACAGCTCTGACCGGGGCCACGTCCAGGTTAGACCTACGTTTGTCGTACGAATAGTAAAAATCTCGTGGCGCGATATGGTTGTAAATAGGGCGAGATATCAATTTCTGGCCGGTGCGACATTGATATCAACCAGAAGACGTCAAAGTTTAGCTAAGAGAGTGTTATTCGAAATCGGAAAAAACGGTGGTTGAAGAGACGATATTGTAGGAATCAGATAGCGTTAATAAAAAAACTATAGATACGTTATTCAGCTTCCTAAACAATTACAATTGTATTGCGACACCCAGGTTATGGAGGTGCGGTATTCATGCAGTATTTATTCTCGACTTAGACCCTGAATAGTAAATGGCTTTTATTGTTGCAGCCAGTGGAAAACTCATTACACAAAAGTAGTTGCACTAAACCCAGCCTATGAAAACTATATCACTATCACCCACGTAGTGGAATGCAGTTGTGTTTGTCTCTTGTTCTCCATAAATCTGCCAGGGACCCTTGTGCTCCTTGTTCCTCCAAGCAGCCATTGCAGCCAACTTTTTTTGACTTGAAACAATTACCCCAGTAGCATCTTTTGGGCGTTCGTAATATTCTCCACGGTCTTGGACATTTTTGACTACAAAAGCGTCCAGTAAATCTAAGTCGTCGAGCGAATTGGGGATAGTGTTTTCGGTCCACCACTTGGCAAGAACACCTAGTTCAGAATCCTCTTTATTTGAAGAATGGGAGCATTCAGAAAGTATTAACATGTTGATAAACAAAAAGTGTGTGAACAGGATTCCTTTAATACACTTTCTGGTAGTGGCTTCATTAAATGTTTTGAGCACTTGCCATAAGAGTAAATGGTCGCGTTCTGAATTAACTTCTTATCATGTAGTTCAATTTTCAATGTATTTTTAGGCTTTTGATAACGCCAAATAGCCTTATTCTCGAGTAGGTTCTTCGGCTGAAGTTCCCCTTCTCCACGGGAGTCGGACAAAATTTTAGAAAATAGGGCGACTTGAAGTATAATAAATATACTCAAATAGAGAATTGCGCTTTCATTCATAATTGAAGATAAGGTAGTAGAGTATCCGAAATAAATTATGCTTCCGTATAAATTTTAACTAATACCGTTAATAGCTGATAGCAAAAACGTGTCAGCAGATTAATCCCATAGGGGTGATCATTAAGATGATTTCCTCAAATCAACCGTAACTAATACCATTTGCATTTTCAAAACTCCTTTTTTAATACCTTTTCGATATGTAATTGCACTGCTGTCGAGCCCTACTCTTACTTCGTGCATTATTTGAAACTTGACCTTGGTTCAAGTCTCTCTTTTTAGCTGCTCCACGATTTGGGCACAAAATCAAATGGTTGATTGCAAGTCAATTTTGTTTTTTAGCTGCATTTATACACTACATGTCAGTGAAATAGACATACAAATAAGGTTATTGAGGCGAGATTGAACCATTCGATTGCACGGCATGAAAGTATTGAGCTTTTGGTCCGGTAATTTACTCTCAAATCGAGACGCAAAGCTAGTCAGATAAGGGAGAAACTTCAGACTTCTTAGTCTTGTACTCCTATATTGAAATGAAACGCTGGATAATTTGAGTTCCAAAATACTTTAAGTAGCCGACAGATTACTCTCTCAGTTCAACACATTAGAAAAATGTTAGGTTTAAATTTAGTGATTTCAAGTTTGTTAGCTGCTTCATCGGTTAGTGCTCTTCAATGCAATGGCTGCAGAGGATGCGGAAAGCGTCTGTTGGAAGAAGAGGGACCCACCGGTGTTTACGCTAGATGGTGGTTTGGTAACGCTACTCCTCAAAAAGAGCATATCAGAACATCGAAGAGGGAAGCTTTATTCGAAGTTAAACATGAAGCTAATGGAGGTCAATACTTGAAAAGACCAGAGAACGCTATTGGTCTCATCGTTTTTTCCGATGATAAGCATGCTGCTGTTGCTGGCTGGGATGGTGCTGATACTGATGGTCCATGGCAAACTTACGGAGAGCAAGGCCCTAATGCTTCCAGGTTTCATTATCTAGGCGACAGTTAAATTGTATTTGTTAATTTAACTGTTGTGTTGTTAAATTAAACTATCTTTTGTTTCGTCCATTCGCTAGACAAGGTGAACCTGAAAAGCAGCTATAAAAGCAGCTATATAGAGAAATCTCATCTTTTTATAGTTCCGCAGTTTTGGCTGCAAAATCTACAGCGATGTTTTTCAGTAAATCCCAAATGAAATTAGCACCTCTATCAACATCTCTTTCTCCTACGACTGGGAAGTAATTGCATCCCACTCGAAAATATTCAGGCGTAGCCAGCTAGGAATAAGAGAATGTAGGTGTACAATGATTTCAAAAGGTAAGGTTAAATATAGTGTTTTCTGGATGTGGTACGCCTTCTTAACCGAATGTCGCAAATAATAGGTCTTCAATTTCTCTACCCCAGTTCTAATATCATGGAGAGAGTAAAAGAATAACACATCCATAGATACTTGATATTGCAGAGTCGGTCTATAAACAACGGCCCTGTCTTTTCGTAATTCCACACTCTGCTATACAAAAATATAGTATATTGTATATTAAGAGGACCTAAATGCTAAGTGTTAAAGTCTTGGAACAAAATAAAGGAATATGGCACTGTCCAGGACGATATATCGATATCCGTGGTAGGGAATACAAAAGAAGGCACTGCAAAAACAAAAATGCGGACATCCAAATATTAATATTGCATGGAGAGTCGATAAATATCGTTGTTCTGCTAAAATTTATAATGCAAAACAAAATCTTTAATATCACATATGGTTAATTGAAGAGGTTTCTCTTCCAAGCAAGTAGAAAATTATTTTTCAGTGTTTGATACTATTTCATATATATTCAATTGTTGCAGAATTTGCTGTCCCTTTGGTCCGCAACGAAAGAGTCTCTCTTTGAACAAGCTTTTCTTAGGGACCCTTGTCGGGATCATCAACTTGATCATCACTATTGATACAGTTTAGAATCATTCCTGGATTGTCTAGATGTTCATATTCCTTCCTTACCTTACCTGACCTGATCACAGTATTGACGCAAATTTACTGGAGTCTCAAGAGCTACTCAATCATCAATATCTCCTTGATCTATAATTGGATTACCTGCCACGTCCACCATATTACTTTCTCCATCATCGTAAACAAATTGGTATTCAATTGTCGCTTCTGACATTACTTAAGTGACTAATTAGCTATACTAATTGATCCCTTAGTGCTATATTTAAAATTCTGAAGGCTACACAAAATAGTATTTAGTGTGTACGAAACGTAAAAATCTCGTGGTGAGTTGGATGTAAATAGGGCGAGAAATCAATTTTCACCCCGGTGCAATATTGATATCAAGCAGAAGACGTCAAATTTTACCAAAAGATGCGTTATTCCAATTTTTGAAATCCGAAAATTGGTGCTACGAGAGACGAAAGTATTTATTGACAAATACGATAAATTTAGAGGCCGAATTGCGATATTATGAAAGTCAGAAAACGAAAATCAACACTTGAAGTTACGTTATTCAACTTTTTACATGTGAGTTGCGACATTCGGATAATGGAGGTGCGGTGTTCATCCAGAAAACACTCTTTCATGGCACGACACTGAACAGGCGTTGCACAAGTACACTGATATCTTCACAATTAACGTGTATGTGGTTGATTAGTGCACACGAGGATAGTTAAATGCACAACAATAGAATTGACTAAATAACAGTTATGGGCCCAAGATCGGTACCCCCAGGCACCAAACGGGCTTTTGTGTGAAAAGGAGTGCGAAGTCAACAAAAAAGCCGTCCGAAAATATTTTTAGCAGACGAATCAGCAAGACAACACACCCAGTTGACCTTGTTTTATTAGGCTTTAAGCTGGTTTCACAAATCTTCAACGCGTTCTTCTTTCAATTTACATCGTTGTCGTTATCGCAGTAATTCATTGCATCCCCACATCCCCTTCGTGCCCGCATACTCCCAGATATTTGCGGCTGTTTTGGTTTAGCGAATCTAATATCCTAAAAAAACTTGCCCAAACGCGAGGCGACAAGTAAAACAACTAAATTCTTTTGATTCTTGTCGATTACCCGTCCCTACTTCCACTACTTTCATACCTATCCGTCTCCGTCACTCGTTTCCCCTTTTCCCGCATCGTTCCCATAACTTTGCTCACACTCCTTTGTTTGTTGTTTACTATTTTACCCACCCGTTGTTTTTGATGCCCCTTCAATGATTATGTCCGATTCTAACTCAAACCAACGACCTTACCGACAAGGACAATCTTCTATGATGCCTGGGTTCCAGCAGTTCCAACAATCTCCTCATCATGTTCACCAGTCTCCTCAATCTCAACTACATTCTCGGACCCACCAACGATCTCAGAGCCATAACAACTACTTGGTGCTGCCAGAACAACGCCAGCATTCACCGGGACAAAGTACGTGGCAGCTGTTGATACCTCCGATGCCTAGTGGTTCGGGTACTGTCAACGACTTGACTTTTGACCTGAGCCTTGATTTCAATAATGACATAATGAACTCCAATAATCTCCAGCAAAAACGACTGAACCGTCACTCGACACCTCCACCAAGCTCCCATCATAGCTCCCCTAATGGCATTTATCCAGAAGGGTCGGATTATTTGAATAACAACAATTCTTATCCATTCCACCAGACGAACACTTTTGTTGCCAGGACCCCCAACGAACTTCCTCCGTTCTTAAAGTCTCAGATAACTAACCAGCCCAAGGTCAGAAGCTCTAATAGCATCAAACGGGATCTCGCTGGTGTGGTAGGTCCCCCTCCAAGTGTGGTTGGTCCTCCACAGATTAGGCCTGGTTCCAATAATAACAGCAACGAAGGAGTCAATGATTCCAATATAAATCAGTTGAGCCTTGGAACTCCTTTCCAGTTGAAACAGAAAAAGAGTCTTAGGAGGAAAAGGAAACAATGTAAGAAGTGTGGATTGGATATTACTGGTCAATTTGTGAGGGCCTTAAATTCTTCATTTCATGTTGATTGCTTCTGTTGCAATGAATGTGGAAAGTTATGTTCCTCCAAGTTTTTCCCTTACGAGATGACCGATAAAAGTACAGGCTTAAAGTACCAAGTTGCGTTGTGTGAATACGACTATTTCAAAAAACTCGACTTAATTTGCTTGAACTGTGATTCTGCTTTAAGAGGACCTTATATCACTGCTTTGGGGAACAAATACCATTTGGAGCATTTCAAATGTAACGTTTGTCAGAAAGTGTTTGAGAGTGATGAAAGCTATTACGAACATGGTTCTAATATCTATTGTCACTACCATTATTCGAAGACATTTGCCAACCACTGTGAAGGCTGTAACTCCTCGATTGTCAAGCAGTTTGTAGAGTTATTTCGTGGTGGAAGAACCCAGCAATGGCACCCAGAGTGTTATATGGTGAACAAGTTCTGGAATGTGGTGATCAAACAGGACTGTGTAGGGTTTAACCCTACACCCTCCGACGCAGTTGGTGATAAGTCTTTAGATGAGAAGGACTTGACTATGGCTGAGCAATTGATTGAGAACCTAGTTATCAAATGCTGGGTTACGTTATCTAATTTTGAGGAAATGACTGCCTCCTCAATCTCAGATATGTTACTCAACGCTTGTATTGGCAATCAGTTCAATGGGTTGATTTCAACCGGAAGCTTAATTGTATTTATTGAAATCTTATTCCATTCCATTGATGATTTGATAGTCTTGAACCAACGCAGTGATCCTATTGATATTGACTTGAAGAAAGAGCCAAGAAATTTGTCTGGTAAGATAATGAGTTATTTGGCAATCTTGAGAAAGTCGAATCTTGTCAACTTACAAGGCTCAGGTTCTTTATCTTCTGAATTATTGTCTGTTATAACGGGATGTGCTCATTATTTGAAGTTATTGATCAGAATCGGCTTACAGACCTCACTTAAATTGAATCAGGCCAGATCTGACTCTGTTGCAATTGACCAATTCTTATTGACTATAAAGGGATATGAAAAGTATCGGATCACAAACGAAGAAACACAATCCTCACCTCCAAGACTCACTGAGACATATGTTAAACTCATTCAGAGTCAATTGTCAATTCCTAATAACTCAACAGATTTATGTTTTCATTGTAAGACATCTATTGAAAAGGCTTGTATCAGGTATAAAGATATTAGATGGCATAATAAGTGTTTCAAGTGTTCGAATTGTCTGAAATCTTTGGATGATATCAATCAGGTCAACCTTCATCCAAGCTCCAACGAATTATCTTGCTTGGATTGTGCAGGTGCTGATGTGACGAACGGATTTGTATCTGTTTCAGATTTAAGTCAATTGATTTACTTGTTGAAAATTGCCTTCTTACGATCCAAGCAAGTAATGGCCTTGGACTACAAAAACAAAAAGGTTATTACTAAATCAAAAGAAGCTAGTAACGACATTAAGTCAAACTACTCCGACACATTGAATGATATCACCAGAATGAGAACCAAAAGACAAAGCCACAACTTGTCGAACTCCATCAAAAAGAATGCCCGAAAGTCGGTTATAATTGATGCTCCAGAAGCTGAAAATGCTGAGGCAACAGAGGATACAACGTACTTAGGTACCACCTTGGAAGGTCAAGGTGTAAATCGCAATGATAGCACCCACTCTTCGAAGAACTCCTTTATATTATCACAAGACGATGACGAGCTCTTTGTCCAAAAACGAGGTGAAGAACCTATCCCTAACAACAAGAAAATGGTTATCAGAGATGAGCCTGCAAGGACAATTTCAAGCAACCACTTGAATCGTACCTCTGATTTGTTAAGAAACGAGAAATCTTTAACTTTAGATGATATCCCAAGAATCGTTGCTGCTGAACAAGCTAGAGATCAGAGACCTAATGCTTTCAAACACCACAATAGTCTTTATCAACGTCAACTGCGGATGGAAAAGATCAGGCCAGTTGGTAATATAACCACCTCGATGTCTGAGCAGTATCATGAAAATAACAGGAATGTTTCAAGTGCTACCAACAAAACCGAAAGTGGTAATACTGAAATCAGACAAAGATATTATTCTGAGTTGGATAAGTCCGAGCATTTCATTGTTAGACACATTGCTATTGAAGCATTGAGTCAATTAACAAACAACAAATACAACAAGATTGAACTTTTATCTTTGATTCAAACCAAGAAATCAACCAATTTCTGGGACAAATTTAAGTTTCATAGCTCAAACAGTTCAGATAAAGTTCATGGTGTATTTGGAGTTGATTTGCAGGACTTGACTAAAAAATACGGTATTGATTCTGATTTGGGTGTCGGTCCTTCCAAATTGCGGATTCCAATCGTAATTGACGATATCATCAGCTCGTTGAAAACAAAGGATGTTTCTGTTGAAGGTATTTTCCGGTTGAACGGTAACATCAAGAAATTGAAAGACTTGACTAACCAAATCAACGAAAGTCCCTTGAAGTCACCCGATTTCACCAATCAAACTGCGGTGCAGTTGGCAGCCTTAATGAAGAAATGGCTCAGAGAGTTGCCTAATCCCTTATTGACGTTCAATCTATATGACTTGTGGATAGAGACACAGAAACAACCTGACCCCAAGCTTAAAAAGAGATTGGTCAAGCTTATCTACTGTATGCTCCCCAGAAGTCACAGAAACTTGGTGGAAGTATTATTGTATTTCTTCAACTGGGTTTCTTCGTTTGCTGAATTGGACGATGAAAGTGGGTCCAAAATGGATATTCACAACTTGGCCACCGTTATATCTCCCAACATCTTATACTCCAAGAACGGAAGTGAACAAGCCAGCGACTCGTACTTTTTGGCGATCGAGGTGGTCAACCAATTGATTGAAATGCACGAAGAGCTTAGTTACTTACCCAGTGACTTGTTGGAATTTTCAGAAATTTGTAAATTCTCCAAAACCGAAATCCAATCGACCAAGGAAATCATGAACAAAATCGAAAAAGTAAGTAAGGAACACCCCAACTATTTCATCAGTTTCGATATCAAAGATGAACTTAATGATCCTTTAAGCTCGGAAGTGAGATCTAACACCATTACAAGAGGCTTGTCCAAAGTTGCAGGAGAACATCATGGAGAAACAGGAAGTGTGTAGTTAATGTATATTAAATGATTGACGCTCTTTTAGGAAAGTTGTGCGAAGCGAATGAAATACTTTCAATTTTGCATCACCATCAATGTCATTGACCACAGAGTCATTTCAACTCATCATAAAGGAGAGGCTCGAGGCCTCTTTGGTCCAGGTTGAAGACATGTCTGGTGGATGCGGACAGGCGTTTGCTGTCATCATCGTGTCGCCTCTCTTCCAGGGCAAGAATAAATTGATGAGACATCGGTTGGTCAATAACGCGTTGAAAGAAGAGATTGCTGGTATCCACGCCTTCACACAAAAGGGGTTTACACCCGAAGAGTGGACCGCACAAGGTGGATCATTATAAGAATTTGATGTCTACTGCATTCCCCTGATATATTTATTTATCCTTTAATATAACCCTTGTATCATAATCATCGCCCCAAATCTCAGCCTCACCCATTATGGTCTTACATAAGTAGGCAAGAATTTTTTGGTGATTAACAACCACCAGGTGCCCAAGAACAAAAAGTCAAGTAAGATAATCAACGGGAACAACTTTAACCCGGTTTTACTTGAATTAGCAACGAGTCCAACCAAAAATGGTACTACGGCAGCTCCTCCTCCACCAAAGGCACAGATGAAACCAACACCCGAAGTGTGGTACTTGGTGGGAAGAATTCCTATGGCGCTTACGATGGTAGTGGGGAATATAGGGCCCACACAAACACCTGTGACAAACGCTATAACAAAAAAAAGCCAGTGCCATGTAGTAAATGATATGGCATAAAATACGATAAAACCCATCACAGAGCCCACTGCATATGTCAAGTTGGCCGTAAGTTCGGTATTAAAGTAGTAGGCCGTAGCAAACCCTAGCACCGTTCTGCCCACCATCAACCCTGTCCAAAAACTGGTTGCAATATGTGAGCTCATTTTGTAGCTCACCTTGGTGACTCTCAAGAGGTAACTGATTAACCACGATCCGAAAGCCACTTCACCTCCCACATACAAGAATAAAAACAAAGAGAACGTCCAAACCAACTTTGACTTGAGAGAATCTCCTAAACTGGCATTTTGAAACTTATCTAGGTCGTCCTCCTCAAGTTCATCATTTGCAGAAGACAACTCATACCCATCTTTTCCTATTTTACCGACCTTCAAATCAAATACGTACAGGTACTTCTTGGCCGTTTCACGACGGAACACGAATGACGATACCCCAAACATCACCAAGGCAAGCCAAAACAATAATCGGTAGTATTGGTTCCATTTCCAGGGATTGATCTTTCTTTCAAGCAAATTCGAAATCAAGCTTGGAGAGATCAAACACCCAAGTCCATAGCACCCATGAAGTATTCCCAAGATCTGGTTGGAGTCGATCAAGCCTCCCACCCATGAATTGCACGCAGCATCAAGAACTCCGCAGCCAGTTCCGGTGAACAGCGCAAATACCACCATCACCCAGAACGGAGGGGCAGTACTAAACACACCAAACCCGGTGCATAAGGAGACGGTTCCGATAATAAGAATCCCCCTCAACCCGATTTTCTCGTGGATAATACCGTTAAGCAATCCCATTAGAATATACCCAGTGATGGCGCTGAGGAAAAGAAAACTGGCTTGTAGATCAGACACGTGATAATGCTTCTGGAATATCGGAATCAACGCTCCAACCGCTTGGTCACCAAGCCCGAAGAGTGTGAAGAGACAAAGCACAACAACGATTTGAAATTTAAGACTATTACTCTTTCTCCAGTCTTTGGACTCAATGTATAGTACTTCTCCTTTATATTCCACATTATACTGGTCAAAGTCGTCGAAGGATCCAGATTCGATTTCCATCGTCTCCATGTTGGATTCATCACCAGGACCTGACTGCCAGTTTGACAAAAATGGCTCATCTGCTTCGGCATCGTTAAACTTTTTAGGGCTATCCATCTCTGCTTAGTTTGAGAAAAAAATTGCATCCTTATCTGGAATCTTTCTCGGTCTCCTAAAAATGGTGTTCTGACACTCCACATCGTTGGGAAACTTATGCTAAGAAGAAACAGCTCCAGTATAAGATGTTTCATCATCGGAGAAGTATTCCGATCTGTCTGATCTATACTGAGAAAGGTTATGTTCTTTTGGGGGCTTGTTTCGATACATTTTAGACTGTGGAGTAGTTTGCAACCATATTGCGAAATCCACCAAATTTACAATAAATATCTATTGAATCTGAAAATCCTTCATTGGTCACCACACCCTCCATAGACATTAGTTAATAATGGGTACTGAAGTTTGATTAGACATGTGGGTATGTGCATATCGGGTTTCTGGGGCTTTTTGGATCATTTAATAATTCGTAATTATGATCTTTTTTGCTCATACCTACCAGACATCCAGTACTTTTCAGCAAAATTGTCAATATCCCAATCATAATTCCCGATCATAATACTATTTTCAACGAAACATGGTAACCTGAATAAGGGCAATTTGGGTTAAAGTTTTCGATTTTTGACTTGAATTTTGGTTCAACAAAAATCTCTTAATATTGCCCATGGAGAGATCAACAGGTTTAAATCATCTGTATCAAAGGTAATGCCTTCTTAGCTTAGTGGTAGAGCGTTGCACTTGTAATGCAAAGGTCGCTAGTTCAATTCTGGCAGGAGGCAGACCTTTCTTTTTGCATTCATATCGATATAATCCTAACACGTATCACTTAAGGTTAAGCGAAGAACACCTTATACAAATTTGGTTACAAAGTTCAAAACAAATCTGCTCGAAAGGAGGAAAATTTAAGTCAAGTACAAAAGACGGATAGTGCAAGGCACCTTTCCAGTCGGGAGACGCAGTATTAGCAATAACAGAAGAAAGTGGTAGAAAAGAGCTTCGACAACGTTACCTGGAATAAGTTGTCGCACATCAAACAGTGAAACCATACCTGAGTACCAGTATGTGTGCAACAGAACATAAATGATTGATGCCAATAGACAATTATGGTGAGGTTCGATAATGATTTTCTGGATATGACAAGTAAAGAGAAGAGAGATAGTGAAGTGTATTAGGTTAAGACTGGCTGCGAAAAGGACCAGTTTACACTTCGACGTTCGAGCCAAGATTCACTACCAGAGGTCACAAACTCGGACTAATATAGGATATGGCTCCAATATATTTCTGTGACTAATTTATCCCAATTTTTTATGGGACATTCTACGGAATGTAGTTGAGAGTAACCTAGTGCACCGCATAAGCCTTGTGCTACGAAACTATTGAGTTTTGTTTGTCTAACACTCAGGCACGCCACTAGTTATTATGTACAGGATATAAGATTTACACACAGGAATATCACACTACTTAGTTTTGTTCTGGTGTAGTATCGCGGTAGTACATACTATGTGCTGGAAATGTATTTCCATCCAGGAAAGCAACTCTACTTTTACAAAATTTCAATTAGCGCAACTGGTTTAGTGGTAAAATCCAACGTTGCCATCGTTGGGCCCCCGGTTCGATTCCGGGGTTGCGCAATTTGTTTTTTTGCTTCTCTGACGCCTCTCGGTTTGATTCTTGAGTTGTACATCTGTCTTTTGGTCATATAAGCTTATAAATTAAAGCAATTGTTTTAAACCTTTTTCACATAGGTAACAGTATAAGACTATCTTACACTCGCTATGTATGGACTACTCCTTTCCTCTCTCATACCCCATACTGGCTTTTAACAGTTTTGCGGCCGAACCCCGAAAAATCGCACAAACTCGAGACCTTGAGTCCGACTCAATTAGGCACAAGAGAAAGAATGAACCATGGATGGCTAAGACGATACACTACAAAAGCACTAGCTTCCAACAGCGATTTACATCAACAGTTCACAACTAGCATGTCTCGAGTTGCCAGCCAGGCCATGATTCTTACTGCTGGCTTCAAGAACCATCCATCTTCTAATCCATCACCTTTGATCAAATCTTTGCATGGGATGACCTTAAGCTCAGTCAGCTCCTTGTCCGTATATCCAAGCCCACTCCTACTGTTCAATTTGCACTTGCCCAGTTATACGTCCAAGACCTTGAACGAAAACAACGGGTATGTGGCTATTCATTTGTTGACATCCAGTAGAGAGTCCAGCAGATTGGGAAGAATATTTGCCAGTGGTATCAAGCGTTCTGTGTCCACCAATGAAGATGAGGATGGAGAGCCGTTCCACGAAATGGCTACTCCTTTCAAGAATTTACAGCCTAGTGAATGGGAAATGATTAATTTTGAAGACTACCAGATACCCATTTTGAAGGAAAGCGAGTGCATATTTGTGTGTAAGAAGCGGAAAGTGCTAGAGATCGATAATCATGAAATATGGGTGGTGAATGTGTTGGACATTATTGAGAATCAAGAACAGAAAACAGGTGGTCTCGTATACTTTAACAGGAGCTTCCATAAAGTAGGTGAAACCTTGGACGAGTGAAATTTAAGTAGACGTTAATTCATGTAAATATTTTAAGATATAAATAAAGCATTACCATTATTGTACGGTAGGCTCCAACTAGTTTTGAGAGTTCATAGTAATTCCATGAGACTTCTTCAAAGCATCCAATGACTTGGAGAGCTCCAGGTAGTCTGCTTGGATATGAGGAATAATCGAATCAAAACCTTCATTGAATCTGGCAATCTTTCTCCCCAATTTCTTTAATACTCCTGTTCTAAAGCTGTCAACTTCCTCCAAATGGCTCTCAGCCTCGGAACTAATATCATAGGCTTTCAAAACCAACTTATCAAGTTTCTGAGAGTTTTGCACTTTCATTTCTTCAGTTTCCTTTAAGCGGCAGTTGATTTCCTCAATTAAACCTTCGTGTTTGGAGATTTCGTCTTGCAAACTTTCAATATCCTTCCACAAAGCAGAATCATTTAGATCTAAGTCAACTTGAGATGCTTGTTTGATTTCATCTTCCAAATTGGCAATGTCAATTTCAAATTGCTTTACAGATTGCTTTAAAATTTTGATTTTCTTGAGGTTTTGTTCATCGTGGTTCGAGGTTTTCAGGATTTTTTCTAACAATAATTCATTATTCTTTTTTGCTTCCCCTTGTCTTTTGTTTTCTTCTTTCTTGAATTCTTTTAATTCTATTTTCATTTTTTCAAGACTTTTCAACGTAGATTTCAAGCTAAGCTTTAAAGTTTCCACAGATGAAAGGGATTTTGATTCTCTTATGATAGATTTCTCGTCGGAGGGGGTACTGATCAAAAGATTAGCAATAGTCTCTTCCTTGGAGTTCAGAATTGTTATTTCAAATTGAGAAAGGGGAGACAAGGCATAGATTAACAAAAAATTACCATAAACCTTAAAGTAATCCCATTCCAAGTCATTCAAGTCAATTTTGATGTTGGTAGGAATTTTCAGTTCGGCATTAATAGATCTGAAAAGTACTCTCGAGCTATCAATGTATTCAGGAGCAAGAAGCAACTTGTTTGGTCTCGATAACGAAGAATCAAGTTCATAATGAGATTCATTCTGATCATTGGGTTTGCCTTGAAACAAATTGGAGTTCTTGAACAAGATCTTCAATACTGCTAAAAGAGACCAGACGGGTTGAATTATTGATACACTTTTGTCGATTATTAAGGTTGAATTTGAATTCTTGTTAACTCTAATATTGTTAGATGTAGACGAGACCTTCTTATTTGTAAAAGTCTTTAACACAAAGATCTCAAAATTCTTACCTGAAATGGAGTTAGTCTTTTGGAAATTGATCTTGGAATCAGTCACATACCTTTTAATTGGAACATCGACTAATTTGTTATTCAATTCTGTCGACTTTAACGAGATCACAGGAATCAGAGGGAAGTCAACAATGCTATTGGTTTTGCTTATTAAAATGGGGTCTTCTTTGAAGTTTTTGTTTCTTATAGGGATGTTAGGATTCAAATTGTTCAAGTGATCAAAATTATTTGAAATTCTCTTTAATCCGATTATTGAAAATATCGGCTCAAACTTGACAATGATAACATTTATGCATAATTCATAATAAAAGTACTTTAGTAGGATCCCTAGTAGTTTTGGGCTGGGAGTAGCACTCGATACGATCTTACTGATGTCCGGGAATCTTCCAGTAAAGAAAGAGGACTGAGGACGCCGTAAGTATGAGTGGAAAACTTTTGTGGAAATCAAAGGCTCAAAATCAAGCTGACTGAAGCATTTCAAGATCAATTGAAAGTCCAATCTTTGTTGTAGGGAATCAAGACTCACCACCAAAAGGAAGTAACTTAAGACTTTTAGGTAATCGTTATTCAAAATCTGGTTGGTGTGTGGTTTGCTAGTTTGGCCTTGTGTATTGGATGAGGGACTCGTGTAGTACGGGGTTCCATTGTTCTGTTGTTGTTGAGTAGCATGACTGTTACTGCTGGAAACAACCGTCAAGTTGCTCGTAGAAGAACCAATCAATTCAGCGGCAATTATGGTTTTCGCCAAAATATCAAGACTTCCATATACCCAAGCAGGAAACACATCAATAATGACGAATAATATGAACGAACTCACGGCAAGTATTTGAGTGAGACTGGAAAACTTGCTCCGGAGATCAAGTGTGGACCCACTATAGTAGAAGGAATCGACTGCTTGCTTGCTTTTAAACTCAAAGTACTTGATAAATAGCTTACCGCCAAAGAACTTCGTAGATCCCGACATGAGGTACAAAAGTAACACAATGGTATTTACCCACATAGGTAACCAGTTTAAGATCAAGATAAAGGAGACCACGTCTCTTACCGATGTTGGAGGTAGAATGCTGATCTTATTATGGTCACTTCTGTTCATTTGTGCGATCTGAGCATAGTATAGTGTATGAATGTTTTCAGCGTTTTTTTTCGATTTCTCTTCCATAACGCCCGCAAACGAGAGAAGGGTCGCGCACGCTCACATTTTCTAGAAACTAGGTGGGAGGGTAAACGTGATTCAAACTTTTGACAATATCTTCGGTAATGTTCAAACACTTGATAAACCGGTTGTATTGTGTGATAGCTTCATCATCCATCACGCTATTAATGTGGTTGCTCACTATTTCTCCGTTAGAGATTTTCAAGTGAATATCGACGGTTAAGTCGTTGAATTTGCCAAAGATTTCAATGAACGTGTCAAGGTTCTTTGTATTGTAGGACATTTCACTGATCTTCACCACCAATCCTTCTTCTGCATCCAGTTCAAAAGGAGACTCTTCGTTCATAAATTCGTCCAAATCGGTTTCCTCTGTCTCGGTAAACTTGGATTTGTTCAATACATGTAAACTAAGAAGTTGGTCGTCTAAGTTTGCCAACAGAAGGGAATTCTTCAACTTGGACTTGGCTTCAAAGTCCTTATCTTCTTCTTCCACTTCTCCGCCAATTTTGCAACCATTGGACCAAATTAGTTGCTTGAGAATATTAGTCAAAACAATTTGGTTGCGAAATATTCTGATGAACAAGGGAATATCACGCAAAGTCTTAATTGATAACGAGCGAACTGACACAAACTTTGAATGGATATCGCTCTTGATTGAGAACTTCAAACCTTTGTTGACCTTGGAATGGACATAGAAATCTTTTTCAACATTCAATTTGTCGAAGAACGTGTCGTCCTTGAAGTCGCTTTCCTCAAAGGATTCGATGCCAATAAACTCAATGATATTGATGGGTAAGTAAATGGGATGACTTAACACCAAATTAAAGGCCCAGTTGGAAGTGAATGATGTGTCATTCTTGGTGGAGGCAGTTATAGATGATCTACCGGTCGTCAAGTAGGTGTTATCACCAAACTGGAGTTGGTACTTCTCACCATTGAATTCCCAAATATGGTCTCGGGCCTCCCCTATAAAATCAGTTGGAGACTTACGGGTACTCTGGTCAAGGTCGAAAAGCAAGCTGTATTTTTGCCCCAAGAGCAATCCAGAGCCTTCCTGTTGATACTCGTGGTTAATGTACCTGAAATCTTCCCAAAATTCCAAGAAGATTCCCACATCGTTGCTCCACGGTTTATTGATACAAGGTTTTCCAATGGAGTTACTGTATCCTGCTTCAATGAGCCAGTCGACAGAGGCTTGAGTTTCAAGGCTGTATATGGCCTTTAAAATCAGTGCTGCGTTGTCGACATACGTGAAGGCATCTATGTGGGTATTAGATAATCTGTCTAGCTTTGCCAAGTACTTCAAGTTCCTTGGGAAGTTCATTAGTTTAGGTGCCTGTAAGCTTTTAAGGAGGATAACTTCGATGTTATTGTATTCCTTTTTGTCGAGAATCGATTCAACCGAATCAAATGCAAAGGTCAATTTGATAACATTGATGTTGTCTTGTTTGTAAACAGTGGGAGGGCTTTTGGTGTTGGACTCTGCACCCGATGAGTTTATGTCACTTAGTTTGTTATCATAAAGTTGATTGGCCAGCGAGAATGATACTCTGTAAATGACAGAGTCAAGGAAGTCAATATCAATGAGAATCAACGACCCAGCAATCGATAACCGCTGAAACTTTATCAGGTTCCCCAGTTCATCGTGGTACGGTTGATCAATGATATGAGAGTAGGCATCCGTATCGATAAAGGTGTCCAAGTTTAACTGCTGAGACAACTTCTGAATCAACTCAATTGACATCTTAAAACCCCCAGCATGTCCGTAGAGGATGGACAAGGACCTCTCCAAGCTGGTATTGAAATCACTCATGTAGGTATGAAAGTCTTGTTTTTTCAGCTTAAGGTGCGAGCACAAATGAGCAAAAATTTAATTCATCCTTGACTGTGAGACTATGGTAGATAATAAACAACTAAAACCAGAGATAACCGCGTTGTTGAACCCCGTGGTCGATCAACTCACTCGCCATCAAATCACGGGTGATAAGACCATTGCCTTGGAGATCTCTCATTTGCTTATGAGGGTGATTTCTGCTACCAGATGGTCCAACCCATACGATTTGGTGAATACCATAAGGCAGGTGGGTGTAGTTTTACAAGCGGCCCTTCCTCGCGAGTTCATTTGTGGCAATATTGTCAGAAGAGTATTGTCAATAATAAGGGTTGAAATAGAAGAGAACCTTGAGCTAGACCCAAACTCCGAGTCTAATACGATGATGAGCTCAATTTTCAGCTTGTTATCCACTAACAATAATACCGTTAAGCAAGAGTCCTTAATACAACTGAAAAAGCAAAGCAGTGACTTGAGATCTATCATCATACAAGGGATCAGAGATTTGATCGATGAAATCATAAATGTCAATGAAGGGTTGGAAAACATGTCAGCCGACTTGATTCATGATAATGAGATCCTATTAACCCCCACTCCTAATTCGTCGACGGTGTTACAGTTTTTGATTAAGGCCAGATCCAAGAGAAAGTTCACGGTGTTGGTGACAGAGAACTACCCCAACGAGATTGAGCAGACTCATAAATTTATCAAGAAATTGGCCGACAATAAGATAGAGACAATATTAATACCAGACACAACTACCTTCGCCATGATGTCACGGGTCGGGAAAGTCATTGTTGGATCGAATACTGTCTTTGCAAATGGTGGATGTATGTCGAACTCGGGTGTTTCGAACGTAGTGGAATGTGCCAGAGAGCACAAAACTCCTGTGTTTGCTGTGGCAGGTTTGTACAAGTTGTCACCCTTATACCCGTTCAACAGAAATGATTTGATCAAGGTAGGAAATTCAGGAAAGGTATTGAATTATTCGGACTACGAACTACTTGAAAACGTTGATATTATCACCAATCCATTGAACGATTACATACCACCAGAAAACATCGATATATACATCACCAACATTGGAGGGTTTGCACCTTCCTTCATCTATAGAATCGTGTTGGATAACTACAAGCCTGAGGATAATAATTTAGAATAGATTTAATGCATAACTATCCACTCATTGCAAAGAAGCGTAGTTCATTTTTTGGATCTGAACTAATTAAGTTCGACTTTGGGTCGCTGAGGAGATCTATGAACTCAAGTTCCAATTTGGTGTTGGAAACTGTAGTCGGTTTCGATGTGTCGGATAAAGTCGATGTTTCAAACCTGTTGGAGGTAGTTGATTTTGTACTTGCTGTGTTTGTACCGTTTCCAGCACTATTCTCTTCATCTGTCAGATCTCTGGTAGGTTCCATGTTTGTACTTGGGGCAATATTCTCTTTGAAAGTAGAATTTTTCCTGACTCCTGAATTAGCCCAACTATTGGTGACAATCATCCGGTTGATTTCAAGAATCAATTCCTCAATCTTCATTTCTCCTGTCTCGTTTGTACCTAATAGGTCATCGATGTCAAACGACGGAAGCCTAACTGGTTTTCTTCCTAAGTTTCGATAGATAAAGTCATCTTCAATCTTGCTCAAGATTTGTTCTTCTATGGAATACCTGGTTCTTCTTCTTAATGAAAAGGGTCTTTTAAAGTGGTGGTTGCCCATGGTTGCAAAATGGTTTTTTGATGCAGCGCAGAGAGAAATACTCATTTCCAATAGCTTTTGCTGTTTGTCAACTAGAATGTCATTTATCGTATACTACACAAATATACCTAGGTCTTAATATCGTTTATCTTAGAAAAAAGTAAATACTTGTTGATACTAAAGCACCTTTGAGTTTCGAAATTTGAAATAGCAACATGAATTGATAATAGGTCGTCAAAGAACTGAAAGTTAATAATGAATATAGCTAATAGTCTACTTCTTCAACTGTTCAACAGAAGCGTTTTTCAATTGCATCAACGTCAGGCTGTCGTTATCTCTGTGAACCTTTGGAATGCAAATAGTTACCACACCATCTTCGGTGCTGGGCAAGATCTCATCGAACTTGACGGACTTGTCAAACTTAACATTGCTTTCAAAGTGACTCACATAGTACTCTTCATCCTGTTCATTGCTGGACTTCTGGAATATTTCAATTTTCAACTCGTTGTCTTCTTTGTTGAAGTCCAACCTCAACTCTTTCTGGTTGATCTTATCATCCTTGAAGTGAATGACGTATTGACCAGGCTCTTCGCTCAAGTTGACATCATCAAACTCGTTGTACAAATTTTCCTTGAATACCATATCTTCGTTCAAAAGCTCCTTGTATAAATGGGCCTTGGGTAATAAACTTTCAGAGCTGAAGTTGTTGGGGTTACCAGAATTTCTTATCTGAGGATTCTCCCATCCTGAGTGGGAGAAGATCGATTGACCATTATATTCTTCTAAAGCCTTGCTGTCTTTTAAGCTGTACATTTACAAAGGATTGACTAGTTTTCGTGAAATTGAATTACAAAGAAAAAAACAGCGGTATGACCCCTTTATATAGTTTCGCTGGAAATAAATTCATGCATGAGAAAGTCATAGCAAATATTCTAGAACAGTGATTTGCTGGTTTTTTATACTAGATGATATCTATAACCAATACCTTAACAACATAGTAATAAAACCCCACTTAACATTGGGATGTACCAATTGGCTTATCTCATCAGTGGTAGTAAGTCCGGTTGATGAGTGTTGCGAAGACATAATTTTCAGTCATCGCAGTCGCTTAGAACGGATGGGAATGCATGATCTGCTTACAAACTGTACCAACAAAAACTATTCCACCACTAAGAGTGAAAAAATCTGTAAAATGCCCGTGGCATCTGGAACTACAAACATTAGCAATATTGATATTAATCTCAACTATACACATTTAGTTCTAAATTTCAGGCGCTTCTTTGCAGCAAAGCTTATCAGTTGTGAACGTAAGTAGCATCGATTTTCGACAAACTAGGACCAAGGCTCAATCTTAGTTTTCTACGATAAGCAGTTGGATTGGACGTCTGTACCGGGTTGCCTTCGAAGTAGACGGTGTCCAATTCAGGAAGGCTACCTAGTTCTCTGTTAATTTCGTTGAAGTTTGAGATCTGATTGTACGAACACCAGAAATCAGTCAATTGCTTGAGATGACTCAAGCCACTAAGTGACTTCAAGCCATTGGATGTCACATCTAACACTTGTAGCTTTGTGTTGTGCTCAAGATTTTCGATCTTGCTGATCTTGTTGTGGGATAAGTACAACTCCTGTAGATTTTCTAGACTTTCCAAGCCTTCGATTTTTTCAATTCTGTTGGACTGGATGGATAAAATTCGTAAGTTCTTCAAATTCTGGAGGTTTTGGAGACGGGGGATCTGGTTCTTCCCCAACCATAACTGCTCAATGTTCACTAATTTCAACATCATTTCGCTGATATCCCCTATCTTATTACCTCCCAATTCTAAGTTCTTGATCTTAAGGTTGTTGTCAAGGTTCTTAATCTCCTTGATTTTGTTTTGAACAAAGTACAAGTTCTCCAACTCAGTGAGCTTTTCGAGGTTCTTTATGTTTTTAATCTTGTTGAAAGACAAATCCAAGTTCTTGAGATTGACCAATTTACCAATATTACTGGAGATGTGGTTGATTCTGTTATCATAAAAGTCCAATTCTTCGACGGTATCACTTAAGTCCCTCACGTCGACCATCGAAGTGATTAAGTTTTGTCGAAAACAAACAGATTCAAGCTTAGTAAATCTGCCTAAATCCAAGTCACTCAACGAACCTATCTTAAGATGAATCAACTCAAGGTAGTCGGTATCATCTTCATAAGAATCAGTCAAAACATTATCTGCTTCAATTTGTTGTACATCTGGGTCAGGGATTATAGTTCCTCGATACTCCACAGGTAAAGGTTCATTAGCTTCATTAGCCACAGTGTCAATTTCTTCGTCATCGTCATCATCTTCATCAGTATTTGAAAGAACCAAGTCCTCAACCTGCTCTCTCAACCTCTCTTCACCGTTTAGGGCCTCGTACTCATCTGCTGACAAGCTTCTTGCTATCATTGGGAATATATATATCTTAGATTTTTCTGGTTCGCAAACCAACTAGTGGGACGGCTCCAAAAATTTACCAGAATCTGTTAAATGTTTTATTCGTATTTTCCGCTATAGTGAAGCAAAGTCTACAACCTAGAAGAAGCGCATAAGCATACAATCAAGAACCAGGAACGATTACATATTACTCGAGTATCATTTATTACTCTTACTCATTACTCATGAACTTTATTTATTATACTAGATAAAGTCAAATATCAGGAATTGGTTTATATACATGGAGACGACCAGTTCAAAGATTCTGTTCTTCTTGGTAAATGTAATCAATGGCTTCACCGACGGTTTTGATTTCATCGGAAATCTTGTCAGGGATTTCCAAGTCAAATTCTTCCTCCAAGGCGACCAAAGCTTCAACAGTGTCCAAGGAGTCCAAACCCAAGTCCTTTTGGAAAGAGGCATCGACAGATAACTTGGATTCTTGCAAAGCAGCCACAGTCTTCAAAGCTTCAAAAGCACGCTTGGTGACTTCTTCTTTGGAGATTGGTGCCACGGCGTAAAAACGAACTGGAGTAGCAAATCTAGAGGCTAATGGAGCTCTGGTGGCCTGCAAAGCATTGGCACGAACAGCACGGGTGGCAAATCTGAACATCTTATCTGCGTATTACGATGATGGTTTGTTTGAGTGTTACCTTTTGTAAGCTTTTTTTTTCCAACGCTGTGACTGGAAGATGAAAATTGTGCGAATTGTAATTCGGCTTTTGTGTTATTTATCAAGCTATACACCTAGGTTCTATTAACCATATTTCTCCAATTCAATGCAGTTCTTTTGGGTGCATTCAAATATGCACTACTAGCAAATGAGTTGCTGGTAGAGTTTTTGTCAGACGAAAGGCCAGATAATCCAGAATTGCTAGATGCGGAGGAGGTTCTGGATGTCGACTTTGTGAGCCTTGAACCGTTTGCACTGGCACCATTCGAGATTCCTGAACTAGCAGAAATGGACCGCTTGTCGTTGATAGCTCCAGTAACCGATGGCTGGTAGTGTGCGACGTTGTGGTTGTAGTTGGTGTTGTCGTAGTCGGTTGAAATATCTAATGCTTGGATTTCTTCTTTGAAATTTTTGATGTACAATGAAACCAAAGCATCGTGGTTGGTTTTCATAGAAGGCGACACAAGCTTTCCGTGTAAATGTAAGCATCTGCTCAAAATCAATGTCAAGTCATCGAAGGCATTCTTTAACAAACGGATGTTATCTGCATATTCGTCCTTGCCATAGTACTTAGCATCATTAAAGAAGGTTCTGTACTGTCCAACACCTCCATTGACGGGTGAATCAACGGTACCGGCCAATTGTCTTGACAAATCATTGAACAAAGACATGTAATCTGCTTTCTCTTTGAAGGCAATATTTATCAAACTCTCTAATTGCACCAAATCATTGTTCTTACGTACAATGGCCTTGATAGCATTATCTAACGGAGACAACTTCACCACTCTGGAGGTCTTGATTTCACTTCTGTTCATTAATGTTGGGAAAGAAAGATATGTTTCAAAGGTAGTTTCTTCGGTCCACAAGTCAAACACAGAAGTAGACCCAGGAATCCTTTTCATTGTGGTGAAGAATCTCAAATCTTTGTTCCGGGCATACTGCCTGACTCCGATAGAGGTATTGAATAACTTGTCAGAAATTTCACTGATTGGCTCAATGGTGTTAACGTACAAGTATCTACCGGTTTGTAACCGTTCTTTCAACCTTTGGGCTTCGGCATCATCACTGATAATTCTGGCTCCTGGGTACAATCTCAACAATCTTTCGTGAATAGAACTGATGTGTTCAAATGGCAATCCTTCGTATATCTGATCTTTTCCTCTAATGTTGCTGGGGAATCCAGCACCTATAAATGCCACTCTGAAGAACGAAGGGGTAAGCTTATCCGAGCTTTCCAAATCTAAATACAACTTAGCCAACTTATTGTGAACGTAGGAAAAACTCTTCAAATCATAAGTATGCTGATTGTATGAGTCAAGCAATTCGTTGTACGTATCGGTGGCTCTTTCCAAACTGTTTCCCTTGATATAGTTTTGAGCAATCATCTTATATAAGGCTTCTTTTCTTTCAAATGAGGTTTGTTCTGGGAACTTGGGTCTGAAGCTCGGAGGCACTGTGATCTGGTGATTCCAAACGTAAGTAGATGCCAATAATTCCAAACTCAAGGCCGCTTGAATATAATCGTTCTTCTTTAAGTTTTCTTCATACATCTGGTTAATGAAGGAATGGAATAATTCAGGCTTATTGGCATTCTTAAGGTACGCATTGATGTTCAACTTATGAAAAGTTCTGTCATCATCAAACTCAGCACCAACAGGAACACTAGTCAAATCATTCAACACCAACAAGAATCCTTGTAGGGTCTGGATGAAGTTGAAGATCAAATTGAACGCCTCATCTTCTCTATCCAATCTAATGGTAGATTTCATTCTATCAATGAAAGACTCTTGCACCACAATACTTGGTTTGTATGAGTGTCCGTTGTAGACATCATGTAAACCAAGTAAACATTCTCTCTCAACATCGATAATCGAGTCACTTAAAATATACTCAGAAACCATAATGGACCACAAGACCTTAACAGATACCGATTGGCATTGTACATTCTTTTGCAAAGCGAAAGGCATTAAGTATTGCAAGATGGAGTAATCACTGCTAATGAACTCAACTTGATATCCACCAAACTTGTTGAGATTGAACCGGATAGTATCTTCTTCAACTGCATCCCAGGCCAAAGCGTCCCATGCTTCATTAATTAAATACGCAATTCTGTCTCTCATATCTCCGGTAATGCTCATACAAGCTTTTCTAGGAACGTCCGATAAATGTTCCACCGAAACAGGTGCAATGGTTCCCAATTTAAGCAAATTCTTCAAGTAGACTCCCCAAAGAACTCTATCAAACATTTCAGACTTGTCGATTGGTGGGATATGATGTGCAATCAACAATGGCCTTACCAACTCCAATGCACTCAAACATCCTTCAGCCAAGGTAGCGTAAAGAGTCAACCATTTGTCTTCTGGGAAATACTTTCCTTGTCTAATTAATCTTGCACCAGTCATAAGAGTTATTAAATCTTCATTCTGGAAGTCATTGGCTAAGTAAAGCTTAGGATTGAAGAAATCATTTTCAATTTCAGTTGAAAGGATCTCAGCGTACCCCTGGTTCCCAGAAACACTTTTAGCAATCTTTGCAATGAAACTAAAGACTGTAGCTAATTCCACTAAGATTTCAACAATCACTTCATCACTGACAACCGAGTCAATGGACAGCTCATTGAAAGGAAATGTACTGGGGAACAAGGCAGTGAACGTTCTCCTAGGCTTAAAGTAGTCGTTGTTTCTGGTGAATTTGTTATACTTAATGAAAGTCCGGGCAACTGTTGGCAACAATTTACTCAATGAGTAACTCAAGTTCGCTTCATCTTCATTTTTACCAATGATGTAGAAGTTCCAGATCAGTGTACAAACTTCGTTCAAAACGGTACACGCCAATCTTGAAGCATCAATGTCGGTTGGTCCTAACAACACTTCCATTGCCCAAACCACCGATCTGCAAATCAAGGTGGGTAAAGTATTTGGGGATTTTGCCAATTTGGTGCCAAATAACCTATGAATTAACAAGAGTTTGCTGACAATGATTTTGTGGTCTTTCGGAGCAACCACCGGTTTCTTGTTGATGATAACATCTTCGTTAGCTCCCAAACCTCTAATTCCGATGGAGTCAATGAAATTGATCACAAATTCCAATGTTTGTTCCTCATTCAACCTAGTGTTGAATGACAAAATGTAGTCAATTACCTCCAAAATCAAGACCTGGTCATTGATCAAACTGGGTGATTGAATAGTAAGAAAGAAAGACACAGATCTAAACAACGACTTAATAGCTTCAAAGTATTCAGGTGTTTGTTCAGTATCTTTCATGGAAGTAATAGCCAATCTAATCACCACCGAAATTACTCGGCACAATGATCTTGAAACAGCATTCCAGCTGGACCCAGCTCTGCTGAAAAGCTCTGAAAGTCTGTTCAACAAAAACACTCCAACTTTTGGTCTGCTTGGTTGGTTATGGACATATAAATCAACCATATAACAGTACTGTTCTTGCTTTCCAAAAATGGTGTCTAATAAATGAATAATAGCCTTGAACAGGTTTTCAAGAAGAATCTCAACACTTGAAGAAGATGGTTGTGCAGACGCCGTTTCAATGATGTTGTATAATGAACCCAACAATTCAGGGAAGTACTTTACCAATTGAGAAACCCCCAATTTGGTGAACGCAATCAAAGACGCTGCCAACTCATCCATACCTTTAGCACCTGTCTTAAAGTATCTTTCGTGTTGAAACACACTATCAATGGAAGAATCTGAGTTATAAACTTTTCCAATGTACTCAGTGGTAACTTCAACCTGAGCCATTGGGATGTTGTGAGGAGTTGAGGTGACCTCGATAATATGGTTTTTCTTCTGGTTGAACTCAACCAACCTATTACCAGTCTTATACAACAACTTCCCTTCTCCAGCCAAGGACCCATTGATGAACAATGCCAAAACAATGTAATCGTCTTTTATCAACTTTTTGGATGGGTTCTTCAATGAAATACCATTGACCTTAATGATTTCTCCAACCACTTCATCAGGGAAAACAGACACAAACTGCCAACTTCTCTTCTCCTGTTGATTGGAGGCCTTGGCAAAAGTGATCAACTCATTGTTTGGAGTACTGACTTCAAATGTCAACAAATCGTCCTTGGTAATTGAGTTCAACAATGAAATCTTACCCATTTTCAAGTAAAGACGCTCATAGTTCTCAGCCAAAGGATCAAAAAAAATAGGTTTAATTCTTGCAATTGGAGTAGCAGAGCCAATAATATTTTTGTTTTCTAAGTCACCATTCTCATGAGTCGTGAATTGGTGCTTAAATTCTTTGACAGCTACAGTCAACTTTTCTGCTCTGGGGTTAACCGCAACTCCATGGTTCGAACCCGCAATGATTCTGTCCACTATTTCACCCCATCCTCCGTTGGCAATTCCATCGGTGTCTTTCAAGTTTCTCTTCTGGTTGACATAAGATCCAAACAACTTGATAACAAACTGGTGGGACTCCCCAGAAGTCAAAGAACCCTTATTTCTACTGAAGACTCTCGTGATATCAGCGACACCGGCAGCAACACCCTTCTTGACTCTTCTGACTTGCGGGGTGTTACTGGACTCCTTCAAGTTCAAATCAATTTCCTCAGTCAACACAGCTACCAAGTAAACTCTGGTGTTTTCGGTTTCAGTAGCGGGAATATTTCTGAATAAAGCAGCACTGATTTTTTCTACATGGATCAAATCATTAACCGAATCGGTGTGGACAGCGAACGCTTCAGTCAATCTCTTTCGGTTATTTCTGATGTACAAATACGCAATTGTACCCGCAAACCCTGGGGGCTGGTATGCTGATGAACCGCTTACAGACTTGAAATCAACCAACACATGTGATGGCGGATCACGGATTAACTTGGAGTTTTTTCTTGGTGCCAAAGAGAACTCTTGGTCATTGTAATGGTAGTTGATGGGAAAATTTGGTTGTAAAGCACAGAAAACCTGATTTGCTGCAATTCCGGAAGGAAGAGAGTTATCAAAGTTCAATAATTCACCGGTATCACCTTGTCTTGCCAAAATTGCTTTGTATCCAGAAATATCAGTTCCAGCGTTATCCAAGTCATATGAAACATCGTTCAATCTAGCAGCTTTGGAAGCTAATTTCTTTGGAATCTTGTCTAAAATGAAGGTAACGTTCTCCTTGGTTGACTGGACTTCGTCAACTGTCAACAAGTTGTGAGTCAATTTGACTCTTGCCTCTTCCAACTCAGTGTAGTTTTGAGACAATTTGTTGAACAATCTAAACTCACCAATCGAGTATAAGGCAAAAATATGGGCAGTCAACAAATTCAAGGTGTACTTCAACTCATCGAGTAACGAATCCTCAACATCAAATCTCTGGAGTGGTAATTGAGGAATAGCTTTCCGGGCGTTGCCATTGGCTTCTGGTACAGCTCCAGCAAGAGCATAGGTACGTTCCCTTTCAGAATCTTCAATGGTAGGAACCATGTCCATATCAGCAATATTATTGAATTCCTTGTCGACAGCTGCCTTTCTAATGGGAATCTTTTCCAAAACTTCAATGAAACTCAATGGGAAAATCAGCACCTTGACTTTGGTGGTTGGCAACTCATCCAAGTTCACAGACGTGATGGTAAAGTCATGAGGGAAAGGTCTGGTGACCGTGTAACCTCTCGCCCACTTTGCGTTCTTGGTTTCAAAGATGTAAACCTCATCACCTGGGAATAGGTTCTGTAAGTTGTCGTTGATTAAATCAGGGTGTTTTTCAAAAGGTAAGAATGGCTTGATAACCTTACCTCTGAGAAACGTGTCAGTAGGCTCCCAAGACATAGCAAGAAAATGGAGAAAAAAGTGGAAGATAGATGTTTAACACAGCAAACAAACACAGACTCTAAAACAAAATTTGAAGCTCAATTGGCGGTGTTCCAGTTGTCAAGCTTCAATATGTTCAGTGAAAAAAAGTTCAACACGAGTAAATCAACCTAAATCAGATTCCGAGAGAGCGAAAAAATATTATTGAATTAAACCCATTTTAGGAAATGTAATGGCCAAGGAGCCTGCCAGCAAGTTTTGCGTAGGAATGCGCTCATATACCTTATAAAAATTCTTTCCCATCATCATCACCTACTACACAGTAAGCTCTATGTGCCCAATCATATTTGCTCAGGCCTTGCCAATAGACATTTACTCCAATGGTTTAAATGAATATCTCATTTAAGGTTGCAAAGTAAAGCCTATTTAAGCAGCAAGGCACGGAGGCCCCGAGTGAAATCCAAGGGCATCTTATGTGATTTGCAGCTGTGCATTAATTATATGCGACTAGTAAGGCACAAGCAAAGCTCTTAGAAAATGTGACTGTCAGGCATACATTTAGTAGCCATCAAGACCATCAAGACCATCAAGACCACAACTGTAATTAACAGAATACCTCACTACAACACTCTTTTACCCCTTTTCTTTAACCCAAATTGGCCCTCCATTAAAGTTTCGGCTGATTTTACTCATTGCACGTAAATCTTATTTAATTAGAAGTAAGGCAGAGTTCAGCATTTGACTCTACTTCATATCTATTATTTTCTATGTAACTTTTCACTTATGCCAAGAAGGAAACCCATTTGTGAAGCACTTCCTTCAAACTTCTTTTGTTATAATCCTTATTTCCATCCCAGATAAACCTATCCATTTCTCTTCTACCTGAGTCAAAGTCCAATGTTTCAAGACTACGAATTCTTGTCCCATAGATGAATTTGTAGACAATGTAGCAGACTGCAAAGATAATCAATGTACCATAACTAGCAAAAAAAGACATCGTATCCCAGTATTTGTTCAAGAATACCGTGTATCCCATAGTCAAAATAATAATGGCAGAACCAATTAATCCGATAAAGGCTGAATAAGGCTGGAAAAATGACTTATATGGATAGGAAGGATCGTCTCTGCTAATGATATCAGGTCTCTTTTTTAAACCATAGTAGAACCTAATGAATGATAGACACATTGCAAACCACACAATGATCCCTGAGCTGGCTATGATATTGGACAAGTTCAGAAATACCACTGTGGCTTCCTCCGAAACACAAAGGAAGGCCAATAGTCCAAACGAAGCAGCGAAGGCAACGGAATAGTACGGAATCCCATGCCGGTTGCAAATACTGAAAAATTTGGGAGCTTTTCCTTGTAAAGACAATGAGTACATGGTTCTAGAACTCACGTACAATTGGGCATTCCCACAACTAACAGCAAAGAACACCAAAAACCCGTTAGCTACCGAACTAAACTGACATAAATTAGCGGTTTGCAAAGCAACAATCCAAGGACTTTGAGCTCCACTAGAATATCCAGCATATATAGCTGATTTGCTATCACAATGGGTACCACCAACATATTGAATGGCATAATTGGTGTTAAAGTCTGCCGATGCTACACCAGTCAGACCTGTGAAATATCTTAGTAATCTTGGATCTCCAGCATACAAGTTTAATGAAACGACAAATGCAGATAAACAGTAGAAGATGACAATCCTCCAGAATACCCTTTTAGTGGCACTTGGCAAAGCTTTTCTAGGATCTTTGGCTTCACAAGCAGCAATACAAACTATCTCTGTTCCACTATAGGCAAATGAAACCACCGATATAGCAACCATAAGAGACATGAAATTTCCCAAGCTTCCACCAATACCTTCGGATGGATCGCTCATTCCCGTATCCTGAAGGTTGAAAGAGGGTCTGAATAATCCAAATATGATGTTATTATCGAAATCGGACCTCAGGTGATCCCAATACTTGAATCCTAATACCTCACCTCCAAATCCACCTCTATTCATGACAATCATAATAACAATCATCACCAAGACAAATATCAACTTAATGAAACTGGAAATATACTCGACCTCACCAAATATTTGAACATTGATGGAGTTACTAATGATAACAGATAATAAGAAAAATACGACGAAACCAGCGACAGACCCCTTATTCTCCAATATCTTTAGCTCGGGATAATATGTTAACATAATGACACTGGCAACCATCTCACCCGCCAAGCCAAAAGCAAAACTTAGAAAGTATAGCCATCCTACTGCAAATCCAAACGCATCGTCCACGAATCTCGATGAGAGTCCTGATACTCCATCAACAATAGACACAAAAGTTACCATTTCACAAAATGAAATGATTGTTGACAAAACTATAATTCCACAAATAATAAAGGCCAATAACGTCCCAAAGCCCCCAGCAATGGTGATAGCTTTCCCACTATTCAAAAATAAACCCACCCCTAATGTACCGCCAAAAGAAATCATTTGTAAGTTCCGGACTTTTAGTTTTCTTGACAAGTACCTATTGGTTCTGGGAAGAGCTTCCTCAGAAGATGTGCTAACAGGAGATTCGTCACCCAAATACAAGTCTGAGCTTTTGGCAATATTTCCTTCACCATTTCCTTTTTGGCCAACTTTCCAGTCAATGTTATACCATCGCCTACTATTAGTGATAGTACCAATTCTGGATCTGGCATCGTTATTGGTTGTCAAGGCAATATCATTATTGTCAATGTAAAAGTTCTGCTCAAGGTCCTTTGACTTTATGATATCAAGGAGGTTATCTTGTGTCAGAAGATTGCCACTGTACTTTTCATATATTAAATCGTTAAGTTCTGTCAGCTTAACATACCGATTGAAGTCATCCAAATTCCTCAACCCAAACACGGAGGAATTCTTTGAAGACATTGGCTGCAAGGGTATTTCTTGGTTACCCTTCATGTTGTGAAGAATTTTGCGTTGTTGCTCTGCTTGGTTGGCCTTCTGCCGGTCTTTCCATATTTTTGAGTAATTAGTAAGAAATTGGAACCGCTCACTCGAATCACTATTATTCATATTAACCTTGCCCATTAAACTTATAATCGACGAATGAACAGAGTATTGATCCTGTGTGAGCTCATTTTCGGAATCAGTATCAAATCCAGATTTGAAATAGTTCCTTTGTTGGGTAATATCAACCTCATGATCATCGTCGTTTGGTAGTATGCTCAGCTCAGCTTGAGGAAACGAGCTACAAGCTTCTAGCTCTTCGTTGTAGGTATTATCTCGAAGAAGAGACTTCCGCTTAAATATATCGTAATCGCTGTTGTCGTTGGCATCTGTCTGGGGCATACTTAGGTCGTCCAAATCTATGCTTTTGTCATCTTCGTTGTTTTGAGCGAAAGGGTTCGGGAAGAGCGCATTGTCCGCAATATCCGAGTCTACTGTATAACCCAGTAGATATTTACTAGCCCTATGGGCCATGATAGTGTTTGAAATTCACAACAAATAAAGGGGTTACACCAAGGAAACTGAGTAAATTTTATTAACAAGAAGGATCAGTTTTTTTATTAATTTGAGAAACTAAATGATATTTTCACCGAGACAGCATATCGCAAAAGTAGTCATTGTTACAACAGAACGCTATATGAGACATTATAGCAGGTATCATGATGAAGACTAACCTGTGTTATTCTTGTTTTATATGGTATCGTCAATTATGTCTTGTCAGTTGTACCTATAGAGATAGTAGTGTTTAAGTTCAAGACCATCAGATTATGAACCTCCCCCACCGAGATAACAGCTGTGTGAAGTCTGTCGGGTCAGACTTACTTATCAACTCAAGCACCTTCTTTCAATGCACCCAAACACCTGAATTTCTATTAAACTCGAGATACGACCTCGTATCACGTGCCTAAAAGATAAAAAAGGTGTTTTGCGTCAGAAGCCGGTAAATGGTCACAAGAACCAAAGTGCAATGGCATCGACACTTTACGAGAGAGACGTGAGCATGCCCAACTAATCCCTCTCATAGGGTATTCCAAAAATCGTAAAGTAACATTTAAAAATGGTCATCAATGATGACATTTCAGCTGTTACACTGAAAAGAACAGATACTACACTTGATCTAAGCCAAAAGGCAAAGAGATTTGAAGAAAAAAAACCGGATTGTCAAGGGGATCTGCTCGTTAAATACTGTTTTGCAGGGGCGTGTGCGCCCCGATGAACACGCGATGGCAAAATATCCTGGTGCGCTCCTGCACTTTACATTCCTCATCTCTGCTTGAAAATTTTATGGTTGTTAAAGCTGCATAAAAATTCAAACACATTTTTGTCTATTTCTAACGCCCCCCAAAATGAGTTACTTTAAACGGAAGTTCAACTCTAAGAACCTTTATTCCGATAGACCACAGTCTTCTAGAAGACACCACGGCTCCTCCCGTGGCGACAGAAGAGGTGGTTCCTCCACAAACTACCATGTCTCTGAACCATCAAGCTCCAGAAAGTTCAGAAGTTACTACGAAAGACAACCTTCAGCCGTCGCATATGTTGAAGAACCCGAGACTGACGAAAACACCTCTGTTTCCGAGTCTGAATCCCAATCTGAGTCCGAGTCCCTGTCTCAATCTGAATCCGACTCTGACCACTCTGACAACTCCAGTGAAGAACAAGTTTTCGAATTTGACTTGGAAAGTGGCTCTTCCGATGACTCGTCTTCTTCCGATGACTCGTCTTCCTCCGATGAGTCGACGGAAAACGATATTATGGACTATCTCGACTACATCGAAAGAATGGGAGACATCCCCTTGGCCGATGACCTTGTTGAGTCCTTTGACAGTTCCAAGTCTGACTCCGATTCTGAATCAGTCCCCGAGTCCAACCTGGAATCGGACTCCAGCTTCTCTGACTCCTCTGACTCCTCCGAGTACAGCGAATCTGAAGACTACTATTTCGAACCAGCTGACATTTTAGATGTGGTTGACATGAACGACCAATTGCAAGCTCAGGCCGTGAGACAACTCACCCGTGAAGCCGAAGCCGAATCCGAATCGTGTGACTCAGAATGTGAATGCTACGATGACGAAGACCTGGAAGATGACAGTTCCATCACCGATTTGGACATCCCATACTCGTCTGACGAAAACGAGTTAAACGACCAATTACAGTTGGAAACCATCAGACAGGCTTTCAAGGAAGACTTGGAAAGCGAAAGCGAAGTGGAGGTTTATTCGGACAGTTCGCTTGAATTTGTGGAAGTTGGAGGAGAAAGTGACTTCAGTGACATGGAGATCGACTCGGACTACTCTTCGGAGTCTTCTGATGATGAAGGTATCACGATCTATAGACACAGATTCGACTTACCAAACGGAGAATCTGAAGACGACTCTACTGACGAAGAATTGATGGACTATGCTTACGAAAACGACCAATTATTTTTGGCTAATGACTCCGATGACTACAGTGATGATGAAGAGGATGACGACGAAGAAGCCGTCATCGACTTGAGCAAAGATTTAGAAAACAGTAAGGACTGTGAGTTGATCAAGGTGGATGATAATTTGCACAAGTTAGTGCTCAGAATCCCTGCCATTATCAACGACGACTTGAAAGTGAAGTTCAATAAAAACGAAAACAAGTTAATCATCAACGGAAAAGTTGAAATCTTTGATGACAGCGATGTTTCTGTGTCTGACTTGGACTTTGGCTCCACTGATGAAGAAGAGGAAGACATGTCTGAGGATTCGGACTCTGAGCCCGAGTCTTCTGGATCTAGTTCCAGCTCCAGTTCCAGTTCCAGCTCCAGTTCCGACTCTAGTGATTCTGACTCTGAGTCCGATTCCAGTTCTTCTGAAGAATCTTCCAGTTCTAGCTCTGAATCTGAAAAAGATGAGAGCAAGATTGAAGAGATTGTGGAAGAAACTGCCGAAAAGACCGCTGAACAGCCCGAGAAAGAAGCTGAAAAGAGCAATGAATTAGACTCCAGTGATGACGAAGAAATTGCCGAAGATACTAGATCCTTAATCCAGGACTACTTGAACAACGAAATCAAATTCGAAAAGGTTTTCACCTTCAACAAATTGATCAAGTTCAATGAAATCAAGGCCAAAATCGTTAAGGAGACCGAATTGGAAATAACCATTCCAAACCATGATGAAGAAATTGCTGCTGATATAGAAATTGACATCGAAGTTGAATCTGAAGCTGAATTTGAAGCTGAAGCTCAAGTTGAAGTTGCAACTTCTGCCTAAGTCCTCGTATCCAGCAGAGTTCGTTTTATGTACATTAACTGAAATAATAAATAGCTTAATAGGATTTGAATCTACTTTCTCCACTCCACTTTCCATTGTAATTCATCCCCAGCCTTAAATGGCACCACCGTAACATCTTTGCTACTGATGACTTCGGGAACGTTAAATTTATCCTTTACCAACCAGCACTTATCAGAGCATTTGACATCTTTGACTTCATAGAAAGATACTCCCGCATCAGTGACAAATGTCTTCAAGTTCTCTAACTTATTGTTCTTCTCGAAGACTTCGGCAACATACGATAATGCGTACTTTTGGGTATAAATACCAGCACAAACACCAGTGTGCCTTGCCTTCCCTTCAATTGGATGAGGAGCTGAGTCGGAACCGAAAAAGAAGTATGGCTTTCCAGAAGTTGCAGCCTTGACTAAATGGTTTCTGTCGGATGGGAACTTCGCAACTGGTTTGCAGAAGTTGATTGGATTACCAGCCCAGCTGTCAATGGTCAACGACAAATGATGAGCAGTGATTGTTCCAGCTACAGTGACCTTATCACCATCTTTGTATCCAGCATTTAATTTCTCAATGGCTTCAACAGCGTCTTGGCTGGTACAATGTTCTAAGATAATTTTCAAGTTGGGAAAATCAGAGTGCAATTTGGATAAAATTGGCAAAAACTTCGATTCGGCATTTAAGATGTGAATATCGTCGCTATCCTTCTTAGGAGGACTTTCACCATGAATGTTCAACACCAAGTTGTTGGCTTCCAAAGCCTCGAAAATGGGATAGAAAGCAGTGAAATCATTAGGGTCAACTCCATGAGCAGAGTTGGTAGTAACACCAGCAGGATAACACTTGACTCCTTGAATGGCACCAATCTTAGCTGCCTCATTAATGAGTTCGGGACTCAAGTCTTTGCTTAAGTAGAACGACATCAAGAAAGTGGTAGTTGGAGACAAGGCCTCAAGTTGTTTCTTGTACTCAACGACTTTGTCGATGGTGGTAATTGGAGGCACTAAGTTTGGCATGATATAGGCGACAGCAACACCTCCTTCTCTAACTGTGGGAGTTATCAACTCCATCATCTTGCCTTCACGAAGGTGGACATGCATATCGGCGGTGACACCCAACTCGATCTCGGTTATTTCAATCATGGTATCTAATCCCGTTGAAATTTTTTGTCTCCAGTTTGTGAGTGAGAAAAACGGCAACTTCCATTTGCAGCCATGTGATGGAGTTTGAGAGATACTTAAAAATATATTGGTTTTTGATGTGTATAGGCTGAATGGTAATGAAAATTCAAGTTTGTTTTCAAAAAGGAACTATATTCAAAGACACACTGTATTTACAATATTTGCCAAATTTAAGAATTTTACCAAAAGGGCACTTGAAAGAGCGATAATGTTTTATGCTCGATACCAATAATAGAACCAATACTTTGTTGACAGTACGGGGGGAGATTAGCATGAATTTGTTGAACGAGGCCCAAAATCATCTTGGGATCAAATATGTTCTCATCGTCGAATCTGTCTATTGGAGGGTGGAGCCAAGCTGACACAATACTGTACCTGGACTTCTTTTTATATTCGACCCCACACACAACGACTAGAACTGTTAGTATTTAATTTTGCAATCGAACAAACGGTAATACTCATACTCTCGGTACCGGGACTATACAAAGTGCCATCCACAATTACTCTAAGCACGTTCTGAAACATATCAAAGCCATAATTGTGATTCACTTGGAAGTCCACACTAACTCCATCAATATTATCAGGATGTTTCCGTTTAGGGGTAACGCCCTTTTTAAACATCATGACCTTCTTGCCTTCATAATGTTCCTCAATATCTTTGAAAGCTCTTTTCAAATCAAGCATATTTTCTATCACAGAACAAGTCTCAAGAGTTTTATCTTGGGACACAACAAGATACCACCGGAAATACAAAGGATAATTCCTAACTTTCTCTTTGATCAACGAGGTTTCGAATTGAAAAGTACAGTACTGCTCAGTGTTAAGCAATGCTAACCTTGAACATGGTTTTCGATAGAACAACTTGTTGTCACTATCATCAGTAGGCCTGACACTGATTCGGGAGATATCAATATCATTATCAGGCCATTGATCGGAATCAGAAGCTCTATATTGATATTTAGATTCATCAACAGACTCATCATCGTACTGATCCCATCCTAATAGGTGATTTAAATTATCTCTAATTCTCAAAGAACTCCTGGACCGGGAGAGAGATCGTGATCTAGGTCTCATCTCTGTTTCTCTCACCATAACAGACCTTCCTCTGATGTCTTTGAAGGTACTGACAGTACTATAAATCTTCTCATCGCTATCGCTGGTGCCAGTCCGGACTTTAATGGGTCTGGTTTCAATCTGTGCAAGAGAATCCTCTAAATCCTCTGTTATGGACAGATTATCAAGATCACTAATAGAAGGGATTCTAGGTGAGCTCTGACAAATGGGTGGATCATCACATGCACTGTCAGAGAAGAAGAAAAGATCTGGATCTCGTTGATTCCTATGACTTTGTTCCACCAGTACGAATTCGTTTGAGCCATTTGGTTTGTGGATGCAAAAAAGCATTTGGGTACGACACAAATTACTGCGAATGGGTAGTTTCTGGAGATGAGATTTCTTCAGTGCCTCAACTGTTATTAAACCAATATGGGATCTGTATTTCTTCCACATTTGCACACGGGTTGGCATGTCGACCAGGCCATCCTCTCAGAAGATGACCGGTTGGTGGTAGTCAGGTTTGGCCGTGACTACGATCGGGATTGCATGATTATAGATGAGCTTCTATACGGAGTGGCAGAGAAAGTCAAAAACTTTGCGGTGATATACCTCTGTGACATCGAAGAAGTGCCCGATTTCAATGAAATGTATGAGCTTTACGACCCATGTACTGTGATGTTCTTCTACCGAAATAAGCATATGCTCTGTGATTTTGGGACCGGGAATAACAACAAAATGAACTTTCTAATAAAGGACAAACAAGAGCTTATTGATATTTTGGAAGTTATCTACAGGGGTGCTTCCAAGGGGAAGGGTTTGGTGGTCAGTCCCAAAGACTACAGTTCGCAGCGCAAACCATAATCAGCGTGTGTTTCATACATAAATAGATATGGTAAATTAAATACAAGTGATTATCTTTATTCCTGGACTTCATTCTGGGCATAAAAAAAGTTGACTGCCAACAACTGGGCCAGACCACCGTGTTTCTTAATCCAGTCTCTCACGCCCGAACCAGGAACATTAGTGCCCCAGTTGGGTCTATCGGCCGGTGCCGTCAATTTGGCACTGGGATCTTGTTTGTACAACAAGAAGACGTACCGGTGTTTCTTGGTTTTTTCAGGTGGACCAGGCCCCACGTATGGGACGAGAGCATTACCTTTGGAAAAATCCAACATCGTGCTTAATGATTCGGCGTCGGTATCCTTATTGATGTTTAAAGCTAAATCTGTTACAATCCAGTGACAGTATTCTGACCATTTCTTGTCTGAGTACGAAGGAGCGTCTGGGTCGGTTAACACCAAGGCGAATTTGTCGTTGGCCGAAACCTCAAATTCTTCTTCTGGGGCCGGAGAATTGACGGTGAATTGAATGGTGGGCACATGTTGAGTACTGTCGACCTTTAAGGTGTTGCCGAGTGTCACCTTGTTCTTGTCGCTATATTCAATGGTCAATAAGCCTTGAGTCTTGAATGGGTCCACCACTTCGGGTACAATGCCGTGCTTGGTATAAGCTTCGTCCAAGGATTGGGATATTGTCATTAAATTCATTTTGGAATGGAAATTGATAAAGTGGGAGGGTTTAAGAAATTGAGGTCTGGAAGCTTGTCTCGAATATGATTTGAATGAATTGAGATAAAAGCTTGGATTTTTCAACATTCTACGTTCACAAATATTGGAGTCATGGAATATTTATACCAATTGTGAAAAATTGCTCCAAGTCCCAAAAGAAAAATCCTCTAATGTCCTAAAATTGCTTTGCCAGAAAATCTATGGTGCAATTAAATTTCTGAACATGTCCTCCGATGTTGACCCTTTTAGGCGAACACCAATTTTTTTTCTGTACCCCAGGAAGTTATTTCCGTACCCTTCCGATCAGTGGTTAACCCCGAATGATTTGCAGCTAATCTAATATAACATTTTGTTATTACAAACACTATTTACTATTATAATATACATTTGACTTTTTTAAGCTGAAACATTTCATTTTTACCTGTTGCCTACTTTTGAGGTTTATCTATAGTCTTCAAATTGGCCATATCCTTCAAAGTTGGAGTAATTGCCATTTCCTGGCGGTTGCAGCCTTTCAGGTACCTGAGACTGTTGATGTTGAAGTTGATGTGGTTGTGGAGGTTGTGGTTGTGGAACTCCCGAAAGAGGTGCTTGTACCGACACCGGGGAGGTGTTTCTATCACCGGAATCAGGATTTCCGTTAGAAATTTTGGTGCTAGGAAGGGGTCCCGCCATGTGTTTGGGGTTGGGTTTCTTGGGCTTTTCTTCTTCCCTGGGAACGATATCAATCAAAAAATCAAACATGTCACTTTTGGATAGAGCAGCAGCAATATCGGATTTCTGTAAGGTTCTTCGTTTATTCTCTTCTGCATGGATCCAAGCTCTCATGGTCAATTCTGTGATGAAAATATCACATCCTTTGGCGAAAAGAATAGGTGCTTCGGCACTGATCATTTTCACATCTTCGTCGGTTTTCATTACTTTCTTAATTCTTGCTAAAGGAAGTTGGTGGTTTTTAAAGTCATGTTCGTCGTTTTCAATGGAGTCGATGGTTTCTTGCCAGTACTGAATCATCAAATCTCGATGTTCAGCCACCAAACCTTGTCCAACATTGCTGAAAGCATTCCCTGGTTGTTGTTGTTGTTCAGCCGCTGCTGCTTCGGCCGCTGCTTGAGCCGCAAGTAACTCTGCTTCGTCAACAATGTTTTGATGGGAAGTCACAAGTTCAGGCTCCGGGTGAGCGCTGGATCCTTGTTGTTGCAAATCCAACTCTTCGTCTTCCAAATACTCGCTGCGGTAACGGTCCATCGGTCAATCGTTTAATTGGGGTGTGGATGCGAGTACAAGATTTCTAGAAGGTTTGCAAGGCACTACTCGACGTCAATGTGATAGGAGGAAGTAATATACGACGTACTCAACGAGGCGAGTTCGGTTCTAACAGTATTTGTTGGTGGTAAACTTTAGATGCCAGTGGTGTAAAAGCTTGCAAGATTAAAATTTCATCAACATTAGAGCAGTGCGAAACCGGCATTTGTCTTGCATCTGGCAACAATCAGGCCAGGGTAAAAACGTTTATTATGCGTATTACGATAATTTAAATCATCCAGCTAGAGAAAAACTTCAAGTGGTTGTAATCTTTGGCAGAGGTAGTCATTCCTAATGAAAGAGGACTTAAATACAAGAAAAGTCCAACTGTAATAGTGTAGGATATGCCAAATGCAACCCAAACCACAACTCTGTGGTTCTTGAAAGGTTTATAGATCAATGTTTCCAAGATACATCCTGCCACAAACGTAGCAAAATATTGGGCGGGCACATAGTGATGCAAGTATGTGACACGTCCCATAAGTATAAAGGGTAAATAGTGTAAGATCCACCCGGAAACCGGTAAGATAGACTGTGCTATCAATTGGTTGAGGTTGGTATCAAACACATTTTGGTACACGAGCTTTTGTCTTTGCCAGCGCCATAACACCACAACATAGTAGATGGCCAATACCCCGAGACTGAAAGTACTAAACAAAGTGACGGCGGGATTTCCAATTAAAAAATATTTGGCTTGGTTGGCAGACCATGAACCCATTCTCAAACCAGCACGAAGAATGGGCCATTCCCACCATTCACTCGCTAAATTGTCATACTTGTTGGGATCAGGGACCAAAGCATTATTGGAAGCCATCATCCCATAGTTTATCAATATGAATTCCTTCCAGAATCTAGGTTTTGGAGGTACGTACTTGGTGGTGATATTGGGTAAATACTCGTTAACATGATCTTCGATGTTCCACCAAGTATTCTTATCCTGTTTTAACACTGTGTTTTTACAAATAACTTCTCCTTGTTGGAAACCCCAGGCTGGATATGCTTTACCAGTGGTGGCTAAATAACAACCCAAAACTTTGTGTCTTAATCTAAAGTTGGTGGAAATTGGATGAAGCTCATCGGTGGCCTCATTTTGGAAGTCTGGAGACGGAGACTTTTCATGTCCTTGGATTTCAATCACCCAATCATCTTTCAGATCACTATTGGCCAAGTTTGCATAACATGAAACTTCAAAATGGGACTTGGTAATTGCGGCTGCGACCCGGTGGGAATGTAAAAGGCATCCTCTGTTGGAGTGTACAAGTCTAACCGTATTCCCATCTTTAACAAGTCTATCGTACTCGACAGTGGTATTTTCATCTGCTTCAAGGGTTGCAAAGTGATTATTCAAGCCGTTTTGTAAATCAAACTCAAAAACGAACTCATTGTTGTTATCCTTGAACCCATACGTGGTCACCTGCTGCTGTTGGGAACCTTCAGGATAGTTGTGAGGGTGGGAGTGAAGCAAGTTGGGTGATAATCCCTGAGATCTAAGTGTCACTAAAGAACCATAACCAACCGATCTTGGACCTATTTTAATACTGGTATCTTCCAAATTTGCTTGTAATAAGGTGGAGGTGGACCCGTCACCAGGACCCGACCTTGTCAACAAGGCGAAATGGATCTTGAAAAATGACAAGTACAACACGAACGGAATGATGATCAATGTCACAATTCTGGTGAGCCAGTGCAATAAGTACTCAAGTACTGTTATATGGTATTTTTTGCTTCTTAACTGGTAGGTTTTGATTAAAAGATCATATATGATGTAGAACCCAATAAGGGCAGTCACAAACATCCCTACCCACTTGACCGAACAAACACAGCCAATTGACAAACCTGTAATCAGTAACCACTTAATTCCATCATAGGTAAGAAACGTGTTGCTCATTCTAAGTCTGTGGATATGAGCTAGACAGTAAAAGCTTAATACCGTGAAAAATAGTAAGAAGGAGTCCAATAAGATAAATTTGGACAATGTCAATGATACCATTTCAAAAATCACTTGTAAAGTGATAAACCATACGGAGAACTGACTAAAGCCCAAAACCACGGCTGTTTTATATGCCAATGGTGTACATAGTATCCCGAAAATACAATTAAAAGCTCTCATTGCCACGTAGTTCACATCTTCCGGGTATGAGCCACTACTAGGAAAAGTAAATTCTCCGTTGGACCCCGCCAAGTATCCTGATAATGCCACCAAAAGTTTTCCCAAAGGAGGGTGCACATCAAAGTAGAATTCGTGTTTGATATAATGAGAACCAAATTTCCCAAAGTGAGCCTCATCCCAGGTCACGTGCTTGGACCCATCGAGTCTGTATAGCCGGAAAAACGCCGACACCGCTGTCAAGAGGATCGGGTTAATGTACTTGATAAACACCTCTCCCAAATTACTTTTGCGGCCTTTGGAACTGAGATTCAAATTGGATGTCTTGTCAATTATAGCATTTAATTCTGCTTCCTCGTCGACCAATGCAAACGTCCGGTCTGGTGCACTTGCCCTGATCCGCTGAGACACGTCATAATCCCCTGATACATATTGGGCCGAGCCACTGGCGTATGTATTTGCCTGTGGAGTCTCCATGTTTCGAACAGATTTCCAGTAAACTGCGACTTATTTTTCACTCCGCGTTAGGTGGCTGTTCAAAAGAGAGCATTTGTAGATATAAATATACGCCACAAAAACGGTAGCGAACAAGCGTTGCTGCTATTTGGGCATATAAGAAGAGGCAATGCCACACTTGTTATTCCCCGTTCAGCTGTCCCTGTGTGTAGCTTGGCAAGGAAGACACGTATTGTGGTTATTTTAAAGAGTAGAGAGGGAAATGAACCATCACAGTTGTAGGTTACTGTGTTTTTTTCTCCCTTAGAGTTAGTTTTGAACAGGAGTCCCCCGGCACCATCTGCAAACAAGGAACCCCGATATTATCGTAAGATCAAAACATTGAAAGTTGACTATATTTACGCGCATTGGAAAAATCACCACATTAGACGATTGATTCAATATTCAAGTATTGGTAATTTGACCTGTAAAAGTACCTGTTAATTGATAATGGGCCAGGATAAAGACAAGCCATCGAACAATGACATTCGAGGTCAGCTTTCTGATATTCAAAACCGCTTGTTTTTCTCGGGATCTAAGGATCTGAAAAAGCCACCGAAGAAGAAGGCTGCTCCCTCTAATGTTGATGCTTCCGCTGGCTCCCCAAATAGCTCACCTATGAAACCAAACACCACCATCATTCCCAATACAGTGCCTTCGTTGGGCCCGGAATCAAAGGGTAACGACATGAACTATGTGGTTGGGTTGAGTCAGAATTTGGTCCAAGAATGCAGACGATTGAATGCTGACAACCAGAAGTTGAAATCTAAGTTGAAGTCCAACTACGAAGAAGTAGAGACTTACAAGCAACAAATAATAACCCTTCAAACGAGAGGCGAGGCTCACGCAAGCAGTGAAGTGGACTTAAAGGACAGAAACTGGGAATTAGAATCCATTGTATTGGGATTGAAAGAGCAAATAGCCAAGCTTACTTCAGGTAGAGAAAGGTTGTTGAAAAGCGCTAAAGGTCATGAGGATCAGTCTAGCAACTACCAGAAACTTCACGAAGATCTTCAAGTCAAGTTTAATACTTACTATGAACAGGCTGAAAAGGTCAAATTGAACCACAGCAAGGATCTCGCGTTACTCAATGACCGAATCCAGCAATTGAATGATGAGAATGATCATTTGACTGTACAATTGCAAAGCAAAGCAGCTGGATCAACCCAATCCAAGTCAATTGCTGTAAATTCCGATTTATTAATACCTCCCAGCATCAAAGACGATAATTCTGACAATGAATCCATAGATTTCGACTCCCTTATGATCGATGTAAACCCTCATGAGTTGCCTGAAACCGATCATGGAAACCCTGCGTTGGAAATCGAGACTTTGAGAGCTTCCTTGAATCACTCCAATAGAACAATTTCGAAGTTGAGATCGACTTTGTTGAAGTATAGAGCTGATGCCAACAAATCACTTGAGAGCATTTCACCTAATAAGAGTTCAAAACTCTCTAAAAAGTTGAAGACAATGTCTGAATTGGCTTCACCATCGAATAGAAGCCCAGCGGTTTTATCACCCTCTAAACGGAGTTCTAAATTCATGATATTTGGAAACGAAGAAAGTTCTCTGGACTTTCCAACAGAAGAAGGTAAGTGGGAAGATTTTATTGGTGAAGATTTGGATGGTGTCGAGGCAAAGAGATTATCTATGTTGAATAGTACTACTATCATGGACTCTGAGCTTGATTTACCACGCCATGAGCCTAAAGAAGTTAACTTTGCTGTTGCCACTGGTGATCATACCATGCCAATCTTGGTTAATTCAGATTCGGATGACTCGGATGTGGAGGAACGTGGAGACTCTAGATCAATATTATCAAAGGACTTATTAGGGGCTGATGTTCAACCAAAGAAGCAAATTGAAGACTATGCTAGAGATAACAACTTGATTTTGATTCCATTCGATAAATACGAAGAGCTTCTCTCCAACGACATTACGTCAATCAATGATGACAGACTCAAGGACTTTACTAAAGAAAGGGGTTTTGTTCCTTTGACAACTCAAGAGTATGATGATCTTTTGAGTGAGAAAGAGATGAGGAAGAGATTGGAGTTGATGGGAATAGTCACATTACCAAGTGCTGAGATCAACGAGTTGAACAGTACCAAGAAAGCTTACCACGAACCATCTGTCCAATATATTACTTCGAATGCTGAGAAAATGGGATTATCAACCTTGAAGCACAAAGAACTTGAATCTCTCCACAGCAAAATCGAGGAGTTGTCTTCTCCATCAGAGTCATACTTGATAGAGAAGTGCAAGGAAAGGAATATGGTCCTCATTTCTCAAGAAGCTTTCGATGGTTACCAAACTCTTGTAATTGACCATGAAAAGCCATCCAAGGATTACATCAAATCCAAAGCAAATGAACTTGGATTAATAATTTCATCATCAAGCTTCTACGACCAACTTGTAAAGCTTGCAAATTCACCTTCAGCCGAACATTTACAATCCAAGGCATCCGAAATTGGCTCGATCGTTCTCGATAAGGATACTCATGAAAAGTTAGTGAACCCAGACTCTAATTCAGTCTCTAAGAGAGCTACTGAATTAGGCATGATCGCTGTTCCAATTGCTGAATACGAGACCATGAAGTCATTAGCCCATGAGCCAAGTCTTGAACATATTCGGTCCCTAGGGCATGCCCATGGCCAAATTTTATTGTCTTTGGAAGAGCATAAGAGCCTTGTTGATGCTGTTGAAAATCCGTCAATTGACTCCATGACAATAAAGGCTAGTTCATTAGGCTTTTCTACCATAAAGACAAAGGACTTACAGGACTTACAGAAGTCTGCTAATACTCCAACACTCAGTCAAGTCAAAGCTCATGCAGAGAACCACGATTTGGTGACTTTGCAGAGGAAGGAATACACTAATATGTATAAGGTTGCTAATGATCCAACATTGGAAGACTTATCCATTAAGGCAGCCATAAAGGGCCACACCTTAGTGGAATCACAAGAATTGACTAGATTGAAGCAGTTAGAACAAGATCCATCTTTAGACTTTATTCAAGAGAAGGCTCATCTCGTCGGATATTCGGTTATCGAAAAGCAGGTATTAGACAGCTTGAACGATTTGGTGGACAATCCGCCTTTAGATGTTATTAAACAGAAGGCCGAGTTCAACGATCATGTTTTATTGAGCACCAATGACCATAGAAGTTTAAAGGAAATAGCAACCAACCCAGGCATAGACCATATCACCAAGGTTGCAGCCCTAAGAGATCACATTGTCTTATCGAGCCTGGAGAATGAAAAGTTGCAAAAGGCAATCGAATCCCCTTCTTTGGAGTATTTGTCTAGCAAGGCGACCCTTCTTGGATTTTCTACACTCGAGATAGAGAAGCTCAATGAATTATACAAACAAATTGAGCACCCAACGGAAGATTATATCAAAGATAAGGCTAATGGATTCGAATCTCTTCTAGTGAAGAAGGATGTCTATAATGATCTTTCGAGGAAAGTCAATAAACCAACTCCTGAAGAGTTGATAACCCATGCAGAAGCATTAGGTTACTCTGCTATCCCAACCAACAACTTGAACTCTCTTCAACATTTGGCACACAGCCCCGAGGTTGACCATATCAAGCGTACGGCTGAAAGGCATCACATGGTTCCTGTTAGGGTTGATGAATACCAAAAACTTAAGCAATTGGCACACGATCCTCCCAAAGACCATATTCATAAGGTTGCGGAAGCAGCTGGTCTTGTTGCATTAGCTGGTACTGCTCATGAAGCTTTGAAGTTGAGAGCGGAAAATCCATCCGTAGAGAAGGTTAAAGAAATTGCCCCCAAGTATGATTTGGTAACTTTGAATACCGAAGATCACAATTCATTACTTCAGACAGCAAATTCTCCAACTCTCGAACATATAATTGAAAAATCAAAAGACTACGGTTATCACGTGGTGTCAAATGAAGAATTCGAGGATATATCTACGAAAGCCAACAACCCAGACTTGAATCACATAAAGTCAAAAGCGACTGGTTTGGGACATGTCATTATTTCCGATTCGGAGTATAGGGAAACTGTCAAGCTGGCTCGTGAGCCTTCTATCGAGGAAATTAATGTTCATGCTAGTAGGAATAAGCATGTGCTTATTCCTTTTGAAGAACATCAAACCCTTCAGAAGAATGCAAACAGGCCAGACGAGAGTCATTTGTCGAAAATTGCAGGTGCCATTGGATTGGTAACACTTAGAGAAGCTGAATTGAAGAATCTCAAGCAAAGAGCTGAGTCCCCAGATCTTGCCCACCTTAAAGAAAAGGCTGTCAACCATGGACATGCTTTAGTGGACAACGATGAGCTCGAAACACTTCAACTCCTCGCAGACAATCCTCCTTTGGATCACATCCGCCAAGTAGCTTCAACTTTGAACATGAATCTTATCGATAAAGACGAACATGAATCCCTCACAAAACTTGCTAACAACCCGTCTTTACTGTATATTAAAGCGAAGGCAGAGTCACTTGGATTTGTTGTAACAGAACAAGATCATTACAATGATCTTCTTAAACTCACTCAAGATCCTCCTTTGACTCATTTGTCCGAGAAGGCAGCCAAGATTAATCACGTTTTTATTCCAAAAGAACAGCATGAGTCGATGTTGAATCCAACTAAGAAAGATGTAGAAACATTTGCTGCACGCCACGGGGGAGAATTTATTGATAAGGCTGTACTTAAATCATTGAAAGATTTTATTGAGTCTCCTACGCAAGAATATATCGAAGAAAAGGCTAAGACCAGAGGCATTGTTACTCTATCTGACGAACAACATAAGACGTTATTATCAGAGGCAAACGACTTCAATAAAGAAAAGGTGATTGAAAAAGCTGCTCTCTTGAGTATGATAGCTCTTCCTATCTACAAGTATGAGCAGATGAAGGACATTATTGAGAATCCTAGTAAGGAGTATCTCCAGTCAAAGGTTGGAGCTTATCATTCTACCCTTATTGATTCTGAAGAATTGTCGAGTATCAAGCAATCTCTTGAAAGTCCAACTTTGGAGTACTTGCAAAATAAATCCAAAACTTACGATTATGTGACAATACCAGAAAAGGAGCATGATGAAATGAAGAACCATTTAATATCTCCACCTAAAGACTTTTTGGCTATGCATGCTAGTGCTCTTGGAATGTCATTGATTGGTGTTGCATCTTTGAAGCAGTTAACCGACTCCACACAAAACCCAACTGGAGACCAAATCAGGAAGCATGCTGAGAAAAATGGTGATGTGGTAATTAGCCGAGATGAATTAAAAGACTTGAAGGAAAAACTAGACAAACCAGATTTGAGCTACTTGAAACTCCATGCGAAATCGTTTGATAATACTGTCGTCTCCACGTCTGAGTACCAAGAACTTTTGTCTTTAATCTCTGCTCCAACAAGAGAGCACCTTGAGAAAAAGGCTGAAAGCGCAGGTTTGGTAGTGGTATCCAAGGTTGAATATAACGATTTAAAAAACATAGTCAGTAACCCAGACGTGAACTTCATAAAGGCTGCCTCCAAGGACTTGGATCTTGTGGTTGTTGAATCTCCTGTCTACAATAGAATGGTACAGTCCATCGAACAACCAGATCTTGAATATTTGCAAGAAAAGTCTAAGGCTGTTGGTTATGAGACTATTGAATGCATAAAACTTGAAGAGTTAAACAATAAGACTGAAAATCCATCGAGAGAGTACTTGGAAAGCAAGGCTCTTAAGCTTGACCTTGCTCTTATTTCAAGCAAGGAGTTAAGAAGCCTCAAGGAAAACTTCGAATCCCCTTCGAGTGGGTTCCTCGAAGAAAAGGCTGCAATTAAAGGTTTGGTTGTCGTTGACAAATCCAGCTATGATTACTCCTTGTCTAAATTGAACAAGCCTGACATTGACCACATCAAAGAAAAAGCGACAGCTCATCAAGCTGTTGTTATTCTGGAGTCTGAGTATGAGCAATTGTTGCAACCAAGTAAGGCTGATGTCCAAAAGCATGCTAAAGGATATGGCTTGATTACGGTTGAGAAAATCCATTATGATTCTTTGAATAAGCAAATTGAAGAACCATCTTTGAGTTTCTTAACAGAAAAGTCTGCGATTATGGGTTATAAAGTTATTACGAATGATTCCTATAAAGAATTGAACCAGTTAGCAAATTCCCCAACTCGTGATGATATTGTCAGACTTGGTGCTGGATTAGGATTAGGTGTTATGGCAACGGATGCATTATCAAAACTTCACCATAATGCTGAGACACCTTCCATTGACCATCTTACTGAAAAAGCCAAGACTCATGGATCAGTGGTTATCGATTTTAAGGATTATGAGTATTTGAAAAGAGAAGCAAACAAGAGCATTGATGAAAAAGCCAGGGAAACAGGAATGTCCATTATAGGTGTTGATGAGCTTATCAGTTTGAGAAAGAGAGCTGATAGTCCTTCGGTGGACGAGTTAAGAAAACATGCTCAAAATAACAAACTCGTTCTCATCGAGGAATCCGAGTACAGAGATTTGAGGGCTCAAGCAGAAGAGACCATTGAAGAGGCCGCCACAAAGGCCAATATTAAGTTATTGGCAATGGACGAATTCAAAGAGTTGCAAGAGAAGGCAGAAAACCCAAGCCATGAGAGATTGGCAGCAAAAGCTGCTGCTCTTGGTTTTAGTATTTTAGGAGCAGCTGAATTAAAGAGTTTAAGAGACCATAAATCCACCTCACTTGATGATCATGCCAAGTCACAGGGTAAAGTCTTGTTGTCTCATGAGGAACATGAACTGTTGAAATCAATTATCAAGGCTCCTGACTTGTCTCATGTAAAACTTAAAGCTGAATCTCATGATCATGTTGTAATCCCAAGAGTTGAATTTGAACAGTTGGAAACGTTGAGTAAGGATCCTCCAGTCGAGCATTTAAGAGAGCTTGCCAGCTCCAAGAATCACGTAATTCTTCCTGCTGATAAGTTCAAGACTCTTGAACAAACTGCAAATGAGCCAATTGAAGTAAAGGCCAAGGCCCTTAACAAGGTGTTATTGGACGAGTCTACTCACAAGGAAAACACTTCCAGACTTGCCCAGTTAGAACTGAGCTATGAGAGTCCAGACTTGGAGTATCTTAAGCAGAAATCATCCGCTCTCAAGCATGTTGTAGTTTCCACAGACGAATTTGAAGATTTCAAACAAAAGGCTAACAAACCTATAAAGGATCAAGCCTTGGAATCTGGCTTTGTATTGGTTCCTGAAGCCGAATTCGAGCTGATAAAGAAAGATCTTGAAGAACCACTAGAGTCAAAGGCACAGAAAGAAGGTCTTCATATTCTTCCAATTTCTGAGCATAATGAAATCTTGGAGAAGTTGAACCACCCAACCTTGGAATCTTTGAAAGCGCACACCGAAAGATCTGGATTTGCAATCGTTGCTGCTACAGAATTTGTATCTCTCAAAGATGCTGCTAACGAGACATTGGAAGCAAGGGCTACTAGAGAGAGCATGAAGCTTTTGAGTCCAGAAGAATATAACAAATTACTTCTGCCCACTATGGAAGCTGTAGCAATTCATGCTAATGCTTTTGGCCATGAATTAATATCATCCGAAGAATTACATGATTTGAAGCGTTCATTTGATGAGCCACTTGAAGATAAGGCGTCGAAGAAGAATTTGACTGTAATCACAATAGCTGACTTAGAAGCTTTGAACAATCAAATTGCAAGGCCTTCTTTTGAACACTTGATCCAGAAGGCTAAGGCCTTGTCTTATACTCTTGTTACTGATGAAGAGTACAGTAGCTTAGCAACCAATTCCAGTAAATCATTAGAAATGAGAGCTCAAGAAGAAAGCAAAAAGGTATTAACAAACCAAGAATACGATGATTTGATTTTCAAGGCCAACATGCCTTCATTAGAGATGATAAGAGCTAAAGCTGCTGATAATGGAATGGAAGTTTTACCATCAGAAGAGTTGAAGGAGTTGAGAGAAATATATTCAAAACCGTTAGAGCAAAGAGCCAAAGAGGAGGGATTAGTGGTTATCAGTCAAGAGGAGTATGATTCTCCAAGCCTTGAATATTTATTAGAAAAGGCAGAGGAGCTGAGTATGTTCATTCTTCCAATTGGAGAGTTTAACCAAATGAAAACTACTATATCAGAGCCCATTGAAACGAAAGCTAAGAAACTTGGAAAAGTGTTGGTTGACCAAGTTGAGCTCGATCAATTGAACGAGTCAACTAAACTAGGAACAGTGGAGACTCTTCTAAGAGGAGCAGACACCGAGAAAACTTCCATCATCGAAACTTTTACTAATGAAGGATTTAAATTTTTGCCCTTGGCTGAGTTCGAGAAATTGACTACTCCCCCTGATGAAACTAAGACTAAAGCTATCGACAAGCCATCCAATAACATTGCCTCTTCTATTAGAGCTAATAGAAGAATCTCTAGAGATGGGTCTATTTTCAGTGACGAGAACAATTTCGTTGACGCAGAAGAGTCTTTCTTATTGGATGAAGAGGAATTATCTTTGAGTGCTGCTAGGATTGGTATGGTTGTTATTAAGGACGACGAGTATATCAGCTTGTTGGGTAAAAAGCCCGATGAACAAGATGTAGAGGAGTACTTGAAAGAGCATGCCTTAGTGATGATTTCTGAAGCGGAGTTGCTTACGTACAAACAAGATTTGGCAGAAAAAGACTCGAAAATCTTCGAATTATCCCAAAAGGAAGCAGACATTACAAAAGAAGTGGTGATGACAAAACTGGCTGAATTAGGATTATTCTCCTTAACTAGAGAAGAGTATGAGCAGCTCAAGAAGTCTCAGATTGAGAACATTACTGGTGACCAAATCAGTACTGTCGCTGCACAGTTTGGGTTAGTTCCCATTTCAAAAAGAGACCTTGAAACACTTCAAGCTTCCAAGGAGATTGTCAGCAATTCGGCTAACTTTTCAAAAGCTGGAAAGGCCTTGGGGTACCTTGTATTACCAGGTAATGCTTTCATTCCTACTACTGCCATGAGAGAACCTGACACCTCAAAGGTGACAGCTATCCCTACTTCCTATTACACCAAGTTGTTAAGAAATGAAGGCTTGAATATTGAAAAGGTTTCGGATGAAGTCTTCAAGAAGAATGCAGAGAAGCGTGGTTATGTCCACGAAGATGATATATTGGTTCCTCCTACTATTACCAGTGACGTTGAGTCACCCACTCCTTCACTGAAGGCAAGCCCAGAAATAGCTCTGGTTGCCAGGTTCGCTACGCCAGTGCGTACCTCCACCATCACCTCACCAGGTTCGAAGAGCATGGCTCATCAACCACACATGTCGAGATCAAACTTATCAATTCATTCCAATGCCCACAGTTTCACTGATACCGTAAACACTACAGGCATACTTTCCATGGCTACCAATGTTTCGCTAACTGACAGGTCGATGATCCCTGCCATCACTCAAGTGGTAATTGGTGAATTCGTATGGAAGTATCACCGGAGATTGGGACCATTCACGTCTATTCGTGAAAGCCGTCACGAGAGATACTTCTGGGTCCATCCATATTCGTTGACACTCTATTGGTCGACAGTCAATCCTTCCTTATCCAATCCTAGTCCTGCTAAAACCAGAGCTGCAGCAATTGTCAGCGTGGAAAGTGTAGATGACAATAACCCATTACCTACTGGTTTATACCATAAGAGTATTGTTGTTCATTCTCAAACGAGATCCATCAAGTTCACTTGTTCTAACAGAAGAAGACACAATGTTTGGTTCAATGCCTTGAGATACATGATTAACCGAGATTTGAATGAAATCACCTTCGATCAAGAAAGTGCTATATTCGAAGAAGATGAGGATGGTGAACAAGAAGAACAAGACAGTTTCTACCAGAATGCTGGAGACAGAAGGGCGTATCCAAGAAAGAGAGTTTCTTCGACCCCTTCGCAATTATTCAGACAAAGATCATCAGTTAGAGTCAGCAGATTTAATTCGTTGAAACAATAGATAAGTACATAACATAAATAATGGATATGTTTATTATTAACACTAAATTTATCAGAATATCCATCCATACAGAAAATACTGCATAGTTAGAGAAATGAATTTTCACAATTAATTGGCAGACAACAATTTGGTGAATTCTTGAATATCGATTTCACCATCATTATTGGTGTCAGCTTCTCTTATCATTTGGTCGACATCGGCATCAGACAACTTTTCACCAATTGAGGTCAAAACATGTCTCAATTCAGCGGAAGAAATCTTACCATCACCATTTCTGTCAAATACCTTGAATGCCTCAGCAATTTCAGCTTCAGAGTCGGTATCCTTCATCTTTCTGGCCATCATAGTCAAAAACTCTGGGAAATCAATTGATCCATCATTGTTTATGTCAACTTCGTTTATCATATCAGTCAATTCACTTTCTGATGGGTTTTGTCCCAAAGATCTCATTACAGTACCCAATTCTTTGGTGGTGATCTTTCCATCACTGTCTTTGTCAAACAAGGAGAAGGCTTCCTTGAATTCAGCTATTTGTTGTTCGGATAATTTCTCAGCCTGATGTCTTGTTAGTAGTGATCATTACATTTACCATGACAACAAACGTCCATTGCTGATCCGCCACCACCCGATGTAAACACTGTGATGCCATCATAAAATGGAAGCTTGTAAATCAATCACGATCTATTATTCTCCTTACAGATTCCACAACATACCATATTGTAAGATTTTTGATAGGCAACTAGTAAACGCAAACGTATAGATAGTTATTCGATCAATATAATGTTTTTGTTCTTGCGAAGTGAGCAAAATAAAAGTGCGCGCTGTCTTCGTTTGCCCTAACGTATTTGGTATAGTCACGTCACGCATCTGCGAATTTGTACAAGCCTGCTACTATTATTAGCTTCATCAATAGATGGAATGAAGTTGCTATGGATGATGAGCACAACAACCCGGCGCAGTATCGAAGCTTCTTGAAGTCCTTGAACGATAGCCAACTCTTGTCGCATGTCAGTAGCCTCAGTCAGTCTCAGACACACATCAGCACGGAACGCGTCCTTCCAGATACGCCTAGTATTTCCGGTCGTAATGATATAGATGCTTCTACTCCAAATGAGAGTAAATTCGCCAGCTCTGACCCGTTTGCAGATTCATTCAACGACATTCTCCTTGCTCAAGAAAATCATATTCCACCAGCACAACTAGGTGAACAGGATTCCGATACTAGTGAAGATGAGGAAGTGTCTGGAATAGGACCAAAACACGAGTTTGGGCAATATGATGTATATTTTCAAAACAAACACGATAAACAGCAACTACGTGATGAGGCGTACAGGGACTGGGACTTGAAACGACGCGGGCTACAGGGGCAAGTGGCTTATCAAGAACCTATCTTTCGTGGATGTACTATTTATGTGAATGGGTATACTGTTCCTTCTATCAACGAAATTCACCGGTTGGTAATAATTTATGGTGGGATTTTCTTGCCCCATTTAGCCAACAAGTCTTCTGCCACTCATATCGTTTGCGACAAGTTGACTCCTCGTAAGCAGCAAATATTCAAAAATTGCAAGGTTGTCAAAGCTAAGTGGATTGTAGATAGCGTTGAAGTGGGAAGACTTTTAGACTGGAAGAAGTATCGTCTCTTCCAAGAAGTTTCCTACGACCAACAGCGCCTTGACCTAAAACTGGATACCTTTGCTATTCACCAGTTCAACACTGAAGACATTATTGATGAGGACGAGCAAAATATTTTAGAAGACTTCTACGAGGCTGAACAGTTGAATAATGCAGAACAACTAGATGACGAGAAAGTGCAACTCAATGGGTCTAGAGCAGATGAAGATGGTCGGACTCTTGAGAAGACTTCTATTATGACTGCTAAGCACCCAGATTTCTTGCCTCACTTTTTTGCTAACTCAAGATTGCATCATTTAAGTTCCTGGAAGGCCGACCTAAGGGCCAAGTTCTTGAAAATGGTTTACCAAGCAGGTACTAGTAAAGTGAATATGAACCTGACGAGAAAGATGATTTTGCATCTTGATTTCGACTGCTTCTTCGCAACCGCTTCTGCTCAGAAGCATCCTAATTTGGACATCCAGAAGGATGCGATTGTTGTATCTCATGGGAACGATACCTCGGATATTGCAAGTTGTAATTATGTGGCTCGTAGTTTTGGTATCAGAAATGGGATGTGGATTAGATCTGCAAAAGATCTATACCCCAATATTTGTATCATCGATTATGAGTTTGACCTATACGAAAAGTATGCATCAGAGCTTTACAATTACTTATTATCAAGGTCTGGAGACTTTGATACTATTTACCCAGTACTGGTTGATGAAGCTCTTTTGGACATCACTTCGTATGCCAGTGAATGTGAAGAGAGTGATTTACAGGAGCATATCATAAGACTTTGTACCCTCATTAAATCGGACATCGAACGCTTAACTAAGTGCACAGTTAGTGTGGGAGTTGGAAGAAACGTTCTACTTGCAAAGTTAGCCCTCCAAAAGTCCAAGCCAGACGGAATTTTGTTCTTGAATGAAAATGTTCAGGAGTTTTTGGATGATATACCAATGAGAAGCTTACCTAGAGTTGGTTATTCTATTATAGAAAAGTTCCAGCAGGAAATACAGTCCCTTTCTGAAGTGAAGGTATCTGATTTGAGAAAAATTGCCAAGTCAAGATTAATTAATGTATTTGGTCCAAAGACGGGTCAAAAGTTATATGATTATGCTCGAGGTGTTGACGATTCTTCTATTCGGTTGGACTCAGGAACTAGTCCAGCCCTTTTAGGACGAAAATCTGTATCTGTTGATGTGAACTTTGGAATTAGATTCGATACCACAAAGGAAGTAGAAGTATTTATGGCAAACATGGCCAAAGAAATGAGTAAGAGGCTTGTTAACCTTGAATTAGTTGGTTCACAAGTAACGTTAAAATTGGCCAGAAGAGCTGACAATGCCCCTCGAAACCCCCCCAAGTACCTTGGAATGGGGCATTGTAACTTTTTCAACAAGTCCTCCAAATTAGGTGTTGCTTCTAATGAATGGGGGATTTTAGCAGCAGAGATAAAAGCTCTATCCAGGATCTTGAATATACCTCCAAAAGAATTAAGAGGGGTAGCAGTTACAGTATCAAAGTTGGAGGATTCCGAAACCTTTAAAAGGGGAAAGCAGCAGAAGCTTTCCGCTGGTTCCATAGTAAGAAGTAAACCCAAACGAGAAATCATTCCCGTTGATACGTCTGACTTCAAGGATCCAATGGAGGGGGCCACAGACATCGACTGGGATATTTTCAATGCTCTTCCATGGTCAATCAGAAAAGAGCTTAGAGGTGAAATGACTAGACGTGGTATAATATCCAGGGATTCAAGTCCCCTGAAGGGACACAAAGTTTATTTACAGCAATTGCTACCCTCTGGTACGGGACTGCAAACTCGATATGTAAGGGTTTTAGAATCACCAAAGAAACCTAGAAGCAGATCAGCTACCGCTTCTCCTCGAAAATCTTCTGTGACACCAGCCCCGGAACCTGACCTCAGCTACGATAGCGCAGTGTTGAATGAGCTCCCATCTTCTGTGAGAGATGAGGTTATTAATGGCCTCGAGCAAAGAAAAAGGCAAAAAGTGAATCCTCAGACACTCAAGTCCAAGTTTGTGGAGATAGCAGAGAGGGACAAGGAAGTCAACAAAGTTATTGACGAAAATTGGGTGCTTGAGCAAAATATGCTTCGACCTCCAGCTAGGTTCTTGGACATGAGGACAATGTATTCTGATATTAAAGTAATCATTTCTGGGTGGATTGCTGAATCGTTCAATCAGGAAGGACCCCATGATGATGACGTACAGGCCTTCGTCGGATACTTAAAGCAACTTTTAGCACAAGCCAATTTAGCCCGTTGCATACGGTCAGTTGATTATATCCGTCGAGAAGTAAACTATTATGATGCTATTTCTCGAGCCAGTCAAACCCCTGGTATATCACCAGGGCTAATGGAGTGGAGACGCATAATCAAGACCAAGTTTGAGCCAGTACTCCACGACTACTGTAATAAGAACACTATAAAATTAGTAGCCAAGACATGTACATAGTTATTTATTTATGAATTATGAGATGCTTATTAATTATATCTGAATATTTCACCAACAGTGTGGTTCCAGTTGGCTCTCCATCTTAATTCACTTTCTTCCATTGCACCTTCACCGATCGTTCGCATGAGGGCAGGGTCCAGTAATATCAATTTCAAGAGCCTGTAAAGTTCTTCAGGTTCCCCTTGTTTGTCTTGGGAGTTTGTGATCAACCCATTCTTCCCATGTTTAACTAATTCCCCTATGCTAGGAAAATTAAGAGATATAACAGGAACTCCACATCCAAAGAAATCTAGTATCTTCATGGGCAAATCAAGACCACTTGAAGAGGTATGCAAAGAAATAGCAATATCAGCAACCGAAATGATCAAGGGATAGTCTTCAATAAGTAGCCACACTGACTGCACTACCACCTTGGACAGAAACTTGAGATCTTCCACTGTACGAAGAAAAGGATTTTTCAAAGGACCCTTTCCGGTTACTATCATCAATAATTTCTGTGTACTCTCAGCATCATCATCATATAACTTCAAGGCATTTAGAAGAACATTGAAGTCTTCATCTGGGGTAAAAGAAGTAGAGCTGATAAGTATTTTATACTCTTCCAAATTCTTAACATGCTTGAAAATTTCATGCAGTTTTATCTCATCCTTGCTATATTCGAGACGCTCCAAGGGACTGAACTGGTCACCTGGACGATCATACAACACTTTAATGGATTTGCTGTTCAAACCAAATTCATCCACTAAAAATTGCTTCATACTCTTTGTCACAGTCAAGTTAAGGTCTGCAAACCTCCCAAGCCATTTTTCGTAAAGTTTTAACAACCTAACAATTGGATGTCTTTGGTTATTGTATCGTAAATTGAGGATCGAATAGTTCAAGTTGTGCCAGTCAATAATGAGTTCGGAGTTGCTGAACAACTTAATAAATACGATAACCACCAACAAAAGGGGCATTGAAGGGGGATTTTGGATCATTATATACTTCGTGCCTCTGAATTCGAAGAGGAGGTCAAACAAATAGTATATTTGGAGCACTATTTTCTGTGATGCAAAAAGAATAAATGGGAGGTTGCGTGAATTCTTGATTATTGGGATTGAATGAATATCGATACCTGGATGGTCTAACAAATCTGGTGCAAGTTCCGACTCCAAGTATCCACATAAATTGACCTGGTAGTCAAGGCCGGCAAAAGAACGGGCATGGTAGCACATACGTGGTGAATGGCCCAAATCTCCCAACACGAAGATGGCAATTGACCGTCTACCACCAGTCTGATTTCTATGAGTTAAAAAGGGCAACACCACGTATCCAAGTATTGGCAAACAAAAATAGATACCGATTAACCAGTATACCCATGTTCCCCATAAATTCACTTCGGTGAGTGTATCTATACTCAAGTCTTCCAAACCAAACATGTATGCCTAAGGAAGTTTGTACATCGCGGTCAGGTACAAAAAAAAGTAAAATGCACGACAACTGCAGGACTCGAACCTGCGCGGGCATAGCCCAAAAGATTTCAAGTCTTTCTCCTTAACCGCTCGGACAAGTTGCCTAGATTTAGATTTTTTTGAAATACCTAGTAGACGTATGCATAATCGGCAGGGTTGGGATTATTGTTGTACATCTGAGCTTTTTGTTTTCTCCTGAAGTCATATAGACTCTTGTTTTAATTCTCAGACTTCTAAAAAACCCTGTGCGCAATGCACGTTGAAAACGTTTCCGCAAATCTCGAGTTGCTGCAATTCTCAAAAACTACATGAATTCCCATAAGCCACCACTCAAGAACAAAAGTCACCGGATAACGGCTCCATAACCGTAATCACGTGTAGTATGGTACTAATCCACCAAACAAGTGTTTCCTTGGCATATTAACATAAAAAAACGGCCCGTTCGGAAACTTCCCATTTCGGACCTTGAATTAAGATACAAAATAAAAATTTTCGTATAAATTTTTCATCTTTGCTGAGGAAATTATTTTTTTTTGACTTCTTCAAAATCAAGATGGCTCAAGAATTAACACACCCTTCCATCAAAGATGGCTGGTTCGCCGAAATCTCCAACACTATGTGGCCCGGTCAGGCAATGTCCTTGAGAGTTAAAAAGGTTTTGCACGCCGAAAGATCCAAGTACCAAGACGTTTTAGTATTTGAATCGACTGACTACGGTAATGTCTTAGTTTTGGACAACTGCATCCAAGTTACCGAAAGAGACGAATTTGCCTACCAGGAAATGATTGCCCATTTAGCCATCAATTCTCACCCAAACCCCAAGAAGGCCTTGGTCATTGGCGGTGGTGACGGGGGTGTTTTGAGAGAAATTTTGAAACACTCATCCATCGAAGAAGCGTGGTTGTGCGACATCGATGAAGCAGTTATCGAGGTTTCGAAAAAGTACTTGCCAGAAATGTCCAAGTCTTACGCTGACCCAAGAGTCCATGTCCATATTGGTGACGGATTTAAGTTCTTGGCCGAGTACAAGAACCAATTCGATGTTATTATCACTGACTCTTCCGACCCTGAAGGACCTGCTGAATCATTGTTCCAAAAACCATACTTTGAACTTTTGAAAGACGCATTGACTGAAAAGGGAGTCATCTCCACCCAGGCAGAAAACCTCTTTCTCCACATGCCAATCATCTCTCAATTGAAAAAGGACTGTCAGGCTATTTTCCCAGTGGCTGAGTATGCTTATACCTTGATTCCAACCTATCCTTCAGGATCCATTGGATTCATGGTGTGCTCCAAGGACAAAAATGCCAATGTCAAGAAGCCCGTCAGATTCGAGTGGTCTGATGAGTTTGTAGCGAAGAACTTGAAATACTACACAAAGGAGATCCACGAAGCATCGTTTGTTTTGCCAAACTTTGCTCACCAAATTTTAAACAAAGATTGACGTTCCTGATTCTCATGAAGATGATTTGATGTAATGATTGATGATTTAATGACGAACACAGTAACTCTATTTATTATCTATAAATAAATAAACACAATCTTTGTTACACATTTGAGGTCAGTAAACGAATTGAAAGTCCAATCTTTTATTACCGAGATGAGCATTTTTCTGAATGTATTCATGCTGCTCATCGGGCGTCATAGCATTCCATTTCTTTGACTTGTAATTGTTTCTCGCAATGTAGTATTGTCTCACAAGCAAAAAGAGGGGCACCAACACAAGCGTTATGATGAATAAGGTCCTGTTACCATTCTTGTAAAGGGGGTAATCGTCAGCCTTGTAGATATTATTGGAGTAGATACTTCCCAATTGCACAAACATATTGTAAATGGCTGCGGCAATTGATCTGGTCCGAATACTGTTTGCGTTTCTGGAGGCCCATGAAACACAAATGGCATGGATATACGGCTGACCCGCCAATATGGTATACAACGTCCAAGTACCCCAAACATTGATATTTGTACCTTTCCACCAGGTCATAGCTGCCAAAATAGGCAAGTTCCAAAGCGGCAAGATCAATGCGAATAATGATCTCAGATTAACCTTTTCACTGGCCCAGGTTATAATGAGCAAAACAATAATGTGAATCACATTTGCAGGAATCGTCAAGACGTTGACGTTGAAGGTAGAAAATCCAACCTGCTTGAGAGTCAACGTCAAGTAAGGTCCGGTTGTGTTTAAACTGGCATAAGCAAAGAGTCCAATGAGATAGATAGGCCACACATCATAATCCGTCAACGACATCCAAAGGCCCTTCCAGTCAACAGCTTGTCTGTTGTTCATGTCCCCTTTAGAAGGATCATCTCTCAATACTCTATTCACGACAATTTTGATTTCATGGTCGGTGAACCAACCCTTGGGGTGAAACCGGTTCTTGGTTTCTACGGCAGATGGTACCATCAAGTAAAAGCCGGCTATACCTATAAGAAACGTGAAGATTCCTTCAATCAAAAACAACCATCTCCAACCCGCATAACCGTGCACACCTCTCATTCTCAAGATACCAAAGGCCAATAATGAGGTGAATATAGTCACAAGCGACAAGGTAGTCCAAAACCACGATAACCGAATCGTTAACTCCTTCGACTTGTAGAAATAGGAAAGCCAAAGTACCAAATCTGCCACCAACGAACCTTCAATCCATCCCAAAAGAACTCTACAAGCAAGGAAACCAGCCTTGTTTGTCATCCAGAACTGACAAGCCGCAATTACACTGAACCCAATAATTTGCCATGGGATGAACACATCGGGCCCAAGCTTCTTGGATGCCAACGACATGGGGATCTCGGCCAATAAGAAAGACACCAAAAACAAGGTGTTTCCCAAGTTATAGTCAGATCTGGTCAATCCCAAATCAACAAGTAAATTATCGGCAACGGCCTGGGCCAAGTTACCTCTGTCTGTTTGCAAAGCGACAAACAATATACAAGATGTCAACGCAACTCTATAATCCAACTTCCTGACCAACTTCTTCTCTTCTTCAGGAGTCCATTTATAGTCCGGATCAAACACATCTTTACACTCATAGTTTGACTTTTCGTATATACCTCTGTAATGTTCAGCCACCTTAGGATCAGCAAACGGGTTTGTTTCGGTTACAGTTTCCTCTGAGGTGTCAGAGAGAATTGACACCTGCACTGTAGACTTGGGGTCTTCCTTACTATCTTGCAACAGAATCCGACCACTATTTAGGTCTGTTTCCAAGACTTCAATAGAATGGGAACTAGTCATATTTGTTGTAGACCTGAATCATTATGAGCAAATTTACTTTCTTTTATAATTCTTGTTCTTTCAGTGTTCATGTGTGTTCTTGCGATTGTGCAATATTGCAAAACTATATTGCAAAACTAGACTGGAACTTTAAAATTGTGGTGGCATAAATGCGACACAGTTAATTGGTAGTAACTGCAATAAAAACACAGGGTTCATTTCAAAACCGGCCGCCTTTTTATGCTAAGATGCTGTTATCACCACAATGCTAGTCACATGAGATTTGCAATCAAAGCTTAACACTTCCACATTCGGCTTCGGTAATGTCGCGTTAATTTTCTGCCCTAAATCAAACTTTAACGAAGCATTTTGTGGCTTATATAATCTCTCTTGCAACCTGTTACTATACAGCTTTCGATATCCAGTTACAGATCGTTCTATTTTGTGGCAAAACTACCACAATTAGATTGACTGCAAATTTAGACCATCGCAATTATTCGCGAACTGATTTTGATTTTGCGAATTTTATGTGACTAGTGTTGCTGATGTCTTTTGTGAAAGGAACGTTATCGGATGCCCAGCGACAACGAATAGTATGTATATCACACATAGTTGACTTTATTCATGGCTGAACTGTACTAACCGTGTTTAGGAAGCCAACAGAAGAAGAGCTTTGGAACGCCTTCAGAAAAAGGGATTGCGCGATCAAACCGTGGTGTCCCTGATAGATCCTACCATTGTAGCGGATTCTGGCAACTCAATACTGGTTGACACGCATAATCAGACGACAGGAAGTACAATAGACCTACTGCAGAAGAAGCAGAAAGTCGAGTTGACTCCTGAACAGCGAAAGCGCATTGAACAAAACCGCAAAAAAGCATTAGAAATCCGAGAGAATCTACAAAAAAACCACCGCGATGCCACAGACCATACTATTCCAACGCTACCGGTTCCAGATGCTCTTGTGCAACAGGAACAGGCCAAAAAGAAACTGGAAGTCATCAAGCCCATGAACCGTAAAAGGGACTATATTGACTACGACTTCTCTACCATGAAAGATACCCACGGAGGATTCATGGACGATCCTTCGGGTGATGAGGATGCCCTAATAAACCAATCTTTGGAGGATTGGAAAGAACGACAAAAACGTGAACTCATTGTTCATGATCTTGCTCCTCCGCTTGACATTGCATCTGCACCAAAGTGTGTTGAGTGTGAATCTTTAGAAATCGATCCAAACTACTATTCGAACTTCAAGCAAACGCGTGTATGCCGCCGTTGTGCCAAAGAAAAGCCTGAAAAATACTCGCTCTTGACCAAGACTGAGTGCAAAGAAGATTATCTTCTCACCGAACCCGAGTTGCAAGATATTAATCTTCTTCCACGTATCGAAAAACCTAATCCCCACGGATACTCACGGATGCAGTTGTTTCTTCGGCTTCAAGTAGAAGAATTCGCTGTGAAAAAGTGGGGTTCATTGGAAAATCTCGATAAAGAATGGGAAAGAAGAGAAGAGATGCGGCTCAAACGAAAGGACAAGAAGTACAAGGACAAATTGAAAGAAATGAGACGCAAAACTAGAGCTGAAGAATATACTACAAAGCTTAGAAACGGTAAGTCCCTTAACGATAAACACGTACACGATTGGGCCCAGCCAATTCCCTTTGTTAAAGATGATATGAACTTTGTCAAGAAGAGATGTATTGATTGTGGTATAGAAGTTGAAGAAGTTAAATTGTAATAGTAATGCACGTAACGACTTATTTGTCTCAGAATCAGCTAATGAGTGCGCTACCCAAATAGAAGTTGATGGAAAATTCTGCCACATTCGCTCGACGAATTTGCAGCTAATTTGGTGGAAATATAAAATGCGAAACAGTTTTCCTGACTTAACTTACAGGTACTTTTACTGCTCAAGCATTTTGTATATTCGCCACCCCAGAAGATGCCATCGAAAGTTGAAACCCACGAGTTCACTGCTGAGATCACTCAGTTGATGTCCTTGATCATCAACACTGTCTATTCTAACAAGGAAATTTTCTTGAGAGAATTGATCTCCAACGCCTCTGATGCTTTGGACAAAATCAGATATGAAGCTCTTTCGGAACCATCTAAATTGGAATCTGAACCTGAATTATTCATCAGAATCACCCCAAGACCTGAAGAAAAGGTTTTGGAAATTAGAGATTCTGGTATTGGTTTGACCAAGGCTGATTTAATCAACAACTTGGGTACTATTGCTAAGTCTGGTACCAAGGCCTTTATGGAAGCTCTTTCCGCTGGTGCTGATGTCACCATGATTGGTCAATTCGGTGTTGGTTTCTACTCCTTGTTCTTGGTTGCTGATCACGTTCAAGTCATTACCAAGCACAATGATGATGAACAATACATTTGGGAATCCAACGCTGGTGGTAAGTTTACCGTCACCGAAGATGACTCGCATGAAAGATTAACCAGAGGTACTGTCATTAGATTATTTTTGAAGGATGACCAATTGGATTACTTGGAAGAAAAGAGAATTAAGGAAGTTGTCAAGAGACACTCTGAATTTGTTTCATACCCAATCCAATTGGTGGTCACCAAGGAAGTCGAGAAGGAAGTTAAAGATGAAGATGCCGAAGAAGAAGAAGTCAAGGAAGGAGATGACAAGCAACCAAAGTTGGAAGAAGTTGAAGATGAAAGTGAAAAGAAGGAAGAAAAGACAAAGACCATCAAGGAGACCGTTACTGAAACTGAAGAGTTGAACAAGACCAAGCCTTTGTGGACCAGAACCCCATCTGAAGTCACTCAAGACGAATACAATGCCTTCTACAAGTCTATTTCCAATGACTGGGAAGACCCTTTGGCTGTCAAGCACTTTTCTGTTGAAGGTCAATTGGAATTCAAGGCTATCTTGTTCATTCCCAAGAGACCTCCTTTTGATGCTTTCGAAACCAAAAAGAAGAAGAACAACATTAAATTGTATGTTAGACGTGTTTTCATCACTGATGAAGCTGAAGACTTTATTCCAGAATGGTTGAGCTTTGTTAAGGGTGTTGTCGACTCTGAAGATTTGCCATTGAACTTGTCCAGAGAAGTCTTGCAACAGAATAAGATTTTGAAGGTCATCAAGAAGAACATCGTCAAGAAATTGATCGAGACCTTCAATGAAATTGCTGAAGACTCTGAACAATTTGACAAATTCTACAGTGCTTTCTCTAAGAACATTAAGTTGGGTATCCACGAGGACCAACAAAACAGAGCTGCTTTGTCTAAATTATTGAGATACAACTCCACCAAGTCTGCTGAAGAATTGACCTCTTTGACTGACTACGTCACCAGAATGCCAGAACACCAAAAGAACATCTACTACATCACTGGAGAAACCATCAAGGCTGTAGAAAAATCTCCATTCTTGGAAGCCTTAAAAGCTAAAGACTTTGAAGTCTTGTTCTTGGTTGACCCAATTGATGAATACGCCATGACTCAATTAAAGGAATTCGAAGACAAGAAATTGGTAGACATTACCAAGGATTTCGAATTAGAAGAAACCGAAGAAGAAAAGAAGGCTAGAGAAGAAGAAATCAAGGAATTTGAGCCATTAACCAAGGCTTTGAAAGACGTCTTGGGTGACCTCGTCGAAAAGGTTGTCATCTCCCACAAATTGGTTGATGCTCCAGCTGCTATCAGAACTGGTCAATTCGGTTGGTCTGCTAACATGGAAAGAATCATGAAGGCTCAAGCTTTGAGAGACACTTCTATGTCTTCTTACATGTCTTCCAAGAAGACCTTTGAAATTTCTCCAAGATCTTCAATCATCAGGGAATTGAAGAAGAAGGTTGAAACCGACGGTGCCGAAGATAAGACTGTCAAGGATTTGACTACCTTGTTGTACGAAACCGCTTTGTTGACCTCTGGTTTCTCTTTGGAAGAACCAGCTTCGTTCGCTGCTAGAATCAACAGATTGATCTCTTTGGGTTTGAACATTGACGAAGATGAACCTGAAGCAGAAATTGCGACTACTACTACTGCTACCACCGAGGAAGCTGTCGAGTCCAACATGGAAGAAGTTGATTGAGCAAAATAAATTATTCTAACTGGTATTTGTCTTGTTTATATTAATTGATATATAGGGTAATTATAAAAGCTGTCAATTTGATGAAGCCATTTTATCTCTAGCTTCTTGATAAGCGAGTTGCACCAACTCTTCGATATCATCAAGAACACTTTGTGCTTGTTCTCTGGTTAATAAGTCTTCGTCGGTTTCCAAAATATACCTTAAGGTATTTAAAACCTTCTCTCTGTACTCTTCTGGGAAAGGAACTTCTTCAGTATCGGAAGTTCCAAGTATAAGATCATGTATCAAAACAACTGCTGACCTTCTCATGATGGCTTGATCTTTTCCGGTTTCCAAGGTCAATATACCAATGGCACAATCCAAGATATCAGATAATTGGTACAAAATACCCAAGGGATTAACTTTGCAACAGACTCCCAATAAAGACATAGAAGACATTCTGATTCTATTATCTTGGTTCTTGGGCCCACTTTCGCTCCTTCTGATCATCGACACAGTTGCGCTCACAATAGTCTCCGCAATTTCTCCAGCAAATAGCTGGTTGGAAGATTGAATGAACCTAAGTAACACTTCACCTATTCTTAGCCTTTCATCAATATCATTGTTACCAGCTTCATTTGTGTAGACACCTACAAGGATTTGTATAACTGGAAGCTTGCCCAAATTTATCAAGCTCTCAAGACCTTTAATGACATTAAGGTAGATGAATGGCTCTGGGTCTTTCAATTGAATCAAATGAAGGTTTATCACAAAGTCAAGCGAGATCACATCACTTTTGACTTCAATTAACTCTCTTAATAAATACAACCCATGTGCTCGTATAGGTACAAGTGGGTCATTTAAGCTAGTTATTGCCCTTTCAAGAGTTCTCCTGTGTAAATCCTTCTCAGATGTAACAGGAGTATCACCTGCGAGCATAGAGCTTATTCTGGAAGCCAAAGCCTTGATAGTATTCAAGCTCAGAACAATAGTGGGGTTACTATGCTTGCTCAATACTTTGAGACTTGAAAGAACCTTCTTCAATAAAACTTTACAATTTTCTGTGATGTCGTCTTCAGATACGTCCGTGAGGATAGCTGACAATAATTGAAACAATATTGGCATTGCTTCAGAATTGACATCACTATCAAAATTCTCTTCATCGTCAGAGTCCTCATCATCAGAGTCTTTCACTATATTCAAGTCATTTCTACCCCTGGAGTTGGTATTTTTCTGGGCTGATAAAAACTCATCAACGATTTGAAGCATGTCTATTGGAGTTTTGGCAATGTCTTCTTTGAACTGGCTTCCAATAGACTCAATTAACCTCAAATCGACTAAAACAATAAACGGATTGTGTCCTTGGCTATCCAAAACGTCTTTATTATTTCCAAGTTTAAGCCATCTGCGTAACAAGGTTTTGAATACCTTTGAAACAAGAGCGTCATCCAAGTTTTTTAGAAGTTCAATGTATGCTTCACTCCCAGTGTCCAAATCGGAGAAAAAATTAACCATCTTCTTGTCCCTGTCCTCTTGTAGGACAAATTTGCTCTTTGTAATCTGAGGCAAGTTGTTTGGACCCCACATAAATTCCCAGTCTTCGGTACTGAACAATAAATTCTTGGAGATCGTATCCAACCCATAAATATCTTTATTAATGTCATCAGACTGACCAGTTGTCACAAAGTACCCCACCAAAATATTAAGTAGAACTTCGTATGACTTCTTAGACTCGAAGACAAATACAAAGTATCTCCATAGAGGTAATAGGATCGGGTTAAAGACATACTGGGAAAAGTCAGGTGATAAGGACTTTTTTGTCAATGAAATAAGGACATTGATAGCGTTGTTGAAATCCTTCTCTGAAACGAGTACTCCATCGTCTGGTTTGTCCTCAATTGTAGGATTCAAATTGTCCCAGAGCCTCTTGAGGAAGAAGTCATTGACCACAAGCTTGTTTCTTACCCATAGCATTTCCAAAACATGTCCAATACAACTAGTCACATGAGGACGGTTGATATTAACAAGAATATCGTATAATTGATTTCCAATACTAGTAAAGTAGTGCACGGTAGATATGTGTTTCGGTTTGGCCAATATGACATTGGCCACATGGTCAAACCTTTCAACACTAACATCTTCATTTTCACGTAAACCAAGTACAAACTCAACTAAAGTAAGTACTCCATCCTTCTTAGGAGCATCATAGTGCAAAGTCTGTAGTTTTTTCATGACAAATTGCTTAAAATAAGCAGGCGATGGAGTAGATAATAGCAAAGAATAAGTTTGGAACAATTCATAAGTCCCCGGTAGTTGAACCACCAAACTCTCAAACTCTTCTACCAATGCCTTTTTGTTGTTGTTGAAGTATGGACAAGTTATTAGGGTGATTGAAATAGTAAGGAAATCTGAGTATCCAGTTCCCTTTGTCAATAAGTCCCTTACATCGCCTTCCTTCTCAAACAAGCTTTTGAACTTAGAATAGAGTAGATTAAGCAATTTCTCTTCTTTTCCAAATCTTTCAGTGTACGTCTTTGCTGTGGTATTTGAAGGGATCCGTTCAACTTTTATGGGCTTTTTAGTCTTCGAGAACTCATTGAGCCTACGCTTTGCCAAGGGGATACCAACTTTGAATGTGGCTAAGCCAGGGTAAACGCCATGGATAATGATCATGTTCACAAGCTTGCTAAATGTCTTGATATCATGAAGAGATATGTTTATGAGATTTTTGTCTGGTTGATTCTCTTTCCCTGACTGTTCTTGGATTTGTAATAGGAAATCAAGTAGCCTTGAAATGACTGAATACCGAACGTCAAATTCATCTTCTGAGTGAATTTTAAGTCTTTCGGCTAGCACTGATAGCGTTATATCATCTAAAGTTCCTTGTAACACATCTTCCAATAGTGAAAACAGCTTATCCAAGGGAGATCCTTTAGTGTACTGAGGTTTGTGAAGGCCCTTCCTCTTTCCATCAGCCCCATATATTTCCTTTGCATCCCTTCGTATGGTTGTCTTTTTTGGCTTGGGCTCAAACGGATTATGCTTCCTTGTCAGTGACTTCCCGGACACTTCTTCAATCTTTGGAGGCATTATGGTATTGTTTGGCCATCAGATAAGTTGTATTCGCATTTTTCGATGCGATTTAATTGGAATTGTAGAAGTGCAGTGGAGGTAGAGGGATACTCCTTTTTGCTAGCACGAAATATAGGAGAAATTTGTGATTACGAGCAAATAATTGGATATTTCTGAAACTCCTGATGCTTTCGTCCTCTTTTGTGCTCTTACTAGGGGTTGAGGTCATGTACTGGGCAGGCGTATGCTCCTGAAGTATTCATTTTTTGTACTATTTTCAGCTTGACATGAAAATGGTGTGATTAATGAATCTTGGAGTAACTTTAGAGAATGCAAGCAATCTATAATCAGTAATTGGGGTACCATAGTTCAAGTATTACTTGAAGAATACAAAATTTGCAACCACTGCACTATCACCAATTTCTCCTTTGAAATAATAAAAAAGGCAGCAGAAAAGCCCTTGAATTATCTTGGATATTACACTGCTCCCTAAACCTCCTCCAATTCCTTACTATTCAAGGCTATTTACAGAATTTATCACATTCTCCTCTTTAAACCATGCTCATCGCAAAGTCGCATTGATCTCGATGCGATTGTCAAAAGTTTCTGAATTACTTTTAAAACGACCCAAAACGTAAAAGGTTTGTTCCTTATTAGTTTTTTGCACTTTACAGATATATTCACATAGACCTCCGTATATTCATACACTAGGATGTCGGGTACTGAAATTGTTGAACTCTCCCAAGAGGAAATGGATGCAGTTATCTATGATGCTAGAGAAGGTGACTTGGATACCTTGAAAGAAATATTCGATGAAATATCCCCTTCATTACTACTCAAAATCAAGGACGATATAACTTTGAGTACTCCCATTCATATGGCCGCAGCAAATGGCCACCTCGAAGTGTTGGACTACTTGTTATCTATTGTTTCTAAAGAAGATGCCCAAATCTTGGTTAACGCACCAAATGAAAGCGGAAACACCTCATTACATTGGGCCGCATTCAATGGACATTTAGAAGTACTCAAATTGTTAACAGATAAGTACGAAGGGGATGTGTTTGCCAAAAATCTGGCTGGGCGTGATGTTATGTTCGAAGCTGAGAACAACGATCAAGAGGAAATCGAACAGTGGTTCTTGAAAAAGTACTCGGTCGAAAGTGACTTTAAGGTGGAAGAAGGGGAAGAAGAATCCAAGATTACATACGCTCCTGGAAGTGAAAGTAAAGAAGCAGAGGAAAGAGCTAAAGAAGCAGAAGAAAGAGCTAAAGAAGCAGAACAAGAAGACTCTAAAGGTCTCGCTACCAAAATCAAAAACTTGTCTGTTTCATAAATCACTCCAATATCACCAAGCATTTCTCATCCGTTTTACCTCATTTCCCCCTTGTATACTACATAGAAGATAAAGCCCTTTACACAATAAGTTTCCATGCTGTAACCAGAATTTTTCAGATTCAGTCGTGCGCGTCGCTCCATGAAATTTTTTCAGGTTCGGCCATTACTCACTAACTTACATTAATCACATTATAGTTACCATCATGAGTGATTTAGGATTTGATCCAAGCTTGAAGAAGAAGAAGAAGAAAGTTGTGAGCACAGAGGAAGCTCCTTCTACCGAAGGAAGCCCAGCTGTAGCCGACACTGATGATTTGTTCTCAGGATTGAAGAAAAAGAAGAAGGCAAAGAAGCCTGTTGAAGAACAAAGTTCTAAATCCTCTCCTGTCCCAGCAGACTTGGAAGCTGAGTTCGCCGACTTGACTTTAAAGAAGAAGAAGAAGAAGTCTGTCAAAGCTGCCGATGTTCTTGACTTTGAACAACAATTAGAACAAGCTGGTATTGAAGAAACTACCCCTACAGCAGAAGAAGAAACCACCACTGTTTCAGCCCAAGAGTTGGGAGGATTGCCATATGAAGAGTTGTTATCCCGTTTCTTCAACATTTTGAAAGAGAATAACCCAGAATTGGCTGGAGCCAGATCGGGACCTAAATTCAGAATTCCTCCTCCAGTATGTCAAAGAGAAGGTTCAAAGAAGACCTTGTTTGCCAACGTCCAAGAGATTGCCACTGTCTTACAAAGAAACCCCGAGCATTTGATACAATATTTATTCGCCGAGTTGGGTACTTCGGGTTCGATTGATGGTGAAAAGAGATTGGTTTTGAGAGGTAAGTTTCAACCTAAGCAAATGGAATCGGTTTTAAGAAGGTACATCATCGAGTATGTCACTTGTAAGACATGCAAGTCTATGAACACGGTATTGAAGAGAGAATCTGCCAACAGATTACACTTTTTGAGCTGTAATGCATGTGGTTCCACCAGATCGGTATCGTCTATTAAGACTGGTTTCCAGGCCCAAATCGGAAAGAGAAAAAAGTTGTTGATTTAATGCTTTTGGCTGCAACTATCTTTCTCTCAACAAATATTCCTCTGTGTATCATATCATAACAAATATACATTTTCTTGATCTTTTATTACGTATCTATGCTATCAACCAACTTCTTCAATGGGGCACACCAACTGCTAACGCCATCATTCACCATCATATACTCTACAATCAGGCTCTTTAAAATGGCAGAATCTGCTCCGGTTTTGATCTGCTCCAAAACCTCTGTCACAAACTGTTTGCTGCCCGAACTCATGGATTCGGATGCTTTGGTCAACTTCACCTTGATCTGTCCAAGCATCTTCTCAGGAATACTCGTAGGAAAAGACGTGAGTTCTTCCACAACCATTGCAATATCAACATTAGCAGCGATATCATTTGCGTAGAGTTTTGTCTCGGGAACAAGAGTAGGTGAGGTGTTAACTAGCATACTGGTTGAACTGATGTTTTTTTGAAGCATCACCGGTGGACAATCGTTCCAACCTTCCATTAAGTCACCACGTTGGTATTTGGTCAACGTCATTTGTATATCTTAGAATTCAATGCTTTTCACTGGAGGACCCCCGCTATGCCACCTCCAGAACCTAATGCTTGACGAGTCGATTTTGGTGGTGTAAGCGGTAATTTCACTAGCGCGGTTTTTGTTTCGCATTAGCTTCTGCGTTGCGACTCAAGAGCCATCTCAAGTAACTCATCAACTGAAGGACGGGCTTTGCTGTCAAGTACCAAACAAGACTCGATCATTTTGATGAGATCTGGAGAGTAGTCGTGCGTGTTTTCTGGAATAGAATAGCGTCCGTTGGAAATGGCCACCGTTAAGTTGGCCCCCTGTTCAATCTCCATCTTTTCAAATGGTGAGAACCCGAAACAGCAGCTGTACAATAAACAGCCCAACGACCAGATATCGGTCTTTTCAGTGATCTCAGCATTGGTTTCAACGTCTATTAATTCCGGAGCTCTGTAGGGTAAAGTACAATGCTCCAGGGCAAAGTCTGTTAAGGTTAATGCCTGTTGTCTGTTTTTCACGGTTAAACGAGCTCGTGAACACGATCCCAAATCTACCAACACAGGAAGTCCTTCAGCAGAAAGCATCACGTTCGCGGGCTTAATATCCCTATGAGCAAACGGAATCATTTCTTCCATCTCAAGGCCTGCACCGCTGGAACTGAGTCCTTCTTCATCATCACTGACTTCTGGTAGAAGTAGGTCTGCCTCATCCTCCAGTTGCGTGGTGGACCTTGTGTCTCCATTGGCAGCTCTGGTGACCTTCTTGTACTTATGCATTACCTGTAATCCTCGGCAAATCCCCACAAAGATTCGTAAAATCTCTTCCTCATTCATAGTTTCATTATTTAGCACCTTGTAATTGATTATATCCTGTAATGACTTTTCAAAATACGGAAGAAGAATACAAATGGTTCGAGATCCATCCTTTTCTTGAACAACTGCTTCATCTATTGATTGAATAATATAGGGGGTTTTGGCATATGTAAACCGATGATGGTTTCTGATCTCTTTCATGGCGTTTTTGTACGCTTCATCGTTGGAGCCATAGGGGCATCTTATTCTCTTCAATGCGTATAGGGAATTATTATGAGACTTGTGGGAAACCAAATACACATATGAAAAACCACCTTCTCCCAAAAGACGAATGATTTTGTATCTCTCGTTGTTGATTATCAAGTATGGTGAGGATAGATCCGGAAAACATGGAAAACAACAGTTAAATACCGATAAGATTGCCTCCATATTAGTTTGTCTGAACAATTTAAGGTAAACAACTCGCACGAATTTTTTCGCTGCTTTACTTGCCTGAGAATCTTTGCCATAATATATCCTTTCACGGGAAATGCTGTCACCAAAGGAGTTCAACTTCACCTCTCCAGGCCAAGCATTGCAAGCCATTGCGAAGGATGGTCTGCCAGGCTCACCCAATAATCTCTCCCGGTCCCAGAGCAGAGCTCAATCTCAGTCTCCAGATATAGCCATGGACATAGATATTCCCGTACCTGAAGTTAAACCCGATCAGCTAGAGAAACTACACCAACAAGAATTAATCCCCGAGCTATTTGGAGTGCTACATGACTTACAATCGGGTATTTTGCTGGCCAAAGACTTTGATAACCAGGTAGGTGGAATACGACTCAAATTGGCCAACATTAAACAGTATTTAAGAGACTTTCCTGGAATAACAGAGAGTGTAGACACCCGGGTGGAACGAATTGAGACACTTCGGGTCAACAACGAGAGCAAACTCGAGGTGATGAAGACGTTTAAAGAGAAGGTAGAAGCCCATTTCAAGTAGCACTGAAGCCACTGAAGCTAGCTTATATACAATATCAATTCCACCCATAAATAGTAATGATATAATGTCAAACTCACAAAATACACGTGTTTGTGGTCCTGTTGGGGGTTCTAGAGTTGAGGATCAATTAAATGAACCTCATCTGGCCGCACTAAATTTGTTTTTTTCCTTCCTCCAACAATGAGTTTGCTCAACAGATTGACTAGGTTAATTCCCCAGGACTTCCAACTTAAGGACTACCCCGCGTTGACAGTAGGTTTGATTCCATTCACATTTCTCCTTTTACTCCTTGATTCCTTCTCAAATCGTGCCCTCAGCAATTTCTTCTCCTTAGATCCCTATGCTCCATTCCGATTCGATTTGAATCGAGTATCATTTTATGTGCTCTACCACACCGGATTCACCCATTATTTGGTCAACATTCTTGCCATTGCTGCCCCTATGTGCCACTTCGAAAGAGCACATGGTACGGTTCACACCGGAATAACTCTCAATTTGTTGGCGGTCACTGCTGGGTTGCAATATTGCTTGTTAGGAAGCTTTTTGTATCCAAACACGCGTGTTATCGGATTATCGGGAATTATCTTCCTGTTCGTTACCTACTTTGCTGTCAAAGAACATGAGTTCCAGCCAGTGCTGTTCCGTTTTCCGCTCAATGGTACGGATATACTGCTCCCTACCAAGTATTCTCCCTTCGTGTCATTGGCAATTGTGACCGTCATCTTCCCGGGCCTGTCGTTCTTCGGTCACTTGGCAGGTATTTCTAGTGGCTACTTGTTGGCCTACGGAAAGTTGAATATTCTTTATCCACCTCTGTCGATCATTGTGGCTATAGAGAACAAATTAGCAGGACTCATCAAATTATTAGACGGCTTGGTGGATTTCGTTGGTGAGCAAGAAGCGATCAATTTAAGATACGTGGCCTATCTGCCGATATTCAGTTCTGATCCAGAGACAGTAGCCATTTCTAGCTCGACTGATACAACTGCTCATACTACGTTCAGAAGCGAAGGACATGTTTTAGGAGCCGCCTAACTCAGGGGTAATAAGGGCCCCTCACAATCGATCAAATTATCCTTCGTTAGATTCCCATTGTTTCGAGGAATCGAATTTGCCTTCAGGTTTTTATAGAGTACTTATTTTGCTAATTAAGGTTTTTATTCGCCAATACTGGCAATGTTCTGATGTAGATCGAGTCTATACTCCGAATTATAGTCACAAGGTGAACTATACGGTCAAATAAAAGTTGAGTAATGAAGAGGATTCCAAGAGGATTCCCCCTTGTTCACCAATTCTGTTGTGTTTTCAACATGATCAAGTCCTAATCTCTCCTCTGCTTTTTTTTCGCAACCCCAGAATCGCATGCACCAACGGTGCGTCTCCACTGAAAAATTACAGCTGATCGCGGACTGCCATAAACAAATATAATTTACCTCAGTTGTTTCCTAATTGTTTTTGTTATTGATGGCAAAATAGCTACTGAAATCACGATACTACCTAGAATATCTGAACCCCCAGTAACCATTGCTCTCTGCCCCCCTTGGTATAATGAGCGAGACAACTGCCACTCCCAATTCCAATCCTCCCGCCAACTTTCACAGCGACACCCTCCACACTCAAAAGGATACAGATAAACCTTCAGCTAAGGAATTAAAGAACCAGGCCAAAAAACGAAGGAAACGTAACAACAGGAAAAAGAACAAACACCCTGTTCCAGCTCCCCTAGAAGCTGCAATTCCAGTCGAACCTATTCCAAACATTGACATCGAGACCAAACCTCCAGAATTAGATTGTCCAGTGATGCCAGTCCATAACTTACAAATAAGTCCACGAGATCCTATAAGCCCTCGTAGGCAAACAATAATGAGATACAAAAAAAGTGACGATACCATCAGTAGTGGTTTATTTATTAATGAAGCAAAGGGAAACCTCAAATCCAACCTGTCAACCCTTGGCGATACATCCCATGAGCAAACCAGTAGAAAACTCAAAACAAATCACGTTGGTGAAAAAGAGTCGCTTTTTAAGTTCAGAAGCGCCCGGATTCTTGTGTTTGATGAAGAAATTGGAGAATCAAAGAATAGCGCTTCTGCTACCTCGGGCAGACTATTGGGACATGGGGAATTTGAAATCTTTCAATTGCACAATGGAGATGTGACTTACCTCTCCTGTGGTCCTTCTTTTATATACCCATTGCTACCCAAGCTTAAGATCCTAAGGATTGCGTTCAATCAGTTCATCTTACCACTTGTAAACCCAGAAAGGTACTGGAAAATCTTCATAAACTCGGATAATTCAGAGATAATAGAGAGCCTTGGGGATACCTTCGAACAAGTCGTAAAGTATCGGAACTTGACCATTGGTGCTGACCCTCCCAAAAACAACAAAAACGGTGATTTTAAGCTTCCGGTGACTCCCAAAACGGTTATGGAAGATTCTGTTCTAAACTTCAATATGAACCACATATCAAATGAGATCCCCGAGTCTCCACCGTCAGTTCCATTATCTCCTCATCAAAATGGGCAAGTCATAAGTGGCTCCCTTCAGCTTGGTTCTCCTTTGAAGCCACCTCAGCTAAATTCCCAATTTCACCCAATGTCTAACTTAATCTCCAGAGTCGACTCCGATAAGTCGCTATCAAGTGCGTTAGCAAGTCTTGACGTTGCTGGTATAAGTCAAGTTCCAGGCATAAATAATACTACTATAAAAGTCCATCATCCAAAGCCTAAAAGACCTTTAGTCCCTTATGCTTCGCCTAGGATAAATTCTGCTCGTCATGATACCAAATCAGATTCGTCAATGGATTCTTTACTTGATGAGTATGAAGAGTCAATGTCGGTATCCAAGTCCTTCACTTACACTAAATCGCGTCCGATGTCAAGATCCTCTTCATTCGTTCAAGCACCCGCAAATTTCAAACGAAAAGAACACCTGATGTACGATGAAAAGAAAGAAGAGGACCTGATGTTACACTACAAGAAGGCATTTGACAGTGATGATTTCCCAACCACTTCACTTTCTGAATACAACAAAACTCACAACATTCGATCCAGGAGATCTTCTCGTAGCGAGTTGTATACTTCAGAATCGAATTGGATGGACCCTGACCCCAAAGCCAATGCTGAAGTCATTCCCCGATTTCCCTATTCGAGATCAAGCTACAGTGTTCATAGTGGGCATGATTTGAATAACGGTGATTTAAACAACACATACAAGAATATTTACAAGTCAATTACCCAAAGAAACTTATCGCAGATTCTAAATGACCGGAACGATGACTTGAGGTCGGTCAGGTCATCTCAAAGATTACCCACCATTGAACAGTCAAGAACGTTGAAGACATCCACTGGCTCCGTAAGAAATGACTATGTAAATACCAGATACGGTGATCAAAAATTGGCTCCGAGCACCAGTCTTAACTACAATCCTAGCACCAAACAACCTATTAAGGAAAACATTTATTTGAACTCAGATGATGTTTATAAGATTCTCAGCAAAAAAAAAGCATCCACCGCCGAACCAGGGCCAAGAAGCAAAGGATTTGCTTCTCGATTGTTCGGCTGGTAATTTACTCATACAAGACATAAATATAATGAAGTGATGAAGGGCGGAATGTATATGTACAATGTAATAATCTAATGAAAGTTTATTTCCTTATTTAAGCAACTTGAGGAGCACCTGGAACTGGGTTACCATTGGCGTCAACCAAGCCTTGTTGCATCATCATTATTTGTTCATTACCAGCAGATTCGAATTGCAAACCAACTCCGATTCTGGAATTGTTTTTAGCGTGGTCGATTTCACCAGAGAACAAAAGGGCAATGGTTGGCAACACTCTCTTCTCCATAAACACGCCAACTTTACCAGTGGAGTCTATTTGACCTCTGTAAACAGATTGTCTGTACTCGTATTTGGCACCAACAGTAGTTTGACCTTCGATAACTGGTTCCATACCAATTGGAGTTCCGCTGAAGTTGTCGGTGATTGGTCTCATGGTAGCAGACACTTGGGTTTCCACACCGGCTTCAACCTTGTCGGTGACCTTTCTCCAGAAACTAGCAATAAGAGCACCTTGGGCCAACAATTGACCAGAAAAGATCCAGTTACCATTGTTGTATCTGGCGTAGTAAGAAATGGCACTTTCGGGGACTGGAGCACCCGGCTGTTTAGTATAACTAGACTCAACACCCACCGATAATTTCTTAGACAACGACTGTAATAAAGAAGCAACGGCCAAACCAGTGAATCCATCGTTCAAGAAAGAAGGGTTCAAAGTCTTGAAGTTAACCGAGAAATCACCAGCTTGGTAATCTTGTTCCAATTGAACCATAGCTGGTTGACCATTGGCTAATTGCAATGTCAATTTGGAAACGTTATTGGCATTCCAACCATAGTTGATTCTACCACTGAAAGATAAATCGTTATCGATATTACCTTGCATGAAGGTCTTTTCCCCATAGTACAAGGCGGAGAAAGCATAGGCTGGTAAGACTTGAGAACCCATGGATAATGTATGAGAAGTCTGGAAAACGGGGAACATGGAGAAAGCCTTGTTTAAGTCAGCTCTTAAACCGGTGAAAAAATATTGGTTCAAGAAAACATCACGACTGACTTCCTTGTTTATGTTTTCGATGGTACCAGGGTTGACCAAACCCAATGATTTCCTGTGTTCGCCAATAGTGGTGTACACATCATTTATATATTGGTAAAAAGGGTTCAAAGGACCAGTGGTTTCTTGAACAGTGTTGCTTGGCAATGTGGACACTCCTTTGTTCAAGTCTCCGAAGGAGGTTGGAATTGTGCTAGTTTGTTCAGACATTGGTGGGCCTTTTTTTGTACACTATTTACAATAAGTTCTGAACTTGCTGAAATCTAACTGGAAGAAGCAAAAAAATTTCGTGAAAATTTTGAGAAATGTGGTTGGGGAACACTCTGAGATTTACGTGAGACTAGCTTGGCTATAGGCCGAGAGCAAGCGAGCATGAGACTCGAAGCGACCCAAACCCGCGGTATATTTCATACCAGAATTTGGAACTCCCAAATAACCATCCCGACTTCAAGCATACCACCAGCTTCTTCAAAGTTATGGTTATTCGGGTTAATTACAACCACCCGATGTAATCTCAATCTTGGAACCGGAGCAGCTCATGAAGAAATGTCGCCTCGCACGTCAGTAGTCCGACATCAACTGCGAATTTGCATTTCAGCAGGTGATGTAAAATCAGCGATTCTCTCAACTATTAAATCCTAACCTTTCCCTTTGACTGCCCCAATTATTCTATATTTTACAATACATTGCAACTGAACGATGACGGCCCCTTCCATTATTGGATCTTCATCTTTCAGCTTCTATGTTCCTAATCAAGATTACTTGAAGCAATGTGTGGATTTTTACACTGCTTGTGTCGGCTTCGGGGTTCATTCTCGTAAGGAATCTTGTGTTTATTTGGTTTCTGAGAATGGAAAGCTATCCATTGAAGTGGTGGTACGTCCCGAATATGCCGATTCCCCTTCCGTGATTGCTGAATCCATCAAAACCTTGACTGAAAAGGCCAAATCAGTTGATCTTAGAGCTGTTGAATCATTGTTCATCTTACAGTGTATCAATTTAAATGACTTGATTAAAAACCTTCAATTGTGGAAGAAACCTGTACAAATTTCTCCAAACGAGTTGTTCCCTAACGAATGTTTCACAGTGGATCCTCTAGGAAAGGTAATTGGTTTTACCTTGACAGGTAATCCCCTATCCACTGTTCCAAAAGTCGCAAAGTTGACTCCTTTAGATCACCTTTCTACCTCCAGTACTATGTCCCACTCGATCTCCAATACCAACTTGGCGGGCACTGCGGGTCTTACCGCTGGAAAGAGAAGAAACGTTGCCGTAATGACGTCGGGTGGTGATGCCCCTGGTATGAATGCTAATGTAAGAGCCATTATTAGAGCTGCCATCTACAGAGGATGTAAAGCGTTCGCTATTATGGAAGGCTACGAAGGTTTGGTCAAAGGTGGTCCTGAATACATTCGTGAATTGAACTGGGAAGACGTCAGAGGATACTTGAGTGATGGTGGTACTAATATTGGAACTGCTCGGTGTATGGAATTTAGAGAAAGACCCGGTAGATTACAAGCTTGTAAAAATTTGATAGAAGCTGGTATCGATGCCTTGATTGTCTGTGGGGGTGATGGTTCTTTGACTGGGGCTGATGTTTTCAGAGCCGAGTGGCCTTCTTTGATTCAAGAATTGAGGGATACCAACAGGATCGACGAAGAACAGTATAATTCTTACAAGCATTTGAACATTTGTGGAACTGTGGGTTCTATTGACAATGATATGGCCACCACTGATGCCACTATTGGAGCATACTCCTCATTGGCAAGAATTTGTCAAGCTATTGACTATATTGATGCTACGGCTAACTCTCACTCTAGAGCCTTTGTGATTGAAGTTATGGGAAGGCATTGTGGATGGTTGGCTTTAATGGCAGGTATTGCAACTGCTGCTGACTACATTTTGATTCCTGAAAAGCCGGCTTCTTCCAAGGATTGGAAAGAGCAAATGTGTAAGATTGTGTCTGATCACAGAGGTAGAGGAAAGAGAAAGAGTATTGTGATTGTTGCTGAAGGAGCAATTACCAACGACTTGGAACCAATTTCTTGTGAAGCAGTGAAAGATGTGTTGGTAAGTGAACTTGGCCTTGATACTAGGGTCACCACTTTGGGCCATGTTCAAAGAGGTGGTACTGCTGTTGCATTTGACCGGATCCTCGCTACTTTACAAGGGGTGGAAGCAGTGGAAGCAGTCTTGGAATGTACTCCTGACACTCCATCTCCTTTGATTGCAATTGATGAGAATAAGATTGTAAGAAAGTCTCTTGTGGATGCAGTCAGAATCACCAAGTCTGTTGCCACAGCTATCGAAGCCAAAGAGTTCGATAAGGCCATGTCATTAAGAGATTCTGAGTTCATTGAGCATTTACTGAATTTCATGGCCATGAACTCGGCTGATCACAATGAACCTGTTTTACCAGTTGAAAAGAGAAAGAAAATCGCCATTATCAACGTGGGAGCGCCTGCTGGTGGTATGAATAGTGCTGTGTATGCTATGGCTACCTACTGTATGTCACAGGGTCATACTCCTTATGCCATCCACAACGGATTCTCAGGTTTAGCCAGACACGAATCAGTAAGACTGATTGACTGGTTAGAAATCGAAGGTTGGAACTCGATTGGAGGATCTGAAATCGGTACTAATAGAAACACCCCTGAAGAAACCGATATTGGAATGATTGCATATTACTTTGAAAAGTATAAGTTTGATGGGTTAATTTTGGTGGGAGGCTTTGAAGCATTTGCTTCTTTGAACGAATTGGAGAAAGCTAGGATGTCGTACCCGGCCTTTAGAATTCCAATGGTCTTGGTTCCAGCTACCATCTCCAACAATGTACCAGGTACTGAATACTCACTTGGTGCCGATACATGCTTAAATGCCTTGACTGAATACTGTGATGTCATCAAACAATCTGCTTCTGCCACCAGAGAAAGAGCTTTTGTGATTGAAGTTCAAGGTGGTAACTCCGGTTATATTGCTACCTTTGCATCCTTGACTACCGGAGCCCAAGCTTCATACGTTCCTGAGGAAGGTATTGAATTGAGTCAATTGGAATTGGATATTAGAGCTTTAAAAGAATCATTTGCCAGTGAAAAGGGCTTGGCTAAGGCTGGGAAATTGATCTTGAAGAGCTCCAACGCATCCAAAACTTTAACTTCTCAAGTTTTGGCAGACATCATCAATGAAGAAGCCGATGGTAAATTCGATACCAAAACCGCCATTCCTGGTCATGTTCAACAAGGTGGTTTACCTTCACCAATTGATAGAACCAGAGCTGCTAGATTGGCTATAAGGGCCGTGCAGTTCATCGAAGAACACACCGACACTATTGCTCCTTATAAGTACAGTTCAGACTTCCCCTTTGATGATAAGACTATAAGCGCAACAGCTGCTGTGTTGGGTATTAAGTCATCGCATATTAAGTTCTCATCGATCAGGTACTTGTACGACTTTGAAACCGAATTAGGTAGAAGAATGCCAAAGAAAATTCATTGGGCTAGAGTCAGAGATATTGCTGATAATTTGGTTGGTAGAACCCGTCTCACTAGAACCCAATGAGAATATTAGTTGTTAAACATTTAGTCATAGAAATAAGTTTAAGATTTTCAAAATCCGTAAAATTCGCACCTACTTATTAGACTTATGAACCACATAACTAGATATTATAAAGGTACGTTTTGAAGAGCCTATAAACAAATCCAACAAGTTACTAACATAATAGACATTAAGCAAGATGTTTTGAATGCCCAAACACGCCTGGATATAGCTAGCGCTACAACCAGCTTGAGGATTCTTGATGACCAAGTCCTGGAGACCTCACAACAGATGACAAACTACGATAAGCAAAAGACTCGAGAACTCATCAACTCCTTGTCCAGACTATTAGAAGCCAAGAAAAGCCTGATGGATACCTCCAAGTTCAAATTTAAGGGTGCTCCCATAATTCTACAAACCGACAACTCTCCAACCAAGAACCTCAATATACAAGTGGGACCAAAGCCTTATATGGAAAACATATTTGACCAACGGATTGAAATACAAAGTCCTGTCAACCACTTGTTGCTCAAACAATTTGAACGGTGTATTGTTCTCAACCACAAAAACAGTTCGTCTGTGAACTTACAAACAGGCGCCAACTCAATATTACGATTTGATATCGATGGAACCATCTCGGCAACTGGCCTAACCAACTGCATTGTACTTGCCAATTGTCATCAGCTCCGGCTCCACAACATCACAAACTCATTGGTTGTATCTGATATCACTACAAACGTGATAATGGAAAACTGTATGAATGTCAAGTTTTCTGGGGCTGTGAACGTGGATGACTTCAACTTCAACTTTACCAACTCCCAAAACTACCTGTACGTTGAGATAGAGCGAGAATCACTTGACTGGATCAATGGGCAATATGATGCAGATTTGCTTCAGCAGACTCTTGGTCTAATCCATGACTGTTCGTAAGACTGTTAATTTTCAACCCATTTGGTCTTGAAGTGTTCAACAAGGGTGTCGATGGATTGCTGAGCCCGGGGTGCATCTGGGCTGTAGTGGTTGGGTGAGCCACAGATAGTTAAATTCTCCCAGTTAATACCGGTGCCGTGATTTGCCGCTACCCGCGATTATGCGTGTTTATGCGTGTTTTAGCGTGGTGATAATTTTGCATTATAAATATGCAAAATACCTCCTGATTTTTGGTGCCTTCCTTGCCAATAATGACTGTTACTGATAGAATCCCCTTGGGGGAATACGTGTTTTTGAGAATTCTTCAGGCGAACCCCAAATTAAAATCCATCTTTGGGGTGCCAGGTGACTACAATCTTAACTTGATGGAATACTTGTATAAAGACTCGGTTCTTGATAAAGGTGTTACTTTTATTGGGAATTGTAATGAGTTAAATGCTGCCTACTGTAGTGACGGGTACTCCAGGATTATCGACACTTTTGCCGTTATGATCACCACTTTAGGAGTGGGTGAATTGTCTGCTTTAAATGGGGTTTCCAGTGCGTTTTCTGAATTCGTTCCTGTTTTGCACATCGTCGGAAGTGTTGCAACTGGCAAAGAAAAGGTTAATAATGATGCCCTGATTGATGACTTTCAAAATTGGCACCACTTGGTTCAGTCGAAAGACCCCTTGTCCAAGCCCGACTGTCATGTCTTTAGCAAAATGAGTGAACCGATCTCTATTTGCACTGAATCTTTGACTCACAAAGGTTTGTTCAATGGTGATAACTTCGATAAGATTGACAATGTCATCAAAAGTATCTTGAGAGAATCAAGGCCCGGTTACCTATACGTCCCTTCTGACTTGCCAGACATTTTGGTTCCCGCTTCAAGATTGGAGATACCTTTTCATTACAAGGAATACGATCCTGAAAATATCGAGTCAAGGTATAGGTTAAACACGTTGTCTGATAAAATCTTAACCTATTTATACCAGGCCGAGTCGCCAATCATTCAGAGTGATGACTTGATTTACAAGTTCCATGCGTATGACAGTTTCAATGGTTTAATCGATAAGCTCAAGAACAACAAGCTGGTTAGATTATATGCTAGCAGAATTGGTAAGTGTATTGACGAGACTTTGGATAATTTTGTTGGTATATACCCTAGTGCATTCCCAGATGTCGCTGACAATTTCCAGAATAAGACGGATTTGTTGATAGTGTTCGGTTACACCAATTTTGAAACTAATGGATTGTACAACGGACTTGAACACTATAAGAACATAAGGGATGTAATTTTAATCAATCCTGACTACGTCAAGATCAACGATGAAGTTATTTTCATCAAGAACCAAAAGAATGGGCTTAGGAATTTCTGTTTAAATGACTTAATTCAAAACGTCAGTGATAAGCTTGATGTGACGAAGCTCAGACAAATGGACAACATCCCAAAATTTAACCGCAACAAAGTAACTGAATATCCTGACAATGATACCCAGGATATGAGAATCAGTCTGAACAAATTGTTCAACTTTGCCAACCACAACCTTCGCCCAAATGATATTATCCTATGTGAGGTATCTTCCTTCTCATTCGACTTGCCTAACTTGACCCTAAGAAAAAACAATAGATTGATCTACAACTCATATTATGCGTCCATTGGATATGCTTTACCGGCTACCCTAGGTGTCTGCTTAGCATTGAAGGATCTTGGCAGTGACAGAAGAGTAACCTTATTTCTTGGTGACGGTTCAGCCCAAATGACCATCCAGGAATTGTCTACGTTCTTAAGATTTAATGTGAGCACTCCACAAATTTTCTTGATGAACAATGAAGGGTATACCATTGAAAGAGCCATCAAGGGGGAAACAAGATCTTATAATGACATACAATTATGGAATTACGAGTTTGCCTTAAAGTTTTTTGGAGATATCAATGAAGAAAAGCACACGTTCCACAAGTTGAAAAATTCCGGAGAATTTGAAAAGTTCTTCGCTTGCAGGGACGAAAAGTCTAAAAACAAGCTAGAGTTCTTCGACTTGAGTATGTATAAGACAGATTACTCTGGCGGGTTAAAGTTCTTTCTTGGGAAATAAAAACAGTGTATAATATACTAATATAAAATTGGTTTTAACACCCTCAAGTTTCAGGTTGTGATCAATCAAGGTGCAAACAATAAAAGCTCTGCAGCCAGTGGGGCATGTTTGCTAATGTGGGGAAAAACTGTTACCGATGGGTAAACTTAATTCATTCCCCATGAAAAGCGCGGACTATTTAAACTCTCATTTGTCCTCGGAACCAATTTTTTTATTCATATTATAGAATGTTGGCACCTGACTCATCTCCTTTCGTGTTGGAAAATCCTGAGAAGTTGCCCACTTTAGAACTCTACCGCAGATATTTCCCATTTGACAATGATGTGTATAAGGCGGTCCCGGTGGAAGGAACTCAATCCGAAGGCCTCTCCCCAATCTACCGGAATAAAAAAACGGTGAAGAGAATCAAGACATTTTTGTTGGAAGGTTTAGAGACTGTCCATGATATTTTTGAGGATATTGTCTCCCAGGTTCCCGATTCTCCTTGTTTCAAGTACCGGCCTTATGACTACAAACTGGGAAAGTCTGAAGACGTCTACAAGCCTATTAGTTTTGCGGAAGTGCAGCAAATGAAGAATGATCTAGGAGCTGGTATCCTTTACCTGTTGCAAAATAATCCATTCAAGAACTCTCAGGTTCATGAATCCCATCGCAAGATTGATAACCACGTCCTGGACTACAAAACTTACGATTGTGACAACCATTCCTTTGTTGTTACCTTATATTCGAGCAACAGATACGAATGGATTGTGACCGACTTGGCCTGTGCAAGTTTTGCCATTACCGACACCGCCTTGTACGATACCTTGGGAGAAAGTGCTTCTGAATTTATCTTAAGTTTGACCCAATCTCCAATCGTTGTTTGTTCTAAACAGCATGTCAGAGGGTTGATTGATTTGAAGCGCAAATTCCCCAAGGAATTGGCTCCCCTTATCTCCATTGTGTCAATGGACCCATTATTTATTGAGGACCGTCCTCTTGTGGAATTGGGTGAGAAGTCCCAAATTAAAGTGTTTGACTTTGACCAAGTTATGGGACTTGGTAGACTTTTCCCTTTGGAAAATCTTCCCCCTAATGCATCGACGATGTACACTATTAGTTTCACTTCGGGAACTACTGGTTCTAACCCTAAAGGTGTTTGTCTCACCCAGGAAAATGCTGGTAGTACTTTGAGTTTCCTTCTTCCTCAGGTACTTTCCACCCCTGATGCGTTTTCATTCTTGCCTTATGCTCATATATTTGAGAGAGAAACTGCATTGATCACCATGGCAACTGGGGCTTGTCTAGTGATGCCTCAGTTGAACTACACACCATTGACTTTAATTGAAGATTTGAAATTGGCTAAACCAACAAGAATCTCTCTTGTTCCAAGAATATTAAATAAATTCGAAGCAGTTATCAAGAGTAACACCATTAACAATCCTAATTTCTCGGACTTCAAGAAATCGATTTTTACTAATTTGTTTAACTCGAAAATGGACGACCAATGTCATGCTGATGGCAATGAAGGTAGAAGGTTGATTCTTGATAAGTTAATTATCAATAAAATCAAAACCCAGTTTGGTTTTGACAATATTAATTACGTCATCACAGGTTCTGCTCCAATTGACCCTGAAACTGTAAGATTCTTGAAGGCCAGTTTGCAGATTGGTGTTAGTCAGGGCTATGGTTGTACCGAGACTTTTGCTGGTATGTGTTTAAGCCGTCCCTTTGAAGCTAATCCTGGAAGTTCTGGTTGTACAGCTGGAAACACCGAAATTCAAATTAGAGAAATCCCAGAAATGAATTACACCTTGCAAGATGAAGGAGGTCCAAGAGGTGAATTGTTAATTAGAGGCAGCCAAATTTTCAAAGGATATTACAAGGATCCTGAAGAAACAGCAAAAGCACTTGACAGTGAAGGGTGGTTCCATACTGGTGATGTCGCCAGGATTGATGCTGTAGATGGAAAGATCACCATCATTGATAGAGTCAAGAACTTTTTCAAATTGGCCCAAGGAGAGTATATTGCTCCAGAAAGTATCGAAAATAACTATCAATCTAATAACCCTATTTTGAGTCAAATGTTCATCCATGGTGATTCTTTAAAGGACTATTTGGTGGCTGTTTTAGGTATTGATAAGGCCAGTCAGATCGAATTTTTGGCAAAGCAATGTAAGCTTTCACCCAAGCAATTAACGTCATTGACAGATGAGGCCCTTTTGAAGCTCATCAATGAAAAGAATAACAAACGTACTTTACTAAGCTTTCTTAACAAGTCTGTTCCCCAATTGAAAGGGTTCCAAAAGATCAAGAACGCTTATATCGAGTTTGAGCCTTTAACATTAGAAAGAGACGTCGTAACTCCAACCATGAAGGTAAAAAGACCCATTGCAAAGAAGTTCTTCTCTGATGTCTTGTCGCTGATGTATAAAGAGGGCCCTATCAGTGGAGATGCGAAATTGTAGATTTATTAGACCTAGAATATATGTTTTTGTTCATTTAATAATCGCACACTAAAGACTTCGCACAAGTTTGATATTTTTCACTTCAATAAAAACTCACTGGTGAACTCATCTAGATAAAATGGTATGTGAAACCTTAACGATGGAAGTTCTCATGACGTGTCAGTCTCATTACTGATATTCATGGACCCTAAGAGCTCCATTATTCAATAGATTATTTGTACTAACTATGTTTTACTAGGCTACAACTATATCAACAAATGTGGAATCCAAAGACTTGAATGGCGTTTCTTTAATCGCTGCTCATTCTCATATCACGGGATTGGGCTTGGACGAAAACTTGAAACCAAAAGAGTCTGGTCAGGGTATGGTTGGACAATTGAAAGCAAGAAAAGCTGCTGGAGTCATTTTAAAAATGATTCAAGCTGGAAAAATCGCTGGTAGAGCCGTTTTGATTGCTGGTCCTCCATCAACTGGTAAAACTGCTATCGCCACCGGATTGGCCCAAAATTTAGGTAGTGAGGTTCCCTTCACTGCCATTGCTGGATCCGAGATATTTTCATTAGATTTGTCCAAAACTGAGTCTTTAACCCAGGCCTTCCGTAAGTCAATTGGTATTAGAATTAAAGAAGAAACTGAAATCATTGAAGGTGAAGTTGTGGAGATCCAAATTGACAGGTCCATTACTGGTGGTCACAAGCAAGGTAAATTAACTATTAAAACCACAGATATGGAGACCATTTATGAATTGGGTAATAAAATGATTGAAAGTTTAACCAAGGAAAAGATTTTGGCCGGGGACATTGTAAGCATTGATAAGTCTTCAGGAAAAATCACCAAATTGGGTAAATCATTCACTAGGGCTAGAGACTATGATGCCATGGGACCTGACACTAAGTTTGTTCAATGCCCCGAAGGTGAATTACAAAAGAGAAAGGAAGTGGTACATACAGTCTCTTTACACGAAATTGATGTGATCAACTCAAGACAACAAGGATTTTTAGCCTTATTTTCTGGAGACACCGGGGAAATCAGGTCTGAAGTTAGAGATCAAATCAACACCAAGGTTGCTGAATGGAAAGAAGAAGGCAAGGCTGACATCATTCCAGGTGTTTTGTTCATCGATGAAGTACATATGTTGGACATTGAATGTTTCTCATTCATAAATAGGGCGTTGGAAGATGACTTTGCTCCAATTGTGATAATGGCCACCAACAGAGGAATGTCAACTACGAGGGGTACCAACTATAAATCCCCACATGGTTTACCATTTGACTTGTTGGACAGATCGATTATTATTCACACTACTGGTTATAATGCCGAAGAAATCAAGACTATTTTGTCGATTAGGGCCCAAGAAGAAGAAATCGAATTAACCGGTGATGCTTTGGCTTTATTGACCAAGATTGGCCAAGAAACCAGTTTGAGATATGCTTCCAATTTACTTTCTGTGTCTCAGCAAATCGCTTTGAAGAGAAGAAGTAACACCGTCGAATTGGGTGACATCAAGAGAGGCTATATGTTATTCTTAGATTCTGACAGGTCCGTACAATACTTGGAGGAGAACAAAACCCAGTACATTGATAATGAAGGTAAAGTGGTTATTGGAACTAATGGATCCTTCAAAAAGACTGGTGCTGCTGATAGCATGGAAACTGACTAAAACCTGAACTGAATAAGAATTAGAATTACTTTGTAGGATTAAAAGATGAACTCAAAACGCTACCTGATATTGTAGTCAAGTCTTTAGTTTACATAGTTGAACTAATCATAATAATGCAAATATTGATTTTTGTACTATATATACCTCCATACTCATGCCGATGCCAGGGTGTCGTATTCTTTTGAGTTGGTTGACTGACTGACATTATCCAAATTCTCCTTTGTGTCTTCTTGAGATACAGACACATCTTTTTGAAGGTTGTCAGGATTATACAAGAACCTCAACAATTCCTTTTCATCAGTCCATGCTCTGCACTTCTTGCCGTAAATGTACAAAGGAATTCCAAAAACAGAAACCACTATTTGAATAATAGCATAGGTAGCAAAGGTAATTCTGGCTCCCCTAGCTTGCATGAAAGAATTGTTGAATAATGAAAAAGCAAACCCTATGAAGTTCTTAGCGAAATTCAAACTCACTAATCCCTCAGAAGCAAACATTTTATACGAATCAACCGTAAATGTAATTGCAGTGGTACTAGCCATTGAACTTCCAAAAGAAAGACACCCAAAAAATATCACTGGAGCAACCCATGGATCATGGACTTGTATAGACCAACCGTACCCAAGAAAACCAAATGCAATAAAAAAAGTGGCAGGAATCATCATAACTAATCTGAATTCTGGCTCATAAACACCTTTATTTCTGGAAATCAAATAACGACTCAATCTATCAGAGACCAAACCTGTGGTCATACTTCCCAATATTCCGCCAATGAATGGGGAAATGTAAAACAACCCAACTGTCTGCTGTGAATAGCCGTAAGGTTCAGAACGGAAAATCTCAGAAATGACTTCGGAAATCACAATTAACCAAACGACTGCAAACGAATATACAAGAGACCCAAACAAAACCGAAGGATAAGTATAAAGAACAAATGGCCGTAAGGCCACCATCCACCAGCTATCAATGGTGTGTCTGCCTGAAAACACCGAGAGTCTACTGGCAAAAGTCCTGGGTTCTTCTTCCTCGATGGTCTCAAGAATACTTAAATCAGGTGGCATGTTGTGAACTGTTGGGATGGTCCTCTGACTTTGATTAGCACTATTCAAGGCAAAGGCATTGGGTCTCTCGTTAGGAGGTTTAAAATTTTTGGCTGTCCTAGCGGCTCCCGTTTCTTTTATACTCCTCTTGTTGGGAGTTGGCTCTCTTTCCCAAAATGTCTCTGGAACAAAGAGAAATGTCAATACGAGGTTAGCGCCTAAGAGCATCGCCAAAATCCAAAAGAGCCAGTGTCTATCCAAATATTGGAAGACTAGCGATGATAGAAGGGGTACAATATTCTTACCTCCCAACATCAACATTGTATAGATACCCACTCTGTAAGCCCGTTCATGAGCGAAATAGATTTCAGCAATGGTAGCAGATGGTAAGGATTCAGTCGGAGAAGCTCCAAAACCCGTGATAATTCTTCCAATCATCAACACAGCATAACTTTGGGAAGAACCTCCTACGATTGCCCCCACTAAGAAAAGCAAAATACCCAGAAGATAAACCACCCGTTTACCGTAGAGAACTGCGGACGGTGACGCAAACACCGAGCCGAGTCCCAAACTCAACATGAAAATCCCCACCAAGTACGAAATCATGGTGGACGTCTTATCAAATTCTATGGTCAACAGGGTCATTCCAGCTGCTAGAAGAGGACTTTGACCACCCCCCAAAAACGTTTGGAACCCCACAATCATCAAGCACAAGTCTCTTCGCCAGACCGGCCAGTTAAGAGGATCATTAGGAGTATCATGAGGTTGAGGATGCAAGATAGTTCCTTCCTTGTTCTTCTTCAAAACAGCCAAATCGTTCCCTGAGCCATCTTCAGGGTCCTGAAGCATGACAATAGTCCCAGTGACATTTTTCCTTTTTGGCTCCTTGATGCCTAAGGTCATGGTTTAGACTGAGTACACGGAAATGAAACGGACAAACAGATATTGCAGCTATTTATAAATTCCTATCTTCAAATTGAGATCGGGATGCGTTTGTTTTTCTTGAGAGGGCCGCGCCTTGGAACAATACGTCACAGGGGCCTAACAACAACATAAGCTGTGGGGTTCGACATGGTTACCTAGACAAGCAATAACGCCAATTGGCATTCCAATACATAAGACGCGTGTGCTTGTTTATGTTTTGGTAGGGTTGTTGTGGTGAGTGAATGTTATGGGATATATGCTATGGATTAAGAGACACCCCAATAAGTTCTTCGAGTTTTCTTAGAGTCGCAATTCTCTGATTAGAATCCAATTTGTCTGATTATTGCCTTTCACTACAGAGGTTTGGAGTCCTACGCGTAGAACAGGCGAGTGTCGTCGGAAATTTTGTTAGATATCAGATAGGTAGTTATCGCAACCGATTGGCGTCACCGCATAAAGAGTGGAATGCTTGATCCATTGCTGGTGGCAACATATACTTGTGGAACACTGTATTCTCAACATCAGTATCACATTTGTAAGCTAAATCTGGGCTATATACATATTCATTGCACTATCCTAGGTTGGGTTAAATGTCATTCATCCAACTGAATCACATACATGGCCTCGCAGTCTTCACTGGAGTATGTTCCAATTGTGTATGAACCATGTCCCTTGCAGCTTCTCGTCTGATTATATAATCATCGGAAATATCTCCCCTGCCGATCTTCATAATAGTACAATAAGGAAAAGTCATTTCCTAGCGGACACCTCTTTTTCCATTCTTCAAAAATGTATCAAGTGTAGTCATTTGGTTTTAGAGTACACTACTTTGGACCTTTTAAGTAATCATGATAGGGCGTTTTCTAGTCAAGAAATAGCCCCAAAAACATATAGGCCTTTTTGAAAGGTCAAAATTTCCACCGTTCATCACGGCCCACTTTAACGTTTTGGACTGTATCCCAATTTCAATGGGCCCTGGAAATTCATTGAGTACTTTGTTTTGCTCTTTGGATTCGTTCAAAGCCTTGTTACTCTTGTGAACTAGTTCCAACCCCTTCACCACTCTGTTGTGATGCTCGTTAGTGTTACTTATGGAAAGCTAACCTCACATAATCTTGAAGAAAATCATACTTGATAGTTTTGGGAGTACAATATGCTCCTTCTTGTGTAGCCTCAATGATGCTTTTGAGGAGAGGTCATATTATTAGTGGCATTTCAATGGCCTGGCTTCGAGATCTAGGTCAATGTGGGTTCATGATCTGGGCCAATATGGGTTCTTGACCTGGTCCGCAATCTACGACGGAGATGGAATGTCCCACGAGATGCTTGTAGTTTTCTTTTCTAAGTAGAAAAATATTCTATGGTTGAGAAGTTTGCAATTCTTACTTGTCGTACATTATCCCAAAAAAGTGACAACGTATATGAGCCAAACCTGGGGTACCAAACACACTCAAATACAAACTCATTTCACGATCCCGGGTCGGGGTTAGAGAAGGAACTCTAGCGGCAGGCACAAATGTTTCAAGTATGTTTCCGGTTAGCTCCAGAGTTCCCTAGCTCCGTAGGCTAGCCCCAAGGTATTACAAATAGCACCACAAATTGGGCTCTCATTCTAGAGGGGTATCAAATAACTCGTTACTTCGGCAGATAACTTAATTTTATCCGGAAGCTAGATTGCTACTGACGTCGTACAACGTGCTCATTGCTCTCAGGTGCGTAACCCCGGAAAGTTCCATTCCCACTCATACCACCAACACCCATATCACCACCACCATCTATAACACTATTGATAACAGTACCAGATGAATCCAACGCTATAGAATATCCCCTCCTCAAGTTAAGCTATGCCGGGGGTCATCTAGAATCGCTAACAATTATTAATTGCTATTTTCTGAGTGGGTGCAGCATTTTATGCAAGATTTTTCGCAGCTTAATAATCAGACGCCCTTAATCCCATTCTAATAGGGAATCTAGATGTTGTCATTGTAAGATACCATTAAAAGTGGAGAGTTATGGCTCAAAAGTATAAATACTCCATTATTTGACCAATAACTTGGTTTTTGTTCCAAATCATTTTAATCATGGCTCCAACATTCACAAACTCCAATGGGTGTCCCATCACTCCCGACGCTTTTGCTACTCAGAGAGTTGGTAAGCATGGGCCATTATTATTACAAGACTTTAATTTAATTGACTCGTTATCTCACTTTGACAGAGAGAGAATCCCCGAACGGGTGGTTCATGCCAAGGGTTCCGGTGCCTACGGGTATTTTGAAGTGACCGACGATATCACTGATGTGTGTGGTGCGGGCTTCTTGGATACGGTGGGCAAGAAAACCAAAACATTCACTCGGTTTTCTACTGTAGGAGGTGAAGCTGGATCTCCAGACTCGGCAAGAGATCCAAGAGGATTTGCAACCAAGTTGTATACTGAAGAAGGTAACTTGGATTTGGTGTACAACAACACACCCGTGTTTTTCATCAGAGATCCCTCCAAATTTCCCCATTTCATCCACACCCAAAAGAGAAACCCACAGACTCATTTGAAGGATGCAAACATGTTTTGGGACTACTTGGTGAGCAACCCCGAGTCGGTGCACCAGGTGTCTATTTTGTTTTCTGATCGTGGAACTCCTGCCAGCTACAGAGAAATGAATGGTTACTCGGGACATACTTATAAATGGTCCAATAAGAAGGGTGAATGGTTTTATGTACAAGTGCACTTTATCAGTGACCAAGGTATCAAAAATTTGACAAACGAGGAGGCTGGGAAGTTGGCAGGTTCAAATCCCGACTTTGCCCAAGAAGACTTGTTCAAGAACATCAAGGCTGGAAATTTCCCCTCTTGGACCTGTTACATTCAGACCATGACTCAAGAACAAGCCAAACAGGCTCCTTTCTCGGTGTTTGATTTGACCAAGGTATGGCTGCATAAGGACTATCCTATGAGAAGGTTTGGTAAGTTGGTGTTGAATGAAAACCCCAAAAACTACTTTGCCGAAGTAGAACAAGCGGCCTTTGCCCCCTCTCATACCGTGCCATACATGGAACCCAGCGCCGACCCGGTTTTGCAGTCAAGATTGTTTTCTTATAACGATACTCATAGACACAGATTGGGTGTTAATTACACCCAAATTCCTGTCAATTGTCCCATTACCGGGGTATTCAACCCCCATATGAGAGATGGTGCTATGACTGTGAATGGTAATTTGGGGTCTCATCCAAATTACTTGGCTTCAGACCAACCAGTGGAATTTAAGCAGTTCAGTTTGCAAGAAGATCAGGAGGTGTGGGAAGGTGCTGCCTGTCCGTTCCATTGGGTTGCTGGTGACGCTGAGTTTGAACAAGCGTCCAAGTTGTACGAAGTGTTGGGTAGATATCCTAATCAGCAAAGGAATTTAGCTCATAATGTAGCAGTCCACGTTGCAGCTGCTGATGCTCCTATCCAAGATCGGGTATTTGAATACTTTTCAAAGGTGAGCCCCAAGTTGGGTCAAGCCATTCAAAAGGAAACATTGGAATTATCTCCCAGAAAGTAGTTGAGTAGTTTTTGTATTGAATTTATGAAATATTTATTTAGTTTATAATTACTAGGAAGAATTGAATTAAGTCTTACTCACTGCCTTTGGTATTCAATATTAATGCAATAATCAAGCCGTACAACCCCAAAACTTCAGCAAAAATTAAGATCAATACGATCCCCACAAACAAACGAGGCTGATGCATGAACTGTCTCACCCCTTCATCACCAACTATTCCAATCGAATATCCGGATGCTAAGCAAGCAAACCCAACTGATAACCCACAGGCCAAATGCATGAATCCTTTGAAAAGTGTATAGTCTTGGCTGGGGTCCAAGCCTCCGGCAATCAAGACCGCCACCACCAACCCATACACTGCCAAGATTCCCGACATGACGACGGGAATTAAGGATCTCATGATCAATTCAGGTTTGAAGGTACCAATACCTGAAATACCAATTCCAGACTTGGCGGTTCCAATGGCGGCACCCGCACATGATAACACCATGGCTACAGCACAGCCTGCAAACCCAAAGAACGGTGCGAATCCTGGAGTATACTCTTGAGCAAGAACTTCTGACATGTTCTGTTGTAATTGTTCCCTCAAGGATGAAGCCGACTTTTTGAAATGGAAATGTGCGAACAAATCTCAGCAGGCGTATGTGCATGCGCACGACCCGCTTGTCGCAGTTGTCGCTCTTCCAAAACAACACCCAGGCGTGCGACATGTTTACAAATGGGTGTAAACTGTGTATGATAAAATGGATCCCGGACAGAATCACCAGAAGCTCCAATTGACCAAACAGGAATTACGTTTTATATACAACCAGGTGCTCAACCACGTGCTAGCCAAGCTCGATCTTCATCTCCCTACACCCAATAATGATCCTATGAAAAACAAAGTCACCAACCTTCTTCACGATTACTTGAAAGAGGTATTTGAAATGGCCAAGCACGCCATGGTGGTGGATGGACTCGATATGTCAACCAGAGGTGCAGCATCAATAAGCGACGTGTTGTCGTTGAAACCCAAAGAAAAAACCGAACCGTTTGACTTTGAACTAAACTCAAAACTAAGAGAAATCCTTCAAAGTGTCGAGCAAGAAACCATAGAAGTTACTCAGCTACGTAAAAAGATCCCTCAAAAAATTGACGCAAAGTACTCGAACGTCGTCCAAGACGTTGACCAGAAAGTTTCCGAGTTCCTCGATCGCTTGAATACTATTGAGCCCGAGATTGACATTGACAAAAGTAGTGACGATATTGAAGATATACTTCCTCGTATCAGCGAAATTATTCAAGATTACGAGACACATTTAATCCAGATGAATGAGTTGAAGGACACCATCCCCAAGCAGACGGCAGAAGTTGAAAAGCTCTCGGAATTGGTTCAATTCTTGGAAGAACAGTACAATAATGAACCTTGAACCTTCGTAAACAATTCATTTTATCATAGACCCCCATCACGAAACTTTGCCTAACGATTGACTAACTACAAAATGCCCTTGTTATGTATCATATTCTGTAACTATAGCTTGTATAGTAATAATAACACAGCATCCACTTCTACCTACACGTCCCCAGTTTAAGCGAGATGAGATGGTGCGCCTAAACTGTTTGTTTATTTCCAATGCATTTGTTTATATTCTGTCTCAAAAAAGCGAATGCTCTGTCTCACTGACATTTCCTCAAACCAAGAATGTGTTAACAAAACCACTTCTTCTTTACATCCACCTGTCACTACCATAACTCGTCACCTTCACATTTCCTCTGAATGTCGTCTCCGGTGAAGAATATTGCCCTAAAGTACTTGGATTCTATAAATGATATCAATGATGACATCTCATTAAGAAGTCCCTCAAAAGTTCCTTTACAGCCTTCCCTCCGCCAAAACACAAAACCTACCTTCAACAAGTCTTTCCCTGAAGAAGATTTGGATAAGTTGGCTAGACAACTCGATGTGGATCCCGTGTCAACTCCTACCAAGAATGCCTTGTTTAGAACCAAATATCAAACTCCCTCAGTGACTGTATCGTCATTTAAAACCCCTACCACCAAGTCGTCCACATCGTCAAGCAAATCCGGCTCACCCATCAAAAGACATCTTGCTGCTTTCGAAACCCCAATCAAACGCTCTACCGAAATTCCCGCTTTGAAAACGGACATGACTTTGTCTTCCAAAGATAAACCATACTTATCATCACCTGGTAATAGTACCTCCACCGACTCTCCAGGATATGAATACTTGTGCAGAATTGAAGCAATTAAGAACTGGCTTCAGCAAGTGATGGGCGAGCCAATTGATAAGTCAGCGGCTGAAATGATTTCTGATATTAGGAATGGTATAGTGTTGGCTAAGTTGGCTAATGTTATATTGCCAACCAGAAAGTCAGTCTTTACTAACCCCAAATTGCAATTCAGACACACCGAAAACATCAACAGATTCTTCAAGTTGATGGACTTTTTGAGCGTTCCTGATATCTTCACATTTGAATTAACCGACTTGTACGATGCTAAAAATGTTCCCAAAGTATGGTTCTGTCTCCATGCCATGTCTTATATGTTGCACAAATACAACCCCGAATTCCCCCAAATCAAAAGCTTGGTGGGTAGGTGTGAGTTCTGTCCGGAAGATATAAGAACCGCTAATAGAGCCTTGGTGGGGGCTGGTTTACCAAACTTCTCCAGTGCTGATAACAACAACGATTCCACATTTGACAGTATATACATGAACAGAGTGATCAACAATTCGCCTACCAAGCTCAATGTTTCAAGCACCTTTTCAAGACCTTCCGATACCTTATCTTCTCCCAAAAAGTCTGACAAATTCTCCGATGATCCATTCAATGATAAGACTTCCTTCAGACAACCTCGTACACCAGACAGAAGCTCACCTGCCTCTGCAAGAGATGAGTTCTATACCCCTAAGTCACATTCAATCAGAGAGCTGATGTCCGATGACGTTGACTATAAAGACAGTAGGTACTATACTCCTGAGATTGATGATCACCTCATCAATATTGTCAAGCTCCAAGCCTTGTCTAGAGGAGCTACTTTCCGTTATAGGATGTTTGTGAGCAAGATTATGTTAAGATCGTATGTTGATGAATTCACCCACTTCAACTCCATTATCAGAGGTAATATGGCCAGAATGAGAACCATTCATAGACACAGAGACGAAGTTTTATTATTCAAACATCAAATCATCGACTTCCAAGCAATATCCAGATCTAAGTTGCTAAGGTCTAAGCTCACCTATGACTTCAATCAACATACAGATAATGTTGTCAGATTCCAAAGTATCGTCCGTGGTTCTATTGTTAGACAACACGTAAAGTCTATCAAGTATAACATTTCAATGGCTGAGCCTTCTATCATTGAATTGCAGGCTCAGCTGAAGATGTTGCTTGTTTATCCAAAGGTCATGACTGTATTGGAACAAAAAGCATTGATTGAGCCTTCAGTTGTGGATTTCCAGTCTGTTGCAAGAAGACTTTTGTACCAAAGAGGCAAAATTGTCGATTTGATCTCAAACCTAAAAGACTGTGGTGGATTAATCAATTTCCAGGCTGTTATTCGTGCTAAAAACTTAAGGAACGACTTTTACGGTAGAATTTATGTGTTGCAAAAAGTCGAGAGCAAGCTCACTCAGCTTCAAAGCGTTGCGAGAGGTGGTACAGTCCGAACTAAGTTGTGTAATAATGTTTTGATTACATTGATGCACGAAGATGTTCAAATGAATAGCCTTTTTGCTAAAGCAAGAGGAAATATGACTAGAAGGTCCATCGGGTACACAAACGCTTACTTGCACCATTACGAAGATGAAGTTGTTGAATTACAATCCAGGTTCAGAGGTCTTTTCATGAGATTCAAAAGAGATGTCGTGTTGGAAGATTGTTACAATAATATTGGAGATATAATTGCTTTGCAATCTATTATCAGAGGTAATGTCATAAGAAAAGAAATGAACTCGATTGATTCATACTATGTCAAAAACATGGCACTGGTGATCAAGGTCCAATCACATATCAAGAGCAATTTTGCTAAAAGAGCTTATCAATCTTTGATCACCATGAGAAATCCTCCGCTATCCATTATAAGACGTTTTGCTTATTTATTGAGCGATAATGATACGGATTTTGAACAGGAACTAGAATTGGCTGAGTTGAAAGATAGAATTATTGAAAGATCTAAGGCTAATGAAGAGTTAGAAACTTTAATTGAGAACTTGGATATCAAGCTAGGTCTTTTGGATAAGAACAAAATCTCCATAGAAGACTTCATAAAGAATAAGTTCAACCATTTTAAAGATATAGATGAAGATGTCAATATCAAAAACTTGGAGAAGTTGAACAAATCTTCAAGAGAAAGAATTGAATGCTACCAAACGTTGTTCTACTTCCTCCAAACTAAACCAATCTACTTTGTCAGACTCCACGAAAGTATGGAATTAAGTATCAAAGAAACGAAGGAGTTCAAGAACTTACAGAAATTTATTGTGTTGATGTATCCCATTAAGGATTCATCTATCTCTCACCACTCAAGAGAAGAGTTCTTTTTTATGAAGCTTATCTTGTCACTTATGGAAAGCGACATGAAAACTCATTGTTCCAACTTGACTGATATCACCAAGTCCAGCTGCTGCTTCTGGATAGACTACTTTGTACACTTCAACAGCCACACTTACCAAAGATTGCACTTGAAGACAATGTTAGGCAAAACGGTTATGTCGGTCATTGATAACGACGACCTTGATTTCGAATCTGATCCTTCTGTTATCAATGCTAGTCTCATTGATAGGGATATGAGAATTAACGGTTTCAGTGATCGGGACGTGGATGCGTCTCCTCAAATTGCAATCAAGGACCCCGAAGTTTCAAACAAGTTCGTTGAAAACTTAATGAACTTGAGAGAATATATTACCTCCACATTGAATATATTAGAAGCTATAGTGGACAAGATTCCTCTTCATATCAGGGTTGTATGCTCTCAAGCTTATAAGTTATCCAAGTTAACTTATCCAGACAGATCGGAAATGCAACACTTAGCTGTTGCTGGTGTAATATTCATCAAGCATTATATCCAAAACATTTTCCAGAACCCTGAAAACTTTGGTTTCTTGGCCAATAATTCCTACAATCCTGGCATATTGAAAGTTAAGTGTAAAGCTAACTTGAAGGCATTGGGTAGAGTTATGATGCAAGCATTTGCTTTGAAGCCATTCAGTGACAACTTTCTCAAACCATTGAATGAATATCTCCAGAGTTCCGTGGATCTCACCAGGTCTATTATTGTCAGGTTGATCAACGTCGATGATCTCGAAACCTCGTACAACCTAACTGATTATGACGATATTGTCACCCATGATAGGCCCAAGTTGACTATGAAGGTCACAGACATGGCTCAAATTGAAAAGATAATCCAGAACAACATCGACATGGTTGCACCAAGTTCAGACGACCAATTGTACTCGGTTGCAACTCAACTAAACCAAGCTGTTAACACGGCTAAGGATTTGGTGGCATTAACTGAGTTGGGAAGTTTAACCTTGAACTTGAACCCAACGACCAAAGAAGAGTCAATCGCTGATACAAAAGGAAACGCACTTTTCACCCAAGTCAAACGATCTGTTTTATACATCATCAGAGTCCAAGAGGGTGATGAGTTGTTAGAATTATTAGTGGCTGGAATCACTCCCGATCATGAACGCAACTTTAAAGAGATCACTCATGGTGAACGACAAGTGTCTCAGGAAGCGAACTCTGGTCAAAAGAAGAAGGCTTATCACAAGACTTCGTTGGGGGATTTGACCAAGATCACTTACCATGACTTGAAGAAAAATGCATTGGAAACTATTCTACAATTAGAATTCATGGGATTAGTTCACAGAAATAATTCCTACCAAGAAATCTTGAACCAAATCGCCGTTGATATAAAAACAAAACATCTGCAAAGAATCTCCAGAAAGTCTCAATTAGAGATTGCAATAAAGACCCAAGAAAAGTTGATAGAGAAGGAGCGGGTATTGAACAGACAACATCGTGATTATAACAACCATGTGGAGAGTATATTATCACAGTTGCAGCTGAGGCCAAAAGACAAGAAGTTGTTCAATATCATTCCAATTTTCAGCAAACAATACTTCTATCATCGGGAATTAAAAAAGTCTAATAGATTACCCAAATTCGGATCTTACAAGTATTCTGCCAGAAAATTGATAGAGCAAAAGGTAATCTTGGACTTTGCGGGTGCGTTAAGTGCCAGATATAACACTTCCTCCAAATTGGACTTTATGTTTAGTTGCCATCGTGTTGGTATATTCACCATTGAAGCAGCTTCAGGTTCTGTCAGCATACCTGGTGCCTTCGCTTCGATAACCTTAGACGAGTTATTGAACCTTCAATATGAAAGTAAAGACAAGTATGAGGTATTTGACGGAATGGTTGTCTTCGACACAATGAACTTGACATCATTCGTATTCAAGAAATTTTACGACATGAAAAAAGAGTAGATTAGATCTTCTACAAAACCAAAATAGTATATTTTTCAATTTGGGTATTTTAGAATAATACGTTAAAAAAATCTTGAATAGTTCATAGGTCATCGATAAAGTCTATTTCTTGAGTAATTCTTCAATTTTCTTCTCTAATCCCAACAATCTTTCATCCTTTTCGAGACCAGCTGCTGTCAACTTGCTAACTTGTTGTTCCAAATTTTCAACAATAGAAGCAAACCTTTCAATTGTAGCTTTCAAGGTTGGGGCTTTGCTCTCAGTCTTTGTGGGCTCCTTTGGTTCAGGTTCTGGAACAGGACTTTTGACGTCAACAGGCTTTTCAACAGGCTTTTCAAATGGCTTTTCAGCTGGTTTCTCAATTGGTTTCTCTACACTTGGCTCTGATGTTGTAGTTGCTATCTTTGAAACAGGTTCTGATTCAACAACAGTCTTCAAAGAAGGTGTCGGAGTAACGGTAGAAGAAGGCTCACTCTTATCATCGCCCACCAACTTCACAGAGTCGGGTAACTCGTCAGGTTTCTTGACTTCTTCCCATTCCTCGTCCTTTACTCCACTTTCAACTTCCTCATCAATATCACTAGAATCGTTGACTCTGTGTAATAAACTGTTCACTTCGCTTGAAGACTTCAAAGTATCATCGATAGACTTAGATCCGGGAGTGGATAATTCAGTCTCTTCAAATTTGTCCAAGGTGGTCTTTTTAGGGATGGCTTCACTTTCAGCTTTAGCTTTGGCCTTCTCCTCGGCTTCAACTTCTTTAGCTTTTTCTTTGGCAACACTAACATTCACAGAAGGCTTTGATTCGTGGAAAGAAGGTTCGGTTCCTTCGTACAAAGCTTCCATGCTCATTAAAACCGGTCCATTGAACTCTTTTCCACTAAAGAATTCCTCAGCTGATAATGAAGGCTTTCCTGATGGACAGTCTGGGTAAATATCAGTTTGGAATAATTCTGACTTTCTTGGAACAGTAAAAGACAATGGTTCAATAGAATGATCATTGACGGTTTTAAATGCCCTTAAAATTTCATTCTCTTTAACATTAACAGACTTCTTTGGAGCCGCAGAGAACCCTCTCTGAGGATCGGTAGAGGCAAACTGGGACAAATCGTGTAAATAGTCATTTTCATATTCATAATAGCGAATATTACCATCACCCTTACCAGCAACATATAAAATTGATGTAGATTCATCAAAAACTGGAATCAATACACCAGAAGATTGGTCAATAACCAAGAACCCATCAATTGGTCCTTTGTCGATAGCATTGACATCCCAAACACCAACTTGACGGTCTGACAACCTTGAAAACCCAGTAGTGACAATTCTATCGGTATTTCCCAACCAAGCAATTCTTGAGGGTTTAGCTCCATTATGTCCTGGGCCTTCTGAGATGATCTTTCCTGCTCTAATGTCCCAGATTCGCAATTTCTTGTCTCTTGAGCTTGTAGCCAATAATGTACCATTATAGTTAAAAGCAAAAGAGGTAACCAAATCCTTGTGCTGCAAAGTAATTTCATCTTTTCCGGTTTCCAAGTTCCAGATCTTGACCGAATAGTCCAACGATGAAGAAGCAACGACGTTTTCAGCACAAGGGTGGAACTGAACCTTACCTACTTTTCTGGTGTGTCCAGATAATACCTTCTTTGGTTCGGTTATATCTTTGATTTTGTCATTGGCATCCACATACTTATGGAACGAATAGTCTTGCGGGATTTCCCATACCAAGATTTTTGCATCATCCGAACAACTGATGATTTGTTGATCGTTGAAAGGGTTGAATGCGGTATCTAAAACTGGACCCTTGTGGCCCCTAAACAAGGAAACAGTATCGGGAGCCTTGCCCACTTCTTCCACTGGAATAACAGCAAAAGCTCCTCCTCCAGAAGAGTCCCAGTTCAACGAAATATACTTTCCATTGGACTTAATAATGTCTGAATCCCAGGCATTTTTGGTTACTTTCAAATTCTCGTAGCAGAGCTCTTTTTTAGCAGCTTGCCCAAACACATGACGGTACTTGGAAGCTCTGACGAATCTTCCACTTCAATTGCGTTAGTATATTGTTCTAACCCCTACATAACCTTTTGGTTCACATACCTCATTTGGATTTGGTCAAATTAATTATGTTTGTCTAAATCTTTGAAATTTTGGCTGTCGCGAATCTGCCACACAGGAACTAGAACTCAAAACATGAACATGGCATGTTGCAACTAAGATTCACCAACTAAATACTAAGTTTTTCTATGCTATGAGAAGGACTTGTGTTATGAATATCATGTTTTGTATATCTATACAACCATTCTCATCCCCAAATAAATAAGTTTTCAAAAAGGCCAACCTTTCTAATAATATCTTGCAAGGGGGTGATGAACCAATTCCGCAGGGGGCTAGTTCTAACATGTTTGCAGGCAGCAAGGTAATTCATTAATACCTATGTATATATAAAACTTTCATTATCTTCTCTATCATATATTAGAACCTAGTTCAAGGGCATCCCAGCGACTATATCCTTTAATTCACTGATATATCTGTCTTCTATGGTGTCTCCTTTACCAGCCACCACCTTTAAAATCAATTCATTTAATTCAGCCGACCCCAAAATATCAACATGTTCCGCTGTTTTAGCACCACCTCTAATATCAAATCTATCAGGCTCATGTTTTATTTCTACGACGGTGACGGAAACTTTCCCTGGGTTATAGATGGTGTTGTTCTTCTTCCACACGTGACATGCTGAGTGCGTTAATAAACTAACAGTTCCATCTCCGTCACCAAAATACACCGGATCCGCAGCCTCTGAATCAATGGTGAAACTCAAGTTCGATTCTTTTTCTGCATCGTGATATGAATATGCTCTTTCGGTGGGATTGCCCACTCCATAAAAACAATAGTATTTCATACCGGGGGCATTTGGCAAACTTGCCTCTAATGGGTTTGCCCATTTCGAATGATCATGATTGTTTCTTTCCAATTCCTCTTGTGTATGAGCAATTCCAAATGAGTATTGTTCTCTGACTCTGTTGGAAAACCAATCAGGGGACGTATCTAATAACAAGTCAATACTGTCAGTCAAGCTTAAGTTACGATCCCCAGTTTTTTCCGACTTCAACCTTATGAATGTACCAAATGACTCTGATTTGCTACCTTTAAGGGATACCGAGTCGTTTAGTAAAGCATTTTCAGTAGCCAATGTGTTGGTTGGATCATCAGGGGCATGTGTAAGGTTTCCCCAGATGATATCACCACCTTTTGGAATCATTGAAGGGATACCACCAAAGGTTCGGCACATGTCACTTCTTTCCTTTCTACTGAAAAACTTCTCTAAACCATATACGGCTAACGCATTCAATTGTACCGTATCTTTCATTTCTCCAGACATCAAAGCAGTTAAAGTCTTGGGAGTTCCAAGTGATGACCCACTGATGTCGACAACAGCAGCAAGATAGGTATTACACCAGGAACTTCCACCGTTTCCGTAGTACTCACCTTTGGCTTCTACCCATTTTAAAAAGTAAAAGATCACCTGTGATCCCATAGAGTGGCCGATCAAAGTGGTCTGTTCTCCAGACAACAAGTAGTTCAACTCGATTTGTGCCTTTAACTTGGAGAAATAATGATCACGCTTCTCCAAGTCCAAGTAGGCCAACCTCCAATCATAACTGGCACTCAACATATTGTCTGGACCATAGCCAATCACTGCCAAATTCTGCAAGATTTTGTTCCAGATCCAGTACCCGGCAATGAAGAAGTCCGCTGCCTCAAACCCTTGAGCAGCTCTCACCTTGACGTTTTCAGGGTCCAACCCAGTTTCAGGGTCCAACATAATATGTTTTAACCAACAGCTTTTGTCTAATACCATAGTCCTCAACATATAAAACGATCCCCATAATCTCTTTCTAAAGTGGTTGATTGAAGGACAATCTCCATCGGTAGACAGACCCCAACTTTCAAGACCAGTTGAAATAACTCCTGGAACCATCACCACGTTATGCTTAGATTTCAAGTTGAGCGTCGATGCCATTCTTTGGCCCACAGAGAACGATTCTGCCGAGCCATGTAACTGTCTGTCACTTTCTTGGGACTTGATATCAGATATCATTGACTGGAATGAAGCCGGAACCATATCTCTCCACTCTCCGAAAAAGTCGCTGAAGGAATCAAAATTGACATAGTTGTCCAAGTCATTTAGAAGGAGTCTTTCACTTGAAGTAGAGAAAAATACGGCACAACACAATCCTATGACAGCTCCTAAGATAAAGATTACTCTTCTTGATTGGTGCAACTTTTTCTTAAGGATCCTAGGTTCCAGGTTTGAATCTGATGGATGATACTTGTGATGAAGATGAGTTGTTTCTCCCTCATTGACGGCCACCTCTTCTATTGACTGTTTCTTGTCCTTCTTTCCAACTTGTTTAGCCATTGCTAAGTTTATTGATATTTGAGAAAACCGGATTTTCGGGATCTTTTGCTTCCATTGCAGCGCAAGTAAAAACGCATCTGAAATATATATGAAATATATCAAAGACTACAATTTTATTGTATGGACGTGTTCGCTTCTATAAAACTTCCATAGTGTAGTCGTACTCTATTCCAGGGGTAACACTGGCAATGAACTTCAAAAATATAATCAAGTACTGGTCTGCTCTCACCCCCAACTCATCATCTTCATCTTCGTCTTTTGGCTTCACGTCTTCCAGTTCGTCATCTTCGTCGCGGTCTTTGAGCTTCCGCTTCAATTGTGACTGCTTGGCATGCTCCATCAATACCCGCATGACGGACGCGTGTTTACAGGGGTGAATAGACACAGATGTGGTGTTGAAGCTTGTGGGTAACTTCTCGATGGTGGCAGTTCTGTCTCTATAATCGGATGAAATATCCTCAAACATCTGCTTGGGTAACAAGGGGATCCCGCTTGAGCTAAACCCGACCAAATAGAGCTTGGGAACCCTATAACTGGTGGAATATGTGATGTATAAATCATACTTTCTCAAGCTGGAGTGATTACCCTTCGATAGATCTTCAAACTCGTCTTCAGCAAGTTCAAGCTCAGCGGTTTCATCGATCAAATCATCTATGTCGTTATTATCATTATGGTCATTATCTTGTATTTCACTTGGTTTGGCATCATCAATGGAATCACTAGATTTTGCTGATTCGGAGATCTTGTGAGATTTGACCCAGCCATCTTCTAACTCCTCCTCCAGCTCATCTAGGGTCGCGTCAATTCCCAAGTATGTATACGCTCTTTCATGACTAGGAACATGTTTGGTAATCAAATACTGTTTGTCAGGAGGCAAATAAGATTTCTGTAGTTTTGAAGGGGCAGATGACCACTCCCATGTGGGAAACTTATACACCAAATAGTCTCCAGCTATCACAAACTCATCAGGGGAGATCTCGCCGGTGGTGGTGAAATTAGATGTGTTATTGATGGGTGTGAGATAGTCTCTTAAAGATGAAAGTTTGGATCTAATCAGCATTATTCTTGTTTCGGGAGCAAAAGGTTGTGAACTAGAGCGATAAGGAAAATGACCTCTCCCTTGCGCACTTGCCAAAGTCGCGAAAACCACCGCGACATACATTTCCAAGCGAGAACACGCTTTTGAGTACCACCGTGTTGACCATCAAAATCGATTGGGCTATGGTTGTAGGCCAATGTCGATCCCTGGGGCGGGTCGCCTTGCATGAAGAAAAGGAAAAATTGGTCTGACCTAACCTTATTGAAAGGGCACAGAGTATTTTTTACCACTGACAAAATAATACTGACGATATTTTGTATCTGAACGAATTGGTCAACAGACTCCAACTTATGCATCAGTAACAAAATCGCATACCTGATCACACCTAACCGGGTGAAGCCTCCCCCAGGTCTTCCTTGTTCATAAGCGTGTATCCAAAACATGAGCATCGTATTTCGAGGCAATGACTGCGAAAACAGGCGTGTTTCAAGACAAAACAAAAACAAAAACATAAACAAGACCGTTACGATGGTTTCAGGAATGGAGCCCTATGCAAATACGCACATAAGCGTATGCAGAAACATAATACTATTAATGGTAGACCTCTGCACATAGTCGTTAGTCTCAAGTAAAAATGCCAACTCACAGAAAATAACAATGTCCGCTACCCAACCCAGTAATTGAATGCTTATAACGGTGCTGCAGGGCGAGGCACGTATAACTTTGTTTAGAATATTCATAAATACTTACCCACTTGCTTGTTACCTATTCGGGGAGACCTCAGACGATGGCTGCTTTCTCCCTAATTTGGCTAGCTTTATGTGCATGCTTCCATCTATGTAAATAACGCGAGTTGTCTAAATGTTTTATGGTGTTGACGTTTATGTGTTTTGATTTTCCACGGTATCACACATATATATTCTACACACCATTCCTAAAATTGTCCTTTTGGTCCAAACTAACTACCACCAAATGTCTATGGTAACCGATAGAATAGCCTTGAGTTCCATTGACCTGAACTCCTTAAGCTTAAGAGGGAACACGTCTAAGTCGATTCCTTTAATTCCGGCCAAGAAGTCACGTTCCTTTACCACCTCCTTTTCAAACCTGAGATCAAACTCTTTTACCACACTGTCATTAAACTTACTATCGTCGACCTCGTCGGTTAGAAAGCCGTCTGCTGACTCGTCTTCAGATGTTGATATATATGCATCCAAGCTAAAGTTTAAGCTAAAGTTGGCCGTTTTCAAGTTGAACCAACAACAAGGTTCCAGAACAAAATCTGGCTCTTTCACCTTCTACAACTCCGAGTACCTCGTGAAGTCGCCCTCCAACTCCCTGACCAAGTTAATTTCAACTCTGAAAGCAATCCACCAATTATCTCCTAGTATCAAGCTTTCGAGATTCTTAAAAACAAGTAACATCAACACAAAGCATTTGGTTTCAAAAAGCGTTTCTTTCCCCGTGAAGAAGACCTTCGAAAACTCCATTAACATCAACTTGACTCAAAAGTCCTTAAACTCATTAATCTTGTCAAAAAGCTTCAATAATAATAATAATAACTCCAACAATTTGAAGCTTTTTTCCATCAAAAAAGACTCTCCTTTTTACAGCAATTGCAAAATCCCTTTAACATTAAGTGAGCAAAAGGCCATCTTTTCAGGGAGTAAGATTTCATTACCTTTGGCTACCAGGTTTTCCGAGCCGTCATCTGCATTAGCATCTTCAAATTCCCTTTTATCCTTCAAACAAGATCCTTTACCATCGATAAACAAAATCTTGAAAACTCCTTTAAAATTGACATCCCACACTTCAACATTAACGTCAGCCTATAATGATGATAACGACCAAACCATAGATGATCAATCATTCGATGATTCTTTGAAAAAAAATAACTCATCCTCCCCATTAAGACATTTTGCTACCCCAAACTCTTTCTCAGTGGCTAAATCTTTGTTACAATTGGGCTCGGGGGTCTACAATTAGACTTGTTTTCAACGTTTCGTTAGCATCATATAGTTCTCTTCCCGTATTAATACTATTCGTACATATTGTAATAATAAAATAATGCCATTTTGATATAAATGTTGGAGTATTTTCGTCTACTGGAATTTTAACTACACGAGAATTTGTGAAAACTACAAAAACTACAAAAAAATAAATGCTTCTTTGCCGACTTTGGTTTAAAAGTTGAACTTCACAATTCTGACGACAAGGACAAGCGACTGACTTAAGAAGAGATTGGGCACATATAAGAGTATACGTCGTAAACATTCATTAATAGATTCGGCAAAAACTAGCTATAAAAAGGCGAATACTTGAGTTTGACTTCAGTATTTTCCTTCATTTGGGGGAATAAAAATATGGTAGAAAATCGATCAATACTTGGAAAAGGCTCTATATATCCACTTTCATTATGGATACTTAAAAATTCTTGATAATGGTTCAAAAATTAAAAGTAAACATTGCCTTCACCCCATAAGTTTTCAAATAGACAACTTGTTCGAGATGTGCTGCACCATGTTTAGAGTCTCAACGAATGTATTCGTAGTGGAATCTGGGAATGTCAAAACTTCATTGACTTGGTCGATTTTGGTGTTTAAGGGTAAATTATTGTTAACAATCATCTTGGATATAACTATGTGGTCCACTTCTACGCCTAGGAGTTTGCTAAGCTTCGAGAAGTATATCGATTTGTAAAAATTCGACAAGACAAAAAGGCTATTCTCCACTAAATTAGCAGATATTTGCCTTGCATCGAGGTGCTGTATCACTTTTGTAGGAGCTTGCTCAGTGTACTTCCTGAACTTTTCAATGTTCACAATATTGTTGGTAGTCAACATCAAGAAGAGCTCTTCAGTTAAAGGACTTAATTTAACATCCAATCCGTGCTCGTTGACATAGGAGGAAATGAATTTTACTAAATCCACTTTTCTGAAGTCATATGGTGACACTATCAATAAGTCAATGGTCTTCGAGACCAATTCTTCTTTGAATGACTTATCAATTCCACTGTAGTCCTTGATTGTGAGTAATACGATCTTCTTATTCACCAATTCCACAAGCTTGTAGTTTTTGCTGATCACATTGAAGAGGATTTGGTAGTCTGAGTTCAAGTCAACATGCTTAAATTTCACAATTTTGAACAAGTGAGGCATATCTTGAGTCAATCCTTGATGTTTGTTTATGACTGTACCCACATCACTTAATAAAGAGCCCACCGAATCCAATTCATTGGATTCTAACTTGTTTTCAATAATGCAAAGGGAGAGGGCACAATTCCAAAGATCTGTATCTAAATCAGGCAAACCAGCTTCGGATAACGTACAAACTTCGTTCACCAATTCCTCATGACTTAAGGCCTTCAGAATAAGTTTTATTCGATTGAATTTCTCGACCTCTGTTGCAGAGGAGGATATAGCTTCAAGCACACTCATATTGACTTAGGAATATTCAATAGTGCGAACTCAGATGTTTAGGGGTTACTATATATAAATTCTGAATTAAGGAAGAATACAGGTCAAAGGCATATATACCACAATCTGGAACCCAAATACGTATGAATCCAGTGACACCCAAGTCGTAAGACATCAGTTAATATTTTAGCTCTCGAAAACACCTCGGGAAGCTTTTTCTCATCGTACAGACCCCATCGTATAAACTAACGGCACAAACGCGACCATATAAATTCGCATAGATCTCGAACTTGAAAAAAAAACATAAAATAGGTTCAGTGGCCATGAAATACTTCTACTTCATTGCCATCCCACTCATTCTTTACGCTGCATTAGACAGATTATTCTACACTTGGTTGCCTTCCAACTACGTTTTCGACCACAAAGTTATTGGTGAATTAGTCAGAGAAACCATCGCCGAATACCCTAATAACAATGTTACCGAAATTATCGTTAACTTGGTACCCAAGTTACAAGCTACTTATGGCAAGGAGATAATCAATGACTTGAACTGGGAAGATTGGGTATTCAATAATGCCGGTGGATCGATGGGAAACATGTTTATACTCCATGCTTCTATCTCTGAATACCTTATTTTCTTTGGTACTGCTGTGGGTATCAACGGTCATTCTGGAGTGCATTTTGCCGATGACTATTTCACCATTTTGACAGGAAACCAAAAGATCGGGTACGACAATCAGTTGGAACCAACTGTGTTTTTACCCGGAGACTGCAACCATTTAAAGAGAGGTAATGTATTCCAGTTCACTATGGATGAGTCTTCCTATGCCATTGAGTTAGCTCAAGGTTGGATTCCTGCCATGTTGCCATTCGGATTTGTCGAAGTTGTCTCTTCGACTCTTGATTTCGAAACCTTCTACAGAACAGTGTTGTATACCGGTAGGGATATGATCAAGAACTTGCTCAATGGTAAGTTCTAACTACTGTTAAAATATAGATGAGTAGCCCCCATAGATAATATAGCGTCAAGTTCCAGGGTATTATGTGTTTGCAAATGTTTACTGTTTTCGGAACAAAAGACCGATTTCAGTGGTTCGCGCACCATAAATAACGTGCAATGGTTGCAAGACCCGCCTTACGTCTAAAATAATCATCCACTAATTAGTTATTTGGTACTCGCTAGTTCCTCTTATTATCTTGATGAACAAGAACGAGAACTCCCCCTTCTTGAACCCTACCGAGGGCGACGTGTATCCTTCTTACACCAGAGGCTACGCTCGTGTTCCCCAGGAAGATACAATATTAGACGTCCACGAGATCGAGGAGAGTGATATTGTCAACTACGTTCAACAAAGAAGAGCTTCAATTATATCGGTGGGAACAGATGGAATTCCAGCCTCATTCTCCTTGAATCGTCACACGTCCAGACCATTTGATGGGTTGAGATCCGTCAAATCCAATGCTTCTCTTGATGTTGGAGATATTCTCAGCTCGTCCAATGTGGGTGAAGAACCGGAAACTGATTTTAAGTCAGAAGCTAAAGTCTTGATGAAGTATTCGGTTCCCTTGATCATCACATTCTTATTACAGTATTCGTTGACAGTTGCGTCGGTTTTTTCGGTGGGAAAGTTGGGGTCCCATGAGTTGGGAGCCGTCAGTTTATCTTCTATGACCGCTAATATATCGGGTTATGCCATTATCCAGGGTGTTTCCACGTGTCTTGACACTTTATGTGCCCAGAGCTTTGGTAGAAAAGAATACAACAAGGTGGGTTTGCATTTTATGAGGTGTAACTACTTATTGCTTTTGTGCTTTATTCCAATGTTTGTCTTGTGGTATTTTCTTAGTGAAGGCATTTTGTTGACGCTCGTGGGAGAAGATCAGGCTAAATTATGTGGTTTAGCTTCCAAGTACTTGAAGGTGCTAGGCTTTGGGTTACCTGGATTCATTTTGTTTGAAAACGGTAAGCACTTTTTGCAAAGTCAAGGTGTTTTCCACGCCTCAACTTATGTTTTGGCGGTTTGTGCACCAATTAATATTATTTTGAACTATTTATTAGTATGGGATAAAACTATTGGAATGGGATTTGTTGGTGCCCCTCTCGCAGTGGTTATAACAAACTATTTAATGTTTGTCATGCTATATTCATACATTTATTTTGTCAAAGGGTACAAATGTTGGCCCAACCATCCTTTATTCAGTCTGGTTTACTTTAGAAGATGGAAGAAGATGATTGACTTGTCCATACCAGGCGTGTTGATGGTTGAAGCTGAATGGTTGGCCTTTGAAATCATTACATTCACAGCATCTCAGTTTGGAACGGAGGTGTTGGCAGCACAATCAATTGTGTCTACATCCTGTGTTTTATTATACCAGATTCCATTCGCCATGTCAATTGCTGCATCCACGAGAATCGCTTGGTTTATTGGTGCCGCATCTAAGAAGGCGGTTATTATTACAACCAGATCCACTCTTGTAATTGCATTCCTTGCCGGATGCTTTACGGGTATCGTTTTGTTCTCATCCCGTAACTTTTTACCAACATTGTACAGTAAGGACCCCACGGTCATCAAATTAGCTTCTAAAGTGTTAGTTATAGGAGCTCTTTATCAGATTAACGATGCATTGTCATGTATTGCTGCAGGGGTTTTAAGAGGTCAAGGGAGACAAAAGATTGGGGGCTATTTGAACTTGTTCACTTACTATGTGGTTGCATTACCAATGGCCTTCCTTTTATCCTTAAAATTCAACTTGGAACTTATCGGATTGTGGCTCGGAATGTTGATTGCATTGTTTCTCTTGTCGGTTTCCGAAATCTACTTCATCATTTATAGTGACTGGGACCATATCATCAATGAGTGTATCAATGAGAGTCTCTTGGATGATGGGTCAATCATTATTGATAGTCATTCCATAATGCCAATTATGAGCAGTAACCAGGTGGTCTAAGATGCTGCCAATAACACCATTACCTTCATTTTCACTCGCTATGTTTATAAAATAGCTAGAATACACTTGAGCATAAATAGTAAGGATTGATGTAGAAGATAAAAGTCACACGAGCATAAAATAAACGGCTTTATAGCAATGAAATGCGATAAACAGACGAGATGTGTCATATGTGTAGAATAACATGTTGGTACCAGTGCCGTTATATGTACCAATTTTTGGCATTTGTGTCGTGCTTACCGAGATAAGAGCCGCTTCATTAGCATGCTACCCATAAGTTGTTGTCACAACTAACAAAAAATCTTCTCAAAAGATCTAATTTTTTAGGGGGCTAATGCTAGTTCCAGGTTATAATAGGGGTCGGGGGTTTGTACTGATTGTGAATGACAACTGAAATATAGTAAATTCCTGACATGCTCCATTCTTACATAAAAGGCGAAGCTGAAGTTCTAGGTCATCCCCAGTTTCAGGAAACTTCTTACATACTCGGCCCCATGCAAAGAGCTGCCGGTATTGCAAATTGTCCCTCTCGAACTTCTCTTGTGCACAATCGAAGAAATAAGGAAAACGCAATAGTTCCCCCAAGTAGTGCCGCACTCACCCTGTTCAGCCAGATAAGCTATCGGCACCATATTAGGGAGCCGCACCACCCCATTGGGAAGTGTAATTTCTCTTATCTTGCAGGGCTTTTTGTGCCTCATCCCAAGCCCTATAAAAGGCCATTCCCCCCTACTATGAATATTCTTAAATTGCTATCATATCCAAGAAATTTATTATGCAATTACAATTTCTTTCAATCGCTTCCCTTGTGACTGCTGCTTTAGCTGTTAATACCACTGTCGTTACCATCACCTCATGTTCAGGTGGTTGCAATGCTTCTACCTATGAAGGTAATGCCCAAGCCAACAGGCCTCTTGGTTATGTTGCCGGAGGGGCGGCTTTGGCTGCCGGTGCGTTGTTGGCCTTCTAATTTTATAACTTTTCTATTTTTTGTATTCTAGTGTAATGTACATGTATCCAGAAATCTCGCTACTGCGTATCTCAATTGTCTAGTCTGGGAATCATTTCTTACTGAAGTCGTTTAACAAATTGGTGCATATAAGCTTTATACTGTTCTCCTCGGTTGTGTCCCGAATTAATTCGAGTTTTGCGATGACTTTGGCATATTTATCGCTTTTCAAGTTCTTATATTTTTGGAAAAGCTTAAGATAATTCTGGTAGAACACCTGATGGTTGGTTAATTCGCTTAAGTACTCAGATCTAAGGTTGTTATACCTTTCATTGTCCTTATCAGGAATTCTCAACTCGGGGTCATTATTGATTTTGAGGAGCTCATCGAACTTCAGCAACACTCGGTTATTCTCCACGATTTGATCATTAAGGCTTTTGAGTGTTTTGAATTGGTCAAGTTTGATATTCGTGTGGTTAAATTTGGTATTGAGCTTCGTGAGCGATTCCTGGTTGATTTCTTGTTCAAGTTTAAGGAGCTCTTTTGCTTGTTCTTGTTTGGAGTCGTTGAATATTTTGAAATCTTTTTTTGCGAATCTGCTAATTGAATCTCTCAAATTATCCACTCTGGGTCTATTGAAACGGTCACCCAGCTCATACGATGAAAATGGCTTATCGTAAGCGCTGTATGAAGTGCCGATGTTTTCATCAGGCTTACGAGTTTTGAAGCTGTTAGGCCGGATATTCGCCTCAGATTGGTAGTCGTTCTTTGGGCCTCTCGAGTTGAACCTATCTAATGTAGAAAGCTCATCACGGCTCACACTGAGATCACGTTGAGACCTATAGTGGGTTGGTGTCGATGTTCTGCCATTCCTCCTTGCATTATACCTGGCGTCGAGCCCAGTATCCAAGGATGAAGGTTTATGTCTTGTTATGTTAGGAGAGGAACTCCTAAAAATCGAGCTCTTCGGAATTCTTTCAAACCTATCACCCACGATATCCTTGCCAATATTCTCGAACCTAGAGGTCATAGGTCCGAAGCTCATCTGGGCATTATTGGGGACTGGCTCATTGCTATAAGTGGAGAAATTTCCAGGGATCTCGGATGCTTGGTGCAAATACTCCGATATATGAGTCGAATTCTCGCTGAGTTGGTTGTACACGGCACTCATATCGTTGTTCAACTCTTCATCGGAGTCTTCCCAATAGTTTGCAGTTGGATATTGGTTTGTGGAGGACGCAGGGGACCGAGGATATGAGGTGTTTTGGGACCGAAAACTGTGTATGGTGTTGTTGTAGTCTATCGTAGGTTCATTCGTCAAGGGACTGCTGGGTCCAAAAAGCCCATCGAATGCCCTGCCAAACATATTTTTAGAGGTAACCATTGGTACAAACAACAAGTGAAAGAAAACGCGTTTTGAGTGTGCGAAACCAAAAAGTAGAGTAAGTGTAGATAAAGCAAACCACAATATACAAACACAATATACAAACACAAGCATAAGCACAAGCTTAAGGTCTAGCACATTTATTATTAGCAACAATAGATATCACACCATTGAAAACCGAAATTCCCCATCCACCTCATCGTTAGAGTTTGATAGGCAACAAATTAAAAAAAGTACAAAGCTTGGATGATTAAGTTGATGCTCTATAGCACCACTTACAATACGAGAAAGGTCATTTCCTTACCACATTGATGTGCCTTCAACTGTAAGTCCTCATGAAAAAATAAAAATAAAATAATGCTTCTAGCCGCCGACAAATAGGGAAGGTAAACATGGATAAACAGACGAGGTATAAATAAAGGGTGACAATTAAAATCAAGCAGGGTTTACTAAAGGACTAAACGCAGTCTAAACTCTTGGGCGGTCTGGGTGCATGCCAAACTAGTCAAAAATTTAAACATATGAATAGTTTGTTTACTGGTCGAGTCAAGAATGAACTGGCACATACCGTATAATTAAGGCACCGTTAAGTTTGAAAAGGGTATTTTTTTCTATTGTTTGCCTTACAAAAAACCGCTTGATTGTTTGCTGAAACTTTAGGCTAGCATTGACGGATTCCCTAAAGCAACTTCGATAAATCGATAACTAGTAAATCGATGAATCTGCGAAATTTTTCGAACGCAAGTCATTAACCGCCTCATGTACTTCTATGCCTGCAATTTTCATAATTTTGATTTTGGAATGCGGGATCAATCGAAAATGTAGAAGACAGCCATCACATTAGTCCGTCAAATTATCTGCAACAGGTACGTGCCAATTTTGTTTGTGAGGTGTTGTAAAACTTTGACAATGGGTTGATGGCTGAACAATTAGCCGGAGTAACGGCATGAAGTGTTTATGTATGGTCTAATGACTAGTCAGATACAATGGTGCAATTGTTTGAAAAATTATAAACATTATACTCTTTAAGCGAGTTCAACCATTATATTGAGACCGCCATTATTTAAAAAAACCTACTAGCCGATATCTTATTTTAGAAATTAGAATAGGCGGCTCTCGTTTCCGCTCAGCACTGTTCACGCGAGCTAAGCAACAAACCAACTGCTTTGAATCTTCGACAGCATTGGATCAAACACAATTGGCCGCAATACGATGCTGGTGAGAAGGGCTACCTGGTCATGGGCTCATATAGGGGAGCGCGTGGATAGGTACGCAGGCACTGTAGAGCATATCTTTTTGCCGTTTTGCATCAACGATCGGCAAGTGTGCAGGGGATTACTGTATGGGTTAAAAATTTTCATCGAAATGTTTCGAAGGAGGTGGAAAAGGAGTAAGCTTGCGTCACAAAATATCGTGATTAAAGTTTGTGGACCTAGGGCGAGAATTTAATATAGGGGAAAATATACAGTGTTTCAAGAAATATTTATCCGCTCGTAGTTAAAATGTCAGGATGCCGACGTGGTGATACGTTCCTCGTCATTCCTGCTCTTGTTACATGAGCTAATGTCAGAGTCAGAATAGAAAATTGAAACCTAGGTTACCAAAGCTTTCAATGTGGAAAGGCAGGAACTGCCCAATTACCGCTATGAATAACGCCTACCCTATTATCTGATTGATACTTCCAGCAGGAGCAAATTCAGCAAGCTTTTCGAAATCACGCTGCTCTCAATGGCCACTAATAGAGTAAAAAAATATAAATTCAACAATACAGACGGACATAATAAAACGGTTTTCGATTGTCATGTAGGTCACAATCAACCCCATTAATAGCCTTGATTGTGCAAAATCCTATTGTTCTTTCTAATCGCCTCATATTACCTAGTGCTATATGCAATATCGTCTTTGTCTTTTGCTTGGTCAATACACTGGGGGTTGAATCAATTGTCGTGGCGCTACGGAAGTGAAAAATTTCAATCGGCGACCAGTTATGTTTTAAGATTGGGTATGTTATTGCCCACATACCATTGTTGTACTGGGAATCATTGAAAATGATTGGTATTTACTCCACACATGCTGACAGGGGATTTCTTCCGTCAACCTGGTGATAATAGAAATAAAACTTAAGGTCGAGAGGAAGGCATTCACTTGAGCTTGGTAAGGCTTGAAGCCCAAAAGGCTCCTATGCAAGCGGTACCAGTGTTTTTCTAAATTTGTTTGATAGTCAAGGTTAAACTTGAAGTTATTCTGTTCAACCGACTGGCTTATGATGTAACCTCGAATGACCCATTAAATGCCCTACATTAGAATGGCCTTGATTGTCAATGCCTTATGTGTGGACAAACGCGTTTAGTTCAATCGCCATAGGGGAATCAAACATAGTAGTTAACCAATTGCCTCGCACACTGCACAAAGAGGCTCACACCGCCAAATAATGAAAATGAAAATTAAATTATCCCAATGGGTATAAATTTAGACGAAGGATATTGGGATTAGGTATTTTTGTTTTTTTTCAAGAATTAATAGGCGATTTTGCTTTAGGTACTAAAGTTTATTCAGTGGATCTTCACCACACCCACTAGTTGTTTATTATTATAAAGTATCGAGGAATTTCCCTTCGATTGTCCCTGAATATTTTTCAGATTTTTCAACCCCAATTGAAAACTATTTTATATACACCAATTACTAGTAGTTAGACCTTCAGGTGTACAAATCCTTTAGTGAACAACTACTTATTCATTCCTTCAGTTTACTTTTCAATTCATATTTTAGTCACATTTCATTTGGTTCTTTCCTTCCCCTTGGTTCAATTCTTTTTATTCAGTTTATTTAAATCCCCCACTGATCCATTCATTCATTTATCACACACACATAATAATGCCTTCTATCAGCTCAATTCCCAAAGTCACTCAATTGGACTATCCGAAGACCTTATACAATCGCGAACTTGAAGTACATAGAGCTTCCCTTCAAGAATACAACGAGGATATATTCAACGCGATAGCCGCTTCTGTTACCGCCAACAAACCTAACTTGGAGTTGTATCAACAACAACCTTACTTGACTAATTCGATTCGAGTGAAGTTGATTGACTTTTTGTTGAAAATGTCTGTTAGGTTGAAAATTATTCCGTTTGTATTCTTCCGAGCCGTGAAAATATTTGACAGATATTGTTCCAAAAGAGTTATGTTGTTGGACCAGTCCCAATTGATCATAACCACATGTTTGTGGATCGCCAGTAAGGTCCAAGGAGGTAACAACCATTTTCTTAACTTAAGCAATTTGAATAAATTGACAGACATCAAAACAATTAACGATTTAGGTTACGGTTCTGGTGGAAAATACTTGGGACCGACTGAAAGGTTTAGATTGCCCAAGTTACACGAGTTAGTGAAATTGTGCGGAGCCAAATGCAAGTACGATCAATCAATGTTCAGACAGATGGAGTTACACATCTTGCAAACATTGGACTGGTCATTCAATGACCCCAGCATCGAAGAGTTTTTGGTCAAGTCTGACGAACTCAGCATTGTTAACAATAACAATAATGAATTCTTCTACGTTAAACAGTACTTGAGTTATGTTTCGTTGTACTCATACGAATTGATCGATGCTGACTTGATCGATATGTCTAAGGTTATGGCTGATCTCGTTAATGAGATATTTAATCTCAGTGAAGATAACGCCTACTTCCAGACAATCAATACCCCCACCTTTAATGATGATAATGACGACGATTTCTTCATTGAAGACGAACACTTGGTATTAACCAACAGATACTTGTCGAAGATGGACTACAGCCAATATAAACACATCAAAAAACACTTGATCAAAGCTGTTCTTCACTCGTCTGAGTTTGTCCTCAATCTTTTTAATTCTAACGGACCCCTATATTTGTACAAACAAATTGTGATGATGTACAGAGATCCTTATAAGGTAGCCGCAGCTGTGCCGGTCACACCTACCACTCCAACATCTCCCATACAATTCCCCGGTGTATCTCCAAGCTTGGTGACGTCAGTCAACAATATCAATTACATCTACAAACCGGTTCCATTGTCTTCTAGCAATACACCATTATTGAAGAAATATAATCCCGAATACTCTCATATTCCCAAGATTAACACTTCCCATCAACACACAATGAGTCAAGTGAGTATTAACACGGCTTCAAGTGTGAATACCTCCATTTCGAGAGACACAGACTCTCACTCAATCTTTGATGAACACCGAAGGTTTGGAGGGTATACTCCAGTGTCAGACGAAGAGTCTCCCACTTGTTTTGGAAACTTTGGTAACGTACAACCACAGCCTCACTCACAACCCTATCAGCCCTGTAGTTACAAGTTTGCATAATACTTAGTTATTTTTTTTTTATTTTATTTTTGCATAGTTGAATTCGTAGCTAATCTTATTCAAAATAAACAACTCTTTTAAATGAATATAGTAGCTTTGATTTGTAACTTATGTTAGAATTTTTTGATCCAGTTTGTGACATTTCACCAAGAGAAGATGGGATGTGATTAACCGCAACGAAAAGTTTAATAAGAAAAATTATTGTATTGAGTAGATCAATGCATTGACGGGGGTTTATGATGTGTGTTCGGCGAAAAAATATGTTTTCTGGTACATTTCAGAATTCTGGGTTGCAGCATACGTCGATCCTTTACCTTATTAGCTCCAGGGATGGGGATTCTTTCTTAAAGACATACGCATACCTGCATCGATTTCTGGAACAAGACCCTGATTTGTTGTTTACCTAAATTACGCTTTGGGTGATGATTATCATATGCAAACGATTATCGGTTTGGGGTAATTATATTTATTAACCTATTTATAAGTATTTTTTTCTTCAACTTCTGATCCTAACACTGCCATGTCAGTAAAAGCCACGCGGTTTTGTGTACACACTCATCTTCCAGCTCCTCCCAGCTTCGCGCGTTAAGTCAAAAAAAATTGTTTATTCCAGGTACACTTTTGCTAACTGTTGTCACCCGTTTGTCATCCCGTCCCATATATCACCTGGAAGATGTTGTTCAAATCTTCCATAACCTCTACATTGACACTTCTCACATTCTGGAGCCCGGTGTCGTTCGTGGCCGCAGATCCCAATAACGCTGAGCTAGTTGGAACCTGGACCTCCAAATCCAATACCGTTTTCACAGGGCCTGGTTTCTACGATCCTGTCGACGAGCTTTTGATCGAGCCCGACTTGCCCGGAATCTCATATTCATTTACAGAAGATGGTCACTACGAAGAAGCGTTGTACAGACTCACCTCCGACGCCGTTAATCACTCGTGCGCCATTGCTTCATTAACATACCAACACGGAACTTATGAGATCTTGGCCAACGGCTCGGTGTCGTTGACACCTTTGGCGGTAGATGGTAGACAGTTGTTAAGTGACCCATGTGGCAGTAGCGGTGTTAGCAATCCAGACTACGAGACCACTTCCTTTTACAGTAGATACGTTCAGTCTACGCTTTTTAAAACTTACCAAGTGTCAGTGGATGCTTATCATGGAAGATATAAGTTACAGATCTACCAATTTGATGGATCATTGATGCAACCTTTATACTTGGCCTACAAACCTCCATTGATGTTACCTACCTATGCTTTAAACCCGACCGACAAGGCCTCCGAAACTAAAGATTCATTGAGGAAAAGAGTCAGACGGTCCTTGGAAAACCAATATAGAACCACGGCCATTAAGGAGTTCAATCCTGGAAAGTATGACTTATACTGGTACATGTCTGCTACCTTATTAGGAGGGGCTGCAGTTTTTGCCTTCTTCCATTAGAACCATTCTAGTTATGACAAAGAAATCAGGTCTTGTATCCCTAAAGATAATGTATATCATTCATGCTTCGACTTTGTGTAGACATAGTTGTGGTTCAATTTGCGTTTAACACGAGCATATCAAAAGGTGTGCATGCGCGCACACCCTATCACACCAAAATCTAAAGGGCGAAAAAAGATATAGAAACCATGTCTTGGTTTGGAAACGGAACCCCCAGCACCCAAGAATTGGATAGTAAGATCGAGGAGGCGACTCTGGAATCAATTCCTAATGGAGAGTTTGATGTTGCCGTTGCGTTTGAAATCACCGATATCATCAGAAGCAAAAAAATCCTGCCTAAACAGTGTATGAGATGTTTAAAGAAGCGATTGACTAATACCTATCAGAACCCCAATTTATTGACTTCTTCTTTGAAGCTAGTTGATGTTTGTGTCAAGAATGGAGGATACCACTTTTTGGTAGAACTTAGCTCAAAGGAATTCATGGATTACTTGGTGGATTTTATATTCAAAGTCAATTATAATATCCATGATGGTAAGGTCATTGGTAATCAGGCTAAACTTGATGTTGGGAATTTGATATTGGGGTTGATCAAGAATTGGAAGCTATTCTTCAAAAACCAACTCCAATTGAACTACGTCGAAACCTGTTATAATGACCTAGTGAGAAGAGGCTATGAATTCCCTGAGACTGACACTTCGGAATATTTAAACGGGGTATTTATTGATTCGGAGACCCCAGCCGATTGGGTTGACAATGATGAATGCATGATCTGTTATAAGCCCTTTTCCATGATGAACCGAAAGCACCACTGTCGGTCATGTGGAGGGGTGTTTTGTCAAGAGCATTCTTCTCATTCAATCCCTCTACCATCCTTAGGAATAACTGAGCCAGTGAGAGTGTGTGATAATTGTCATTTTAAATTGAAGTACAAGTTGAAGGAAAATAACAATTTATCGTTGTCGAATAACAAGCATAGCAGATCAGCACTGCAAAACAATGTGAACCACGAAGGAGAGGACGAGGATTTGAAGAGAGCCATCGAAATGAGTTTGAAGGAGTCCGGAGGTATTGAAGTTGCTCAGCCTTCTTCACACCCTCCCTCAAACCCACCTCCTAAAGGTGATGATGAAGAGGATGAGGAAATGAAGGCCGCAATTGCTGCAAGTCTTAAAGAATTCCAAGCACAAGAACAACTGTATAAGCAACAACTGAATACTCGAGCACCTCAGCCTATTTTGGAAGAACCAAAATCAGAGTTCTACAACAATATTTTTCCATTTGACAAGTACTCAACACCACAGTCTGATCCATATCAAGCTACTTCTCCTTCTCAGTATCAATATTCTTCACCACCACAGCAAAGCAGCGGACCTCTCACGCCTGCTCAGCATATGGAGAAACACAACCAATTGCATTCTGAGGGATTAACTCAAAATGAAGAAGACTCCATTAGCTTGTATGTCACATTGATCAACCAGATAAAGACCGATAAGTCTAGACAATCGAACGTTCTTCATGATAAGGATTTGAATGATTTACATTCTAAAGTGATTCAAATCAAGCCTAAATTGAATAGAACTTTAAGAAGCTCTATTGAAAGGTATGAGACATTCGTGGCTTTGAACAACAAGATATCCACTATTACTAAGCTTTATGATCAATTCTTGGAGAATAAATTGTCACAAGCGTATGGAAACCAGACCCTTTACAACCCTTATCCTAATCAGCAATATGATGAAAATTATAAGGACCAAAATGGAACGAGCTATCAAACCCAATCTCAGCATGGTTACAGTAACGGCTATGGAGAACAACAAAGGTATACAGGTTATCCGGGCCAGGATCTGAACAACCAATACAGTCAGCCACAGTCGACGGGCCAATATAACCAACCCCAGGCAACTGGTCAGTATAGTCAACCACAAACTACTGGTCAATACAATCAACCACAAACTACTGGTCAATACAATCAACCACAAACTACTGGTCAGTACAGTCAACCTCAAGCTAAGGGTCAGTATATTCAACAGCAGGCTACCGACCCCTTGGGGCAAAACACTGGTCAATACTCCACATCATTCAGTCCTCAAACTCCAACTGCTCAACCTTATCCTTCTCAACACGAACAGTTCGAGGAAAGCGAACCTAACTATGATGAACCAGAATCCACTACCCAATCATATAATGCACCAATCGAAACACCAAGTTACTCTCAGGAGTTTACCAATATCTCGGCATATCCTCCAATTGAGAACACAGGAAAGTTAAGAAGCGAGCCAGACTATCCTCCAACTTCCACATACCCTGAACAAAATCAATATGACACGGGTAGCTCTATTGAGTCTACCAGATCAAGGTTTCCTCCGATAGAGGATGTTAAGGCCGAGTATCCACAACACCCATCTGCGTCCAATATATCAAAGTTGCCTCAGCTTCCTGATTCTTTTTCGAGTCCACCACCAACATCTTTTACTTACCCAAGCTCAGAGGAAACGTCCAAGAGAGTTGAAGAGCCTTTGATAGACCTTTGATTAAACTTCTACCACTACTATCTACGTGAATTATAAGTCATTATTTAGTGCTCATAAACGTTTACTGCTTCTTAGGTCATATTATCCCTTTTAATGATATACTGAAAATGGATGTCTATTTGAAGAAAGAAGTCTTACGAAGTCTTTCTGTGCTTGGATCTCTTTGGCACCCGGGCGAGCCAATACAAGCAAATGGTAATGATATAGTTAATGAAAATGAAGGCAATGAAAATACCCATGTCTCTAAATCTGGTGTCAAAATTTGCACTTATTTGCTCCAAATAAGCGTCTGTAGAACTCATCTTACAATACTGACATTCTCCTGTAGACACAGGATTCACCAAGTAACCTTTAGCAACGGCCATATATCCTTCCATATATTGTTCGCAAGTGTAATTTGTTGGTGGAAGGAACCTTGTCAATTCTGCATCAGAGCAAGCAACAGTCGACTTGGCTAATGCAGTAGACAAAGCTGCACTAACAAAGTAGGTGAAAGGATTGACTCTGTACATGAATATCCAGAACCCAGGCATATGAGCCGAAGTGGATAATACACCACAGAAAAGAAGACAGAAGGAAAATAACACCATACCCAAGTTACCAGCATTATCAGCAGTTTCCATAAACGAAATCACCGCTTGGGCCATACTAGAAGAATACACGAAAAATAATACCACAAGCCACCACATGAAGCCACTTCTTGCATTCACAGCCTTTGTTGGGATCGCATTGGAGTAGAACCCAACAGGATAATACCAGCAGAAAAATTCAACTGTTCCAGCTGCTATAGCCCAAGGAACTTCAGCAGTAATTTGGGAAAGAATAAAGGTGAACCAACTGAATGTCTTGGAAGGTCTTTCTCTAACTTCATATAAATCCCTTTGCTTAACAAATATTGGAAGATACTGAAGAACCAAGTTTTGAAAAAGCGTCAACATCATAAAGACTGAAAACATCTGGTTCTGTAAACCTTGCAAAGTGTTATTAGCTTTGAAGAAAGAAAATCCGTTAAGAAGAGAAGTGGCAATGACCATAGTGAACTTGGAATATAAGTAAGAGTTTGTTCTCCAATACTGCTGGAGAACTCTCTTCGTGACAATCCAGTATTGTTTGTAGATGGGTAAAGCATAAGATTTAAAACTCTCTTTTGATTCATCTTTGGGCAATTGGGATAACTCTTGTTCCATGTAGTCTAACTCCTTTTGAACATCTTGGTATTCAGTGGAATTTTTCCAAACTTGATAGTAGTCTTGATTAGCATGAGATCCAGGAGCAGCTCCCACCACTTCCAACATCCATTCAGCAGGATTGGCATTAGGGGGACATTTTGAGGCTCCATATTTTTCAAAGTAATTGATTAAAGTGTTACACTCATCACCTAAATCACCGAAATACACCGTTTGTCCACCCGCCTGCAAAAATAATAACCTGTCAAACTCCTTCAATAGAATGGCTGAAGGTTGATGAATGGTACATAAGATAGCTTGGCCTTCGTCAGCCAATTTTCTGATCAATTTACAAATAGACCAAGCGGTTTGGGAATCCAAACCAGACGTAGGCTCATCCAAAAACACCAAAAGCTTTGGCTTAGCAACCAATTCCACACCAATAGTCAATCTTTTTCTTTGCTCAACATTCAAGCCTTCACCGGTTACACCTACCACTGCATCAGCATACTTCTCCATCTCCAACAACTTGATAGTATAGTCAACATAACGGTCTTTTTCTTCCTTTGAAACACTTTCAGGCTGTCTCAAATAGGCTGAAAAAGTTAATGATTCTCTGACTGTGGCAGTTTCCAAATGTAAATCTTGTTGCTGCACATAACCAATTGATCTCTGGAATGAAGAATCTAACATATGTCCGTTGACCATTCTCTTTCCGTTGGTGATTTTACCGATAGTTAATCTTTCACTCAAAGCATTTAACAAAGTTGTCTTACCAGCACCTGAAGCTCCCATCAAAGCAGTGACTTGGCCAGGTTTAACCCAACCATCAATATCAGTTAATATAGTTCTAGTATCTTTCTTGATGGTGATTTCATAGTTCAACTGTCTCCAATGGAAAATGTTTTCGTGTTTTTCAATATGCTTTTCTTCCGAAGAATCGTCGCTATTGGAAACATCATTATCGTGGACCTTTTCTGTGGATCCAGACTCCTCATCCACAACCACTTTCTTCAATCTGGCTAATTTGCTTCTTTGAAACAATAAAATCTCTCCCTTTTGCCTAGCACCCTTGTTGAACTCACATAGAATAATATACGTGAATAGGAAAAAAAGCATAAAACCAACATTGATACCAAAATTCCTCCAGGCATGCCCCCACCTATACGTAAAAGCAGTGTCAATATAAACATCCCCATTGACAAAAGAGCTTCCGAGTTCAGATCCTACCACACTACAAGCAATAGAAGTACCATTCAGGGGATAACCAGAACCACTTGGGATAAACGACACACAAGGAAATTCTCTTCCGTGGAACTCATTTGCAATCATGGCTTCGAATGTATAGGATATGGGGTTCAAGTACTTAATCCACCTGGACCATCCAAGCATATTAGGATAAGGAATGACGAATCCAGAATAGATCACAAGAATCAATAAGATGAGCCCTGCAGGATTCATGGCCTGGTACAAAGTCTTTGTGGATGCACCCAAGGTTCTGAAAACATGGGACATGGTTAAAGTTGCCCCAAAACCTGTCAAAAGGAAAAAGAAGAAAGCTCCTGGCTCTCTCTTCAAATTACACATGAAATATATGATCAAGTTGAAGGATATACCACTTAGCAATTTCTCAGGGAGTTCAAAGAAAATCGATGCCAACGCATCGGCTGCAGGATGATATAATGCATATGTCTTATGTTTCTCTACCACTGGCCTCGCCTCGTACAAACTGAATATTTCTAACATGGAAGAAAACGCATTAAACAAGGTTGCAAAAAAAAGTACTGCGGTTCTGTAGTAAAACGAGGAAGTGTCAAATGGTAAATTGTAGAACACTGATGACACTACCAATGACATAATGATATGGGAGATAATCATGAATAAGGTGATTGAAGGGTCTCCTAAAAACCGTAAGTAGTTTCTTTGCGTGATGTACTTCACCTGCATTCCAAAGGATACAGTATATGGAGACCCCGGTCTTGAGGCCTTCGACTGCCTGGCCCGATGCATGGTATCAAAGTCAGCTCTATGACCACTTGTTTCTTCGAGGTACGCGTCAATTTCGGTAAGTAATTGAGCTCTAGTAGAAGACCGGCGCCAGTATTGGTAAAAGTCCTCTGGAGTCACCGGTACTTTCCCTTCGAAACCAGCCTTTGTCACTCTCTCATGTGGGTTGGTTAGGGAGGTTAAGTAGTCGGCGGTGGTCTGCCGGGGTGGGCATTCGAATCCCATGTCTAGGAAATATTGTTTGGCGGCACGAGCGCTGCCAAAATAGATCTCATAACCTTCGTACAATAAGAGCACCTTGTCGAAACAGTCGTACGCATCCTGTGAACACTGGTAAATGGCTATCAATGGAGTCACTTTTTGTACCCGTGCCGATGTCTGTAATGCTCTGACAAACTCTAATGCGGTGGCCGAGTCTAAGCCTCTGGTAGAGTTGTCCCAGCACTGGACTTTACTCTGGGATAAAGCTGCCTCGGCGATAGAAACACGCTTTCGTTCACCTCCAGAAATTCCCCGGATAAAGTCGTTTCCCACCCGTGAGTTTTTGGTGTGAAGCAACCCATAGGTTGCCAACACCACGTCTGCCATGTGCTGGGCGTACTGATCTCTGGAAACTCCCAAGGGTCGGTTCCGCGGAGTCCTCATAATGGCTGCAAATTTCAAAGTGTCTCCCACCGTCAAGTGTGCGAAATGGTTTTCAGTTTCAGCACAGTACACAATCTCTCCAGCATAGTGCTTATTCATATCGCTGGCCAGAATCCCGTCATAGCTGATTTGGGACTCGGGTGCCACGTTGAACCCGTAAGTTTGCACTGCCACTGTTTTCAAGAAGGTGGAACACCCGGCACCAGGGCGCCCCAACACCACCGTCAATTCGCCTGGGCGAATCAACCCGTCCATGGGCTTCAAAATATCATACAGCCCTTGCTGATGGTTCCTAGTGTTTTTTTGTATAGTTTGTGTGATGGACTTGTACACTCCGTTCAAAAAGTTACTCTGGTAGTCAGCATCCATTGCTACCCCAAAGCATCTCAAATCCTTGAATGCCACTCCCACCTGCGATGGCTTGTAATATTCCAGATCGCTTTCGGTCAATTTCCGGAGATTTTTGACCCAGAACTTGGAGTCGAAAGAGTTGGAATTGGGGTCTAGACGAGGGTCTATATCATCAACAAATGGGTTTACTCCAGGTACTTCCAGTAGCGAGGTCAAGGTTCTTGTGAGACCAAGATCCCCGGAATTATCGGTGGCAATGCTACTGTGCTTGCTGACTTGCCTCGCCAACTGCTGGATTTCGGCCTCGACGCCGGTGGTAAACCCTTCGTAGATCGGGGTTAAATCTTTTTGACTATGAATAGATTCCATTCAAACTTTCAAAGAATATGCAGACTCCAACAAGGTTTTGTGGAGATTTTATACAAATCTCTCAGGTCCGAGGTCACTAAATTCCACCCTGGAGTTTGGCCTCAGATGTACAGTGTACATCACCTGATGGTCAAATGCGCAGTCCCTTGTCACCTGATCTTCTGAAGTACGAAACATTTCTGGATACTGTGCAGGTATAGCTATGCGAGTGGTCTAAAAAAATCTCACCTGATTGAGTGCGAGGCACGGGGCATGTGAAGTTTGGGGAGTGAGACAAAATTATTGAATCGATTGCGACTGCGACTTCTCACGACCACCTCTCACAGATTTGCGCGACCTCATCGCTGGAGATTTTTGCTTTAACCTTTTTTCTTTACAGAACACCCCAGAACAAACGAGAGCTGCCGCTTGAAGTCTCCTACATATTTAGCTCCCAACCATTGCGAGAGCTTGTATACGTGTCATTGAAAAAAAAAAGAAAAGAAACCCAGTCCCTTAGCGAAGAAAAACTCTTGGTATGGCACCTGTTGAATTAGCAACCGAATCGTATTCAGAATTAGACACTAATGATAATCGCATTAGGTGTTCAGCTGCGGCGTCCAAAAAGGACCGCTCAGTGGAAAATGCATTGATCTCAAAGATCATGCAACTCGACGAAACTTCCTGTGATGTTGGTGATGAAGACTCATTCTTCGTGGCCGATTTCAAGGAATTGAAAAAATCGGTTGAATTATGGAACTCCGAGTTGCCTCAGGTTCATGCTCATTATGCTGTCAAGTGTAACAACGACATTGAAACGGTCAGGTACTTGGCATCTCAGGGTCTCAACTTTGATTGTGCTTCAAAGAATGAAATTGAATTTGTCTTGGGTTTGGGTGTTTCTCCTGATCGAATCGTCTATGCGAATCCCTGTAAGAACGCTTCGCATATTAGATATGCTTGCCAACAGGGGGTCAACATGACCACTGTTGACAATTCCTATGAGTTGTACAAGTTGAAGAAATACCACCCCCGGTGTGGAATTTTGATCAGACTTGCAACTGACGATTCTCTGGCTCAATGCCAATTGTCTACCAAGTTTGGTTGTACTGTTGAAACCGCTCTTAATGAACTTTTGCCCTTGGCAAATGACTTGGAATTGAATGTTAGAGGTGTTGCGTTCCATATTGGATCGGGTGCCAAAGACGTCGACCCGATGTTTGTTGCCATTAGAGACTCAAGAATGTTCTTTGACAAGGCCATTGAATTAGGGTTTAATGTGGACACTTTGGACATTGGTGGAGGGTTTGAACGCGAGACATTTGAAGACATTTCGGCCATGACTAGGTATGGGTTGGATAAGTTCTTCCCTCCAGGGTTCACTCAAAAACATAACATTAGGTTTATTGCAGAACCTGGACGGTTTATGGTGGCCAGTGCATTTACTTTGGCCACCTATGTGACATCCAAAAGGGATTTGGGTTGTAATGAAGATAATATTGACGCGATGTTATACATCAATGATGGAGTTTACGGTAACTTGAACTGTATTTTGTTTGACCACCAACACCCAATTCCTCGCTTAGTGGAATTTGGCGGAGATGATAATGCCGACGCAAAAGGCGAGCACTATCATTATTCAGTGTGGGGACCCACATGTGATGGATTGGACTGCGTTAGCCCAATGGCGCGTTTCCCCAGATCAATTCATGTTGGTGACTGGCTCTACTTTACTGAAGTTGGTGCCTACACATCGGCAGCAGCTACCTCTTTTAATGGGTTCATTTATGATAGTGAGGTCATCTACATTAACACCGAGTTGTAGCAATGGACCACTCGGTGGTATTTAGAGTAGATTTGTTTGTTTGTTTTCATCACTTTAGTTAGGCTTAATTTATAAATTTAAGTTTATTACATGTAGAGTTTAAATGATTGGGTCAAGAATGGGGCAGAGCCTGGAGGTCTGGATTCAGTGCAGCAGACTTGGTCCGGAAAAATAATTTTGCTGTTTCTCACTGTACAAAGCCTTGGTCCAAAAATTTCGAAAGAAACCCCCACGCCAAATCAAGTGACACCTTAGTTTGTCACTCAATAAACCGGATCGAACCATGTCTGAACAACATAAACAAGTTCAGATCAACAATGCTATCAAAGCCATCAAAACCAAAAAAAGTAATGAGCAAGACTTGAGCTGGCACGTCACTGATGATGGCACCAAGATAAACACCAAGGAGAGAGTGGTTACATCCATCAATCCTCCCGCCACTTTCCAACCATCCGATCATCAGGTGTTCCTACCCAACGGCTTACCCAACTGTGCATTCTTGAAGACCCATTTTTTTAATGAAGGAAGATTGAGAGAAGATCAAGCTATTCGTATTTTAAGAGATGCTACTGAATTATTATCAAGTGAGCCAAACATGTTGGAAGTCCCAGCTCCTGTCACCGTGTGTGGGGATATCCATGGCCAGTATTATGACTTGATGAAGCTATTTGAAGTGGGAGGTGATCCTGCAAATACATCCTACTTATTCCTTGGTGACTATGTCGATAGAGGGTCATTTTCCATCGAATGCTTGTTATACTTATACTCAATCAAGTTGACGTATCCAGACACTTTTTTCATGTTGAGAGGTAACCATGAGTGTAAGCATTTAACGGAGTACTTTACATTCAAGAATGAATGCTTGCATAAATATTCGGAACGGTTATACGAAGAGAGCTTAAGGTCTTTTAACGCGTTGCCATTAGTGGCTATAATGAACAAACAATTCTTTTGTGTTCATGGAGGTATTTCCCCCGACTTACAAACGTTGAATGATGTGATCAGATTGGATAGGTTTAGAGAACCTCCAACCAAAGGGTTAATGTGTGACTTATTGTGGGCAGATCCCCTTGAAGATTATGATGAAGACAAGTTGGATCACAGCTTTATCAGAAATGCGGTGCGAGGCTGTTCTTATTCATTTACTTACAGAGCTTCGTGTCTGTTTTTGGAAAGAACTGGGTTGTTGTCGATCATTAGGGCTCATGAGGCTCAAGACGCTGGTTACAGAATGTACAAAAGAACTAAAACAATGGGATTTCCGTCCCTTTTGACTATGTTTAGTGCCCCCAACTACTTGGACAGCTACAATAATAAAGCTGCTGTTTTGAAGTATGAAAATAATGTCATGAATATCAGACAATTCAATTCCTCTCCTCATCCTTACTGGTTACCTCAATTCATGGACGTTTTCACTTGGTCTTTACCTTTTGTCGGTGAAAAAGTCACCGATATGTTGGTATCTATTTTGAACGTCTGCACGGAAGATGAATTAAGCGAAGACACGGAAGATGAAAAGTTGAACTTCAACCCCGAATCAGAACCTTCATCTCCAATTTCATACAAAAGAACCTTTTCATTTTCCAACATCCCATCTACTGATAATGATGCCAAACTTGACACTTACGAAGGCAGAAAACAAGCTTTACGTAACAAGGTGGTTGCCATTGGCAGGGTATCAAGAATGTATCAGTTGTTGAGAGAAGAGACTGAAGATGTTGCCAAGTTAAAAAGCTTGAACAGTGGACAACTTCCCAAGGGATCTCTTTTGCATGGTAGTAAAGGGTTGAAGGAGGTAATCACGACATTTGAAGATGCCCGGAAAGCCGATTTGATTAATGAAAAGTTACCTCCCACAAGAGAAGACCAAATAAGAATAGAACAAGAGAGACGACAAAAACTCCAACAGGAAATCAACAACGACTCCAATAGAGATCCCGTTTTCCAAAAGCTCATGAGAAGACTTTCCTAAGGTTAAGTATATATGTCTGTATCTATACTTGGGCATAGAATGATGAGATTAATATGTGAATAAATAGTATACCCACAACGCTTTGTTCGCGATAACCCTAAAATATTTTTACTTCCACAGTACGCATAGTATTGGCAAGAATCACCTGAAATGGGTTCGGATCCTCGACTAATATATGAATATCCCAACTATGAAAATACTATAGCCTTTACTGAATACCAGGCTTCGTCTCCAGAAAAGTTCTCTTTACCAGATGATGATAAATTTGTGCTTTATGCCGCTGGGTCTAATTACTCATTCCTCATTCTAGATAAAGATCCAAATATCCAGCTCTTCGTGCACCCAGAGATATCCTCCATTCAAGAACTCCCGGTGGACTTGTTCGTTTTGAATACTCTGTTTTTGGTTTGGTGTGATCTGTTGAATAAGGGGATTGAATTTCCTTACCAAGGCATCTTATTACACGCCTTACAAGAGCCTGATAAACTTTACTTACAAGTATCTACGAGTGATTTATTCCAAGTACAAACTCAAAAGGAATCGGAGCTCGTTCCCACCATTGAACTTGTATTAAGTCCAAACTCGAAGATGTCGAGACAACAGGATTCTAAGCTTTTGAGTAAGGTGCCCGACTCAGTAGAGTCTGTTTATCACGCTATGTCTAAATGTTCGGCGATGCACTTTGATTCTGAAAACGAAGACCAAACCGACATGGCCAACACAGGCTTTGATTTTGCCCATTCGTCATTGAACCCTGAATTTATGGAGGTTTCGGTTCCTAACAGTTGGGTCAATGAAGAGCCACCAACGATTCACAATACTGGGGATGCAGATGACTTGGAGTGCTTGGAGGAATCTCACGAAGAACCCGAAGAAGCTGGAATGCATGTAGATATTGGATTTGCCTCAATTGCAGGAGCCATCAGAAGACGTGAACACGACGAAGAAGACAGTGGCCGGGCCCAAAGACTGAGACCCAACTAATAGAACATGCATCTGAAGTAAATGTAGTCTTCTCTATTTATATGTACGAATCATATAGATAACGAATATATATAAAGTTCTGGGGATTGGAGGATGACGAGCTCATAATTAATTTATACCCTCATATTAACACTAATTGAGAAACTAAATCTGAGCATTCCATTCTTGTTCCTCAGCCTAACCGACATACTCAAATAAAACCCGAATTCTTTCGCTAGTACACATTCTCCTCTAAATATAATGAGAACAGCAGAAGAGAGGCTTGAGTTCAAAAACCATTTCTTCAAGCTTGGGCAAGGCAGGATTATTGATTTGACAGACAAAGCATACTGGAGTGTCTTCTGGGAAAAGCCAAATGGTGCTAACGATATATTCGAATTACTAACCCCGTTCGATATCCAATCTCTACGAGATCAGAACCGTTCCAACTTCCTCCTGTTGATCTACGTTCTTTGCCAGAAACTTATAGCTTTCGTTGACCTCAAGAAACCACTACCTTCAAGCCAAGTATTAAACTGTGTGAGGTTCTTAACCAAGTTAATACCATTTTTATATGAATTGGAGGAGTACAAAACTCTCGAATCCAAATTCTTCTTGTCCTCCTGTTATGAACCACTTATATTCGTGGACTCCACATCACACCCTCCACAAAAAATAGATACTCTGAACATTTTGGCTGATAAGCTATTAAAGAGTCTAATTAGGCTTTTATTCTTCAAGGGATTCACCATTACACCTTCAAGAGCAAACAAAGACGTGGAACCTACCGAAATGATATCATACTCGCTATGGGAGCCTGGCATCGGTGTTAACGCAAAGTATCAAGCTCCTGACTTGATAGTTGAATCAAATCGTTCTTCGGTAATGAAGTTGATTCTTACTCTATGCGGAAACGCAATCTACAGTTTCCCTTCCCAAGTGGTGGCCAATGGGTCTTTGTTCTTGACATTGTTAGTGAGTTCACTTCCACGGATTGAGGTGTTGACATTGGTATGCTCATTGATAAATGTGGTGTGCCGTTCTGTCAGGCCATCTTCCAACGAGAACATGCTCCAACTAAACGAGGCAAATGTAAGATTCACTAGGTTTCTGTATGTGACACATTGCATTCAATTTTTGACACTTATGATAGTGTATCCACTCCCACCTAAACAAGATCTAGAACCATTGTCCCAGTTAAATATATTGGCTCATAAACCCTACAATATGGCTAGATTATATTTTGGGAAGTTGCATAAGGATCAAGAACTCTTATTTTTAACTTCAAGTTTGGTAAATAGCTTGAAGAGCCCAATTATCGGTTCAGGTGAGTCTGAGTCCGTGTTCAATCTCAATCTCAGTCGTTTTGGTAATTCCCCACCACTTTGGGTGATGGAAACAATGATGCTTCTCTGGGAATTATTTCAATGTAATGCCAGCTTCAAAGAACTTTCAGGTCCCAAATTCTACTCAGTAATATGCTTCATGTTGGTGTTCTATATCAAACAATATGCCAACAACAATCGGGATCAAAACATAGTACGATTGGCGTCTTGTTTTTTGCTTTATTTGTCTCATCAGAAGCCATTTGTGGAAGATTTGCTTATTCCTAGTCCTGAATTCATGAATAGTCTTCCCCCATCAAATAGCTTCAATCAAAGTCAGCTTTCAACTAGAGACTTTTTGGTTGTTCAACTATGCGCCATTCTTAGCAACTATGCCCTTTCAAAACAATCGCATCCTTCAAACTCATTACTTGCAACCACCTTGATAGAAATCCTATACAATTTAGTTCCTTTGATATCATCAGAGCCATACCCCGGTACCAATGATCCAACGAAAAAGCTCAATAATATCAACCCTCGCAACGGCTTGTCCTATTCAGCATGTACAGCTTTGACTAACTTGATTGTCAGGTTTTCCAATCGAGACTTCCTTTTAAGAGCTTCCTTCAATCCTGATCTTTTGGCTCTTTTGATCAGAAGTATTTGTATTGGAGCTTTAAGGGACACACAAGCATCTCGAATGTTACTATTTTCTATCCTCAAAGGTGAGAAGACTTATGCTCAGGCCTGGTCAACCATATATAGCTTCAAAAACGAATACTTCAACGAAGATGCTTTGATGCTTAAAACTGTGCAAGACGACAACGAAGCTCAATCTGAAATCAATGAAAAGGACGACCATGAATCCATTAATAGTTTGGCCACCACCCCATCCAATCGGTCTTTCACCAACCTCAACATTCAGGAAGATGATGACCCCAAACTGCCACCCATGATGTCCCAACCTCAATTCTCTTTCTATGGGAACGAAACAATGTCTGCTTCGAGTATTGGATCAAATCCTCGATCGGAAACAGATGCATATGAAGTTGAGGCAAAGGCTATTGACAGGGCATTGAGACCTAGTCTTCCAACGGGCATGACAACAAAAGCCAGAGGTAAACAAAGAAAGGAGGCTAGCATAAGCAAAACCTGGGCCGGCAATGATGCATTGAGGATCATTATCACGGTGATTATCCCACACTTGAAGCTCACTTTGAGTGAGGTTTGGGCGGTTGATAACGCACCAGGTATTGACGCCTTTACGTTGGTTCAACATATTGCTGATGCCGATTTTGCAAAAGTGATTGAAGAAAACCTGAAACAAATCAACTATGACTTCCTTCCTACATCTCCTTTAATTCCATTGAAATTTTCTTGGAGTACAATCTCCTTGGGCTGGTACTTGTCATTGCTTTTCAGTGATATCTACAATGGAATTGACAGTGTTGAACATGCTACTGGTGGAAACTACAAAATTGTGAAAAACTTAGCCTCTACCGTTTTATCGTTCGGTAAGTTCTTCCAAGGAGGAGATACCACCATGAACGCAATTGTTGAAACCCCAGAAACAGTTGCAGAGGTGGAAAAGTCAATAACTAAAGTCAATCACTGGTCTCAAACAAATATAAGATTATTCAAGATCAAAACAGAAGCAAGTTTATTCGACATCTTCAACTCTAAGTTAGGTGTCATTCCAAATCAGTCTATGCCGGGGACTCCTTCTTTGGATAGACCTTCTAATTTGTCTAGGAGATTGAGTGACTTAAGATTGCAACAGATAAGAAGTGCTACACCGGTTTCAGGCATGAATACTCCAACCCAAGAACCGGAGGCCTATTTCCCAACCAGAGGAAACTCTGTGTCATCCTTCCACTCGTTGAATACCCTCAACCGTTCAAGGACAAACACTCCAAGAAACTCAATCAGTAATTAAGATTGATTCTTTTTACATATTATTAATCGTACAAAATATATTTACGAGGTTATGCACCCTACCGTCTTCTATTTCCCTTTTTGGTTTGCACCAAAGTAAACCCATCATCGTCGACTACTGGACCGTTATCGACTTCCATCGAGTCGTCTATGTGCTGGTCCTCATGATAATGCTCATGTTCTTCATCATCTTCTTCATCACTGCTAGGATTTTCTGGATCATCTTCAACCTTGACTTTTTGTGCCTGTCTATTCTGTTGTCTAATTTGCCATCTTTCATAGAGGATATCTATATCACTGAAATCATTCAATTGTGCTTTTTGGTAGAATTTGATTATCATGTTGGCAATCTCAAGAGCTGAATCGTTATCGACATGAACATCGAATTCATCTAACATGGCGTATAATAATGTTTCTTCAACTAATTGAACATCAACTATCTTTTCCTCGAACAAATCGATAACAATACCTGATATCCAATCTCTCTTATCTGCAGAGTTAGGCCCACCCCAGGAATTGTCAACAGCGACGTTCAACTCTTCCCACTTGTGAACAGCCATGGTGACACCTAGTTCAAAATGTGATTGCTGTCTTTCATTCGGAAACTTAAGAGAACTTTGTCCATCAAGGGCTTGAACAAACTCTGTTGGATCTATTCTGCTCATATTCTTTTGGTTGTATGAACTTTTTTTTGGATTCGCGATGAGAAAGAGATGCTCGCAGAAAGCGATTTTGCAGCCGAAATAATGCAGGTTGAATCCCTTTATATGTTTTTAACCTATAATAGTTTTACAAAAACCCAGACACTTGATCATCCCTTTTCAAAGTCGACATCACTTCATCCTGCGATACATTCAATGAAACAAGGCGGTACCGCTCACTTTTAATGTCCTGCGCATTTAAGATCCCATTCTCTATGAGTTCAAAAATGAGAAACTTAAAGTTTTCGATTCTAATGCTGGTTTTTGCTTGATCATTTGTCATTCTACCATCTAGTAATGCCTCAGCAACATCGATATGCCCACTTATAGTACCAGAAAGTCGGAGACTTTTTGAGCTGGCCATTCTAAGTAATATTTTGATCTCGTCAATAATATCGCCCAATGGATTCTCAGCCAACCCGGATCGTCTCTGTCTCAAAAGAAGAGCACATAAAATCAATTTAGATGCCATTGACAAGCTTGCAACATACTGCGCAATGGGTGAATTGGTTGACTCGTTGATGGCTTTGGCGATATGAGGAATCTTCACGTGGAAAACATCTGAAGAGTGTTCATCCCCATTTGCCGATGTTTGATACTCCAATTCGGCAATCTCGACTGCTCTTCTACAGATCTGTAAAGCTCTACGAGCATCACCACTAACACTAGCAACTTTTCTGGAAGCAAAGTTTATAGCATCCAGCTCTATTATGACTTTTTGCTTGCTTTGACGTTGAATCATGCTCAATCGGTGATCTATAATACATCCCAACTGCTCAAAAGTATAACCAATGAATTGAATTCTTCGCATACCTAATCTTGATGAAATTTTGTTTGTAAGGACTCTTTCTGGTAAGTCCATAGTGTTGGCAACTGCAAGAACAATTAACTTGGAGTTAGGATATGTGGGCCAGTTGAAAAAATTGTACATGACGTTTTGCTTTTTGGTAGCCATCAGGTCGAGTTCATCTACCATTACGACAATTGGTTTTTTGGACGGCGAGTCTTCCTTGAAGTAAGCATCTAAAAACAAAGCAGCATACGAAGGACTAACGTCCAAGCCACTGATTTTTGACCAAAGCACAGAATATGCATAGTTTGGATTGATAAGCTTTAATGCATTTATCTCAACGTAATCAAAATCATTTACTTCTCCTTTCTCTTTGAGATCTTCCATTGAGCTCATGACTTCTTGTATAGTGGCGGTCTTACCAATACCAGGCGTCCCACTTATGTATAAGCAGCATCCAGTTTGCTCTTTGATTGAATTTTCAACGTTTAAATATAACGTAGTGAACTCATCTTCACGACACGGAAGCGAAGAAAGTTTTGCGGATGTATGAAGCTTTTTCTTCAAGTCTTTGAAAGCAGTAGAGCTTGTATCGAGATTTCCATAGGTTGAATCATTTTTCTTTGTTCTCTTCTTCGGTGATGACAATGTGGGCACCGGCAATGAGTTATAGATCATAACCTTCCTACCCAAGACCTTCTTCATGAACTCTTCTGATTCTTGGAATCCTCTCTTCTTGGTGGATTTGGGAGTATTGGCCTTCCTTGGTGACGGGGATTCGGGTTCAGATAAATCTTCAAGTACATCATTTTGGGGTGGGGCTCGAGGTTTTCGGAGACTAGTTTTTCGAGGAGTAGTCGGCTTGGAGGTAGCTCTCCTCTTCTTTGGAGAAGTTTGGGCACTGTGGAACTCTTCATCCAGAGAATCTAAATCTATCTCTTCGACATCCCGGTCATCTTCTGAGTCAGATTCCTCGCTGGATATGTTGATCAATTTCTTCTCCAGTTGGCGAGCCTTTTGAGAAGCTGATTCGGAAGCTTCTGGATTTCGTTTTTGTGTGGGCGTTTCTGTCCTTTGTTTTTTGTCATTTTCCTCAGTCATATCGCCGATAAGCTCAACTAAAGTTTTAGGATCTTGTTTCAAAGTAGCCAATACCACATCGTATGAGAGAGGTTGACTTAAATGCTGGCCGTCTTCATCACTAGCCATCCGACAAAAGTATGCTCGGTGTTCTTTCTTAGACAATTCCATATATGCTTCATGTGTCATCACATTCACATTTTCCTTGACCACATCAACGGGGATGATATCTTTAAATGGAGTTATGAAAAGTTCCTTCTCCTCCAAAGACCTATCCAGATTGATCGTTAAGTCAATTTCACTTGACCTGTTGAACCATAGAACCTCCAACTTCACGACAGAGCTGATTCCAAACTCAATGGATATAATCAAAGCTATTTGTGTATCGGAAATTTTTTGCTGCTGGACCTCTATGCTATCACCAGCTTTGAGCTCGAGACCATCTTTATCTCTTTTTATCATTATCTTATTCGATACGGCTCCTCTTCTTCTCCCACTTCGCCTAGGGCTTTCATTATCGCCATTGTCTTCACTCTCGAGAAACAGATACGTCCAACCTTTCAACTTATTAATGGGAAGCATCGTGAATGGATGGGTGACAATTTTAACGCGACTTTATGTATAATTTAAATGCTAAATAAAAGTATTAATGAGAGAATTGAAGACCATTGGGATACCTGAAAAACATAAGGACACTACTTATATATGAGGATAGGTTCCCCGACATTGGTGATTTCTTCTAGGTTCAATTTCAAATCGAATGCTTTAGATAATATGATCTTGAATATCTTTTGCACGTTGATAGAATGGGATGTGGAACAGAATACCACTGGAGATTTCATGGCGTTGGCAAACTTCTTGGCCTGCTGTGTTATTTCAATTTGATCTTGGTGAGGTAAGTCGATAAACTCGTCGTATTTGGTCCCCACAAGAAATGGAATAGCAGTTTTGTTGAATCCTCTGACTTGTCTGTACCATTCCTTGATAGAATTCAACGTGCTTTTTCTCGTTAAGTCAAACATGAAAAGCATTGCAATTGCGTCATTGGACACCAATGGTAGCATATTGATGAACTCTTTCTGTCCACCTAAATCCCAAATCGAAAAGGTTATGATGGTATTTCTTATTCGTATTTTCTTATCCATAAAGTTGACTCCTAATGTCTGAATATAATCATCATCGAACGTCCCTTCGACGTATTTAACCATAAGAGATGTTTTCCCTATTTGCGAATCGCCAATTAAGCCCACTTTTAATGCCACTCTAAAATTGTACTTGTTAGTAAAACTATTTGAGGAAAGTCTGCATACCTCGAAGTCCACATAATCAACGTCTGCATAGATCGAGTAACTCTCGTTTAGAAGAGGTAACATACTGGTTTCCTTGTTCATCGTGTTCTTGTTCTTCCATGATTCAAAAACACTTGATACCAACTGATTTGTTTATAATTCTTAGGCTCGCGCGAGACGTGTACAAAGGTAAGCCCGTAAGCCAGTATTCAAAAGAAGGGCTGTCGCCCTATATCGCGTGCGCATTTTTCAACAGTCACCGTTGTCATACAAAATGTGTGCAGGAGTGTGCTTTTGTGAGACCAAAAAAAATCTCTCGCTCTAAGCCAGAGGTGAGAGAAAAAAGTACGCTTAGTGAAAATTTTATATTGAAATAATTTTTCTTTTGAATAAACAACTTTAATATGGCTGTTGGTAAAAATAAGAGATTGTCCAAAGGTAAGAAGGGTTTGAAGAAGAAGGTCGTCGACCCATTCACCAGAAAAGATTGGTTTGACATCAAAGCTCCATCCACTTTCGAAAACAGAAACGTTGGTAAGACTTTGATCAACAAATCTACCGGTTTGAAGAACGCCGCTGATGGTTTGAAGGGTAGAGTTGTCGAAGTATCTTTGGCTGACTTGCAAGGATCTGAAGACCACTCTTACAGAAACATCAAATTGAGAGTTGACGAAGTCCAAGGTAAGAACTTGTTGACCAACTTCCACGGATTGAACTTTACTTCCGATAAATTGAGATCTTTGGTTAGAAAATGGCAATCTTTGGTTGAAGCTAACGTCACTGTCAAGACCGCTGATGACTACGTCTTGAGAGTTTTCGCTATTGCTTTCACCAAGAGACAACAAAACCAAATTAAGAAGACTACTTACGCTCAATCTTCTAAGTTGAGAGAAATCAGAAAGAAGATGATGGAAATCATGCAAAGAGAAGTTTCCAACGTCACTTTGGCTCAGTTGACCTCTAAGTTGATTCCAGAAGTTATTGGCAGAGAAATTGAAAAGTCTACCCAAACCATCTATCCTTTGCAAAATGTTCACATCAGAAAGGTCAAGTTGTTGAAGCAACCAAAATTCGACTTGGGTGCTTTGTTGTCTTTACACGGTGAAGGTTCTGCTGAAGAAAAAGGTAAGAAGGCTAAGGGATTCAAGGACGTTGTCTTGGAATCTGTTTAAATACTGTACTCTGCTTATATAATTCATAAAATACATATTTAGTAATATATTAGGTGATTGTATGTTTATGATTACCCTAATGGATCTTGGTAATGGTAGAGCTTTATAACAGTTATCTATTCCATGCTAACAGCATCCACGATGTTGAAAAATCTTCATCGAGTATTTTGTTGGACACGACCTTCCGTAACCAGAACAGTAATAAAAATGGGAAGTAGCTACATTCTTTACCAGCAATTAGTGTTTCTTGCTCATGAAGTTCTGGAGCTCTTTATTTCGTTACACAATATTCCATTTTGCAACTAGTTGATGAATATGAATACTCTGGTGCAAATATTAAGTGTTACTAATCAAACCTTCAAACTTTAGCGAATTTTGCGGATGCTGCAAGATTCAACCAATTTGATCAAAAAATGGTTAATTCCAATCTAATTTTAGTTACAAAGTTTTAATTGGTGTATCAAACATCCATGCGGCTGGGCTAGATAAGTAGGTAGAGTAAATTGGATGTCACCGCTGGTTAAATAGAATATCGTTGACTGCTGCTTATAGTGATTTTGTAGTCCTGCTTTTCTCAAATTCCAGGTTGATCAATGCGGCGAGGTACCTGAATTTTTCATTGCTCCTTTGTTTTTTCTCATTCTTAAAACCAGTTTCAATCTTGACTAATTATAGCTGTCGACAAGTTGCTTGAACAATTGGAATCGTCCTTCATCAACCATGAGTGAAGTATGTATTAGCAAACCTTTCATGGTACTCATTGGATACTCAATTGATCCCATGGAATTGATCCCCTTTTCCTAGGGGTCTCAGTCTCAAACCCGATCACCTCTATAATTCATGTACTAACTAACATTAATTAGAAAAGTAAGGATGTTCCGAATGGAGCAGCTTCCAACATCGAGGATGTCAAGAAGTATAACCAAAAGGTTCACGAAGCTGCTGGCTCTGCGAATCCTCCAATGGAAGGAAAAGCAACCAAACCTCCAGTTCCAACCAATATACCAAGTATTAGAGAGAATACCACCTTCTCTTGGGAAGATGTGGGATCTTGGGCTAACAACAGTTCTCAAGATAAAGCCAAATCCTTACAGACATTGAAGAAGATTGAAAACTATGTGCTTGATCACTTTTATGGTGACTGGTACTGGAATACCTCAATCATAATTGGAACATGCTTTTTCTCCTGGTTGGTTGCTAGAATTGGTTTAGGATTCTTCTCCTTATTGGCGGTGTTATTGGCCGCCAATTCTGTTTACCGGTCGGAATTCAGAAGATTCAACCGTGATATTAGAGATGATTTGACCAGAATTCACGCGTCAACCCGATTGGAAGAGGAATTGGAAACTATGGAATGGTTGAACTCTTTCTTGGACAAGTTTTGGGTGATCTATATGCCTGAATTGTCGGAACAAGTCAAGTTCATTGCTAATGAGATTTTAAAGGACCAAGCTCCTGGTATGGGAATTGAGAAGATATCCTTGGACGAATTCACTTTAGGTTCTAAAGCCCCAAGAGTGAACAGCATTAAATCATACACCAGAAAGGGTCAAGACCACATCGAAATGGACTGGGCCTTTTCGTTTGCCCCAAATGATACTGATGACATGACCAAGAACGAAATCAAGAAAAAGATCAATCCCAAGGTTGCTTTGGGTGTTACCATTGGTAAGGCATTTATTTCCAAATCTCTTCCAATCTTAGTTGAGGATATGTCCTTTGTCGGAAGAATGAATATCAAGTTGAAATTGACTGAAAAGTTTCCTCATGTGAAGATGGTTTCTGTTCAATTCTTGGAAGCTCCAGATATCGATTACTCCTTGAAGCCTGTTGGAGGTGACACTTTTGGTTTTGATATCATGACGTTTATTCCTGGTTTGTCTTCGTTTGTTAAAACATTGATACACTCTACCTTGGGCCCAATGTTATACGCTCCAAATTCTTTGGATGTTGATGTTGAAGAAATAATGGAAGGTCAATCCAATGATTCCAACGGATGTGTGGCCGTGACTGTGATCCGTTGTAAGAAATTGAAGACTGGCCCAGACACAAAGGAAAACAGTATCAATCCTTATGTTAGAATCACCCTTTCGGGAAACCCTAAAATCGAGGAGAAAACTAAGGTCAAAAAGGCGATCAATGATCCCATTTTCTTGGAATCTAAGACTCTTTTGGTCAACAAGTTGGATGGCAACTTTTTGACTTTTAATGTATATGATTTTGTCGATGACAAGCCAAACGATACTTTGATTGGTTCCGTCGAAGTTCCTTTAGTAGACTTATTACAAAAGGAAGTTCAGACCGGATTGGTGAAAAATATTCTGGAAAGTGGTAAAACTGTTGGCCAGATCGAATTTGATCTCAGATATTTCCCAACATTAGAACCAATCGTTTTGGATGATGGTTCTAAGGAAGAAAACAACGACTCGGAAATCGGTATCGTGAAATTGAACTTGATTAGTGCCACCAACTTGGAATTAACAGACTCCCCTCTTGGATTATTGAATCCATATGCGGAGATATACGTTGACGGTGAGTTGGCAAAGAGATGCAGAAGATTGAAAGGAACAAACAATCCTACTTGGAATGAAAGCTTTGAATCTTTGATCACTTCCCAGTCTGACACCCAAATTGAGATTCTTGTCAAAGACTCTGCCAACGAAGGAATTGTAGCTAGACTTGATGTTAACTTACAGGATATCATTTTTGAGAGTTCAAGGGGCCAAAAATGGATCAAATGCCCTCCTCTCAAGCAAGGTGGTATTGTCCCAAGCATTGAAGTGGTTGCTACTTGGAAAGCTTTGGGGATCACCGATGAGAATGTTGTAAACGAAACCAGCTTTGGTTCAGCCATTGGTGGATTGAGATTACATATTAGAGAGGCAAGTGACTTGAAAAATCTCGAGGCTGTTGGTGAGGTGGATCCTTACGTTAAAGTGGTTGTTAACGGTAAATTGAAGACAAAAACGGTTACAATTGCTGAAACCTGTGATCCTAGATATGATGCTGTTTACTTCTTGCCTATTGATAACGAACATCAACATTTGTTATTGAGTATTATGGATGCCGAACCAGATGGCCAAGATAGAGCCTTGGGTTCTTGTGCTGTCCATGTCAATGATTTCATCAAGAAGAATGAAAAGGGCTATTTCTTGGGCTATGATGGATCGGAGGAAATCATCGAACAACCAGTTTTGTTTAACGGGCAAAATAAGGGTTTCTTAACGTACTCCGTATCGTTCATCCCTACTATTCCAATTGTTACTCACAAACAGGCATCACATAAGAAAGAGTATCAAAGATATTTGAAGAGGTTGGAAGAGGCAGAAGCTGCTAAGAAGAAGAAAGAGGAAGAATTAGTCAAAGATTATCCTGATAAATTTGAATTCATCGAACTCGATGAAAAGGATGTTCCAGCTCCTCCTCGTGCTGAAATGCCTTTAGATGATTTGATTAAATACAGAGCTGGTACTTTGTCTGTTAATGTTTTGAAGGGCAGATTTGAAAAACCAGATTTGTATCTTCAAACATTGTTTGATGACCTGGCTTTCCCTTCGGGTGTAACTCCAAGAAACGAAACAAGAAGTTTGCAAGTTTCTTCTAGTGCTGAATCTTTCATCAGAGACTTACCAAATTCCAATACCATTTTCAGAGTGGCCAAGAGATTCGAGGTAAAGAGTGAGAAGGATGTTATTGCAGAAAAGACTTTCAATACTCTTTCTCTTTTGAAGCAAAGCTACAACAAACCAATAGATGTGAGAATTGATGAACATAACACGGTTAAGATTCAATTGGAGTTTATTCCAACTGCCGTGAAATTGCATCCATTGGACACTGTGTTGGATGTTGGATACATGCAATTAGATATCTTGAGGGGTGAAAACCTTCCAGCCGTTGATCTGAATGGCAAATCTGATCCAATGGCTATTGTTAAATTGGATGGTGTTGAGGTTTACAAGACCGATAAGAAGAGAAAGACCATCTCGCCAGTATGGAACGAAACCGCCAATTTCCCTATGGCCTCTAGGTCCAGACAAGTATTATTGGTGGAAGTATATGATTGGGACTTGACTCATGCACCTGAATTATTAGGTAGAGCTCTTCTTGACTTATCTACCGTTGAACCTCACACTTCTACCCCATTTAGTGCGAAGTTGGACACCAAGGGAGAGGTCTTCTTTAAAGTGACTTTCAAACCTGAATACGTTAGACCTCCAATTGGTTCTGCTGGTGGATTCCCTATCGATTTGAAAGGTGTTGCCGGTAATATCGTTGGAGGAGCAGCTGGCGCAGTAGGAGCAGTCGGTGGAGGAGCTATAGGAGCGGTTGGAGGAGGTGTTGGCTTAGCTGCTGAAGGATTAGGTAAAGGTGGATCATTCATTAAAGGTTTTGGAAAGCTGAAGAGAAAGAAGAAGCTTGTCGATAACAACGACGCTTCGGAAAGTGCTAGTATTGCCGACTCGAGTAGGACTGGTAATGCTGACACCAGTAGGACCAGTATCCCTGATACTCCTACTCCAAAGGATTCTAACCACTTAAGTGATGAAACTTCAAGTACTGCCATCAGTACGGCAAGTAGTCCAACCAAACTGAGATCAAATCATGAACACTCAAGGTCTCAGTATGCAAATGACTTGCAATCTTTGAGATCCGGAAGCCATCCTCCAGCACCTCCAATAAAAAACGCTTTACCTAATGTTTACACTGATGGATTACCTGCTCCACAAAGGCCATTGGCTCCACTTGAAAGATTGGAAACTCAATCGAGTACTCCCGACTCAACTGTGGACAGCAGTTTTGCTAGCAGTATTCATGGAGCAAATGCTATTGCTGGTAGATTGTTGATTATTGGTGCATCTGGATACTCTTCCAAGAGCTTGGAGGTCAAAGCATTATTGAAGACTCCAAGTAAAGAAAGAAATCTTTTCAAGACTAGAGCTGCTAAATTGGATAAGAAAACAGGATCTTTCCAATGGTCTGAATCTGCTCCATTCCAATGCGTCCCTGAGTCTCAAATCATTTTGGTAATAAGAGAACATCATACTTTTGGTTCAAATGATGAGGTTGATAGATTCACTATTGATCTTTCTTCGTCCATTGGAAAACAACAAGACCTCACTTTAACCGGTTCTAAAGGAACTTTGACTATTAACTTGACTTACTAAAGGTCAATATGTTTATAACACGTAACTGTACTTCAATAAAATTGTATTCTTGTTATGGATGTACTGCTGTTGGCTACTGGTGAGTTTGGCTGCAAAACATTAGAGTGCTACCAGCGCACGACAACAGAAACGTGACTGCGTGACTGCTTTTCTCATATTTTTCTATCTCGCACTACTGTTCCAGTTTGTGTAACTTGCAAAAATTTTTTGAGATTCTCTAACTAGTGAGAATTCAATACTACACTCTTAAAATTTTTCTTCAATTTACTATCATAAATTAAAGATGTCTCAATCCGTATGTTAATATTATATGAACCTATGACAAGGTAATAGTTGGAATCACCCCATTCAATAGTAGGTACACCAGTATCATATCATCCTCGAGCTAAATGTTGAAAGAAGTGGAAGAAACTCGAAGTTAAGCGAAGTGAAAAATTTCATGGCAATACCAAATCTCTTTCATTGAAGAAGACTACAACAGTGATAATCGAACTGTAAGAATACAACTCAAACAGTTCCCCATAGGTTCCAATTATACCATTGTCAATACGTCACTTCTAGCAATTTTACTAACAAAATTCTTTTAGGCTCCTAAATGGTACCAGTCTGAAGACGTTCCAGTCCCAAAGCAATCTAGAAAGACTGCTCGTCCACAAAAGTTACGTGCCTCTTTGGTTCCAGGTACCGTCTTGATCTTGTTGGCCGGTAGATTCAGAGGTAAGAGAGTTGTTTACTTGAAGAACTTGGAAGACAACACTTTGTTGGTTTCCGGTCCATTCAAGATTAACGGTGTTCCATTAAGAAGAGTTAACGCTCGTTATGTCATCGCCACTTCCACCAGAGTCAGTGTTGACGGTGTTGATGTTTCTAAATTCAACGTCGAATACTTTGCCAGAGAAAAGACTCCAAGAGCCAAGAAGTCCGAAGCTGAATTCTTTGATGAATCTGCTCCAAAGAAAGAAATCAAAGCCGAAAGAGTTGCTGACCAAAAGGCTGTTGACTCTTCTTTATTATCCGAAATCAAGAAGACCCCATTGTTGAAGCAATACTTGTCTGCTTCATTCTCATTAAAGAATGGTGATAGACCTCACTTGTTAAAATTCTAAATTTAATTTTAGTTGTTTATATTAATGAAATTTTAAAAGAGGTGGTTATATCATTATTTCTCTTTGTATATTTAATACACTTATAACACGTTAAACTAATAGCTTTTGCAGTATAAATAATATTCTCATTAAATATGTACTTGAATATTTGAGTGATTTTTGATAAACCTATCCAAAGAACTACAAATGAAACATGAGTACAGTATTGGTAGCATGATACATGTTGATACTTTCTACATCCGTATAATTGGAAAATAAGATGCTTATACTTACTTTACCAAACTATCTCGCAATAACCAGCTAAGATTTTCAGGCGTGTCCCTGGAAGCATTAAAATAAGTTCACCTCATCTCATCTCAAATTTTTCGAATAGCTCACATATAATCAAAATGGCCAACTTAGTTCCTATTGCTACTTATAACTTGAACCTTCAACCATTCCTGCCTTCTGCCGCCATCGAGTTGGAATTCCCAACTACCATCAGAATCACTGCTGCTGCTATTGATCCTGAAGCTGTCGATGAAGAAGGAAACCCATCTACTTTGAGAATGTTGAAGAGAAAGCTTCCATTCGATGATGACTCCGACTCTGAAGACGAAGACTTCGAGGTTGGTGATGACTCTGAAGAAGAAGATGAATTGGATGAACAAGAGGAAGAGGAAGAAAAGGAACAAGAAAAAGAAGAAGAAGACGAAGACAAAAGCGATGAAGACAGTGAAGAAGATGACTTGGATTTGGAGATCGAAGACGAAGAGTATGTCATCTGTACTTTGTCACCAAAGTTCCAATACCAGCAAGTTCTCGACATCACCATCCAACCAGATGAAGAAGTTTACTTTGTTGTCACCGGTTCTTACCCTATTCATTTGAGTGGTAACTACGTTGACCACCCAGATGATGAAGACAGTGATGAAGATAGTGAAGAAGACTATGACAGTGACGAATACGATTTGACCCCTGATGAAGAGGAACTTTATGACTTGGAAGACTTGGAAGATGCTTCCGATATTGAGAACAAAATCGAAGAATTGGTTGAACAAGACCAAAAGAACAACAAGAGAAAGACCGAAGTTGAAGAAGAGCAAACCGAAGAAGTCAAACCATCGAAAAAGGCCAAAAAGGACAAGAAAGCCGTTCAATTTCCTGAATCCTTAGAACATGGACCAGGTGCTGAATATAGCAAGAAGGAAACCAAGAAGGAAAAGAAGGAAAAAAAAGAAAAGGCCGTACCAGAAGCTAAGAAAGAAGAATCTAAGAAGCAAGAAACCAAAAAGGACGAACCAAAGAAGTTTCCTACTAAGACTTTGTTAGGAGGTGTTGTCACTGAAGACAGAAAAGTCGGTAAAGGACAAACTGCTAAAACCAACAACAAGGTTGGTATTAGATACATTGGAAAGTTGAAGAACGGTAAGGTTTTCGACAAGAACACTTCCGGTAAGCCATTTGTGTTTGGATTAGGTAAAGGTGAATGTATCAAGGGATTCGATTTAGGTGTTGCTGGTATGGCTGTTGGAGGTGAAAGAAGAGTTGTGATTCCTGCCAAAATGGGATATGGTTCCCAAGCCTTGCCAGGTATTCCTGCCAACTCTGAGTTGACTTTCGACATCAAGTTGGTCTCTCTTAAGTAAGTTTCATAAATTCATAGTGTTGATAGATAAAATGGTGTTAACTTTGTACTGCTACTCGTCCCCGCGATTTTTGTTCGTTTGAGATTTTTGATTTTGCACTGCTCCCATCGTATAAGGCCCGTCCGCACGTCTCGAAAAATTCTCGATATCGAAGTTATAGGTTCTTTTATCAATATCTGCACTCCCAACGAAAAGGCTTATCTACTTACTCAATTTGTAGAAAGACCTACATTTATTGTATGTCTAACCTCGGCTATAAACTGTTCTTCTTCAGAATCTTCAGTTTTTCACGCGTCACTTTCCACTTGGGCTCTTACTAACTCGTTCTCACCTATAGATTTTTTCCATTTATTCAAAAGTCAAAAATATAATACATGGGAATCGTTCCTAGATTGGCCTGCAAAGTCGCCAAGGCGTCAGCTAATCATCCGATTCACGTGATTATACTCACTACCATCCTAGCATCTTTTTCATATTTGATGATAGTGGATGAGTATCTTCCTGACAGATTCGAAACGTCATCCTCAGTTAACTATTACCATGCTCCTGGATCAAAAGATTTCAAGAAGTGGGTTCCTATCAGCACAAATGAAATAGATGATTACCCAAGAGCCGAAAAACATACGGTAATACCTTTAAGATTCAAGAGAATTCATGGGAATGGCATTCCTGACTTGGAAAATTCATTCCATGGATTAAGCAACAACGAAAGATTGGTTATTGTTGATTCAAGTGAAGCCGAGAGCGTGTTATCTGGACTTGACACTTTCACCTCTGAAGGTATCACTTGGAAAATCAGAAGCCGTAATCAAATTTATCGTTACTTGGATTATGTGAGCTATGCATTTAAGAAAACAAGGTCTTTAATCCAGTTGGCAGAGACCTTTGATGTTGGTTTAATAACTTTTGCTTATATTGCAATGTGGTACACTTTGATTAAGGTGTTCTTCGATATGAAGAAAGCTGGGTCAACGTTTTGGTTAGCATTCTCTACTTTGCTTTCGTCCACTTTTGCATTTTTATTTGCTTTGGTTGTAACTACGAAGGTTCTCATGATCAAGGTTCCAATTTTAAGTATGACAGAAGGATTACCATTCTTAGTGGCTATCATTGGATTCAAGCATAAAGTTTCGATTTCAACCTTTGTTCTGAATGCTTCAACTTCTCAATCCGATGTCAAATCGATTGTTGGTGATGCAATTTACAGCCATTTTATCAGTTTGTTCAGAGATCACGTGGCGGTGATTGGTGCTTTGTTAGCGATCATTGCTTACGCCAACCAGCTCGAAGGATTGAGAAACTTTTCCACTTTGGCAGCTCTTATTTTATCATTTGACCTTTTGATGACTTTTACTTTCTATTCTTCAATTTTGACTTTGAAAGTAGAAATCAACAGGGCTCGCCGAACTGAAAACTTGAAAATTGCCTTAGAAGAGGATGGTATCTCTTCTTGGGTGGCTAAGAATGTCGCTTCAAGAGACTCAAAGATTGATAAAAGCGAAAAAGATTCCATCTTTCGTTCTGAACACACTTCTATTCTTTCCTTCAAGGTAGCTATGATCGCTGGATTTTTTGGATTTCATGCGTTCTGGTTAGGTAGCAATTGGTTATATGACGTTGCAAGCAATGAAAGAACTGTCAATCGTTTTAATGACACTGTTCAATTAAGTAAGACTGCTGCCAAACATATAAAGATTGGATCCAAAGGCACAATTGTAACTGTTTTATCTCCCAAAAGTGTTGTGCCATTAAGTACCTTTGTCAAGTTGGAGGATGCTATTTTAGGATTGTACGATTTTGTTAGTCGTTTGATTAAAGACGATATTCTTTCAAAGTTCATCTTACTTGCATTCACCCTTTCGATTTGCATCAATGCCTACTTTTTGAGTGCTTCTCGTAACCAGGTTTCAACAACGAACAAGTTGATTGAAAATGAAATCACTAGACCAAAATCTCAAAGCATTCTGTTAAAACCAAAGAAAACTTTCGATTCCTCCAGCAAGGATAGTGAGACTCTCGACAGCGAGACCGAAGATACTTCAGCTAGTGACGGGGAATTGGAAATCAAAGCTCCTAACAAATTGTTGCCTTTAGATGAATGTATTTCTTATTTGAAAGAAGGTAAGGTAACAGAATTGAACAATGAAGAAGTAAGTTCTTTAGTCGTTGCCGGTAAATTACCTATCTATGCATTGGAAAAGCAATTGGCTGATAATAAAAGAGCCGTGGTTGTTCGTCGTAAAGCTATTGCTAAGATTGCCAATGCCCCAATTTTAAATACCAAAAGTTTACCATACGACCACTATGACTATGATCGTGTTTTTGGTGCATGTTGTGAAAGTGTCATTGGTTATATGCCAATTCCAGTTGGTGTTGCTGGACCATTAGCCATCGATGGAAAGTCTTACTATATTCCAATGGCTACCACTGAAGGTTGTTTAGTAGCCTCTGCTACCCGTGGTTGTAAAGCCATGAATGCTGGAGGTGGTGTAGAAACCGTCTTAACCCAAGATGGTATGACCAGAGGTCCTTGTGTTTCTTTCCCATCGTTGAAGAGAACAGGTGCTGCTAAAGTATGGTTGGATTCGGAAGAAGGTCAAAAGGCTGTCAAAAAGGCTTTCAACTCTACCTCAAGGTTTGCTCGCTTACAGCACATCAAAACTGCCATTGCTGGAAGGTTATTATATATCAGATTCAAAACTACTACTGGTGATGCTATGGGTATGAACATGATTTCTAAGGGAGTTGAACACTCTCTTAAGATCATGCAAGAAGAATTTGGCTGGGATGACATGACTGTTATATCTGTTTCTGGAAACTACTGTGTAGATAAAAAACCAGCAGCAATCAATTGGATTGAAGGAAGAGGTAAGTCCGTTGTTGCTGAAGCCAGAATTCCTGCCGATGTTGTTAAAAAGGTTCTTAAATCTGATGTTGATGCACTTGTTGAAGTCAACATCACTAAGAATTTGATTGGTTCTGCCATGGCTGGTTCAATTGGAGGATTTAATGCCCAGGCAGCCAATTTGGTTACCGCTATATTTCTTGCTTGTGGACAAGATCCTGCCCAAAATGTTGAGTCATCAAACTGTATGACTTTGATCAATAATATCGATGGGGACTTACAAATTTCTGTTACTATGCCATGTATTGAAGTTGGTACTATCGGAGGAGGAACTATACTCGAAGCTCAAAGTTCGATGTTAGAATTGTTGGGAGTACGGGGTCCACATCCAACCAACCCAGGGGATAACGCTAGACAATTGGCACGTATTATTGCATCAGCGGTTCTTGCTGCTGAACTTTCTCTTATTTCGGCTTTGGCAGCGGGTCATTTGGTGCAATCACATATGCAACACAACCGTAAGGGAGCCGCACCTGCCGTGGCTTCCCCCGAAAAGGCCCCATTAACTGAAGACTCGGTTCAAAGGTTGAAGGAAGGAGCTGTGAACTGTATCAAGTCATAATTCACACCCTTTAGAGTAATTGTACTTTGTATGTAAAAGAATATAGAGATTAATAGTCATCGACATGAAGCTAAATTTTTGATCGCGAAAGATTGTGAGTAATTTTCAAATATCCACCTTGATACTCCACTATGATCAGAGAAAGCCCATCACAAGTGGTCGGGGAAGCAGTTCCGAATATTGACCATGCAGTTTCCGTATCCTTACCCACTTGGGAAGCGACTGTTGGGTATGAAGAAGGAGAAGACTGGGTTGTAAGTAAGATGAGCTCGGGTTATCCCAGGTTTTTCTTTCATCCAATCATCCAAACTCTTTCACAAAGAGTAGAGGAAAAATTTGGAAGATCCAAAGAAAAATGTATGATATACCCTTCTTATGATATTGCAAAGAGATGCAGAGCCTTCATTCAAGAGAAAGCACCTCAAAAGACTCCTGTAAGATTATTACAGTTAAGTACTCCAGAACCCAAATCGGAGGCAGAAAAATCGAGCGTGATTGCAACAACGATTGGTGTTGTGTTTTTCCCAACCTCGGTAGCATCGTTGGCAAAAAACTACTGGCAGCATGCTGGTGAAGGGATAAGCTCCAGATTGGCAGAGTATTTACTAAAAACATTATTTGATGAATCTAGCAGTGGTCAGCACTCGATCAAGTTCAATCCAGTCGATTTAGGAGCGAGTAAATCCGAGTTACAGGCCAAAAAGATTCAAGCTTTATCACCAAGTCTAAGCGTCAGAAAGCCTCGGAAAGATGAAAATATGCAAGAGTCAGATATTCATATTGAACAAAAGTACGGGAGAGTTTTGGATTTGAAGTTTGGTGATGCTGCTAAAACGGCTCTTCGAAAAAGAATTACTGGTGGGTTAGCAGAGCATGTGCAACAACTGACAGATACTCCACTTAACTATGAAGATGTCTACTTGTTCTCCACTGGTATGGCAGCAATTTTCAATGCCCACAGAGCCTTGTTGAACTCGCAAGAGCCTAGGATGTCGGTATGTTTTGGCTTCCCTTATGTGGATACCTTGAACATTTTGAAAAAATTTGGGCCTGGAGTTCATTTCCTCGGAATGGGTGATGATAAAGCTTTGGAAGAGCTCGAGGAGAATTTGGAGAACGGGAGTTATAATATTATGGGATTGTTCTGTGAATGCCCATCGAATCCGTTATTAAAGACTCCAAACTTGAAAAAGATAAGACAATTAGCAGACAAGTTCAAGTTCGCTATTGTGGTTGACGATACAGTGGCTAATATCATTAACGTGAATGTGATGCCTTTTGCAGATATAGTTGTGACGTCGTTGACCAAGATATTTTCTGGTGATTCGAATGTCATGGGTGGATCGTTGTTCTTAAACCCAAACTCACCAATGTATAGTTCATTGAAGCAGTTTTTTGATAAAGACTATGAAGATACTTTTTGGGTGCAAGATGCTTTGGTGATGGAAAGGAACTCTCGTGATTATGCTGTTAGATCAAAGAAAGTCAATGAGACTTCGTTAGCCATTGTTGATTTCTTGCAAAAGAGCCCATTGATATCCAAAGTGTACCACCCTTCTGTGTCCGAGTCCAAGAAGTATTATGATGAGATCAAAACTCCCAATGGAGGGTATGGAGGTCTTATTTCATTTTTATTCCACGATGCCAATGACGCCGTGAGTTTCTTCAACTCGATGGATTTCCACAAGGGACCATCTTTGGGAACAAACTTTACGTTGGCATGTCCTTACACCATTTTAGCACATTATCAAGAATTGGATGAAGTCGAGAAGTGGGACGTCGATAGAAACTTGATTAGAATCAGTGTTGGTATTGAGGATAAAGATGACATTGTTGAGGTGATTAAATTCAGTTTAGATGAAACCACAAAGACTCATAAATTATAGATTAGTACTTATTCTTTAAATCATTTATATACAAAACCATAGTTATGGGTGCTTTTTGTAGCCCGGGAATTTGACATGATGGCATGGAGCTGGAGGGTCTCCAGTGATTGGTTCATGAATTACTGTCCCCACATACCAGTATTTATCACTATTTTCAAAGAATTTCTGCCAATTGGCAATGTCTTTCAATGCCACTTCTAGATCGAGGCCTCTCAAATCATAAGTGAACTCATCGGGTTTATTAAAGCATCCAGTTGAAAATGCTCTGGCACCGTCTTTCCCACTGAAAAATCCATATGGACCTTTGGGACCGTACACCAGGCTTGATCTTGTCACATCATATACCTTACCATTAATGCCAATGTATATGGGGAGTCGACTATTACTCCCATCATACTGAGAAAGCTGTTCTAAGGTTAAATTAACGTAATTTCCTGTTAGCTTCCAGTTTACGTAGTGTGGATCAATCCATCTGCCTTCATAACCCCAGGTCGTGGATGAGGTGAAAGCATATGAAAGAATGCAATTCACTAGAAGAAGCCCAGCTATTATTCTTGCTATGTCCAGTAACCCGAAACTTTCCTCTTCATCCACTTTTCTATGGCCCTTGGACATTGCAATGCAAAAATAAAACCACCTCTGAACGCGACAAAAACTTGGTTGTAAAAACTTAATATTTATTATAATTAACTCATAGAAAATACATCGCTTGACATGGACTTGATGTCAAGATTGAAATTATTGGATATTGGATCTACAATATCCCCCCAAAATTCGTCTCCGAAATTGTATAGACTTTTGTCCAACTCTTCAAACCCTACTAATCCGGTAGCTGCCCCATCCGCTTGAGTACCCACAGCACTCGCACGATGGTTGGCAGAAATCCCATTACCATTGCTATTTGGATAGGGGTAAATGTTGGCAGGTCCTGCCGAAGAAGTATCTGGACCTTGTTGATTGGGAGATGCTGAATTTGGGGTTTTACCATCCTCGCTGTGGGAGTAGGAGCTTAAACTGCCTTTCGAGCTCAATTTGAGTTTCTTAGTCATTTCGTTGACTCCTCGAAGATCTTTCTTCAATGAAGCCGCGTAGGATAAGACCTCCAATGGAAGCTCTTCATGAGGATGATTGAGAGGCAAAGTTTTACCAGCATTCATAAGATATTGTTCGAGATCAGGATTATGGCCCTCAAGTCGGTCATTTGATCTGAGAAGATTCGTGATCTGTACCGAATACACCAGAATGAAGAGTTGTAAGGTCATAGACAATTTCCTCAAGGTGAAGTTTGCAGGGAATGCTTTTGAAGCTTCCATAAGCATTAGGTTCAAGCTTTGAATCTTTGAAATAGCATCCTCAGGCACAACCGACTTCTCAATTTGCAAAGGCACAGAAAGCACCAAATAACGTAATCTTAATAGTATGCCAGCAGTGAATAATATTCTTGACGTGAGCATTATGGGAATGGAAGCGATATGTTCGATCTCCAATTTCGAAAACTCTGTAAGACAGTTTATACAGGCAGTGGTTGATTTGGTGATCGACGTAACAGCCCGTTCTTTGAAAAAGAGGTGTCCATCCTCTTCGTTTACTCCAGCAACTTGGGATAGTAAAGGTTCATGTAAGTATGCTTCTACCGCATAGAAGAAAGAAAGAGTCCCATGCTGTCCGGGGTCAATTTTCTTTTTCATTTCATTCAACTGTTCTCCAAAATCACTCATCATGTATAAAGTGGCAGTTGTATCGTCCACGGCCGATTCAGAATTATGAACAAGGGTGTTAATCCGCTCAAGAATTCTACAGAGTCTTGCACATGTAGACAAATTCCTGACTTTGACAAGTGGGTGAGCTTCTAAGATCTGGCAGCATCTTTCCACATGTGCGGTCCACCTAACATAAATGGAACGACGTAAAATCAAACAAGTTGAGACCGCAGACGTGTATATCACGGCAATAAGCTTACAACGTTGGAGGCTCACTTCTGGTGCAATATCTGCCTCTCTGTCTAAAAGTCCTAAATCATGTAATAATGAGATAGCCAAGCTATTGAGGAGATGGAACCTTTTCTGTCTCACCAACTCAGGAGAATTAAACCAGAAACTCAACAATACCAACCCCTGTAAAATCTCGTCACTTTTAGAACCAGCAATCAAGAGATTGGTGACAAGTTCTCTAGTGACTTCTATATCTAGTCTTTGACAGTGGATTGGGTCGGCATTGGTTAAAATGACACTTGCAACAACCATAATTGAGTTAAACAAGAATGGACTGTTTTCAGCTAACTGTGCTGCAGATGATACTCCATCGAAGCCAAAGTATGGGAACCTATCGTGGACTTGTTCTCGGTAAAGTCTAAGTCGCTCCTCGGCTTCTTGTTCTGAAATTAAGCCTTTACTAAGAACATCAATATTGGCGTTGGGATCGGTAATCATAAGTCTTCTATGGGAAGCCCAATCCTTCAACTCAACACTTTGCTGAAGGAGACTTTGGCTATCACAGGCCAACACCTGAAGTTCTTTCTTTAAGTCGGCCTCACTTACATATTGTCGCTCGTCAGTTATCAACCTAGAACGAGATTTGTAATACTCCACTTCGGTCTTAAGTTGCATAATCTGGCGATGTAATTCAGCCATTGCAATGGCATTCGGCGCTTCTGACAGGGGTGTTATAGGTGTTTGAATGGCAACAGCAGCAACAAGACTTTTCATGTGGGCGGTTTGGTTCGACAACGGAGTTTCTGCATGACTACCGCCCGAAGAACGGGATAAGTTGCCATCATCCTGCGACATCTGACTGGTGTTCAACTTGGTATCTACACTGGTAGTACTTGTAAGTTTCTGTTGTTCTAAGAGCCGCATCTCCTCGATTTCAGCCTTTTTCCGCCGTTTTCTGGGTTGATTCAAATTTATTTCACATTTCTTCTTGGTATGAAGGCATCGAACACAAGAGCTTGCAGGGCTGTTTGGATCGCTTGGTACACATTTGACTTTGAGGGCGTGACAGTTTTTACATGCCACCGATCTTCGAGTGTGCTTTTTGTTGTTTAAGTGGTTAGCCGTGTCTGACAGGTCCGCACTAGGAGAAGGACTGCTATCAAAGCTATGAGCTTGAATATGAGACGATCTAACCCCGTTGGGACCTTCAGGATGGACCGTGGAGTAGTTGCTCATGATCTATGGGGGAGCTATCAACGATTCAAATGGGGTTGTCCCGAATATTAAATGTGATAGGTAAACTGAAATCGGTTAAAACGGCAATAAAAAAACATCGATTGCGAAACTCGTCGCAAGAAATTATCCCAAACATGTCCAGTGATACCAGGAACATAAATAGAAGAACAGTGGGTAACCGGGTGATTTTGGCAATTGATGTCATATCTACAGCTATAGGATTATACGGGTTATACGAGATCCTGTTAATCGAGTTACCAGCCCCTCTTCGTGGTGCTGGCAAGTGGCAGTTCCTAACTAATCTTTCTCTATTATTTTCAATCTTGACCTTTTCTGTGGGAATTATCAGCCATTTGACCCGGTCTGAAGCCATATTCCAGTTGAAGAACTTTTTACATGTCATTCTGTTTGTAGCTGAAGCTGTTGTTACTTCGGTATACTGGCCTTTGCGGTTATTTTTCCTTCACTACTTAGTAAACGATGGGAACATCAGAATCAAATTGACGGTTGATTTAGCAATTCATTTTATGCCATTTGTGTCTTTGGCCATTGACTTCTTCTTTTTCATGCCCAACTTCACTATTAAGACCAGATCCGCTTTCTTGCTTTTTATTTCGTTGACTTCGGCGTACTGGTTTTGGTTGAATAGTATCATTGATCTAGAGAGGGGCGGGATCTTCCCATATGCGTTTTTAAATATTGGTAACAATCTTACTAGACTAATAATTTTCTGGGTCATTGGGTTTTCTGCCTTTTTACAATTCCTTCTCATGAGGTTTCTATATAATAGCTTTGTTGGTGTTAGTGCCATCAAACAGAAAATCCAATAAGTACCAAATAAAACCTACAAGAATATCTAAGGTATGAATCATTTCGAATACATGTATCTATAATCTCTTCACCGTGTACTCATGGGCACAAGCTAAAGTGATAAACCCTAGGAGCCATGAAAGTCTTCCTGAGAATGGCAATTGACTAAGAAATGGGTATGGAAACACTGGCTCCAGGGCATATATCAATTCAATATACGCCCAGTAGGTGCACAAATAGACAATGACTCCCGAGTATATATACTTCAGCTTCAACATGGGTGGACATCGAATATAACTGAAAGTTAAAAGAAGGTATGGAAATAGGTGGATTTCAAAGTCAAGCACTAGACTTACATCAAATTTACCAGTGTTCAACAAGTGCAGAAACCCAAAGAAAAGCGTCCAGTACGTAACTGTTACCACAAACTCTACACTGTAGCAGATTCTCTGAAAATACCATAATCCTTTGATTCCTAGGAAGTTGTTAAAAACCTGCAAGCCATAGTAAACCGTAGATAGGAGTATTGATAAATTGGTCAAGAATTGGAATTGACCTCCCACAGCCAATTCTTCCGGCAACGAAAGATTGCATGTGTCTATAAGACCTTTTAGACACGCCACAAAAGAAAAAACGTCAAAAGCCAAACCAAGCACCATAGCTGGTAAATTGTTCAAAGGTTGTAGAGGAAAACTGCGAATTCCCCAGGTTTTCGTAGGGGTATTAACGTGATTTTAGAGCCGATAATTCATTTCATTTTTGGCTTCAGAATACAGAGAGGTGCGAATGAGGATGGATTTACAAGCGAATCTGGCTACTTCGAATTCCTAGGAGCCACAAATTGCCGTACTATTCAGTTCAATGTTAGATAAGAAGACCGTATGATATACTGGGGTGCAAAATAACTCGTCATCTCTGTCCAGTGTTCGTGTTCCTTAAATACCAGCTGTTTACTCAATAAACCAAATAACAGTGATGAGACCAAAGTCGATGTCTCTAAATTAACAGTTAAGTAGTTGCCTATTTAGTTAACCTGGGTGCTATTGTTTCGGTACAAACACTACCAATAAGATAAGGAGTAATTCGTCTTCAACGAATCTGTTTTCATCAACTTCCTGTATTATAATCCGGTACCATATCCCTGGTAGTATTGTAACTTTTATATAATTCTGCTATGGACAAGTTCTTTGTTCCTTACAAATTTCCAAGTTCTTATTGACTATAGCTACTATCGCACTCACTGCATTTTTAAATAGTCCATCTTAAACTTTCGCTTAACTTGTTATGGGTGAACTACACAAATTGTTGGCGTTAGCCATAGCCTTGGTTATGGTTAGCCAGTGTAATGGGTTCTTGCAGCAGAACCCGTTTTCCCTTTTATGGCCTTCAGAACCGGCTGTGTCTGAGCCATCCCTTCACTTTTCCACCCTTGACCCAGATAAGCATCCTATCAACCTTTACCAGTACACTAATACAACGGTGATCAGAATTAAATATGACACTCAGGATCAGCTTGTACAATATTTGAAGGCCATACCCAAAGATTACGGTATCTGGTCAAAGTCTGCTTCTGCTAAAACCATTGACCTACAGCTTCTGACAGTGGACTATCTCAAGCTTTTAGCCAAGTTTGATGATATGGACTATCAGATTCTTGTGGAGGATTTGGCCCAAACAGTGTTTGAGACCTTTCCAGAGAACCATCAAGAGACGATCAATACCGAAGAAAACTCCGAATTCAAGTATAAGGCAACTGAAGAAGTTATCAGAGAAACCAAAGCCAATGTGTTTTCAGAATTATTCTTCAAGGATTACAGACCCTTGGAAACCATCGAAGCATGGTTAGATATTATTCAGCAGTCATTTCCAGGGGTGGTAAAGGTGGAAGAAATAGGGAAAACATTTGAGGGAAGACCCTATAATATTGTTCACGTTTCTGACCATTCTGTGGATGACCATAGTGAGAAGAAAACAATAGTAATAAATGGGGGTATCCACGCCAGAGAATGGATCTCTGTGTCATCGGTATGTTACCAAATATACTCGATGCTTAATGTATACATGACACAACCAGAAATCTTACAAGAGTTGGACTTTATATTTGTTCCATTGTCAAATCCGGATGGATACGAATACACTTGGAGCACAGACCGATTGTGGAGAAAAAACAGGCAAACGACCATTCTCCCCAGATGTTATGGAATTGACATTGACCACTCCTACGATTTCCATTGGACTAAGTCAAGTGATTGGCCCTGTGGAGAAGAATACAGCGGTGAACATCCTTACGAAGCAGTGGAAGCACAAATTTGGGAAGACTACTTGAACAAAACGAATGCCCACCATGAGATTTATGGGTACATTGACTTGCATTCTTACTCAGAAGAGATTTTGTTTCCATTTGCTTATTCATGTTCTAGTGAGCCCAGAGATGAAGAGAATTTGATTGAGTTGGCATACGGTATTTCCAAAGCCATTAGATTGCAAAGCGGTAAATTCTATAATGTTTTGCCTGCTTGTCAAGATAAAGACAGTGACTTGTTGCCTGATTTAGGTTCCGGAACCTCATTGGATTTCATGTATCACAATAAAGCCTTTTGGGCGTACCAGTTGAAGTTGAGGGACACTGGAAACCATGGATTTTTATTACCACCTAAGTTTATTGAACCTGTGGGTGCCGAGATTTTTGCTGGAATCCAGTATTTCATTAAGTTTATTACAGAAGATGATTAGATATTTGATAAAAGTAGTTTGAGTGTATTATTTTTGAAATGAACAGATCTTAATTCTAAGCGGTGGCTAAAGTAGACCACATATCCTACTTCGGAGGATTCCTATTTATTGTACGTTTCTCGGTCTACCAACTATATAGATACAAGTGTCTATTCGTATAGAGTAACTATTCTTGTTTTAGAATAGCAGCTTGTATAAATAGTTCAGGCGATCCCCAAACCGGGGTATGAACGCACCCGATTGATATAACCATTTTGTTCCGGCATCATTGTAGATGAAGGGGAGAAAATATATGGCACATTTGCAAAAAGAGGGTTCTTCTAGTGCAGCAATAAATAAGTAGTTGCAATTTTGGATGGACTGGAGATCGCGATAATTTTCAGCCATGAGAATAGTGATTCAGAGAGTGAAAAATGCATCGGTGATCGTAGCCAACGAAACAGTGTCATCGTAAGTATTCAGAAATTATTCTGATCCTCCCTCTTTCTACTAACTCAAGTTTTAGAATTGGCAAAGGGTTGATGATTTTGGTGGGGATTTCCACCAAAGATACAATTGAAGATGTGAGCAAGATGAGCAGAAAGATTGTGAATTTGAGACTATTCGAAGACCTCGAGGAAAGGACCAGCTCCAACACGGAGAAGTACTCTGGGAAACCATGGGCCAAGAGTGTTATGGACGAAAAATCCTATTCCATATTATCAGTATCGCAATTCACCTTATACGGAACCATTAAGAAAGGAACCAAACCTGACTTTCATGCTGCCCAAAAGGGAGAACTTGCCAAAGAGTTATACGATACATTTTTGCAACGATTGAGAGGTTATTTGGGAGACGAGAGGGTCAAGGATGGGAAGTTCGGCGAAATGATGGAGGTGAACATTGTTAATGATGGGCCGGTCACCATAGTATGGGATACCCAGAACAATATTTAGTATATGTATTTAGATAATTAATAGACTTGCGATCACCACAAGGACAGTAAATATGATCCATGAAGTGCCCAAGTCCAAGTTGAACCTGTCATCCGGGTCAAATTTAAACTGGTCGAAAAGTGGAGGCTGTTGGGATACAGCTGCAAGTGAGGAACTTCTTGAAAAGTTCCGTAGGTCAAAAAAGTCATGAACTGAATACCTGAAGGAAAGTATGATGAATACCAACCCCACAAATACTGCGTATCGAAGGGTAGGAGGAATATATAATTGGGGTGTTTTCATAACACTTGTGACAAGTCAAATAGTCTTTGAGGACTGAGGCTTTCCCACCGGTTGAGAAGCACTATAAGGATCCAAAATACCACCAAGAATTGGGCTATGAGACTACAGCCACAAATAAATATACTAAGAAATAAACGAAAAAATCCGTATGTTATATCAATACCCACACAAAGTAGCGTGAAGCAATTTTTGACTATCGGATTGATTACTAGTTTATCCAGAACCTCAAAGAAATTTGTGATGAATGGAGGATTGTATTGTTCGGGGCTGATAACGACAAATATGGGAAACCGTTGCAATACCTTATCAAGTAAGTCTGTTCTAATATCGGCTAGTGATCCTCTAATGGAAAGAAACAATACGGAGCACAACTGATGTATATCTGCCATTCATTGAGTGAGTCAAAAACCGTGAGTCCAAATATGCGAACCCGCATTCTTATCTTTGAACCCCAAACCGTGTCACAACATGAAGAGATTGAAACGAGAAGTAAATGTTACGACTCTCCCAGACCAAGTGATTGAGCTTATACAGTTCCACGCTGGTAGAAAATCTGTTGTGAGTCTTTCAAGTGTGAATAAATCCTATAGAACCAGTTTGGAGAAGTTTGTGTTTGACTGTCTAAAAACGACGTGGTACAACCTCCAAAATAATGAATTCCAGATGTTTTTGGAGCAAAGAAAGTCATTTATCACGTCTATGAGGTTCATTGACACCTACAGTTACGGAGAGTGGCAAATAGACGTGTTTGAAGGAGTTCTCAATAAACTCCCACAACTACAAACGTTTGTGGTAAACTCGTTCAATTCGTCAAACTGGTTGAAATACCGTGCCAGCACTACCATTAGAAGAATGGAGATGCACTATGACTATACTCATAATGAAACACACGAACTCTACGAGAATCCCAATCCGAAGAATATCAACAGGTTATCTAGATCCTCCCAGTTACCCAAAATTTTTAGCTTGCATCATTTATGTGGGTTTCCACGCCTTTCCGATTTGACCCTCACTGACTATCACTTCAATTGGGATGAGAAAATGGACTCTTTGAATGTACAATTTCTTCATCTCAAGAACTGTACTTGGGAATATCCATTTACACCTGCCAAATTCAATGAAAATAACTCGCTAATTACATTTGGTCTCACCTATACGCATGATCATGCATTTCTTCTTCTGGAACGGTTCGATAAGTTTGTTAATGAACCATTTCAAATTGGCTGCAAAATCAACAAATTAGCAGTGGTAATTCAATGCTGCGAAAGGCCCCATTATTTGTCATTCAATAAAGTGAAAATGTTCTTGAATAGGAACATTTTCCCAGACTTGGAAGAGCTAGATCTCAGTGGTTGGGCGGCAGACTTTAAGACTCTCCATAGGTATCTTGTGGCAATTGGTGACGTTCCTGTGAAATCCTTAAAGGTTAGTTTGGGCGAGCTCGAACATAAGCTGCGCATAAGATTTAATGAGTGGCCTCACCTAAAAATCGAATCTCGCATCAGTTGAACTGTTTACTATGTTGTTATTTAATTGGTTGACGTCATTCGTTTGTTGCATACTATTGGTCCATGCCAACACAGAGACACACGTTCTAAGGGTACCGAACTATTTCGATGTGAGATCTGACAGTTATAATGAAGCTTCCCCATTGTCCCAATATGGATCTTCTTCAGTTCTTTACGATTACCCAATAATGAACAGGTATCCAGACAACAACGCCAAAATTGGCTCCATTGTCATGGAAGATCCACTCAAAGATGGTGATTCTCAGTTTTTGCTTGTTCGGTTGAATAATTACAATGACACTACGTTGGAACCTAATAACCTTCTTTTCATCAAATTGTGCTGGCCAGCCACCATTCCTGTTGACTTCGAATTGTCTCACAAATTTTTGTACGGAAATGAAGATGGAATGAAGAGGAACAAGGTCGAAGTCGACTCTCCCCTGCACGCATTATACCTTGTTATTAAATGCACTGCTAAGTTCAAAACTTATAGTGAAAAATACAGCACCATTGACAGCGTGAAGTTCAAGCTTGTGATTCAGAAATTGCCAAACCCTTGGGTGCCAATTCCTTTGGAAGTATACGACATAATAATGTATTTGGTTGATGTTGGGATTCTATTGTGGTGCTTGATCCCCAAACTTCCTGGGTTTTAGAGAAGACTCTAAAATACATTGCCTACTAGTTGGTGGGGCGTGCGTGCGGCCAATAGCCCAGGCCCCTTTCGCGCCTTGGGGGCCTGCATTATTTCTAGTCACTACTTCAACCTTGAACCACGAAAAGATGTCCTTGAATGAAGATGACCCATTAGGTCCTCCAAAGAACACGCAGAACTTGGACTTGAATAAGTTAACCCCAGATGAATTGAAAATATACAGAATGTATGGCAAATTGCCCACTCGGCAGCAAATCTTGACATCCAAAATTAAAGAGAAGAAATACTTTGACAGCGGTGACTATGCCATGCAAAAGCAATTGGGCGGCAGCAAGTCCTCTGTACCTTCTTCAATGCCCATGAGCCATCCCAATGCCGAGAAAGTCAAGGAGATGTATAATCGGAACTCCATTAGCAATGCCAGTGTATTGCCATATGGGAAACTGAATTTGTTGCACGAGCGGACGGCTGAGGATGAAGAAACCAAGTAGCGAACGAGGTGTTGGTTGTACAGCTGTTGTACAAATTGAGACGAAACCTTCACACTCCAGAAATAAATACAACTGGAAGGATGTGAGTCAAGTAATGATCCTTAATCAATGTAACCAGATGGTAACCAGATGAGCGAGTTTGATCGGTCCTCGTGTAGTTACCCTATTGCTAGGGATTTCGATATGTATTGTTGAAATAGGTTTTATAAATGATATACGAAGTTATCTGACGAGCGCACTAATTTTCAGCTGATGATAATAACTGGTGATGAGTTCAACAAATGCTTATCTGAATTTAAAGAAGTGATAGTGTCAAGCTTGCAATCGGACAAGCGGTTGATGATATTAAGCTCGTCAATTGAGCTGATTTTCAACAAGTGTCTCCTAAAGTTGGTATTGGAATTGGATGGTTTATTAATTATTACAGTCTTCTCCTATGACGAGTTTTATACTGTTCCGTTGCTATGCTTCCAGGTGTTTAGAAGACAAGGAGAGTTTGATGAGTTGGTTCAACTACATGATATACGGGATCTAGGTCTTGTACGTGACGTTCCTTTAACTATAGATAATCATACACTTCTTGCAGGAACCTACTTCAAGATTCACCCGTGTGAAACACTTGAAACCACAGACACGTTCGTGCAGGGTACTCCGTCAAACGTTCTTGGATACTTGATAACTTGGAATATGATTTACGGAACAGGGGTTTTTAAACACTTATATGTGAAATATAGATTATCTATGGAATAAAGTACATTATGATGCAAAAATAGGATTCTAGCTGGAAGCTCTGGCAGATGAATTCTTTTCATCAGTGAAAACACGACATGGATACTGATCGGTATACATCCCATTTTCTTGCTCTTGGGTAATCTTCCAGGTGAACTTATTTAAAGAAGGAGCCACGATTGGTTCACCAACATCCCCCAACACTTCACCCTTGACGATGCTTGAATCTACACTCGACAAAGTAACAGATAAACTCACTGGAGCCCCTGGATCGTTGAAGACCTGTAATTCCTGGTTTCCTTTGTTACCAATAGCGATTCTTGGCTTTTCAACTGAACCCAACTTCAACAAACCAGACACTTTAGTTTGATCAAACCCGTAGATTTGAGGATAGTTTCTTCTATAGTCTCTATGGTGATATGCGTTTCCTTTGATATCACCTGCAGGGATGGTGATTGGGTCCACATAGTTTCTGGCTTCTGTAATTCTGTCACCTGGGGGTTGTGCACGGAACATTGATACGATTGGATTACCACTTGATCTGTTAGGTACTAATACCAATAGTTGTCTGAGCTTTTCCCAGATCCCTTTCGAACCGGACGTATACTTTTTCCAAACTGGAACTGGTCCTCCAGACATGATATGTGTATGTAGCGAAAACTTTTGGTTTACTTTTGCTTCGATTCTAATTGGCGAGACTGCGAGTGCGAAGCAGCAGGTTTTTGGTAGGCACGCACGACCATCAAATTGTGTTTAATTTATATGGTTCATATATACTGTATTAAAATAGAGCTCTGCCGATTTTCCCAAAGATAATCATCCCACAGAAGAAAAAGCTACTGGTCCATAACCAGATAGCAATGAAGTCCGATGATTCGAAAGATGTGTAAATGTTAATTAAGTCGCTGTTCATGGAATAAACAAACAAACATCCCCAGACAGTGACCACCAAACCGGCCAACAATCCTGCCACAGTTCCGTCGAGTAACAACCACAAGCAAGGACTTAATAAAGACCAAACAACGGATACTTGTAAGGATGAGGACCATTCAAGGTTCCTAATGGCATAACTTATACCCAAAAAGGTAATTAACAGTCTTAAAATATCGTTGAAAAGAGTGGCAGGTTCATATCTCTTCTTGGGATCTGGGTTTGAAGAAAAGAGTCGACGGTTATGTTTTGGAGGAATAACAAAATCCAAAAATGGGTGTACTAATCCCATGATCATACCTTGAAACACCAAAACCGTAGCATAGTTTTGCGAAGGAGTGAAGTTTTTGGACAAAACTTTCAACGGTTCAACTGCATGGAATGATTTGGTGAGGAAGAGCTCAGTTAAGAACAAGGGCTGGAACGTTTGAGCACCAAGCTTTATATGATTGTTGCGAATGTGTCTGGTTATTTCATTGTAAGTGTATGCGCATACCGACAACACTGCTGCCTTAAGGATAAACTTAATTGCCACCACGGGCTTTGAGCCTTTGCTCAAGTGATCGGGTACGTAAACCTCTTCAACACGTGTGGATTGAACGTAGAGCTGATTGCTTGAGTCATCCTCATCATCGTCCAAGTTGAGGGCAGTTGCTGCATTCTCATTGTATATGCTGTAAAGGGAAGGTTTAGTTAAGTTGATGACAGAATCGGTCTTTTCGATGGGACTTGACGCTCTAGTTGAAAGGCGAGAGTCAGGCACATCCTTCAAAGTACCGTTCGACAAGATCGACTTTTTCAATTGTATGGGATTACTGGACATTCGAGGAAACAACTGAATGTGATAATGTCTGCAGTTTATTCTTAAAAAGTTCGCGCATAACTTTCATCTCGTACAGCATTTCTAGTCAAGAACAACAACATCTTGATCTCTGATCTGGGAATCCAGTGCTGCCTCAGGGGTGTCTGAAGTCAAATCAATAACTTCGATATCCGATCTAGTTTGAGTCTGAACCAAGTTTGACGGGCCAGATGTGGAGTTGGCTATACTGCCCTTTGCACCCGTTAGTCTCGAGATGTCTCTTGGCCTGATCAAGCCTTGAAGGGAGTCGACATCGACAATTTCTAGCTCATCATCTTCCGGCTCTGCTTGGGTTTGTTCCTTTGAGTTGCACGACTTTGAGTCTCTTAACCGCTGTTCAGCTGCCTCTAGGGCCCTTAGTCTCAAGGACTTTGGATCCATTCGAGGTTCACCAGTTTTACTGTTACCTCCTAACTTCCGAAATTCCGATTTGTACTTGGCCTTTCCCAACGCCTCAATCCGCTTATCTCGAATGCTCTTATAGTCTCTGAAAAGAGTGTTCCCTCTCCCCAATTTATTCTCTTCACACACATACCCAGTAACCAGACTGGGATTGTACTGGATTTCCTCAAACCGCTCTTTAATCTTGTCAAGGAACTTGTAGAACTTATCATTATGAGGACCATGAATGTTATGTGTTAGCTCATGGAGCATGGTACCAACTATATCAGACATGGGTAAAAACAGTTTGGAGTTAGAATGATGTCGAAGTCGAAGCATGATCTTCTGACCCATATTTATATTAAGCCCTAGAAGGTTGGGACTTTTGGGAAACATCTCACAAAGTAGTCCAACTTCGAAGTTATTCTCATGCATTATGGGCGCCACCAATTTGGCTACATCGTGAAGGATTGAGTTGGCGTACTCTTTATCGGGGAACCTTTTAAGGGAAGCGATTTTGGTTATCCTATTTGTGGGAGGAGATCGTTCGTGTGGTTTAGCAACTGGTCGGCGACCACCATTTACTACCATGATAAGGAAGATGCAACTGTTACAAAATGATTTATCGCGTTTTAAAAAGTTGCAAAATCATTCCGCGATTTCGATTCGTTATTTGTGTATGGGATGCTACTTATTAGCTTTTAAATAAAGGGAATCAACAAACGCAGGAACAAATGCTCCAGGAGCAGAACATTTCGTTCCCACTAACTTACCTGCAGCGTTATATAAAGTCACAGCCCCTACAACAGCCTCGAAAAGATTGAGGTTTTCCGTTGCACTGGAATCGGCTTTTGCAGCTACAAAGGATCCAATGGCACTTCCCAACGAGCAGCCTGAGCCTGTGATCAACCCCATCAACTTGTTTCCTCCTGGTACTTGTGCGAAGCTCCCACTTTCGGCGTCTATCACATGATTAGTTGGCCCCGTAATCACCACAACACATTTGAAGTCCTGCGATACCGCATATCCAATATTCCTAATACTTTCTTCACTTAAATTAGCAATCGAGTCAACTCCACGCATAAGCACCTCTTCATTTTTCGCCACTTCATACGTTGAAGTAAGCTTGAAAATGGCTGATATTTCGCCCACATTCCCCTTGATAACAGACATTTGTCCAGCGTTAAGCAAGACTCTGCTACACTCAAGACGAGCATTGGTAGCACCAGCAGCAACCGGATCAAAAATGACATGTTTTCCGTACTTGTTATATGTGGTGATTGCATGGATGAAAGTCTGCATCATCTCAACCGTTGGGGTTCCTAAATTTAATACCAACGAAATATTGGGGATTTTCTGAGCAAACTCTTCATATTCTTCTGCAAGTTCAGACATAATTGGAGACGCTCCAATTGCAAGTGTCACGTTAGCACTAAAGTTCTTCACAACGTTATTGGTGATATGATGAACCAAGGCACCTGCTTTCTGGATTTTCTGAGTTTGTATTTCGAGGTGGCTATTATTGTACGTGAAAGTGTCGAATTTTGACATTCCATCTTTCTTCCAGGGGACAATACCATTGATCTGCTCCTGAAGTTCCACAGTGGCCTTATAGGCATCTTCTTTGGCCATAATACACGACACCACCGCAACCCCATCGAGTTTCTGTCCTGGAATGGAGCATTGATACAACACTTTTGTGACATTAGTCTCATTAATACCACCAATTGCTACACACTTGATGGGTTGTCGGTTAGTATTTCTTGTCTTCAACGTTTGCAACATTTTCCGGATTCCAATTGGTCCTGTTCCCATGGGCGTCTTGGTATCAGTCTTTGTCAATGTCTTATAAACAGTACCAATCCCCACGTAATCGGCCACATCTTCATCACACACTTGTTGCACTTCACTAGGATTCGAACAAGTGACACCAATAATTTTATTAGGACCCAAGAGTTGTCTTGCAAGCTTGGCTGGCATATCATCTTGACCCACATGGACACCTTCAGCATCCACAACGAGAGCCACGTCAATTCTGTCGTTAATGATTAAAGGAATGTTCTTTTTTTTGGTGAGTTCATGAACTTTTTGCGCCCGTTCAATAAAATCAAGGGTAGATATCGACTTTTCACGCAATTGAACAATAGTGGCACCAGCATTGATTGAGTCTTCCACTTGTTTCAAGAAAGTGGATGATTCAGGAACCATAGTCGAGTCGGTGACCAAATAGAGAGTATAATCAACATTCATGATGAAGAGTTCAAATGTGAAGAATTGCTAGTTTTTCTGGTGCTCTTATTATTGCATATCTCATTTTCCTGTAAGCGTGTATGCGCTAGAACAACCGAAGTGTTTTGTAGACCATTGGATTAGATTTCAACTTATTTAACCGACTTCGTTGTGTGCATCAAGCTCTACCTTCGTCTCGTTCTATAAAATCAGTATCTATTTCCCCTGGTTCTCAGATCGTGTGTAACTTACCACGGGCTCTTTTCTGGTCAACTTCTATACACCTGATCAACTCCCTATTCTTTTGGGATGCAAACTGTTCACATTTCTTGATCGTCCCACTGACGTGTGTGCATCGAATTATGACTGGCTTACTCTCGATCTTGTTGATTAAAGTCATGGCTCCAAGCACATATTGGAAGTTCTGATTTCCACATCGTATTATCCCAGTTGACGTCTTGTTATTGAAGTACTTGACGTTTAATGTCATCAAGAAACCAGCACCAAAATCGCCGTAATATTCTTGGACGTGTTGTTTTATGGAATTGGTGATGGCTTTGGGATTTATACTGCTTGGTGACAGCCTATGCAAGGTAAGGAGTCCAGTGGAAGGAGACTCGGCAAACGTGGTGAACAAGTCACGGTCTTCATGACATTCTTTTGGTGCTTGTGGTGGCTGGAGGATCTCAAACAAGATGTATCTTTGTTTTAACCTTACCATAGTAGATACTGTAGATTTCGTTTTCTCATCTCAAAAGTTCGCAGTATAGTACATTGGATTTAGTATACAGAATTTTATATAGTAAGGTACTTTTCGGTTAATTCTCTCGCGAGGGCTGAATTACCATTAAGATTATAGATTAGGGCCAAGTTATAGGCTGCCTCCACCAGCATATCATAGTCGGGGTCGTTTATCAACTGGTCGTGGTATTCCAACACTTTATTATAGTGAACAACTGCTTCACTCACAAGCCCTATCATATGGAATAACTTGCCAATATTAAATTCAACTTCTTGTTCTTCGTAAATTGTGGAGTTCACTAACCGGAGTTCTCTGTACTGCATCACATAGCTTATTCCTTGAAGGAGTTGCATATGCCTATTAGCACTCAACCGTTGCATGGACCGATGAACATGAGCCAATCCTAAGGTTAAACACACCATAGGATCTTGGTCATACCCTAGATAAACTCTGCTCAAGTAAACAAGCGGAGAAATAAAGTTCCTGTTACCACCGAGTAAATTGGAGTATATGTAGAGTAACTCGCAGTGTTCATTTTTAAACTTAAGTCCCTTGATGTCTGCACTTATTGTAGCCATTCCTGTGATCTTTTTGCCAGAGCATACAGAATCGTATGCTTTTAACTGTCGAAGAAAAAACTTTTGATGATTGTAGTTGGAAAAGGCTTCCCAAGCATCGGTGCCCGAAGCAAAACAGCAAAGGAAAAGCTTGTAAATGAAAGGGGAAAACTGGTTACCTGTGAGAAAATATCGAACATAAGTCATTACCATTGCGAGGTAATCGCCTGTAGCTATACCGAAGGACAATTTTACAAGCCTAATAATGGCACTTTTGTTTTTATCTTGCACAAACACACTCACAGCACCAGCCACTTCGATAAGCAGGGTAGCATACTCCAAGTCATTCTTGAATCTAGCTTCCAAGAGCACATACTGGATGAAGATCATGAACCAACTATCATAGTCCAATCCTCTAAATTCTTTTTCTGATGTCAAAAACAGTCTGGAATTGTTGTCCATGATTGACATACCTTCAAAAAGATTGTAAACTCTTGCTATACGTTCGTCAATCTCCATGGGCTTCTTCCTACGATACAGAACAATCCCTTTGAAAGTTCTGTTCTTGTCCCTTGGGAAGAAATTAGGTACAGACATGAACATTTCAATCAACCTTGAAGCTGATTGCATCCAAGCATTGATTGCTATTGGCTCTCCTTTAGTTATATCATCTTGCAATCTTTGCATTCGTCTGAATGTCTCCAACACCTTACGCTTAGAAGCCTCTTCTGCTGCAATCTTCTCATCTTCTGTAGGTTTCTTGGTTAACTTGACAGGTCTAGTCTCCAAGAAAATAGATACACCTGTTTCTTCTCTTTCCTCTGTAATATCTACCTCCTTTAGTTCTTTTGCTCCAATTGATTCTTGAGTTAATTTCTTTCTGGAGGCTGCTACTTCTGCTAATAGTTCTTCCGCTTGTTTTATATCTGAAAGTCGATAAAGGGCTTCTGCCAAAGAAAGTTTGATGGTCATATCATCAGGAGTGGCATTGAGTACTGCTTCATATGCATCTCTAGCTTCAGCATAATCGCCCACCTCAAAATAGCAATTTGCAAGTAATATGACTGTATCTATATCTGATGTTCGTTCATACAACACCGCGCGTGTTAAAAATATCAAGGCATCAGAGAAATAGCCATGCATCTCCAAACACTTACCAGCTTCCAAAAGAAGATCCGCAATTTCCTCTTCGTTATCTTCATCCAACAAGACATGGAAGTGTTTCATGGCCTCATCCTTTTGATCAAGTTCTAATCTCACCTGGCCCAATTTGTACCTGATATCAATCGGCAAGAATACTTCTCTGTCATAAAAAGATGGATCTGCATTTATTTCAGCAAGTACCTCTTTTCTCTTTTCTTCTTCGAACTCAGCATCATTGGCATGATTATCCCACCAATATTCATCTAACCTATTCTGCAAGAATCTGGAAGCTAGTAAAATTACTCTCAATGCAGGCTTCCAAGCTCTCTTGGTAATATACAACTCAGCCAAAATATTTAAGTCTTCCCACCGGAATTCTGGAAATGGCTCATTCGTCTTACCACCTTTATGAATGTTCTTGTCAAATATGTCCATATATAGATTTATGGCATCATTTTCTCTTCTATCCTGAACATAAATAGAAGCCAATTCCTTGATATATTCTCGATTAGTGGGATCAAGCAGGCATAATTTCCGAAAGCCATCTAAGGCACGTCCAAATTGACGAGTCTTTTTGTAGAGTAATGATCTTTCAAGCATCAACCGACTCCTGTCCTCGGTTCTTAACCCAATTGCTTTACCATAGGCTTTAATTGCTTGAGTAGTGTGACCCAATGAAGCACTTAAATCAGCAACCATAGACCAAAGTTGTCCATCCCACTCACTATTAACAGCGGCAAGAAACCAGTAAGTACAGCAATCATTCAACTTACCTCTCAGTTTCGCAATATCACCCAAAATCCTATAGGAACGAACGTGTTTTGGATCTATCCTCACCACTTCCGAATAGTATTTAACTGCTTCATCATAGTCTTCATGAACAAAAGCTGTATCGGCCATCTCAAGATTCATCAACACCTCAGGATCATTTTCCTTGCCCTTTGCCCGTCTTAAAAAGTCCCGTGTCTGTTTTCTTTTAGCCTTTCTCCTGGCTGTCTTATCATTCCCCTTTGGAATCTTGGACGGTCTTAAGTTGTTTGCAGCTCTCAAGTGATCGTAGAACTCGTCTCGAGCGTCCGAGTCATCTGTGTAGCTCTCATCTTCCCCACTATCAAATTCAGGTGGCCTGAAAGTACCAAACTCATCATCAGAAGGATCTGGTCCATTATTCCTTGATCCAGTATCTTCATAATAGTCAGATTCTTCGTATTCCTCTTCCTCTTCTAAGGTGGGTTGACGAGTGCTATGGTTCAACTTATGAAGGTCATCATCTATATCATCCGTATGAATGACATTGCGTCTTCTACGAACCGGACGCAGGTTTGTTGACATAGTTCGATTGAGGAAGAATATATTTATTTATTTGCAATTCTATGAATGCGCATCAAGAATCATCGATCCCAAGTGATATTTCTTTATGCAGAGGATAATCCTATTACTTGTATGGGTTCACATTGCTTTGTGTGTATCAAACCATGGAGATAATTCTCTCAAGGTGATGCTTCAGACTCCTGAATGGTCGCCGATGCCCTTTCACTTACACTTGCTTGAGAGTATAGCTGCAATTGATGAATCATTATATGGCAGTGCTGCATATTCCTTAGTCAATGATGATTATGACGAAGAGTTCTTGCTATCGGCAGCCAATGATGAATTGGTTTATCAATTGGTTCACGATAGTGCAGGTTTGGATCCAATTAATAAGTCTTTGGCAGATTTGAAGACTGCCAGCAAGTACTATGCCCCAAGAATTCAAACTCATTTCTCGAGCTATTTGAACGACATACAACCGAAATATAGGGGCAAGTGTGACTACGATATGTTTGGAACAAAATTGGAAAGGAAACCTACAAAGCAGTATTCATGGTTGTTGAGTGGAGATAGAATATACTGCACACCAGATGATCTTTTTGCACTTGAGTTTTCAAAGAGGTCTGACATGCTGAGTCAGTTACTCCCATTTGACAGAGTTATTGGACAGAATTCTAAAGCACCGCTCTTGATTTTGTATGGTGACTTGAACCATGAAGGGTTTAACAGCATGTTTAATAATTTATATCAAAGTGCAGAAGCTGGGAAATTGAGGTTTGTATGGAGATACGTTCCTTCTATGGGAGCTCCTGACTTGTTACCCAATTACGCATCAACCTTGGACTTGAAAAACAGCTCTACACCATCAAGTATTGGTGATTTTGGGTTGAAGTTGGCTTCTAAAGTCTTGTCAAACAATGTTAGTCCTAGAGAGAAGTACCGGATGTTGAATTCGATTTTGGAAGATTTTCCCAGTCATTTGGTGGACATAGATTCTGAAGTAGTGGACTCTGATGTGGCAGACAGTGCTGCTGCTAATGAAAAAATGGGAACTTCAAAGGAATCTGTGGGTATTTACTTGAATGGAGCACCCGTTAACGGCTTGGAGTTGGACGCCTTTAAGTTGTTCAACAGAATTGAAGAAGAAGTCAACATAATCCAGGAAATCATAGCATTAGGATTTAATCTTGACCAAGCACGTACTCTTCTTGTCAAGTTTGCATTGCATGCTGCAGTTAAGCTAAGTGAATTCAACTCTGGAAGTGACGAAAACCGATACAAAGTTCATGAAAACTCATTTGTTGCAGGTGCTCAGACGAAAAGGGGAGGAGTTGTATTTATTAACGATATTGAAACAGACGAAAACTACCAGGAATATACCACAGTTAGAGAGAAGGCGTATATCGATATGATACCACAACTTGCACCCGGTCAATTTCCTCCTCTCAAAGAGAATATCCATGACCTTATTTTTGTCATTAACTTGTCAAACCAAGAACAGTTAAAAGTGTTCTTCACTTTCTCAAAGTTAATCTTGGATAGGGGAATCCCACAACAAATTGGTGTCTTGCCTTTTGGTGATTCAGAGCTCGACATAAAAATTGCAAAATACTTTTATTTCTTGTATGATACTACCACTTCAAAAGAAGCGCTAGCATTTTTGTACAAGATCTTCATGAGAGAAACCGATAATGAAATCACCGAACTACTTGAACATATTCTGATTCAAGGCTACGAGTTTTCTCCCCTGGTATACTTAAGCACTCTTGAAAAATTCTCCATTACTGAGCCTTCTATTGTGTTCAACGGTATTATTACCGATTTGAAATCCGATTGGAGGCGTCAAATGGGTAGTCAGATTCGTAAGGATGTTCTGGCTTTACATAACGGCCTCCGTGCAAATAAGATAGGCTTTTCTATGAAAAAGTTCCTTCATCAAAGTGCAAAATCTGAAAGAAATCTCAACATCATTCCCAAAGACAGTAGTGGATTTAAGTACAAGAAAGTCTCCGTTTCGTTGATTGAAAAGTCTAGTAGATTCAGGTTGAGACCTTCTCTAGTCGTAAAAGATGATATTGAGGTTTGGTTGGTGGGTGATCTAAGCCAAAGCGCTGCCTTTAACCAGTTGATACAATTATTTAAACTAATGAGCATTTCAAGCTTTGATATACAATTAAGAGTTATAGACTTATCTAAAAGTCAATTGCTTAGCAAAATCAAACAAGGAGACTTGAACGAAAAAGATCTTGACAATTTACTCGTTACCCTTGAAAAGGAACTGACAACGTTAAAAAGAGCTGATCCTGATCTGGATATGAAACAATTTGTTTCTGAACAAGGTTTACCCCCACATCATTCATACATACTTGTGAACTCCAGATACTTCCGAATCGATAATACATTCAGTCTTAAACAGGTGGAGTCTATTATATCGTTTGAAAAGCTGTTCAGATTATCCATATTTGATTCCTTCCTTGGAAAATATCCGGAGATTTTTGAAAGTTCAAAGGTCGATGACTTTTACGATGAAAAATTGGGTATAATGTTCCATGATTGGAAAGACTTACTCGTGACTCGAATTATGAAGTCTTTCTTCGTTGATGATGATAAATACGTCGACGATGTGGCTAGATATGACTTTTCATCCATGAATATGTACAACTCGTTTGTTATTGACAATGAACTCGAGCCATTGGTAGATGTTTTAGTTGTGGTTGACCCTTTAGTTCCTTATTCTCAACAAATAGTTGGTATTGTCAAAGGCTGCATTAATCTTCCATTTATCAGGACTAGAATTCTACTCCAACCACAGTCACAATACCTCCACCTCCCTATTAAACGCTACTTCAAAGGAGTTTATCCATCATATCCTATCAAGTTTGATAGCTCAGGATTTGTGGATGAAAATTTATCTGCTCAATTTCTGGGTCTTTCAGATGATGTGTTTTCAGTTGACTTGTTGTCTCCCAAGAGATGGGTCGCAATGAGTAAATTTGCACCGAAGAACCTTGATCTTGACTACTTCAAATTCTCGCTGCTCTCTAGCAAAGATCAAGAAGTTGTTTTTGAGCTTTCTAAATTGTTGATTGAAGGGTTTGCAACTGATGTTACGAATGCATCACCCCCAGGTGGATTGACTTTAAAAGTTTCTCAAGGTGATAAGGAAGCAGACACTATCATCATGTCAAATTTGGGATACTTCCAGTTGCCTATTGGTGAAGGTACTTGGAACTTGACAACAGGAGCTAGCCCTTATTTCAATTATGGATTGTTATCCGCATCATCGGATCCTTTCGATTCCAGTACTGTTATACATAAGCAGGTCCCCTTGAATGTATTCAATTTGGACGGATTGGTCCTAAGACCTAGGCTTGTGAAACAAGCTTCTAGTTTATCCAAAGCTAAACCTATACAACAAGATGGTATCAACATTTTTACAGTTTCCAGTGGACACTTGTACGAGAGGTTATCCTCCATTATGATGGCTTCTGTAAGAAGTAACACCCAACATCCCGTGACATTTTGGTTACTCGAAAACTATTTGTCACCTAATTTCAAAGCATTATTACCCAAATTGGCTGAAGAGTACAAGTTTGAGTATCATCTTATCACGTATAAATGGCCCATGTGGCTCAGAAGTCAATTTCTGAGACAAAGAACAATCTGGGGATACAAGATTTTGTTCTTGGATGTTCTTTTCCCAATTGAACTTGATCATGTGATCTTCGTGGATGCAGACCAGATAAACAGGTCGGATATGATAGATCTTGTGAAATTAGATATGGGAGATGCCCCGTATGGGTTTGTGCCCATGTGCGAATCTAAGGAAGAAATGGATGGGTTTAGATTTTGGAAAACTGGTTATTGGAAAGATGTGTTGAAAGATGATCTAAAGTATCATATCAGTGCATTATATAAAGTCAACTTGAAGAGGTTCAGAGAAATTGGAGCCGGTGACCGTTTAAGGTCACACTACCAAAAGCTCTCATCGGATCCAAATTCTCTCAGCAATTTGGATCAGGATTTACCCAATAATATGCAACGTACGATCCCCATCTACAGCCTACCTCAAGAATACCTATGGTGTGAAACTTGGTGTTCAGACTCTACGTTGCAAGAAGCGAAAAACATTGACTTGTGTAATAATCCTTTAACCAAGGAGAATAAGCTTGATGTGGCCAAAAGATTAATTCCTGAATGGAGTGCTTATGACAAAGACATCTCAGCTTTGATCGATACGATTGAGGTTCAAGAGTCGAGAAAAGAGTATGAAATAAACACACCGGTTTTCATTGAAGACAAGGACGAAGACGGGGAGGAAGACGATGAGTACGAACATGACGAGTTGTAAATAGAGGCATATTTGTCCAAATAAATATACTATTACGTGGTAGTAATTTTGGCACCCTCCACTATTGGGTATTGGTACAAACACGTTTTTTCCACTTTTGTTACTGAAGTCCACGATCTTCGCACTTGAACGTTTTAAACGAACTGGAAGACTTTTCAAATCACTTTAGATCTGGAGCATCCTTCATCATAGATAACCGAATATGAGGATCTCTGAGAAGTTGAATCAGGCGTATTCGTCGTCAAATCCTCCTCCTGCTACTTTTTCTTTTGAATTTTTTGTACCCAAAACCTCTCAAGGTGTGCAAAATCTTTACGACAGAATGGATAGAATGTACGAGTTGAACCCAATTTTTATTGATATCACTTGGAACGCTGGAGGTAGATCTTCATCCTTAACCAACGAGATGGTGTACACCGCTCAATCAGCTTTGGGCTTAGAAACCTGTATGCACTTGACTTGTACAAACATGTCAGTGTCTCTTATTGATGAAGCTTTAGAAAGAGCTAAAAAGTCCGGATGTCAGAACATTTTGGCTTTAAGAGGTGATCCCCCATTGGATGGCACTGAATCTACTGGTGACTTTAAGTATGCCAAAGACTTGATTCTCTACATTCGTAAGAACTACGGTAACTACTTCAATATTGGTGTTGCAGCTTATCCAGAAGGACATCCGGAAGAGTCCGATCTTGATTTGACCGTTAAGTACTTAAAAGACAAGTGTGATGCTGGAGCTGACTTCATTATTACACAGATGTTTTACGATACTGACAACTTTATCGAATGGTGCTCAAAAGTTAGAAAGATTGGGGTTGATATACCAATTATTCCGGGTATCATGCCTATTTCTACTTATGCTGCTTTCATGAGAAGAGCTAAATGGTCTGAAATCAAGGTTCCTAAACATTTTTTGGATGTTTTAGAACCCATCAAAGATGATGATTTCTTGGTCAGAGAAAAAGGTACTGAGTTGGTTAGTCAAATGTGTACCAAGTTGCTTGAATCTGGTTACGTTAAGCATTTACACTTCTACACCATGAACTTGGAAAGATCAACCATTATGTGTTTGGAGAACTTGGGATTAATTGACCAAGTGAAGAGCCATGATACTATTGGAGGTGCCATTTTGCCTTGGAGAAAATCATTGAATCCTTCAAGACAGAAAGAAACCATTCGTCCGATTTTTTGGCAAAATAGAAAGCACTCCTACATCTCGCGTACTTCCACTTGGGATGAGTTTCCTAATGGTAGATGGGGTGATTCTAGTTCTCCTGCTTTTGGTGATATCGATTTGAATGCTGCTGATTTATTAAGACAATCACCTAAAAGAGCATTTGAATTATGGGGCCACCCTCAATCTTTGAAAGAGTTTGCAGACTTGACTATTTCTTACTTGAGAGGTCAATTGAAATCGATGCCATGGTCTGATGGATCGATTAGCGAAGATACTTCTGTTATCGCTGAAGATTTGGTGAAGTTGAATCAGAATGGGTTCATTACCATCAATTCTCAGCCTCCTTTGAACGCTACCAGATCTAATGATAAGGTGTTTGGGTGGGGTCCGAAGAATGGGTACGTTTTCCAAAAGCAATACTTGGAATTCTTCTGTCATAAATCAGTGATTTCAAAACTCCTTGACCAAGTAGACATTTTCAATAAGAGCAGTGGTGATAACTCCAGAGTGTTGACTTACTACGTTGTCGACAAGACTGGTGAGTTGATTACTAACACCAATGATGAAGATATCAATGCTGTTACTTGGGGTGTTTTTCCAGGTGAAGAAATTGTTCAACCCACTATTGTCGAGAGAAACTCATTCTTGGCTTGGAAGGATGAAGCATACAGTTTAATCACTGAATGGGTTAGAATCTTCGAGAGTAATTTGGCAAAGGATTTCCTTAAGGGCAAAGAAGCTCAAGTACAAACATCAATTGAATTTTTCAAGAGCTTTGAAACTGATTTTGTGTTGTGCAACATTGTCAACAATAACTTTACTGATGATGCCAAAGAGCTTTTTGGTGTCTTTGAAGGACTACAATTCCAATAATTAAATTTAACAAAACTGTCGCAGGACATCAGGCACTCAACATGCCAAAAGAGCGGTTCATTTCAACATAAGAACCGTGATTATTATTTCATGATTTACGACTCATGGGTTTTTTTTTGCATTTTTTTTACAAAAAAATATTTCATTTCAACAATTATATTCCGTTTATCAAGCAGTTTCCAAAATTCTATGATGGTCATCTGTGGTTTTATCCTCCTGTGTATAGTGCATCCTCAACGGTATGGTTTCTAGGTTCCAATATATAAGATTACTCTAATTCTCTTCAGTTCTCGGTGTAATTAGCCACCCGGAACTATATTGTAATGTGAATTGCCAAATAAACTAAATACAAAAAATGAAGGAGTACTTCAAAGGGACAAAACGAAAAACCAATATCCCGAATAAAAGAAAACAATATAAACCTTAAAAATAATTGAATGAAAAATGAATGAATGGTATCAACGCTTAAAAGAAGGATAATAATATGGCCGCTACGGTCACAACTCCTCCAGCAAGTGGGAGTCTGTTAGCAGTTGCTTCGAACGTAGAAACAGAAGCTTCTGAAGATGGAGAAGCAGATGTAGAAGCCTCAGTCGTTTGCTCGATTGTGCCTGTGGACAAAGCAGTAGTCACCAGACAGTTGTCTCGGTTGGAATCGCAAACAGTGGATTCGCTCGAAAAAGTGGTGGTTATAGTGTAGTAAATCACGGTGGTTGATTCTGTTTCGGATTCACTTACAGAAGCTGGAGAAGCAGTGGTTGCTAATGTTGTTGGGACGGTTGACTGAGCAGCAACAGAACTTTGGTAAACAATGGCAGACTCAATCTCAGAAGTAGCTTTAGTAGTATCCCTAGTCGTAGCTTCAGTAGAAGTTTCAGTGGTAGCCTCAGTAGTCGCTTCAGTAGTAGCCCTCGTCGTGGAATCAATAGTAGCTTCGGAAGTACTAGCTGGAACACTAGTAGTAAGTGGACAGTAGGTCGTGTAGATCGTAGTGTGATCTTCTTTGATTTCAGTAACAACAGTTAAACCAGTTGTGATTTTACTTGTTGAACATTCATTGTCCAGGCAAGAGGTGATGGTCACCACAGTAGAATCGACGTGGGTAACGGTCTCATATTCGGCACTAGATGAGGGAGAACTAGTAATAAACGATTTAGCAGCAGAACTGGTAGAAGTCACCTTGGAAGAAGCTTCAGTCAGTTGGCTAGTTTTTGGAATTTCCGTATTGCTAGAAGAGACTTCAGCAGTGGAACTGATTTGAGCTATCGAAGATGAGCTGGTCGCTTCTGTGGAACTAGTGTCAACTAAAGTTTCAGTCACAGATGAGCTAG